ACCCCCATAAGCTGTATGAAATGTGAAAACAATAATATGAATAACAGTCCCTCATCCATACCCAGCCCTAGGCATATTCCCCAGCCCAGTAAGCATCTGGAGTATTTAATATAGACACATGTATGAATGGGAAGGCCACCATCCAGGTTATGGAAGTGGCAGGATATACAGTATCATGGTGAGCAATGTACCTCTCCTCCTACCCCTCTTCCACACACCAATAATGCAACTATTACTATGGTTAGTAGCTCAATTTGATGGTACTACAATAGCGCATTTTTAGGGCCCTCTATTTGAGCCATTTGTGGTTTGAAGGGAGAGGGTATGACCCATGACCCTCAACAGTAGATATTTTATTAAAGAACCATACATGCATTTATGGTCAATTTGACTTGGTAGATACTTAATAGTATTATGCTTGAGTATATATATGTATTTAAATATGGAGCGCTGCACATGTGGGCAAAGATATGAGGAGGGGGAGGAGGAGCACATACCTCATCAGTCACCATGTCCTCCTGTCATGAATAATGCATATTGCATGCTCTAGATAGACTCTACGGGTGTGTAATATGTATACCTTAATATTTTAGTAGTCATGGTTAGAGAATAGATGCTTGGGTGAGATGGTATTAAAGCAAGAAAGATATCTGCATAAAAAGCATGAAAATCATCCATTGTCACATAAATACATCAAGTAAATACTTAGGCATATACTCATACATGCTAAGAGCTAGCTGAAAAAGAGTTTACGAAATTAGAGCAAGATTGAGGTGAGATATGGATGAGACAGTGAATTTTGAAGGGCAGAAACTCGGTCACTACATGTGACTGTAATTTGCATCTTACTATCTACCCTTCTTTGGGAGTTCCTTTGCCATATCTCACCTCAATCTTGCTCTAATTTCGTAAACTCTTTTTCAGCTAGCTCTTAGCATGTATGAGTATATGCCTAGGTATTTACTTGATGTATTTATGTGACAATGGATGATTTTCATGCTTTTTATGCAGATATCTTTCTTGCTTTAATACCATCTCACCCAAGCATCTATTCTCTAACCATGACTACTAAAATATTAAGGTATACATATTACACACCCGTAGAGTCTATCTAGAGCATGCAATATGCATTATTCATGACAGGAGGACATGGTGACTGATGAGGTATGTGCTCCTCCTCCCCCTCCTCATATCTTTGCCCACATGTGCTGCGCTCCATATTTAAATACATATATATACTCAAGCATAATACTATTAAGTATCTACCAAGTCAAATTGACCATAAATGCATGTATGGTTCTTTAATAAAATATCTACTGTTGAGGGTCATGGGTCATACCCTCTCCCTTCAAACCACAAATGGCTCAAATAGAGGGCCCTAAAAATGCGCTATTGTAGTACCATCAAATTGAGCTACTAACCATAGTAATAGTTGCATTATTGGTGTGTGGAAGAGGGGTAGGAGGAGAGGTACATTGCTCACCATGATACTGTATATCCTGCCACTTCCATAACCTGGATGGTGGCCTTCCCATTCATACATGTGTCTATATTAAATACTCCAGATGCTTACTGGGCTGGGGAATATGCCTAGGGCTGGGTATGGATGAGGGACTGTTATTCATATTATTGTTTTCACATTTCATACAGCTTATGGGGGTTTACAACAGTATATATGTTACATAACTTTATTAATAACTACATACATTGATACTAGCAAAAAAATTGGAGGGAAATGGACTGGAAATGGTGTGAACAGCGAGCTTGCTGTCCACAACAGTGATGAGAAGGGCGGGAGCAATGACTTAGTCAGCACACCATGGGACCCTGCCAATCTTAGTCAGTGGGGCAGAAATACCTCACTGACTAAGATTGGTGGGTCCCCACAGCCCAACTGTTAGTCAGCATGCAAGCAGAGCAGCCAGCATAGGCCCAGCATATGAAATGCAGTGTCACGACCCGTCCCCGGCTCCCGGCACAATTATCTGGCTCCCGAGGCTGTATCCAGCTTCCGAGGCTTGTGGTAATGAGCCGTGCTCTTCCGGGACACTTCTGAGACATCTGGGAATGAGCCGTGCACTTCCGAGGCACTTCCGAGGCGAGCCATGTTTCCGGCTCACTCCATTGTGTCTCCCAGCCATTGTCCCATTGTCCTTCATTGTTCTTCTTGTCCCGGCTAAGTTATCTATTACATAATCATGGTCCATTATTCTACATAGCATAAATACCCATGTACAGTAGTAGATTCCTCAGTCGGAATATCGAACTCGACATACCCCCTTTGCTCTAGTTCACTGCCAGAATCCGGCTCCTCCCTGTTCATCTGAAATCGGGGACACCCAGACGTTGCGTGGTGGCGCAGCTGCCCTTTCCGTCAAGCTGAAGCCAAGTCCCCACCCCATCCGGCACGGTCGTTACATGCAGACATGGTGTGGTGTCATGGAGGCAGTTCAGGGTCTCAGAGATTCTTGAAGAAACTGGGAGAATAGGCCAGTCTGTGTCAAGACAAATTCTCATTTGGTTTGGCCTCTGTCAACAGATCAGTGACGAATGGTGACATTCTGCAGGGTGTCATTCTTTGATTATCATTAGCATCCTGCCAAAAAAAGGTAACTTTCTGTGTCAATCATCAAAGAACGTCAACATTCTTTGACAATTGTGACTGTTCCTTGGCTATTGTGACCGTTCCCTGACTTTCTCCCACATTCTGCCACAATTGTCACTGAATTTCATTTACATTGTATTTTTGTCCAGCACGGACCACCATCGTTATCTGCCAGCCCCTAAAGTAATCTGCCAGAGCACAGCCACCCCTGCCATTTCTGGACACCTCGTTCCCATGCTGCAAAATCATCGAGGACTGTCAACATCCTTTCTCCTGTGCGCCATGGCTCATCATGCATCATGTGCAGTTGAAAAAAATACATAGGTGGTAAAAAAAATTATTGTGGCAGTGAAAATGACATCCAGCTGGCCCAAATGTCACAAATGCCATATCTCCTCATAAAATGGGCATTGAGGTGCTATAGCTCTATTTCTTACCCTCTGCCTCTCGTGCGCCAAAGCGCGTGGTTCAGAAAAATACTCAATGATCAACATTTGTGAGAATCATCTCAAAATGAGCTGTCCAGCGCAATGGTGTGTGACGATGGTAAGAGTTCTCAATTCCTTCCTTTTTTGATTTCTTTTCTTTCTTTTCTTTCTTTTTATACCCAGTACTTTGTTCGGTAAACCTTCACTGGAGTCCCGTTGGTGCTCAAGGCGGCTCCTCCGGGCCGGTAATTTACAGGGACCTTCGGTGGGAGTCCATCAACATGAACGTCCACCATGCCCCTCAGTCGATTCTCCAGTCCCGACTAATCGAAACAACGACACATAAGCTCCATGATGTCCTTCTCTTCTACTGCTTTCGAACGATGTCCAGAGCTCTGTATGTAACCGACTTGGCCAAGTGATCATTTAGATAAAGGCTCATTGAGGCCCTTGACCGGTGGCCTGCCAGTAGGCGTCGAAGCACGTTGGACGTAAATCGACCACTGCTTGTAGAACGCACTCCTTGTCTGGTCCAGCGTCTCCCAAGTCCGCCCTCATGTGAGCCCCCATTCATTTACTTCTTCAAGGATGGAAACCTCAGTGTCACTGGAAACCCAGTTCAGCCGGACTAGAGGTTTGTTCTCTACGAACTAAACGCTCTGGAATGAGCGGTCTGCTTGCAGACCAAATCTTCTCTCTGACGCTTACTCTCTCTTGGCGCCTGTATTCAAATGCTCACCGTCCTCCCTCAGTCGCATGACGTGTAACACGATCTCATCCAAGGCCTCCACCCCTTGGCGCGAGATACCCGAACACCTTCTCTACGCAAGCACCCTTCCCTTGCGAAGGAGATAGGAACTCCGCAAGACGTTGTGATCTCATTTTGTTGGAGGCAGAGAGTGAGAAATCTCTCCGCGGAGGGCGAATCCTTCTGCGAAGGAGAAAGGAGCATAATAATTGAAGGTGTGTATTTCCACGCCTTATTCTCAAGATTCTAGAAACTGCTGACTTTCCCTGTCAGCAATAAGTAAAGTAAAGTCTCTTGGTCGATTGTGCACAACTCCACCACTTTACCTACCGAAATTTGGCAAGGAAAACCAGTTAAATGAACTTGCCAAGAAAATATCGTTATCGGTGAAAGCTAGAATGTCGGACTCAGATTTGGTTGCGCATGGAAGAGGCGAGGAGCATGTTGGGCCTCCCTCTGTTTTGCCATTCGGCAAGACCTACGTGTCGGACATAAGCTAGCAAGAACTTCCACGACGCATCTGGGTCCGTACAGGGATGCCATCCCCGTTCCGTCATCCCTGAAAACTTCCTCTCCGTCTCACGCGAGCGCAAGAAAACCGTTTTCACCCCTCTATTTCCGCGACTCCGCCTGGTGCCTCACCCGGTTCCATCACAAACCTCTGAAGCGAAACACCGAATGACGACACACACACCCACACCTTAAGCGAATTCTCATCCAAATCCTGTCCGGAAGGGAAAGTGGCAAGCCGCCATCGCCCATCCGACTGGCAAGTCAGTATCGACTTCGTGGATACTTCTTTTTGAAGCCCTCTGCCGACCTTCTCAGGGCCTTGGCAAGTTTGCTCACAAAATCAGTGTTTTCTTCGGGTGCCAGAAGCTCTCATCGAGGAATTTTGGAAGCGGCCGAACGAACGGTGTTGGACATCGATGCTCTTCCGCTCTCGCGATGGAGATACCGTAGAGTTCACACCACCCCATTTCGCCGTCAGGTCCTCCTGTTCAGCTGCTGCTTTTAATGGCGAAGGTCTATCCCACTTTCCCCCAATTTCGGTTCCCCCTTTTCTTGCTCATTCCTCTCTTGTCTCAACACCTCTACCTTCATCGCAATGCCTGGCCGTGACAAGTTCTCCACCGTTACCGAGGCCGTTGTCCCTGCAGCCTTTCCCACCGCAGAGGCTCCTCGCTCTGACGTGTATTACAACCCTCGTTTGAACCCGAAGAACTACCTTGAAGGCCCTCTCTCCCCCAACCCCGCCACTCGCCTGCGCCAGATGCTCGCCAGGCCTGGCATCGTCGTATGTCGATCGTTCCTATCCAGAAGGTCTCCCTCGTTAATTGTTGTTCATCTAGGTTGCCCCTGGTATCTGCGATGGTATCAGTGCCAGATGCGCTCTTGAGGCTGGGTTCAACTGCATGTACCAAAGGTAGAATGCGTTCTTTCTTTCGCCCCCGGCATCCGCTAATCATGCTGTTCCAATAGTGGGGCTGCCACCACTGCTTCTCGCCTTGGTCAGCCAGATCTAGCCATAGCTACTATGAATGACTTCGTCGGGGTATGGGACCGACTTGTTTATGGCATCTTTTATTCTTAGAACCTCATTCACAGGCTGCGCAAATGGTCTGCTCTCTGGACCCGACCGTTCCTGTTATTGCCGATGCCGACACAGGGTGAGCATTTCTTTTTTTTTTTAAAAAAAAAAAAAAAAAAAAAACTGAGGCTATCTTGACGTTAACTTTGCAGGTTTGGCGGTCCCGCTAACGTTGCTCGTACTGTGACGCAATATGCCAGAGCCGGTGTCGCAGGTCTGCACATCGAGGATCAAGTACAGACGAAGCGGTGCGGCCACTTGATGGGCAAGCAGGTCGTGTCCCGCGAAGAGTTCCTCACGAGGATCAGGGCCGCCGTTATTGCCCGCGACTCGATTCCTGGAGGCTCCGATTTTGTCATCATCGGTCGCACCGACTCGGCGCAGGTCCTCGGTATGGAGGAGGCTATCACCCGCCTGAAGCTCGCTGCCGACGCCGGTGCCGACGTCTGCTTCATCGAGGGCGTCAAGACAGAGGAACTACTCCGCTCGACTGTCGCTGCTCTTGCACCGAAGCCTGTGTTGGTCAACGTCATTTCTGGAGGACTTACCCCGTCCTTCACTTGCGAAGAGGCCGAGAGGATGGGTGCTAAGATTATCAGTAAGCATTCTTCTTATTAGTCACTTACTCCCACTTGACATTGCTTTCTTTTTAGTCTTCTCTCTAGTCTCTTGTGTCGCCATGGTTCATGCAGTTCGTGCTGCCATGCATTCCCTGAAAAAGACCGGCACCGACTTCAGCTCCGCCAAGGGGATGGACCCAAAATCTTTCTTCGAAGTCATGGGTCTCAACGAAGTCATCGAATTGGATGCTCAGGCCGGGGGTTCTGCTTTCGCGGTTGTGTAAGACATTGGGCGGCCGATAAGCATATTCTCAGGGGAAAAGGAACCCAGACACCAATATTCATATAACATCATATACCACACAATTTTCAGTCTTCCTGTTCATACATTGCCCCTCGTAAATTAATAGCTACGTAGAAGAATTCGAGAGCGCTACTACATCCTTGTTATGCTCAACGCAGAGGGGCTTGATGTTTCTATTCGACAATTTTTCGTGTCAAACCCCAATGCCCCCAGTTCGCAGCAAGGTCTGGCGATGGAAAGAAGAGACCCCAAGAAATGGCGTAGTGGGCTAACACAAGATCCAGCTCTTCTATTTCGTCCAGGAATTCAAGGTGTGAGATCCTGTCCGACCTTTGGTCAATAAAAAGCTCAGTGTCTCTACAGGGAATCCATGCCTTTCAAGCTCTGAAGGTTCGATGTATGCTCTTCTAATCTCCTTGAGAGTCAGACCGTGCGCCGCCGAGAACCCGGTCTGGAGGAAGCGATTGGGCAAGTTCTCGACCGTCGGATAAGGATCAGCTCCTGGTAGCGAGATTCCACGCTCCTGAAGAGGAGTTAGCATAATCTTCGGCAAAGAAAATCAAGGGTTACAACCTTCAAGTTGTTGACCATGACTCGCCCAAAAGAATCGTTCAGGCCGAACATTTCATAGACAATGCATCCCAAGACACCATTATGCTTTTGCTGTACCTTGACGAACCAGTCAAGGAGCCTAGAGGAATCCACAGGTGACATGTAAGCAAGAACACATTCGAAGAGAAGCAACGTCGGTATTGAGGGATCGAGGATTGCTGGGTGCTCTGCATCGAAGGAAGAGTACAAGAAAGATTCAAGCATTTCAGACGGGGGTCGTCGTATATCCGTTGGAATGAGGTAATATTTTGGTGAACGCAGGGCAGTACCTCCCTGGGCTATCACAATCAATGTCGAACACTGGAACAGCGAGAATAAAGCATTACCGAGAGACACCTGACTGGGGTCACCTAAAAGCGATACGAGCTCCTTGTGCTTCTTTATCGCCATGGCCTTTTTGGTGGTGATTTCAGGAAAGTCGACCTCGACATACACTTGCAGATTGTCCTCTAGAGACCCTGCCTATCGAGCAACCAAGGATGAATTGGCTGGCCTTGTTGTGAAGAAGGGTGGATCGACGTGCCGTAATTCGCCAAAATCTAGTATCACTGCCTGCGCCAAGGCTGACGATCTGGCATTTCTGCCCAGCGTTGCTGGCTAATTGAAGCCATTGGTCGACCAAAGAGTCTATTGCTGCAGTTCTGACGTAGGTTCCGATGTTGATCAGCGGCGGGTGTGGAGGGAGTAGGTGCGCCCGAGGGACCAGATGTTTGATGTATGGATCCTGGAGATAGTGCTTCTGGACAGCAGATAGCCGTGCCACAGCGGCATCATTGTCAGTGGCGCGGATGGGAGCACCGCCGCTCTGTGCACCAGACGGAGGAAACATCATGGATGATGGGGGCCCAGGACACCAAATTGTCTCCCGTGGGTTTTCCGGACCGGTGCACCAGTGTTCCCACCCCAGAAATACTAGTTTTAGCGAGGCTGGATACCTCCGATTCAGGATGCCATATACACCTCAACCAAATGGATGTAGGAACCGATTAAATACAGAGTATGATATAGTTATGTGAAATTGTCAATTTTGACTGGAAGCTGGTAAGACCAAGCTCTCTTCTGGTATGCCTTCAAGAACGCATATCCTTTTGCTGTTTCCTCATTAGCAAGCACTTTCACCGAAGGATATAGTACCTCGTCTGAACTAATCAAAATGCACAGCGTCTTTGCACGACTAATGGCAACATTCAAACGCCTCCTTTCAAGCAAGAAACCAAGGTCGGAGGTCAGGGCTTTCGGGAGAGAAAACAAGCATATCACAAAGGCAGCCTCTGAGCCTACGCAAGTCATCAGTAAGAGAACCACTACGAAAATTTCGAACTTACCCTGGAGGCGTTCTATTGTGTCTACTGTAACTCTAGGTCTTGCTTTGGGTTTGTTGGCGCCAATTTCCAGGTGTTCAAAAGCATCTTCGAGTGGGTCATCAAAAACCTTCGATCTTCCAAGGGCAGATTTTACAGCTTCGCGTTGAATGCGATGCGGCGTCGCAACGAAGATATCGTCATTGGGAGAACACTTCCTTAGCGAAACGACCAGAGCCGCCGCTACGGCTGCCTCGCCACGAACATGCACCTCGTAAGCGATGTTTGGCGTCCGAGCGGACCATGTCCTAAGTCGGACCAAGGCCAGCGACACTGGCCGATGCGTCAATGCAACGTCCGAAGTTCCAGCAAGGAGGGTTGTTGGTGTGGTAGAGTGAACTTCGGGCGCAACCAGCACGCTCTGAGGTTGGTTAAACATGACGTCTGAGAGTGCAGTAAGGAACTTCTGGATGGGGTTGAAGATTGTAGATCTTATTCCAAGCTGTGCTCCATTGAAGTTTGCGACCGTTCGCAGAGCTATAGCGAGCTGTCGAGCTTGAACCTTCTGAGGCTTAAATTGACGAGAGTATATGGTTGAAACAAATTCACCGAGGTCCGGATTCAAGCTGAAAGGCAATCAGTAGCTTGATTGTGCTCAAAAATGTCAGAACCTACCGGAAGTTCTCCGTCAGTTGAACGATGGTTCCTTGAGACGAGGCGGGCTCAGCATCGGCTCCAGGACTTGGGGAGGGCGGACGAGCATTCTCGGACGGTCGCGAAAACATAAGACAATCCAATACAGACCCGAACAGTGAATGAGATTTGAGCAAAGGGTATTGCGCACTCAAAATCGGAGCCAACTGTTCAGAATCCCCAGCAATGATGATCCGTCCTTCATCACTAAGGCAGCGAAGGACAAGGGATATTGAGCCTAATGAAATTTGGCCTGCTTCGTCAATGATGACACAATCGACTTCCATTGTATGTTTCTTCGTGAAATTTGAAAGCTGGGTGGGTTGACGAGTTAGAGGACCTGAGCCACCTTCGACTTACAAGACCTACCTGATAAATAGTGCCAGCATATATCTGAACCAAAGTGCCTGTCTTGCGGGGTGCAGGATGGTCGTTTCCTCTGCTGACGACCTCGATCATGACATCATCAAGCCACTCATTCGGTAACGAGTCTATACCTCGATAGGCATCCATCAGGCGGACAAGTTTGCTACGGCAAGCCTCGATGGCAGCATGCGTTATAGCTGTGATGAAGACGATCTTCGGACGAGGGCCCCAGCGTCGACGTTCAACCTCGATCAGACGCAAGAGGGATAAAGATACTGTATATGTCTTCCCAGTTCCTGAGGACGTCGTTAGAACGAAATAGGTAGTTAAAGAATAGAAGAACTGACCAGGAGGACCCCATATGACAGAAAGCCGGTTCGACAATATCCTCTGCGTCGCACGGTGTTGCGAAGCTTTCAGGACGAGAGGTCCCGCGACGTCATTGCCCAAGCCCTTTAAGTCACGGAATAGCTTCTGCATCTCATTCTCGGTCTTGACATACTGCTTTGCCGCTGGAATCTTGCCGAGAGAATTTGGATCCAGAATGAGCTGCAGGAACGGGACGAAGTGATGAGGAGCATCGTCTTCATCTCCATCGTACAAATCACCCTGGGATTCCCAACAAAGGTCCAACTCGAATAGAGCCGATAAGATCTTAGTCGTGTTAAAATCTACATGCCGAGGAGACAGGCGGTAAACGGCGCCGCGCTGCAGAGGTGTCTCGGTCGTACTCCAGGTTCTCATGACTACCTGGATACCACGACCAGCTGTGTCGGTGAACACATTCCGGACGTCGGCCAAATAGAGCTCCTGTTGGACTCGAGCGTCTTGTTGACTCCAACTAGCTTTCGTGTAACGGTTCAGCGGAAACACCAGACCAGATACACATAGGTCATCAAACAGAGCTTCGGGGGGGAGACTGTCACCACTCTCGTCGTTGGGAGAATCCGCGGCGTCGAGGACGAGGAGCTTGTCGAAGAAGGAATGGTCTCTGTCTGATGCAGGAACATCGACGGTTCCTGACACGACGCGGAACATATGCTCCATGCCATTCGGGCCTTGACTGGGACCTATGTACTCGAGAGTCGGTGCCTCAGAACAACTGTCGATGCGAGATTGCCAGAGCTCAGTCAACTTTGCAAGGACTTCAAACTACCAGAAGTGTTTAATAACGGTAGATGCAAGTGAAGAGCAGGTGACGGCAACTCACTTGCTGCATGAAGAATAACTTGCGTATATGCGGCTCTTTGCAGAAATCCATGAACTTCGTTAACAGAACTTTTGCCCGATTGACGAAAAGCGAATGGCCGGTAGACGAGACGGCGAGAGTTCTGAACTTCGTCAAGACACGATAAATAAATCGATTTCTGCGTTGGAGGAGCTCTTTTGAGGCGTCATCTCCACCTTCTTTCTTGTATGCCGCAAAAATCTCCTCATCGCTGGGGCACGACTCCGTCGGCCCCAAAAGCATAGAAACGCACTCAGGCAAGTCCCAGTAGCCTGGAATGGGCAGCGCGAGCTGCCGCTCGACTTCCTTCTTCAGCACGACCACTCTTGGAAGCTGTCCGAATTCCTTTCGGCGCTCGTCACTGTTTAAGTTCGTCGCCCCTGCCTCTTCCTGAAGCTTCCGAATCTTGTTATCGATGCGTTTGCGCAGGACGTCGACTGTGCCCTCTGTGGAAAGGTCCATTCTATCTAGACAAGCTTTGAGTTCGGCCTTGAGTCTTCTTCCTTTGCTCAAGAATCCAATGAGAGCGCCGGAGAGTAAGAGTGGCTGGAAGGTTGTCTGCAAGAGCGACGCTCCTTGGGCAAGGGCGCCGATACATAACCGAATGTCAGATTCGTTGTCTGATGTAGTTAGAGCTGCGCTGATGATGTGGCCTTGAAGAAGTGCTTGCTCCCCCCAGGACCAGACGTAGAATTGTGTCGTAAATCCACAGGAACTCTTACTATTTTGGAGGGCTTCGAGCGAGCGTATCAGTTGCGCCAATTGAGGGATAAAATCGGCCCCTCCACAGGTGGTCATCACTGGTAGGTTGGCCACAGGTTTCCTACAGTATGTCGTTACGTGGAAATAGTCTCCGCCGGAGGTAGGCGAGGAAGGGTCATTGATGATTGAGATGACGACTGCAACGTCTTCTCGAGTAGGGCAAGTGTAGTTGCGACGAGGAACAACCTGCATAAATTTTAACTCTTTCGCTTTCACTTCTGAGACGCTACTTGAGGCTCACTTGGATGTTCTTTGTTCGAGCAGCTTCAACGATTGGGCTCTGAATTGCACTAGACTTATTGCGACGTTTCTTCTGGAGCGCTAGGATCCGTTCAGCCTTCTTGATGACGCTTGGCGAGGCTTTGGCGATGAGTTCAAGCTTATGAGGCGTGGCAACCAGGGTGTGAAGCTCCTCAATATCTGTGAAGCGACCATCTAATTTCGTCGGGGCAGCTACACGAGCAAGTCGCAAGAGATCTTTCACGATTCTGGCATCGTCTATAGATATGTTCGGCATACTTCCCAGCTCACCGTCCTCCACCGCTCGAGACTTGCAATCCTGTTCGTATCGGCATCCATTGCACAAAGGGTTGAAATGCCATTTGACCTCTTCACGTGATAATATGATGACCTTAGGCAGGTCGCGAAAGAGGAGGGCGTCTAGAGCTGGGGCCAGGAGCGACATAGATATGGACTTGATGTCTTCGAGAGAAGGAGAGGCAGTATGAAAACCGTCTCTGGGAGGAAGCCAAACACCAGCAGTTTCTGAGCCATGGAAAAAGGGATCGTTGAGAAGAGTGTTCAAACAGAGGGTATAGAAATAAATCTGGATGTGGTGAGAGGTCTGAAAAAGAGAGGTCACGTATAGGAAACATCAAGCCAGAAATGGCAGTCCTACCTTCACATGCTTGGAAGCTTTAGCATCGATGACTCTCCATCGAACGCCGTCTTCAGTTCGCTTGATTTCGAGGAGATCAGGTTTGGCAAGTCCAAATTTGATTGGTTTGGTTTTTGCCTCAACAAACCTCAGGGCCAGCTTGGACTGGGGCGGCCAAAAAGCCAAACCGGTGATGAAGAAGTGACTCCTCTCGTCAGCTACAATATTCTCGAGCAAGCTGTCGGCCTCTAGCGGGATTGACGGGACTTTGAGAAGCAGCTGAGAGCGATCCAACCAGTCGTAAAGTGCCGTTTCCCAGTCGATTCCACGCCTGTATTGCGCCTTTGCAAGCTCGGAGGGACTTGAGGCCCCTGTCTCAGGGGTAGTCGTTGAAGTCGCGGCTGCACCATGGTAAACGTTGTGGATATAGAGATCACAGTTAAGATGTTGATGGACGGCGAGGTTGGTAGCAGAAAGGGACTGCTTGCCACTCATTTCTTGGGAGTGACATGGGGCGCGCAGGCCGGTCTTTATGTAGCGGAAGAACAATGGCGATGCGGCGGCGTGTGGTGCCCAGGCGGCGTCATCATGGAGTCCGAGTTGAGTTGTTTCCCGGAATTGACTCATAGTCAACGCGTCTGCCATATTCACTGCAGCGCGTGTTACGTAACTCCGAGTCAACAAGCAGGGAACGCGTGCGGGCTTACTCTCACAGCGTCCATCATGGCCTCCGCTCTACTACCCATCGAAATCTGGAGTCATATCCTCAGACAAGTGCCGAAGTCAAATCTGTCACAAGTGCTCGAAGTCTGTTCATTGTTCCACGACCTCGCTGTTCCCATACTGTTCGAGTCAATCAAGATATATTTTATGAACGGTCAGAACGGCCTCAGTATGCTAAACACAGATGATTCTCTCTGGATGGAGGAAATTGCCTACAAGCTCATGCGGAGATCCTGGGAACTCCTCAACCACATTGCCCACAACCTTCGTTTCGCGAGCTACGTGAAGAGCATCACTGTTATTGCATATGCCGATGGACTCTCAGTCTTCGAACAGTGTAAGCCTTTCATTTCGAATAGCTAATAAATGTGAATAACAAGAAGGACAGTGACCCTGGCAAATACCATGGCCTTTGTGTCAAATCTGCAAACATTTCGTTGGATCGGCAATAATCCGGTTTTCGACGAGACGGTTGCTAAACGCCTTCCGCCAACTCTCCAGAGATTAGTCGTTCAGTCGTAAGTACCCTAATCACGCTGCCTTGTCTTTTGTGTGTGCTCATTTTTTTTAGTCATCTACCCTTGAATGACCTCCCACATTTCCAAAACCTTTCGACCCTCCACCTCTCTATACCATTCCTCTTCCCCGACGATGAGGAAGCCCACGACGATTTTGTCCACGACGCACTTCTGGAGAGCCCATATACAGATCTCCAGATAGCGGCCACTCTCGAAGACATCTCCTCGAATCTCACCTCTTTAAGAATCACAGCCTCAGACGTCCGTGGCGTGCCGATCCGACTGTATAGCCAACTCAAAGGCTTGGAGATCTTTGGCACGATCGGCGATGATGAAGAACTCGTTGGGCTCGACCTCGTCTTTCGCTATGCGACTTCCCTTGAGTCGCTATCCCTGGTAGGCTACTTTGTTCCTGCTATGTTTTCATTTTTCCTTCCCTTTTCCTCCGACACCCTCCCTCATCTGACTTCTTTCCGCCTGAGCTGTGATTACTCCACCCTAGGAGAAAGTAACGACTGGGAGCTTCAATCTCTTTGTCAGTTCTTGCAAGGTCGTGCTCTACTGCGCCGTCTATACCTTCGCATCCCCACTATAACATGGGGTCATGTCATGTCTTTATTCCCGACTATCAAGGACCTTGCTGGCTTAGAAGTGCTTGGCCTTCATACTGGGAAAGAGTTCATCGCAGAAGATGCATTGTACTCACTGGCACAAATTTTATCACCGAAGCTTCGTGCCCTCCACCTTGGTATTAGATGGGACGGCGCGAGCATCTTACCCCTGGTCGGTTGCTTCTTCTATCTTGTAAACAGTACACTGATCAATATTGATCCAAACTTCCAGGTGGACGCCATTGGCACACTGCCTCGCCTTTCCTTCGTTCATCTTTATGGAGCGATCGGTCGGCTGCCCCTCCAAATAGCGGACTTCGCAGTTCAGAATGAAGCACTGCAGACTATAGGACTCAATCGTGCTCTATGGACAATCAGTAGGGTAGGTCCAGACATTCTAACCGAGAAGTGGCCCAGGTGGAAAATTAAGTTTTGCGTCGAGGAAGACTTCATTTGCGAAGATGATGCTTGGTTGTTCAAGTACTACTGATCATCAGCAATCTAAGGTGCATGAAGCAAGTGCGATAAGCAACCCGTTCTCGGGAGGTACGTGTGTGTGCTAATTTATCGATATTTATTGCAGCCATAAGCCTGTTGCTACCCTCCTGGAGACGCACAAACTCTGGGACACCCTTTGAAGAGGTGAAATGAAATGAAATGAAAAAAACGACTTCATTTTTCGTGGCTAGGCTAATGTGTATAGACAATGCAACTCTAAATGTATGAAGACGTGAAAGTTCGGATAAAGACCGTACTTCGCTCGTGAGGCAACGGATCATGGAGCCCAGCCACGACAAGTAGCTGCGATGCGTTTTATAGCTTCGCGTTCTTGAACTGCGCGAGGCCGAGGGGCTGGTCTGCAACGTGTGTCAAATCGGAAAGCAAAGGACATCAGGGAGAAGCCTACAGGTCGTGTTGAAGAGGTTGTCCGTGGGGGTAAGACCAGCATGCGCACTCAGAGCACTGGCATCGACCATGTCAGGAACGACCTCACGAATGTTGCGGGCACCGAGCAAGCGCATGTTCATCTCAAACTCGTCCTATACGATCGCCAAAAGTTGAACCACGGCTTAATGAATGAAGCGAACATAGCGTACACGCAGGATCTCGAAGGCCCTCTCGACACCCTCCTGACCGTAGCTCGAGAATGCATAGAGGAACCCACGACCAATACCGACAGCGGAAGCCCCGAGTGCGATCGCCTTGAGGACGTCGCTTGCACGGCGTACACCACCGTCAACGAAGACGGAGAAGTTGGGGTTAGGCCAGGGTCCCTTGGTTTTGAGGGCAGCGACGATGTCGATGAGATTTTCGAGGCCAGAGCGTGCCGTGTCGAGCTGGCGACCTCCGTGGTTACTCAGGACGATTCCCTGGCAGCCAGCTTCGTAGGCGAGGATAGCATCCTCAGGGGTCGAGACACCCTTTAGAATGATGTGCACTGAAGAAGGATTATAAAAAATACAACCGAAGGCTGAAAAAGAACACCTACTGTTCGTGATGCTCCTGAACCACGGTATGTCTTTCCATGACAGACTGGGATCGATGAAGGACTAGAATCCCGAGTTAAGCACGAGACTTTTGGTGGGAGGCACTGGCTTACACTGATAGCACGGGCAACACCCTGGTCCTTCTTGACATCCTTCTGACCTTCCTGCACCTTGGCACCAGCGCCATCGTCGACGAATTTCATCCGCATGTCCTTCTCGCGGCGACCGAGCTGAGGAGCATCGACGGTGATGAAGAGCGCCTTCACACCGCGTTTCTCCGCGTGTTGGACGTATTTCTTCGTAATCTCCCTGTCTTTGTTAACATAGCTAAAGACACGATAGTATCAGCTGACTGTAGGACTTCAACGTGTTTAATTTCGTACAGTTGGAGGAAGAGGGGCTGGTTGGGCTGGGCAGCGTCCACTATTTCGTCGAAGGAGCACGAGGCCAATGTGGGGATCTGGAGCGCCGTGATTCCCTTGACAATAGGATATTACTGCATGCTTACCATTTGAATGACCCCGTGCTTAGCTGCGGCCCTTGTGAGGTTGAGTTCACCATCGGGGTGGCCGAGCTTGCCAAGAGCAGTGGCAGACTACCAAATGTGGTATAGCGATGAGCAAAAGGAGAAGGCGCCCTACGCTCTTACAATGTAAACGGGGAGAGAAGACTTGCAGCCCAAGATATTGGTCGACCAGTCGACGGATGTGACATCCCGGAGGATTCGGGGCCGGAACCAGACGCTGGATGGACTTCAGTCGAGAGATACGGAGCATGGTGGAGAGGCACACGGACCGTTGGAAGGCTGCGCGATTCTCGCGAATGGTTATCTCATCGTCAGATGCGGAAGAGTAGTATGCCCAGGCCTTCGGTGTGAGGACGGTCTTGGCGACAGACTGGCCAAGCGAAGGGGGGTCAGTTGCCCTGTAAACGTGCTGCAAATGAAAGGAACGAAGAGAAGCACGCGCCTCGAAGTCATGCAGATTGAGGATTTCATCGAGAGGCGGTCGGGCGTCCATCAAGGCTTGGCGGCGCCTGTCCTCCTCAGTAACCTCTTTTACGACTTTGACCACGGTGTTTGGGTCGATTGAGCCAATGCTATTTAGAAGTAGTATACCGTTAGATCAAGTACGTCCTTGATCCCCAAGGCGGCGTACTGCTTCTCGATTGGCAAATTGTCCAAAATGGCATTCGGTGGGTGAATGGGCTCGTATGCCTCGCTTTCATGGGACACCGGAATCAGTCGGGAACCTCTGAGATTCCTAAGCGTCGAACTTACGTCGCGTCCTTTCCGGCATACTTCAGAATAATCTTGCTTCCACCAGGATGTTCTAGGGGCACAGCCCGGAGATGATTTAAGTTACGGTCGGGTAATATTCATCTCTTACCGTCCAAGAACTCTGTAACGTCGTAGACCTTGCCTGGAGGGCGTTCATGAGGTCTGTGAGTACCCGTAGCCGAAGGCGAGAAATATGCATACTGTGAACAATGATCCAGCAGCTATCCAGGTCAGCGTGCTCAGCGACTGTGGAGGTCGGGATCAGGGAAGACATTTTCAAGGTAGAGGAGGTGACGGGGGACAAAACTCGTGGGTTGGAACATAGATATAGTTGTACGGGATTCAGGGAGGGCCGAACGCCTTTCGAAATGCCTCGGAGAGCGTGATGAAACCATGTCTCTTGGCCTCATTCTGTCGCTCCGTGGCCTATAGGAAACCCACCATTTTGTGGGGGTTCATCTGAAATCGGAGTTAGAGAGGATGGCAAGTAATCTGAGACTGAACGAGCAAGAATAGACTCAAGAAGAGCGCCTCTATGACGAACATCCCCTCTATCTCCGGAGAAATAACAGGAAGAGTGACAAAAGCCATCCGGTTGAGACGACGGAGATTGTGAGTGTCGTGTGGCCAATCAGCGTGTGCGGATTCGACCTTCACGCATTCTTGAACCCTCGAGGAATTTAGTTCGCGAAAAATAATCTGTAGCTAATTGCAGTGTGAAGCTGGAGCGAGTTGTGAATGTCGGACTACCATGCTGGGCGAGCGTTCGCGATGCGCGCCATCATTTCAAGTTCGTCACTGGGTTACATTTTATCTTGTCCATTTTTTGTGTTGATGTTAGGCTTCATTTTATGTCCAGGAGACTAGTAGTTAATATTTGCCTCCCTCATCGTCACCGAGGTCTCCGTTGTCGTAATGCGTCGTCGGTTGTCGCCAATCCACGCGCACCTGGGGTTTGATCGATGACCACCAGCGCTGCCGAGCTCATCGTCGACTCACGCGTCACAACTCACCATTGCTTGCGCTATCCACATTCTCGCGCCGCTAACGCCGTCGATGTCGTCCATTCATCATTGCGACCCACGCTTATCATCCCGCCACTGGGGCCGAAGTTGTCGTTTTCCCTCGTCGTCGGTCATTATCGTCTCCAGCGCCGCCAGGCCGAATTCCTTGCGTATACCGTCACTGCCTCAGATTCTATGACCAGAGCTTTCGCATGGGATAACTTTGCTGGGTGTTGGGTTTCTCGATTACTGGGAGGATTGTTAGTTTGAGGGAGTGCCACATTCCGCTTTGCGCCTTGCTCCGGCGCTCGAGGGCTGTTGGAATATCACGAAGATGTGCGAGCGTTCGCAATATCGCCACCACTTCGTATGTCACACTTTATGATGACGTTCAGCTCCCATGTATGAGTCCACTGCAGCAGATCTACCAAGACGTGGATCAATATCTTATCGGGTGTCGGACTCGCAAGTAGGATGACGGTGACTGCATTTCTCACGAATGTTAACACTAGGCATCCCTTGCAAGGAAGGAAATCTACGTAGCTGATTTCTCGAAATGCGTCGTCTAATCATTTTAACAGTGAATCTGCTGGTATGCTCCGCTGTTGAACGGGAGGAGTTCAGAGTGGAATGCGAGGGTTTTTAATTTCGACAAAATTCCCCTCGTATTCTTGAGATGATTTTCGGATAGGCGCAAGCTGTAGACCCTGACGGGCATCGGTGACTGGAGCGCCGTGGTGTAGGGGAAATTCAGACTGGGGTTATTGTCCTGGCCAAGGAAGAGAATCAGCGACGCCGCCAAGACAAGCGCCGATTGGCAGGCTATTGACCAGCAAAGCCAAATAAAGCAGAACTTCTCCCAGTGTTGTGCGCCACTCTGTCACCTTTCTCCACGCGGTGCTGCCGAATAACCACGTACTAATCTTCTCTGCCAAACTTTCAAGATACGCGTCATCTTCTACCCTCGTTCATGGTGCTTTCTCTGACACACTTGGACCAACATGAAGGGTCGCAATGTCGAACAACCCACTGGTCTTGGCCTAATGGTTCGTATTCTGGTCGAAAAGCAAGCCCCAATGACCCGTCTTCATGAAACGGTGCTAAGATTCAAACGTAAAAGTTGGATTCTTTCTTGGAACCACCGTCCAGTCCTCCCAGGATCGAAACTTCTACGTTCTCAAATCGAGACCGAGAACGACAGCGTCCTAGGCCGGAGCTTTCTGCAGAGAGGAACGCCAAGAGCTTAATACCAGGCAGATGAGCCGAGAATAGACTTTTCTGCTGATAGCAGGCTCAAGTGAGCTATCATGCCATCGGTCCTTGGCAAGAAATTAGATCCACAAGACTGTGCAGGCTTTCGGACCACACATTTGGGGCATGCAATTCCTGAAGCGAACTAGTGTCCGTGGAGGCCGATACATAACCTTCTTGCTATGGAGGTTCGTTTACCATTCGTCCAAAAACCTTGTTTTTGACCTTCACCGCCTCGCGTATAAAAGAGATGATCGTTTCTTGGGACTCCTCATTCAGCTCAATAAACTTGCATCTCCAAATTACCTGTCTTCCCCAGCTACTTCAGTTACTTTGCTTCGGCGTCCTCTTCATCCTCCTACAAGCAATGTCTCCTTCTTTCGACTACTTCGGCAAAGCTAGCAGTGTCCGCAACCTCCAAGAGGACAAAGTCAACAATTTCGTTGACCAACAAATTCGCCATCCCCCTCCAGCGCCGAAGACGGACGTTTACTATAACCCTCGCCTCGACCCCAAACGTTTCGTGGAGGGCCCATTGTCTCCCAACCCTGCGACTCGACTCCGCCAAATGCTTGTGCGTCCTGGAATTGTGGTGAGCACATTTGGATTTTTCACAGTTGCTTGTATTCTCAGCTGGCTTACTTTTAGGTCGCTCCCGGAATTTGCGATGGAATCAGCGCTCGTTGTGCTCTGGAAACAGGGTTCTCCTGCCTGTACCAAAGGTAGGCCAAATTAATTCCATCGTGCCTCCGGTTCTAACTAGACGTTGTTGAACAGCGGTGCAGCCACGACCGCGTCTCGTCTAGGCCAGCCAGATCTTGCCATTGCGACCCTCAACGATTTCACACAAGTATATGCGCCAAATTGTCTTCTCCTACACGCGCTGACTGTTAGCCTCTAGGCTGCTGAGATGGTCTGTAGTCTCGACTCTGTAACACCCGTCATTGCCGATGCAGACACTGGGTTAGCTATATATATGTTAGTTGCTTTCCAAATGCTGATCGCGACCCATAGATTCGGTGGTCCCACAATGGTGGCTCGCACGATAAAACAGTATGCGAGAGCAGGCGTAGCAGCATGCCACATCGAAGACCAAGTGCAAACGAAGCGCTGTGGACACTTGCTCGGCAAACAAGTTGTTTCGCGGGAGGAGTTCCTCACCCGCATTCGAGCCGCAGTTTTGGCCCGCGACTCTATTCCAGGAGGCTCCGATTTCGTAGGTCGACTCACTTTGCCTCCTTTTCTCGCGTATTCATGAGACTTGGCGCAGGTAATTATTGCCCGGACAGATTCTGCTCAAGTTCTGGGAATGGAAGAGGCAGTGTTGCGCCTTAGAATGGCAGCTAATGCTGGCGCAGATGTGTGCTTCATCGAGGGAGTACGAACCAAGGAACTGCTCGAATCGACCGTGGCTGCTCTCGCACCTAAACCAGTGAGTTGTCTAATAACCACTCGCTGTCAAGCTATTTTTCTTAGTCCTCCCTGCTCAGGTTCTCGTCAACGTTATTTCGGGTGGTTTGACTCCAGCCTTCACATGCAAAGAAGCGGAGGCAATGGGTGCCAAGATCATCAGTACGTCTCTGCCACCGTGTTGTAGTTCTCCTGGGACAATTACCTTACAATGCGTTCTCAGTTTTCTCGTTGGTCTCAAGCGTCGCAATGGTTCATGCTTGCCGAGCAGCGATGCAGGCCCTGAAGAAGACTGGAACAGACTTTTCCACATCTCAAGGCATGGACCCAAAGCAATTCTTCGAAGTCATGGGTCAGTTTCAGTGTCCTTTTCACCGGCTAGAGATTCATGGAACTATCTCTGTTAGGCTTGAATGAGGTTGTTGAATTCGATGCTCGAGCCGGTGGATCGGCCTTCCAAGTAATCTGATAGTCTTCGGGATCCCTCTGCGTTTGATCTTCTGGGTTTTAGGTCGTTTCTTATCGTGACTGAGGGTTCCTGGAGTATACATACCTTGCTATCTATCTTGATATCTGTGTTCTTCGCTCAACAGATGTATATTCTGTACGTTCTTTAATCGACACCTTGTCGAGGACCTTCGATGATCTGCTGAGTTCTGCCTTGCACATACCACCAACATCATTTCGATGTGTCAACACTCAGTAAAGGCCCGAATTGTCGTCCTGAAGACTGATGTACATACGCTGCCTGGACCTTTGGTCCCACTTCTTGTACCCCTTCTGCGCTTCTCCATGATGGCTTGCCGGCAATGGCCAGCTTGTAATTGGTTGGACGTCAGGTGGTTGCCCTCGGGTCCCCGGGCCGCGAACATATGGTGCCCCGCATTCCCGTCGCCTGCCCGGTTCAGCAATCTACCTCTTCTCCTTACCCCGCCATCACGCCAGCGACGCGTCTGGCCGCCGTTTCTACCAAACCTGTTACTTGCGCCCTCTGAAGAATGCCTCAGAAGAAGCTATCTGGCATTGAGGTTGCTCAGCACAACACTCGAGGAAGTTGTTGGATTATCGTCCATGGTGAGTTGCTATTCCTACGGTTTGCAGTCCCACTTCATCTGAAACGTAGGGAATGTATACGATGTAACGGATTTTCTTGATGGTAAGCCTTTTTTTACTGTTCAAGATCTAGTTTCTGAATGACTCAACAGACCACCCTGGTATGCAGTCCCTGTTCTGTACATAGGGTTAGAGCCTGAACGGCACATTCAGGCGGAAGCAAGATCATCTTGAAATATGCCGGAAAGGATGCCACGTACGTCCCGTATTTCTCTTGACCCATGACGCGTGCTGAACGTTGAAAAGCCAGGAATATGATCCCATTCACCCACCAGATGCAATTACAACGAATCTGCCTCCGGAGAAACAGTAAGGGCATGAGTCGTCTTGAAATACAATTTAAATTCTTATGTAGCATGTCTAGCTTGGGTCCTGTGGAGCCAGATACTGTTGAAAAGGTGGAAATTGTGATCACAGACGACGAGAAGGCTCGACAAGAGCGCATGTCGAACAGACCGCCTTTAGACGAAATTCTTAACCTGCACGATTTTGAGGTACATCTCTTGTTCGAATTGTTGAATATACCAAATTTTTATCCCATTTGCAGGCCATTGCGAAGCAAGTGATGACAGACAAGGCATGGGCCTACTATTCATCCGCTGCAGACGACGAAATCACGAACAGGGAAAATCACGCTGCATACCACAGGTTGGATTTCCGCATCCTTTCTCGTCAAATTTCTCATCTTTTCACAGAATATGGTTTCGTCCTAAAATCTTAATCGACGTAACCGAGGTCGACTGGTCAACAACGATCTTAGGCCACAAATCTAGTATGCCAATCTACATTGTAAGCGGCGGTATACACGCATCTCTCCTTAGCTGAATTACTCTTGCTAGACTGCAACCGCCCTTGGGAAGCTCGGACATCCAGATGGTGAACTGACTCTGACAAGAGCAGCGGCCAAAAACGGAGTCATACAGATGGTACACTGCATTTATTCTTCGCCTAGAATCGCCTCTTATTCCTATACCTTCTTCAGATACCCACACTCGCCTCTTGTTCATTCGATGAAATCGTCAGCGCTGCTGAGCCGGGACAAGTGCAATTCCTACAATTGTAAGCCATTGTCGCCTAATATGAAGGATGCCCTCTAACCCAGAACTAGATATGTGAACAAGGATAGAGCCATCACTCAAAGAATTGTGCAGCATGCGGAAGAGCAGGGGATCAAAGGCCTCTTCATCACAGTTGACGCACCTCAACTAGGACGCCGTGAAAAGGTTGGCCATTTTATTGCCAATGTGTTTTATCAGTAATTGAGCTTCCTTCAAGGACATGAGGATGAAGTTCACGGACGAGGATCCTTCAGAAGTCAAGCAAGCAGGGACCGGAAGCGTAGATCGATCTCAAGGAGCTGCCAGAGCCATCAGTGTACGTTTGCCGTCCTGTTCGTGTAATGTTGACAATGACAGGCTTTCAGTCCTTTATAGATCCTGGTTTGAAATGGGCGGACCTTGACTGGTTCAAGAGCATCACGAAGAGTAAATTCGCCTTTAGGACGCATATTTGCACTTGTCTAATTGTTATCCTCTAGTGCCACTCATCCTGAAGGGCGTGCAGAGATGGGAAGATGCACTAAAGGCGTACGATCTTGGGCTGGCTGGTGTTGTCCTCTCAAACCACGGCGGTCGTCAATTAGATTTCGCTCGGTCTGGAATTGAGGTCCTCGTCGAGGTGGTGTCAAAGTTCAAGGAGATACGCGGGATCACTTTCCCCAACGAAAAATTCCAGCTATTTGTGGATGGTGGTGTGCGGAGAGCCACAGATGTCCTAAAGGCAGTTGCTCTCGGCGCGACAGCAGGTACGACGTATAAAGCTCTACGTGGTTAATCTATCTGATCACGGAGCAGTTGGTATTGGACGTCCGTTTTTGTATGCCTTCTCGGCTTACGGCACGGAGGGTGCCGATAAAGCACTGAAGATATTGAATGTGCGCTCGTCTGAGGAGTTTCTGAACATTAAGTGCTGAGTCCACACTTTTAGGACGAATTTGAGATGAACATGCGACTGCTCGGCGCTCCAACAATCAAGGATGTGACTCCCGATATGGTTGATATCTCCAATATTAGTTCCCATATAGCAGCAATTCCCGGAGACAGGCTGTATGACAGCAATTGTAAACAACGTCTTCCTCTTCTTTCCGGTACAAGTGGCTTATTTTATTTTTTTGTTTCATTAGACGAGAGTATGCAACATGCCAAATTGAGGGAAGTCAAATCAAAGATGTGAAGCTACCCATTTGAGCTGGAGAAGTTTATACGCACTACATGCCAGAAGGTTGTGCAGATATCTATCTATGTGTACAATGAATGTCTAGACCACAATGAGACTAATCTCATACCACAAAACTACCGACTCCCAGCTAGCGACTGTACATGAAAGAGAAACAAGCAAACGATCATACAACGGCGAAGGCAGATCCACCAGCTTTAGCATCCAACTCGATGACTTCATTGAGACCCATCACCTCGAAGAAGGATTTGGGGTCCATTCCTTTAGCAGAGCTGAAATCGGTACCAGTCTTCTTCAAGGATCGCATGGCATCTCGGACGGCGTGGGCCATCGCAACACAGGAGACAAGGGAGAAGACTTGAACCAGGTTATCAAAAATGTAAACCTGCGCGTATGGACCAATCCAACTCACTGATGATCTTAGCACCCATCCTTTCAGCCTCCTTGTAGGTGAACGATGGAGTCAGTCCGCCAGAAATGACATTGACGAGGACCTGTGCAGACAGAGCGTGAGTCTGTTCTTGCGGAAGGCCATACGGGATGTCACTCACAGGCTTCGGAGCAAGTGCGGCCACGGTGGAGCGGAGGAGCTCCTCCGTCTTCACGCCCTCAATGAAGCAGACGTCGGCACCTGCATCGGCAGCAAGCTTGAGACGGGTGATGGCTTCTTCCATGCCTAGAACTTGAGCAGAGTCTGTCCGTCCAATAATAACCTATACACAACACGGAGTCAGGAATTGTCCTGAAGAAGAGCAGAGCAGCATACAAAGTCGGAGCCGCCTGGGACAGAGTCGCGCGCGATGACGGCGGCTCGGATGCGTGTAATGAACTCCTCACGCGACACCACCTGTTTGCCCATGAGGTGACCACACCGTTTGGTCTGAACCTGATCTTCGATGTGGAGGCCAGCAACTCCAGCACTGATGTACTGTCTCACAGTGCGGGCAACGTTCGCGGGGCCGCCGAACCTGAGAAAAGCACAATATGAGATGACAGGTTCTTTCTCCTTATGTCGGAATGGTCCATAAAGATGACGTACCCTGTGTCCGCGTCTGCGATGACAGGAACCGAAGGACTAATGCTGCAGACCATCTGCGCCGCTCCGACGAAGTCGTTCATAGTCGCAATGGCAAGGTCAGGGTGGCCCAGACGAGAGGCAGTGGTGGCAGCTCCACTGAAAAAGACATCCTTCAGACTGTGACCAAAGAAAAAAGAAAATCCAGGCAGCGCATACCTTTGGTACACGCAGTCGAAACCAGCTTCGAGGGCACATCTTGCGCTAATGCCGTCGCAGATTCCAGGAGCAACGACGATACCTGGCCTGGCCAACATTTGGCGGAGGCGGGTTGCAGCATTTGGAGACAAAGGGCCTTCGAGGTAGTTTTTAGAGTCAAGACGGGGGTTGCTGTAGTTGCCGTTGTGGAGGTAGGATTCTGGAGATCCTGGAGCTGGAGCAGGAGAAGCAGGGACCTCAGTGGCGCCGTTGGTGGTACCGTTGGTAACACCGTTGGAGTAGTAGTCAAGGCCCGGCATTGCGAACGAAGAAAAATTGGTTGGGTGGGTGTTTTCTAGAGTGGGTGTGAATGCTAGTCGCAGTGAAGTTCACGATAAAGCTGGGGTCTTTTAAAGCTAGAAGAAAAATACAATCTCTTGTCTTTGGTTCACATGCTCTCTTGCTGAGAACTCGAAAACAGGGTTCCAATTTCAGAGGGACCGAGCCAGCACCCAAAGCGACATTACACGCGAGCTCGCCAATAAGTGAATTCATCTCCACAGACACGCACCAGGAAAAAGGATGACCAAATGGAGTTAAAATAATCCCGGACGAGAAATGAGTTGGGCAGATATTTGCACCGCTCAAATCGGGGCCTACTTTGCATAGAATATTTGAGCCGTCCATAAGTGATATTCCCCGGCCAACTTGCTACTCTTGCTCGGGACCTTTGGCAATACCCAGTGAAGCCCAACTCCGGTTGACTAGGATATGGAAGACCGGCCGTACCATCACACGATCTGGCGAGACAATGTGACTGAGATGGCATTGCAGTAGGCCTTGAATATTTCAGCCATGCTCGAGGAGCTCCGTGTGGGCGTCTTTGTCCAATTGAGGAAATTTTAGCGAGAAACGACCAAAGCTTCGATTTTCAGGGTGGTCGGGCGCTCAATGCGGAGGTAAAGCGGCAAACGGACCTACAACGCAGTGCGCAGCACGAAACCTCCAGTCAAAGGGAATGTTCCAGTGCTGGACCGACGTTGGGGAAACGTCAAGGGGATGAGGTCATTATTGAGGTGAGAGACGGGTTCTCACAAGTGAAAAGAGCGACGAGGCGATCGTAGCGGGGCGGCGGGGCTGGAATCGTCAAGTTTGAGGTCCAGAGACGGAGGCAATGCCACGAATCAGAATGTCCAGTCGGCGAGAATTTCTGCCATTCACTATCCCAGGATCGTCTCTGATTTGTTAAGTCCGCGGAGCATCGAACAAGGTCGCCAACAAACTTTGGTGGTTGGCTGCTCACCCTGTGCTTTTTCTCAAGCTCAATTTTACTGAGACCGCAGGAATCAAAGAGACATTTGATTTGGTTTTGATTAGAATTCGCTGCCAGTAAATTTGGAGTGTTGCATGGGCGACGTATAGGAGAGAAGCGTGGTTGTCGGAAAACTTGGACAGGTTTGACCTAGAAAACATGCATATATGTTGGGGTGTGTCGATGATGATGAGCAGACTTACCCACAGGTACGACGAGCTATTCTCACTTCAGTACTGGACCTCCATCGTCCGTCGTGGAGAGATAGTACCAAACTGTCGGGCCAATATTCCATGAAATCAGAAGCATCAAGGTGCAAGACACCAGATGTAAAGTTTCGTATTGGAAAAATACAAGTAGGGATGCGAGAATGAGGTGGGGTTATTCCGAAAGCCTGTCTAAATCTAGTGAGATCATAGGAAATTTGCCTTCAACAGCAAACCGACAAAGTGGAGAGTACATTATTGCAAGAGTTCCTCATGAACATTAAAATAACTGTTATGTCTCCATCATGAGCCATTCCTGTCACGCTAAGGAAGTAGTGAACTCACCGAATGACATGACCCACTTGGTGGCAAGTGCCTACTCCATTTTCGCCCCATTTCACGATCCAGCGGCCCATGACATTTCCGTTTGCATCAGCAGTCTCTGCCACGGTCTCTTCTTGTCCGTCCGCGGGATGTAGATTTGTTCCAACAGCGTGAGTGCGGATGGGGGTGAGAGCAATCTTCTCGGCCAGTTCCCATTTTGCTAACGGTCTTCGAGTTTCGATCAAGAAAGACGGGTCATACACCTGGCTGTCATCTCAGTGTCAATGGTTCGGGCGAAGAAATGCGGCTTTCTCACCTTAGTTATCCGGGGTTGAAGAGTAAGCGAAAGTGTCGTCATTTCCAACTCTTCCGCAGTACCACTGCCGTCTGGACGGAAGCGGCGCAGAGTCGTCACATATGGCTTTGCGCACCACGACACAAGAGCTGTGCTCAGCCCTGACGTTCCAAGCGCGATGGACGCCAACGCCAGGCGGGCACTCATCGGAAGGTTTGATTCGATGATGAAGAGGAAAGGTGATAAGGTTGTGGAGAGTCCAAGAGATGCCAGGGAGAAGATTTTGAGCCGACGGAATGGTGTCGCCAACGGCCCATGATAGACATAGCTATCTTCTGTGGCATGGTGTTCGACAGACTTGGAACTGATAGATGGTTCTGCGGCCAGAGAATTGGGTCTGGAAGAAGATACAGAGAGACATCGTGTCAAAGGCGGACGCCTTATTAGAAAATGGCGGATTGAAGTTGAAAACAGCAACTGCGGGGTAAGCACATGAAGGCAAGGAGTCGGTCTTGTCACCGTACGTCTAAGGACCACTTGCATTGGCGCTCTCGATGTGAAGGTTGTATGGTAGTCAGAGTCAAGCCGGCATGGAGTATCGACGCGCCCAGGACGCGGCAGGAATTTCCGCATTAGTCGACCCTGCCACTTGCTCTAAACTCTCATTACTTCCTTTGCACTGTTATTGTTTCTTGTCAATGGAACCACCTATCTACTATTCGAAGGCCGAATTCATAGAAACAGTAAGGAGCGCATGTCTTTATCTTGGCACATCTAACAAAGGGTTTCCATAGGACACAGGAAATAAGGTGTCGCGTCGAGCCACTATTGCCGGCCCACAGAACATCATTCTCGGAGGAAAGACTATCATCTCTAGTGGCGCTATCATCCGCGGCGATCTACGACGGACAAATCCTGGTCATGCAGTCGTTATCTCACTTGGTCGATACTGCCTTGTTGGTGAGAACTGTGTCATGAGGTAGGCGTCTATGTGCCTGATCAGATGCTACCATGAGCTGATACTTTATGGTTTAGACCGCCATATAAGACGTATCGGGGCAACTTCAACTACTATCCTATGAAAATTGGCGATCATGTCCACATTGGAGCAAACAGTGTTGTAGAGGCAGCCATCATCGGGAACCATGTCGAGATCGGAAAGAACTGTGTCGTTGTGCGTATGTGCCCCGCCGCCCATTGCTCGTCACTGACTCTTCAACCAGGGAAAGTTCACGACTATCAAGGACTGTGCTAAGATTGCAGACAACACGATAATTCCACCCAACACTGTCATTCCTGCTTTGTCCCTTTTTGCTGGATCACCTGGTAAGCCTTCCAAAGTATCAACTCCAATAAATATCGAAAGCCATCTTCGAAGGTCGTTTTGTTGAGGACCTCCCGGAATCTACTCAAGAGATGGTCGAATCACAAACGAAGCAATATTATACGCGCTTTCAACCATTCGACCGGTAGCATGAGGTCGCAGCATTGTGATGAGACATGCCCCTCGATAGTCAGTTGGTTTAACACCAAAGCCTCTCAAACCTGACCGTTGCCTCGTAGGCAACAATATCTTGTTTTATATACCCCAGTTCAATGCGGACAGGGATACCACCGTGCCAGCAGCCAACAACTTATCCAACACGGAAACGGCTATACAATAGTCGATGAGGCAATTTGGTGTCAATTGGAAGATATCGTACACATTTATCATTTCTAGACTCTGTGTAGGGATGGAGGCACCGGAAAGATTGAAATACGTTATGGCAATCAGAAGACGGTGGTGGACCCCTCAAGCGAAGGGAATAGCAAAGAGGGAGCCCCTTGTGTCGAGGAGAGTGATGACGCCGCGATGGTCATCAAGGGACAGTCCGTGTACCAGGGACAAATTTATGAATGGAGGCAGATTAATGACATGGAGAGACGGTGTTTTTGTATCATAGTCGAAATTGACGAGATATAGGATTGGCTGGTCCTCATTATTGTTGATTACTAACAAGACTTTCCGGCCAGAGTGAGGAAGGAGCATGAGCTGCCACGAGGAGTCGCTGGAATCTTGCAGGCATCCAGGAATTGCAACGGGATCATGAGCCTCGACACGGAAGCAAGGTTGGCCAGCGGCAGTCATCTCGTCTTCTGTCTGCGTGTCCCGTTTTACTGAGGTCCAAAAGACAATCTCGATACTCTGCCGCGACACATCACGGCTCAGCTCTTCGTTGATCAGTTGCAATGACACAGCAGGAACCCCGTAGAACGAGTCTGCCGATAAAACACCTTCTGGGACGATTGTGCGTTCGTCGGGACGTGGCAGAGACTTTCCACCACGGAGCGGCGGGCATTTCAATGTCACGCGTTCTGGGCAGTTGGTATTGCCGTTGTGCGGGAGGTGCTTTTTGAGGCAGGTGTAAACGGTCGAATCGTCGTCGAACTCCGTCACAATAGATAAACACCCGTCGACCATAGTTGTCCCAGACTGCCCCTCGAATGGGAAGTCCTGAAGAGAAAAGCCGGTCGGTATCGAGGAACGGAAAGTCAAAAGAAAGGCTCACATCTCTAGCAATATCCGTCTTAATGTACGCCCTTCGTCCAGTCGAGATATTCAGAGCAATGATGTCTATCGTCTCGTCATCAAGCATGATTCCTGGGTTGCACCGGAGGACACCGACAACTTCTGGCGACATGAAGACGGCCCAATGGTACATCTCAGCTTCGAAGATGTGCTGCATAGCCAGCTTTATGGAGACCTCATCCTGCCCGTATTCAAGGCAAACGATGACAAGTTTGTTGTTACTTCTCAGAGTACAATGGTCATCAACATCTACCGAATGATAGAACAAAGTACTCACTCGTTTTCTGGTGTCTCCGATGTCAGAAGTCCCATCGAAAACTTGCCAGGAAGGTCTTGACCAGGAGACACGTCCAGTATCTTCTTCGCTACGTAGACTGGAGGCGCCACCTGCCTTGCCGCTCCTATATCCCAAGCCTCGACAGTGCCTCGCGTCCTCGAATGGAATAGGTACAGTTCGGTCCCCGGGACCTGGAAGATAACATCGAGGAGCGGCAACCCCAACGTAAAGGTTTTTATCGGTCCAATAATTCGGGGTTCACGGCGGGCCCAGTTGCGCCGGAGACGCAGAGTGTGCAAGGTGATTGTCTTCAAACCCGGGACGTCGTGGGCGGTTAGATCTTCGTTGAAAGTACAGGCTATGGGATCAACGTGACGTGCATTTTCCAAGGCTCCGATCCAAAGGCTGCGATGCGTAGAAGATATCTCACGCAGCGCCCGAGAGACCTAACGAGTCCGCATGGTGAAAGGGATAGCGGTAGGGGGACGGGGAACTGAACACACCGTTGCAAAAGCCGCGACATCAGCGAGGTCACAAAACGAGATGATGTACAAAAGGATGTCAGCCGGAAGTTGGTCTAATCCAACCATGATGACGGTGTATTTGAGAGTGAAGACAGCCCAACAGACGGAAGGTCACAGCAGTTGATCGTCGGAGTCAAGGATGTGGGCACTGATGTCGCCATTTTGCAGGTTTCACAAAAGAATATCCCAAAGCAATGCAATGAAGTGTAGTGATGTAATTACAATGCAGCAATATTAAGAGGATGAGAGGGGGTGAGCGTAACACATACGATAGCTAATAGTATATACCTAGGACGGATGCAATACTTTTGACGATACAAGTCTAAGTAAGAAAACGAGAGGACGTCCGAGGCAAGCCCGAGTAGAACGCTTCAACTAAGGCATGACCGGACAAGGATGTCCGGAGACACAAATGCTGCGGACATGGTGGAGATACGAGACGAAGAGCACGATAGCTGATTTAATCCTTCTTCTCCTCCTTGTTCTCCGAAGGTTGCTCAGATGAAGACGAGTTCTCCGCAGCACGCTTCTCATAGACCTTCTGGAAGAGGCCTAGAGAGGCTGTTTGTGTCTCGCTGATCTTCTCTCGGATGGCGTCGGCGGTGATGGAGCTGTCGCCAACTTGTCCCTTGGCGGCGAGTTCACGAAGTTCACCGAGAAGCTTCGTCACCTTGTCCTTCTCCGCAGCGTCGAGTTGGTCCTTAAACTCGTTCATGGCCTTCTCGGTGTCGGCGCAGACAGAGTCAGCCTTGTTGGCCTCCTCAATCAGGCCACGGCGAGCCTTGTCAGCTTCAGCATACTGTTCAGCGTCGGAAACCATCTTCTCAATATCCTTGTCGCTGAGACCAGATGAAGAGGCGATGGTCATGGACTGGTCCTTGCCGGTAGCTTTGTCCTTGGCGGAAACGTTGACGATACCATCTACGATGACTGTTTTAACCGAAATGATTCAGACATCTCAGATAATAACTCACCAGCATCAATGTCAAACGTGATCTCGATTTGAGGCACGCCTTTGGGGGCGGGAGGGATACCGACCAGGTTGAAGTTACCAAGGAGTTTGTTGTCGCGGACGAGCTCACGTTCACCCTGGTAGATCTTCACCTCAATGGCCGTCTGGCCGTCTGCGGCGGTCGAGAACACTTGTGACTTCTTCGTTGGGATGGTGGTGTTACGGTTGATGAGCTTGGTCATGATGCCACCTAGCGTCTCAATGCCTATCGAAGAGAAAATGTAAGAAAATGAAAGGCCTCCTCAAAGCAAGGACGTACCCAATGACAAAGGAGTGACATCAAGCAGGAGAATGTCGGTTACGTTGCCCGCAAGCACACCTCCTTGGATAGCAGCACCGATGGCGACAGCCTCATCGGGGTTGACACCCTTGCTGGGCTCACGACCAAAGATGCTCTTGACAGTCTCGCCAACCTTCGGCATACGCGTCATACCACCGACTAGGATGACTTCGTTGATCTCGCTAGCCTTGACGCCAGCATCGCTGAGAGCCTTCTTGCAAGGATCGATAGTCCGTTGAACGAGGGGGTTGACGAGGGATTCGAACTGAGAACGCATCAATTTGAGATTGATATGCTTGGGTCCTGAAGCGTCCGCCGTAATGAAAGGCAAGTTGGCTTCCGTCTGAGTAGTGGAGGACAACTCAATCTTAGCTTTCTCAGCGGCCTCACGAACGCGTTGAATTGCCATGCGGTCACCCTTTAGATCACTGGAGGTATCCTTCTTGAACTCGTTCAGGATGTGCTCGACCAACACAATGTCGAAGTCTTCACCACCGAGATGAGTATCGCCATTCGTAGACTTGACTTCGAAAACACCCTTCTGCATCTCGAGGATGGAGATATCGAAAGTTCCACCGCCCAAATCGTACACGGCAATGACAGAGTTGTCGGCACGATCTAGACCGTAGGCAAGAGCGGCAGCAGTGGGTTCGTTAATGACACGAAGGACGTCGAGGCCAGCAATCTGCCCAGCATCTTTCGTTGCTTGCCGCTGCGCGTCATTGAAGTACGCAGGAACTGTGACGACAGCATGGCTATAGGGTGAGGTTAAGCAGTGCCGCATTATAAAAAACGAGGTTCGACTTACTTCACTTTCTTGTTCAAGAATTGCTCAGCAGTCTCCTTCATCTTCACGAGAACCATAGATGATAGCTCTTCCGCCGACTGCGGGAATAATGAGAACGAGGCTCAATAAAGAATGTCAGGACTCACAAAAGTTTGCTTCTTGTCACCATTATCAACCTGCACAGCGGGTCTTCCGTCGGCGGTGGGGGTGAGATGGAAAGGCCTTGATATTTGCAAGTGATGAGCTGTCATTGGCCCGGAAGGAAGCGTGAGAAAACGGCGCACCAGTGACGCATATCCTCCTGGACCTCCTTGTCCTTAAACTGACGACCAATTAGGCGCTTGAAGGCGAAGACGGTGTTGGCAGAGTTGACTACTGCCTGGCGCTTGGCAGGCAGACCGACGAGTCGCTCGCCGTGCTTCGTGAACGCGACGACCGACGGTGTTGTTCGTGCACCCTCCGCGTTCTCGATGACGCGGGCACTCTTGCCCTCCATAACCGCAACACATGAGTTGGTGGTACCCAAGTCAATACCGATGACGGGTCCTACACGGAATAGATAAGCTTCGCCAGGTCAGACACGTCGCAAATACGTACCATTGACTTTTGAGTTCATGTTCCGCACAATCATGGTGCGATTCAGGCCCTAGAGCGAGGAGTCAGGACATCTGCGCGTGCGTAGCACCGACAATAGTAGACTTACAGCGTATTGGCTGGCCCGAGAGACGGAGGCGCGAGCAGAACGAGCAGCGGAGAACATGGTGGTCGAGGAGGAAGAAGTCGTAGTGCCCAAAATTTTATGGTTGCGCGTATTGAGCCGAGCGGCTTTTGCCGAGCCTTCCAGAACAGTCCACGTAACGGAAGAAAAAAATAGAGCGTGAGAACAGACAAGGGTCAGCTAACTGCCCTGCCGAGTCTCCCGGTATTTAGTAATACGCGTGATAAGTACAAAATAGGAATACGTGGAGTTAACTTTGAGCCAGGTGCCGAACAGACCTCAAGTTGATCCTCAGTGATGAGTGTTAACGGCTTCTGTCTCCTCCTTTGTCGAAAAATAGACGCTCACCCATGAACATTGAAAGTGGTTCTTTATTGATTTACGAGGATCATTTCGTACATGACCGTACCACCCATGAACATTCATGAACGACAAAGTTGCTCACACCGACTGTGGGAATTGGCAAGTGCCGAGATGTTCGCACCCTCCGGTCGCGGGGTAGCCGATTTCCGAAAACATGAATTACTTCAAGAACAGCCATCGCGGGGAACGCAGTTACTCCCGTCCACCGCTTTTGCGCGCTACCTCCTGCCTTCCGACTCCCTTGAAGCATGGCCCCAGCACCCAAAATCGGTGGCGAATACGGGGAAGTTCGCGCCTCCATCGATGTCGACAACTTGAATGCCTACCTAGGCAAATACACCCCTGGCATCAAGACTCCAGTAAATGTCAAGCAGTTCAAGGTATGGGATCGCTTCAGTTAGACGTTCTGGATGCTTATTCCGTGTCTGAAGTTTGGTCAGGTATGCCCAATGTGTTTAAACACAACCATTGAGTAACATCGGTTTGAAATTGAACCCCTAGTCAAATCCGACCTACTTCCTAACTGATGCAAAGTGAGCGCATCCTCAACTCGTTATCCAGTTCCATCTCATGGTGTTATTCTCAGTGGCACCCGTTTCGTCCTTCGCAAAAAGCCTGCTGGGCAACTCCTCTCTCAAACCGCACACCAAGTCGAGCGAGAATACACGATGCTTGCTGCCCTCCATAAGCACAACCTCAACCCCTCAACCCCTCCTGAGCGAAAGATCCCCGTACCACAACCTGTCATTCTCTGTGAAGACAAATCAGTGGTTGGCACCCCGTTTTACATTATGGAGTTTCTAGACGGTCGTATCTTCACTGATACGAGAATGTTGGAGGTCTCTCCTCAAGACCGACGCGAATGGTACGTGTGCTTGTTGCATGTCATGTCGTTCGAGGCGAAATAAAACTGTCCGGACAGCTGGATCTCGGCCATTCGCGCCCTCGCTGCTCTCGGCTCCGTCTCACCAAATGAGATTGGTCTATCAAACTTCGGCCCCTCTACTCCCTACTTCCCTCGTCAAATCAAGTCTCTTTCACGTGTCTCGAGCGCACAAGCGCAAGCAGTCGATGTAGAGACAAATAAGAAAACTGGCGACATTCCGTTTTTCAACGAGATGATTGCATGGTACAAGAAGAACCTGCCCGACGAGTCGTTGACTGGCCTTCGCATTGTCCATGGAGACTACAAGCTCGACAACCTCATTTTCCACCCCACCGAGAACCGAGTAATTGGGATCCTCGACTGGGAGCTGTGCACTCTCGGAAGTCCTGTGGGTTGCAAGCGCTCGTGTTTCACTTTCTCAGCTGACCAGTAATATCCAGCTGGCGGACCTAGGAAATTTAACGCAACCTTGGGCGATCGATATGAAAGACCTTCCTTCAGATGGCCTAATGCCTTTCAGAGGTTTCAAGAACACCACACTTGACGTTCCGATACCCCTGGAAGACCTCGAGAAAGAGTACTGTCGTCTCTCTGGCTTGCCATACCCCATCCCAAGCATTGTTTTTGTTCGCAGCTGGATGCTGTTCAGGGTACGCATTACACACTTCTCCAAATTATAATTTTTGCTCATTTCTGCTTGGTAGTTGGCCGTCATTTCTCAGGGTATTGCTGCCCGCTACGCCAGGCGTCAAGCCAGCTCCGAGATAGCCTACCTGCACGTTGCAGGTTTCCCCATCGTCGGTGCACTAGCGAGAAAAGTTTTGGAGGAGGCTGGCGTTAAGATCGGTCCTTCATCCAAACTTTGAAGGTCGGACGACCTTTGCTCTGTAAACTGGGGCTACAACAATTAATTCCTGTACACCGTGGTACGAAACATCAACTAGGAAATCTATCTTGTAAATTACCCAAAGGCTACATAAGTTATATATGTATTCCGCAACAACATGGCGCCCAGTCCAATCCGACCATTGAGAATAAATAACGAGTGGTCAACAATGCTTGTTGTAATATCAATGAGAGTGAATCATTTTCGTTTTATACTCTCGCTTCCTGTTCGGTGCGTGGCCACAGATGGCGCCCAAAGATTGACCTCCTTTTCTGCAGCTTCGGTCTCTCCTCCGCCAATAAAGAAGCAGCATCACCGTTAACCTCAACCTCCGAGCCGTTACGCGACTTATGGAGAACATGGCTATCTTTTCCAGGAGTAGCTGTCAGGAAGTTGATGACGACTGACCACAGGTTGTTCCCGCTGAAGGTCTGGTCCTCGCCGACAATCGCCTGGTCAGCAACCGCAGCCAACTTCCTCGCCTCTTCTGTGTCCCTCCTCGAGACAATACTGCTGGGCGGCGGGCATTCCGAGTCGTCCAGGGCCCAAGCCCAAGCCCAACCAGGAGAAGTGATCACATTCTCCTTGATCTCCTTCTTGGAAGAGCCGTTCGCTGCAGCCTTGCCATCCCGAGTTATCGTCGCCTTGAGGATGCTTAAGCGCTTGATCGTGTCTTCCTTAGCACGCTCGAGATTATGCCGACGATGTTTTTCGATAGTCTTCGTCGTGTGCACGAACTTCCTGTCGAAGAGAGCTCGGTCGCGGAGGTACCGCCGCATCGTCGTTTCGGATAGCTTCCCGATTCTATCTTGAGGCAGCTGGAAAGCATCCAGCTCACTCTCCGGTTCGAGAGGCCGGATGACGCCTGCTGTCGAGACTCGCTCTCGTATCATCCGACAATCCCAGGACGACCGGTTCTGATGAGATAATCAGACAACGGAAGGATTGCAAGATGAAAGACTTACAGTGATGTCAGCGTAGACGACAAGCTCTCCCGCCTCACGCTCTCCGACAGGCTCCTCAGGAGGCAAAGATGCCATCTGGAACCTCGGTCCTCCAACATCACTCGACCCAATCGACGTCTGGCGAGTTTGGTCGTCCTTCTCCTTCTCATCCATCTTCTCGGGTTCGGCCTTCACCTCCAACTTTGCCTCAGGAGTGATCGCAGGAGCCAGTGTGGGTGCTGGAGAGGCAGATTCTTCCTGTATTGAAGGACCAGGAGATGGGGTGCGTCTGAGTACGCTTCCAGCTCGAGCCAGGCGTGCAGAAAGCTGCCGTCGCAGAGACGGCCGACGACTGAGAGATACTTGAGGCTCTGCTTCAACAGGCGGTGGAGGCGACTCGGTCACGGTAATGGTGGGCTCCGGGGTCGCAGTTACCGGTGACGGTGGTGCAGCTGCCTCCAGCCGCGATTTGCTGAACCCAGCAAATAATGACGATCGACGGCTGATGGAATGCGTTCTCTGCACAGTCGGGGTCGATCGCCCGCCCTTCGTCATTGGAATTGGCAGAGGTGTCATCTCCGTAACGAATTTGATGAAACTAGCAATTCCTCGGAAGCAGAACTTGGCAGGCGTGGTGAAGGAAAACAGAACAGGAAGGATATGTGGCGTGCCATCGTAGACTTGCAGATGGACCGGTGTTGGTTTGGGATAGCGTTCTTCGATGCCCACCAGAGAAGGATACAGTTGTCGGGCATCTTCCGTGATTGGGTACTTTTCAGGGTATGCAGCCTTGTGCGCACTGTAGATCGATGTCAGCTACGATGAATTCAGGATATCAATAGACGCACGCATAAACGATCTCATCTTTGAGGACTTCCTTATCACCAGCAATGAAAAGAAGTGGAGGTAGTCCACCGAGGTATGATGTAACAGGGCTGATAAGTGGATGGGCCAAGAGACTGTTGACAGTATAAAAGTGAAGTTGTTCATTGGCTTCGAGGACTTCGCCGGTTTCTGTATGAACGATGATTTTCTCCGGGTCAACAGGTGCCGTGTCGGGAATGGGTGTGTCTAACTCCGCGAGATGTGGGGTATTGTGGTCAGAAATGACAGTGGACAGTTGGTTAAAAATCTTGGAATCCTCCATCTTGAACGCTTGCCGTATGCGAAAACGAAGGGATGCATGCACGCGAGTGGACACCTCTGGTGATGGTGGGGGCCAAAGGATACTTGGTTTGTGGAATGAGAGGCCAGATTCAGGTATGACATCCTAAAATCCTGTCAAAGTGGATAAATGGACCAGATAGAATGAGACGCACGGTCTTCGTGTTGATATGCACGCTTGGGAACGAGTGCGTAAGGTCACACCACGGGGAAATGAGCACTCCACCTGCTGGCAAAGGCAGGCCGCTATCTCGTATGACTTGCAGAAGGGCAAGAGATAGACCACCTCCAGCAGAATCTCCTGCCACGACTATATGCTCGGGTTTTACGGCGATATGGTCTGCACCAGCTGGTGGTCTGATGAGGAAGAGGTCTGCAAAATGTATGAAATCAAATTAAGGGAAAGCAAGTGAACCGCACAAGCTTACATGCCGCTACTGCATCTTGCAGAGCGCACGGGAAGGGATATTGTGGCGCAAGGCGGTAGTTTATAGCTTCCATGCAACAGGGGATTAGCTTCCTTATAGAGCAACAAATTGAGTAGACGTACCGAAAACTCGGCCGTTAATTTTGCGTGCGTGTCTTTGGATACTATACCTGAATACCGGCTATGTTGTGAAAGCTATGCTGGATTGTATGAATGCACTCACCTTTCCTGATCTACACTGCCGAAATAATATCCCCCTATACAGATACGATGAGTCAACTACGCAGACGAGCATCGAGGTCGCTCACCTCCGTGCAGGTATAAAATGCATCGCATAGCGTCCATGTCTTTGTTGTAGACCCCTTCATCTTGCGTAGGAGCGTCCGCAGACGATCCAGCAGACGATGGTGGGACTGGAGGTACGGGCAATCCATCCTTTTTGCGTTCCTTCTGCATCTTGTGTCTGCGTTTTGCTTCTTGCCAGTCCTTCTTGGCGGTGATCCACTGAGCGTCAACACTGCAGCCGAGATAAGCCTCGAGATTCTCTGGGAGTAGTCGACAATTTAGGCTCACCCATTTATCCCTCTAACTTGCCACCATTTCGTCCCTCCGACGAGCCGTCGGGCGGCTTCTTCGCCTCCCAGGGCCTTGATTAGACGGGTTGAAGCTTCTTCGCAACATGTCATTGGCACAACGGTACGGATTACGTGCACCCATGGCGGAGATGGTGTCCGTGTGTTAGAAAAACCTGTTGGAAATGAGGGGCGCCAAAAGCACGAGACACCGGTCGGTACGCACCCTGCAGTTCTTCCACCGTATGGCTCGAGGAATCGTCAATAATCCATAACCCACGCCTAGAGGACAATGTCAAACACTCACAAAGTGGATGCGTGCAAGAAAGCCTGCGGAAAACCCAAGAAGACTCGGAACGGATAAATAAGCACACGAGACAGATAACGTACCTTCACAATGTTGAATGCTTCATCATACAAAACATCGTCCTCCTTCAGCCGGGCTCCAGAATCATTTCTTCTCTCCGCGTCCTTCCTTAGGCGATCGAAGAAATGCCTCACAAGAACTTCAAGCATGACCGGTCCGACCTTCAGGCTGACCTCTCGTGTCAGTGCATTAGCGAGCATGTTGAGGGCCCTAGTGCGATGTAGTGAGTGTCCGGATGAGAGGCGGGATGCTGTATGTCATAAAGCGAAATAACTGCGGTCCAAGCACATTCAGGACGTGGTGAGCTACGAGCGTGATGGAACAATCATGCTGACCATGGAGCTTTCACCCCGGGCTCTCAATTGCCAATTTCCTAAAAGCGCGGTGATGATCAACCTGTGCACGGCCCACTGTCACTTTCTCGACCCCAAGGACCGGAATTTCAGCGCTCAGCATGCAATTGCAACGCTTCATCTGTTTCTGAATTTACTGAATTTTTTTTTGAATTTCTGAGTAGCGGAAAATGCCGTGGACAAGAATTTCCGAAATCCCTGTACTCTAAATGCAAGCGCCAGATGACGTCTTAGCACCCCAAACCGCGACTTGCTTTCCTCTCCATCCTGCAATCTCTCCTCCTCCTCAGGTCCTGTTATCGTCGAACCAGTGATCATCCACGTTTTTGTCCTAAGGTACACCGTCGTTTTCATCATTCACCGTATGATTATCCCATGACTGTGGCAGCGGCTAGCGCTCACCAGCGATCATGACGTCTTCGAACTACGGTTTTCTCCACAACGAAAGCCTGCCCTCTGAGGACGCCATCGTAGCCCATTGCCGACAGGTCGGCTTTAAAGTCACCGGAGCTCCCCTCCTCGATGCTTCTTACAAGGCAGTTATCGCCTGGGTCAAGTTTGGTCCTAACGTTACCGTCCACGAGGCTCGGACGCAGGATTACGCCGCCAATGCGCTCGCCAGCACTCCAGACTCTGACGTGCGAGTCCCTCGAGTCTTCCACGCTTTCACGAGAGAGCACCCTGCGTGCACAATCGGCTTCATTGTCATGCAGCATATTGAGGGTGCGGATTGCGACTTAGGCGATGTTGACCTCGTGGCGAAAGCTGTTCAAAAGTTGATCGGCGTACGAGCACCGAGTCTTACACTTGGACACGTCGGCGATAAGTCGGTCGAAGACTTGGATGCTCATATCAACAACGTGAGTGCTGATCTGCGTTTCAAGCGGGCTTTGATGATACAGAGCCATTGCAGATCCTTAAGCAAAAGAACGACCCGCGGCGTGTCGACATCGTGGCCGACGCGGAAAGCGGTCTCTATCTGTGCCCCTGCGATGCCCAACCAGGGAATTTCAGAAAGTGTAGGAATGGCCAATTATTCGCCCTTGACTTTCGTGCGACGTGCTTCATGCCCCCTTCCTTTGTCGGGGTCGCGATGAAGAAGTCTCAAGATCCCTTTTGCCGAGAGCTCGCCAAGAAAATCACGTATGTATAATCAATCGGGCGAGGTATCGGCTATGGTCCCCGCCTCTAACTATCTTGTTCAGTTCGGTCAGAAAGCAGTCGGTAAGTGCGACTTTTCATTTTTGTTCTCCTACCTGGACTGATTTTGTCTGTGTGCAGCGTTCCCGCCGGGTCTCAAACCCGCAAGGAACTGACGTGTTGCTCTACGATGCAGCTTGCCTTACTACTTAATTTGATTAGTTAGGTAGATTTGCTTTTCAACGGCGGGTAGAGAGGGGTTGACTTGCAAATGTCTGTCTCACTCTTGCATCCGTCTTTTTCTCATCCTCCCTCACCTCTCTGTAGATGGCGTCAGAGCCTCAGGGTCCGGCCGTGGATGCATTATCTCAGCAATCTCCAACTCCTACGTTACCACCATCGGCGCAGCCCGTGCGACAAGAAGTCGTCGAGCTGATCCGAATCTCAGCGCTTTCACCTATTCAATTAATCCCGAGCGAAAAGTATGATATTTTCCTTCGGTGTGCATATCCACATCCGAATCTGGACAGTACTTCCTTGTTTAATACTGCATTGAAACTTTCCCTACCCCCTGGCCCTCACGGAGGTCGAGGGTTGAACGAGTGAGTGGCGTGTCTTCCGCGATCGAATTCGTGCTAATTCCACAGATTTAGCATGTTATTTGGCACAAAAGTGCCAGAAGGCTGGACCGGCCAGATTTCTTTCACCACGAGTGGGGTGTCGTCACCGAGAAGGACGTACGGCGTCCTTATTATCAGACAAGTAGAAATGGTGCACGCAGCTATCATGGGCAAACGGTCCGATCTCATGGCTCAGCAACCAGAAGTCGCAAATGTCGTTGGTGACTCGCTCGAGATTTTCATCGTGACCACCGATGCTTAGTATTATTATCTGGTAAGCCATAAGACCAAGAGGTTTTCTGGTTGGAGGTCGTGGAGGTCGGGAAGAAGGTTCTTGGGCCCGCAGATAATCACGCGTCAGCTATGGTGCAGTGTCGTCCGCCTCGCATCCGGTGACTGATACGGAGAGTCAACATATCGTCATACGCGAGCAATATTATACTCACTTGGACAACCTTCTATGCCATCGAGATATCCCTAGAGACGGTATCCAATTCGTCTACGGATACTTGACGTACATCGCAGCGGGCAAGTCAGCTTTCGCTTTGTTTTAATGATATGTGTTGACCTCATTTTCCCAGACGATCTAACCACCAGCTTTAAGACGACGCCATGGAACCCCCAGCACCCGGCGGCTCGCCATCCTCCTCAGTCTGCCTATCATATTCCTTCTGGGGGCCCTCCTTGGCACTTGCACTCACTTGTGCCATCGCGAATCATCCATTTAGCCCAAAGGAAGCCATCGCGGCCTACTTTATCGCGGCATGTGTGCTGACAATTGTGTGCGCGTGAGGCATTTTCGCGAATGCAATGTCTTCGAGTACAAGGCAAGGAAGTCAAAGGTAAAGCATGCTCTTTGAATTGCGACATGATCAATGGACATCTGTAGTCTTTCGTCTATAATCGGGCACGCTTCCAGCTGTGGACCTTGCCTTCTTGTTGCTGTTGCTGTTGTCGTTTGTACCCTTCCATCGTCCCGCAGATCCTTGGAGGTTCTGGGAGGTGTATTATTACTTCTATATATTATTCCAAAGGTGTTCCTAATCTTTGTCTAAAAGTTGCGAGAAATCTTGACACCTCATTTTGGCACATTTTTTCGATTTGGCCCGTCGCGTCACTCTTCAAGCTTCAGCTTCAAGGCTCAAGGCATGCCAGCGAAACCGCCAAAAGATCGTCCATTGGCTTGGAGTGATACCTTAGGCCATGGTAAAGAATGTCTCGACTGCATGTACTTATTCTTCTCAGGGAAGTGGCTTGCCAGCTCGGATTGCCTTTGCACCCTCACTCTGTGCCTCATCGCGGAGGTAGCGGCCGTAGATTGGAATAAGATGTTCCCTCAACTGGAAACGCAGGTAAGTATCACAACTATGTTGTATCTCCAACGAGCACTCAAGTACTCACACTTGAAGTGTTGACCACGCTAGGCCTCTTCTCGACCAAGGCCGCGTATGCCTGCCACTTGGCGCCAACATTCGCGCGTTTATATCCTCTATGCTGCGCTGTAGCCCAATCACGCTCGATCCAAGGAGCAATGGCAATATCCACAAGGCTGAACTCCTCGCCGAGGAAGTAGGGTCCCTTGATGTTGTCTGTGAACTTCTTAAGGAACGTGTACACCTCTTCCAAGGCCGCTTGCTGCTTCTCTGGCTCTTGGGATTGCACGAGGCGACCATTTGCAGGGAGGAAGTTCTTGTTGATGTTGTCAATCCAGATGCGTGCCAAAGCGCGTTCTACTGGGTCCTGCGGAAGTACATGGGGCGTGTGGGATGGGAAAGCATCCTCGAGGAACTCGCACAAGATGAGCGACTCGTAAATGGCCTTTCCCTTGTATTCGATAGCAGGTACGAGACCTTTCGGATTAATGGCTGCATCGATTTGTTAAAAGCAGTTCGTGCAATAAGAGCACCAATCCATACCCAAGAAACGAGCTTCCTTCTTGTAGGGATTGACCTCCTGGTATTGGTATGGGATGCCCTTCTCTTCGAGAGTGATCCACGTGCGTTGCACGTACGGACAGAACTATCAACGCGTTCAGATTTCCCTTTGGCTATCATTGAAAGAGATCTCACCCAGCCGGCATAGAAGATGAGGTCTTGCGGAGCCTGATGCTTCGCCACTGTCTTCTCGGCTTCAGCGGTTGCGTGAGGAAAGATCTGTGCGTCTGGGGAACTCATGGTGGCTGAGGATGCCGAAGCAAGGAAACTTGGAGACTCTTATATCTTCCTAAAGGATGATAGGTTTATAAGTCGATGGCGTCACAGACGAAGATCGCTGACTGAGCAAATTCGCAATGCTGGAATCGATATCAGACACATCGTATGGAGAAGCCATGTGACAGTAGAGGTTAGGAGGACCACACCGCGGCCGGTGAGATGACCGCCCGGACAACGCCCTACAACGCCGGCTTTCAAATCTTCAAAGCTCGCTTGCTTTCTCGAGACTCATCTGTGCTTTACCTACCCCTTGGAGCATTCTCCTTTTTTCCAAGTTTACATTTCCGACGCTACTCTGTGGTATGGCCAAATTTCTCGCGAACGGAAGATCTCCCGCCAATCAAGCACCTTTTCGGTCATGGACAATTGTTCTTGCCCCTTCGTTTTCTCCTAGACAAAAGCTTTCGAAATCTCGCTCAACCACACGCTCTATTTCGACGTACTAAGGAGGGGAGAATTTTCGTCTCAATATGCTCGACGATGTGTCACTCAGGTCCGGTGTTCACTTTTTACATGAAACCTCGATTCTCAAGGTATGGCCCTGCCTTCTCTGATCGCCTTCGCCGCCTCGCTCTCCGCCTCGTCTCGTAAATACTGGTCATAAATCCCAATCGTATGCTCCTGCAACTGGACAATGAGACCAGTCAGCATCTCTCACATTGCTTTCGCAGGACTCCGCACTACTCACGCTGAGGGTGTTCGCTACGCTCTCCCTCTTCTGCACCAAATCCGCGTAAATCTTCCACCTCGGGCTCGCGTTCTCCCTCCTATACCCCCGATGCTGTGTAACGACCCAATCCCTCATAATCCAGGGTGCGATCACGATATCGACCAAAGAGAACTGCTCTCCGAGGAAGTACGGCCCTTTAATGCTCTCCGAAAAGTTCCTGAGGAAGTGATACACGTCTTCCAGGGCGGCTTTTTGGTTCTCGGCGCCTTGTGCTTGGAGAAGTCGCTGGTAGGGGTAGATGAACTGCTTGTTGATGCTGTCGATCCATTGGCGCGCCTCTGCGCGCTCGACAGGGTCGCGTGGGAGGAGGTTAGGCGCCTGTGGGAAGGCCTCCTCGACAAATTCGACGAGGATGAGCGACTCGGAGAGCGCTTTGCCTTTGTACTCGATCACTGGGACTAGGCCTTTTGGGTTGATCGCTATGAATCCGAATGCATGTCAGCTATCCGGCAAATGGAAGGGATGCATATAGGCGGGGGCATACCCAAGAAATGTGGTTCTTTCTTGTATGGATTGACTTCCTTGTATTGGTACGGCACTCCCTTCTCCTCGAGCGTAATCCACACTCGATGCGCGAAGGGGCAGAACTGTTCGAATTCATCTCGGCATCAGCAAAGTTCCCTCCCTGAAAAATTTCCTCAAGATAACGCACCCAAGCAGCATGCAAGATTAATTCCTGAGGCGCCTGATGGTTTTCGACCGTCTTTGCTGCGGCGCCAGTAGCCTGTGGGATGACGTTGAGCTCTGCGAGACCCATGCTTTTTGGTTCGAAGGTTGAGGTTAAAGTGAGTCTGAGAACTCGATGCTTCGCTTATGTTGAAAAGCAGGCCATCTTTGACGGCTCTTATACCCCAACTCGAGAAAGGCGACATATCGCTATGAATAGCAGCGGTTTTCAGGCTTCCGAAGCGTCAGCGTCAATAACGCGACTATGGGTGCGCGTAGTGCACAGGCGTGCTAGATTGGCTAGTGGCAACGGCAATCCGACGGGCTCGTCACGGTCATGCAGAGCGTACAGTAAGCTCGAGAAGACGCCAATCCGACACAATCGCTCAGCCATTGACAATCTCCCGACATCACAGGAAGGATGCGAAAACAAGCTCAATCTCAAGCATTTGGCAGAACTAAACTCTATGCTATTGTTACAGACAAGGAGGACATACACACAACTTCGATAATGTAATTTTGAAATAGAAAAGGAAGAGCGAAACCACGGCGCAGTTGGACTGACAGAGTGGCCACTGGCGTCAATTCGAAAGAGTCATGGCTTCGCAGGGAAGAAGAATCTGCAACCAAAAATGATTAAAAGGTGTGTTTGGCAATGTCCGCAGATAATGAAGCATCGGAAGGTGGGGAGGTGGAAGAAAGGATCACGGGGTCTATGGGGAAGGGGGAAGATGCAAATGCGATGGGGAAAGGAAGTGATATATGCTGAGGATGAAGGAGTGGGCCGTTGGAACTAATATGGCCCACAATATCAGGAAGAGGCAGGAAAAGGGAAGGGGTTCCGCAAGACGAGGGCAGAAAAAACTATAGCTTGTACACAGGTGATGATCGACATGGATATTCTTTCATATAATACGAGGCAGCGAGGTTCCAGGAAGGTTGAGTCCATGGGCAGGAGAAGAGAGAACATCTGGCGTTGCGAACAATGGGTTATGCGGAGACCCTTCTATACCGATTCGAGGCGGGCGTCCCAGGTATCATCGTCGAAGCTTTCCAATTCCGTAAGATGTCTGGCGACGGCTTCTTGGTCCGAAGGCGACAAGGGTGGTCGTAAAGGCGTCATTTCGAGGTGGGCGTGCTTCCGATCAGTCTTGCGTCGAGATAGGTCCACGAGTACATCCCAGCGGTGATACCAGTTCGTAGCCCAAGATGGTTTAGAGTTGACCAAGTCGCGAGATACGATTTGCTTCCCTTTCGATGACCGTGTCCACTTGCGTGTTGGTTCGGTGATGGTGGGCGATATGCTCCTAGACGAAGGCACTGACGATGAAACTACAAAGTCGTCTTCAGTATCGTGAGAAGAAATTACTTGGCCTTTCGAATTGACGCCGGAAGCCGAGCTGAAGTAACTCGACAAGTCCGTCTCGCTTTCACTTTCAACGAGTGTCGTATCCGAATCGTCGCTGAAACTGGTCGACATTGACGTCTCGAGCTCGCTTTCCGACTCGTAATCCGAAGGTTCTTCGTCCACGTGCTGTTGGTTTGCAGCCTGACGTTGTTCCATGGCTAGATGAAGGTCGTGCATCCAAATGGTCTTGCTGATCGTCCAGGTCGGTAGGCCAACGAAGCATCGATCGATATGGGTCGAATAAGGGTCACGTAAGGCAGAGATGTCTCCGCGCCGGGGATGAATCGTTATAGGGGGCATGGTGCTCTGTGAAGAGGTGATAGGAGACGGGGGTCGCGACAGCACTGCGGGATGGACTGTCGGCATGACAGGGGCATCCGAGGAAATGCCGCCATAGGCGCCATTATTGGGGTCATAGGCGCCGTTGCTGCCTCCGCCCAACTGGTCTTCCCGCATCGCCCAGAACCACTTTGTGTGCTGGAAGCTGAGACGCGAGTGCCCATGTTGACGGTAATGGTGACGAGGTTGGGTCGGACTCCGTTGGTTGTAGCGGAAAGGGGACATTAATGAAGGAGGACATGAGTATTTGTGGCGAGGGGGAGGAGGCGGGGGAGGAGATGGAGGAGGTTGGGGCTTTTTACGGCGGGGAGGAGAAGTGGTCACAAAGGGGAAGCACAAACGCGATACTGAGGTGGGCGATTTGCGAGGAACCGCCGGCGATTTCACGCACTCTCCCTCCACATTCGCACTGGCGATGTCGGCGTCCTTCTGCTCTGTCGAAGGGTGAGGTACCGTGCCCTCGCCCTGGCTGATGGTGATTGGCAGAGCAGAATTGGACGACACAGCCATGTCCGGCTTGCTGGCTTTAATGGACTCGAGTCGCAGGTCGTTGATACCGACGTTTTGAAAGAGACTGCGAGACCACTGGACTGCCTCTGAACTTGAGGGGGCGTCAGAGGGAGTTGCCGACAAGCTGGCCCGATTGAAACCCAGGCGGCTCGAAGGGCGAGAAGCATGATCGTCTTCGTCCCTTCTGTCAGACTCTCTGGAGCCGTCTGAGCCTATGACCTGGTCGCAATCGGGGTGCGAGCCTCCTGAGGGATTCACTGAGGCCATGACAGCACCAGAGGGACCTGGTCGGTGCCCGCGGTGTTGTCCAGCGTAGAGATGGAGTCGTTACCTGGCTAACAGGTCTAGAGACATCCAGGTAGATAATCTGCGGACATACCGTCTAAGTCGTGCAGAAAAGAGGGAGGAAAAATGGATGAGCGCAAGCAGGGCGAGCCTGTTGTCTCTGGGGATGTTGTGGCAGGAGCAGAGCAGACCCTTGCAGAAATCAAGTACTCCAACAAAACATAGCATCACGTGCAGCTGGATATCAATAGCACACCCCAACTATCCTCGGTAAAAGACAATCGATTCCGACAAGTTGTCGCCATCTAGCACACCGCCAAGCCTCTAGTCAAAAGTTTCTCAAGGTAATACAAGGATGGTCCCCAATTTCTCGCCTTCATCCCCAAATAGCTGCCCCTCCTCCCCCGTTTCGGCCTCGCCGCGACTCAACATGGGCCGACGTAGGTCATGTCTAACATCAACCACCTTAACGGGGTCCCCAGCTGACCCCTCCCCCGCGGACGTTTCCCCGGACGCCTGGCCAACTGCGACCGCTTTACGTCTATCTATAACCTTGATCCGGGGCACCTTCACATACCCACACTCAAGGGGTATCAGCCTCCATACCAGCGTCTCCTCGGATCCTGGCAGCAGCACAGGCACACGACCGTTCCTTATGCCTGCTACCACAAAGGCGTCCAGCGAGTCAGGCTCCAGGTGCACAGTGACATTCGCCGAGCGCGTGGGGTGGTAGTTGCGGATCGTCAGCGTGAGAGAGATTGGCGTATGGAGGGTGGCTTTAGGAGGAACGTCGAGAAGCGCAATGAGGTCGTCTATTGGGGGTCGAAGCGGCGGAAGCGAAAAGTAGCTCGTCGCTTTCGGGCCGTGTTCACCATTTGGCAAGGTTCTAAATCCATTTATTAGTTTTCTACTCGCAGCAGGTGCTACTTGTGAGCTCATACCTGGACCATGTGACGACAAACTGGCCTGGGCTCTGGATAACCTGTTGAGCAGCGTCCTCGTTGTCATCCAAGGAGAAAGCTATGCGACAGGATGCACAGAATTCATCCCCTTCGAGGTACTCTAAGAGGAGACGAATTAATTCAAAATTCACTTGTGTGAGAGCGAAGGAACCGACCAGCCGGGAACATGTCCTCGTCCTCCACATCTGTTGATGAGTCGAGCACCTTGGCGCACATATTGTCCTAAAAATATATCAGCACTGCACGAAAGATATCCAAAATGAATTCACCTTTCGTTGCAGCTCCAGGCTCTCGATGTTCAGACTCCAAGGACCGGCGCACGTCATCGTAGCAGACACAAGAGCTTGACCTCCTTGTCGGTCATCCCAAAACGTCTCATCAAACGTCTGTAGGTCCGCAACGCCAGTCCAAGGCGTCAGAGAGCGCTTGTATGCAACGTCATGCACCACACTGATCGGATTGACTGTTGGCACAACGAGCATCTTCAAATGCTCCATTGTATCATGAGCAGTTGTGGGCGTCTGGCTTTCTTCGTCCTCTTCTTCATCCTCTTGGTCATCCTCGTCCTTGTCTGGCGTTGGTGACACTGTACGGGTTTGGATGGATACATCAACCATTCGGTCACCCCCAGCGCCCGTATGGAAGATGTGCAGAGTCTTGACGGTGCTAACTCCTGGAGCCAATACACCGAGGTGGATGCCCTTGATGAGACTAGTCGACCGCTCCTCATCGACGACTATCCAATTTACTAAAAGTAACACGTCAGTACTGTGGATCTCTATCAGACGAAAGGGTATAGATTTCGTACTAGCGTGGCCAATCTCTGTAGGCTGTAGCAAAAAGCTAACAACCACATCTAAATCACGCGAGTCTGTATTGGTGATTTCGATCTCGACAGGGTAATCCTCGTCAAGGTAAGCTGGAGCATGGTGTTGGAAGGCAACGTTCAGAAGATGGGATTTGTGCTTTACCCTAAAAAGCAACCAAACGAATCAGGTTTTCGCCGGTTGTAGTCATAAAATGCACATACGCCGTCGAACGATAATGCTCCCTCTTGATTGGAACAAACCGCGGTGGGTCGATAGAACTCAACCACTTTGCTCTCGAACTGGGCGTTGGTCGCGTATTATGGGGTTCGAAAGGAACCTCAACCTTCCAGCCGTTCTCCTCGATGGTCGCAACGATAGAAGTGGCCTGTAGCATATATTTAGTGATTTCGATCCAATGGAAGACATGGATATGAAAAGGTCCAACCTTGAGCACTGTTGGCGTCTCAGAAGCCAACGATCCCGTAAACACAACCGTACTCCCAACGCCCCACCTTAAGTTTGCTTTGAGGACAGACCGCTCGTCCGACGACGTAATGCCACCAAGATCAACCCTTTGGATAGCCTTAGGTTCGGACGCGTCTTCCGACGGCTCATGTTCGACAGATATTGAGGGTAGGTCACCCGAGAATTGGATCGTAAGGCGAGAGAAAGGGATGGTGGAGATGGTTGCTAATTTTGGTGCTGTCAAGCTGAGCTGGAAAGCAGCCGGTTCGTCGACTTTGACTTCTGAGGACCAAAATATCACGTCAGATTCGACTATTGAGGATAGAGTCAGCGTTGAAAGGTATAGATCGAAGCTTGGGCTTGCCCACAGATTGGTCGAGCATCCGCCAGATCGACAAGCAGAGCTTGGTCCGGTGAAGAAGGCACGGTGCTCTGCAATTCGTTCAACACGCCTGCAGCTGATCAAAGGATAACAACAAACCTTTAGAACTGCTAATAAGTCCTCTTCCAACGAGCTCGCATCGTCTTCCTCGACGGCATCTTGGCCGAGCAACTCGATCAAGAGCTTGATGCTGAGCTCTACATCACCTAGACGCTGTGCACAAGCATACCACATCGAAAGCAGCGGCCTCAGCATCGAGTCCCACTGCTCTCTTCGGTACGTCTTTGCTATCCGCTCGAAGAATCTAGGAGTTCAAGGTTTCCTGTTAGCCCGGATCCGCGTTAGGAAGACAAAACGGACCGACCGGACTGCCATGTCGAATTTGGCGGCGTCGTAGTATGTTTTCGCAATGCGATATGCTATCCATAAAGTCAAGCGGCCTTGTCCCTGATTCGAGGCGGGAGAATGCTTCTTGAACAATTCATACGCTTTCGTAAAGAGCTATATAATAAGTATTAGTTAGATCGCGGAGTCATTTCCCGGAAGAAAATTTACCTCATTGATGATCGCTAGATGCTCAACTTTCTTCTCATTAGCAAAGCCTGGAGATAGGGTGATTGGTTGCTGGTTCATCTAAGGGGCGTCAGCGAATAGAACACCACCCCATCGTACTGGATCATACCTCAGCCTCAAGAGCGGCAGCAAAACGTTCTCGTCTCATCTCTGTACATCTTGCAGCCATGTAGTAATAAAAACCAGGATGCTGAAGTGCATGGCTCGGGTTAATGCCTAGCGAGCGCATAGACTCGTATTCGAGGCCTGGAGCGGCTCGTATCGTTTGTTGTGAACGAGACAAGTCGGTACTGGGTGCGACGGGTTTGTGCACGGGAAGGACAAGCGTGGAACGTGTTCCTTGTTCAAGGAGTTCGGCGAGGACACGATGCCTTTGAGAAATATCAGCACGAGTGTGTAAATGTGTAAGAGGGGACGCACTGTCGCGCTATCCAGCTCCAAAATTCGAATGTCTCCTCGCCAATACCCCATCCTCTTGAGAAATCGCCGAACTGTCGTATGTGGGTGTTGTGATGCGATAGTGCAAGCGAATGCTCGTTATTGTAAAGGTAGAGTTTGACGATCTACTAAAAGCAGTCAGGTTGAGTCCACCGACGCCCTCACGAAGCCGACACACCAACCTTGATGTTTATGCAATCAGCGAGTACCTTGGCCTCTGCCCAACGTTTCGTCCGTGGAGGAAGAATCGCAGTTGACCCGAACATGATGATCAGCATCTCGTACGCATCCTGGAAGTGTCTGTACCTGATGAATACCAGCAAGGTCGAGAGAAAGAGATACTAACTTGAGTGCAACCTCGTCTTCACCGCGAAATTCTGCAAAACACGCCATCTTGTACTCGTACCGCACCGTCCATCCTTCTGGTCTCAATGGACGCGCAATGTTGAGCCCTCCAACCGGATTTGGATACGAAGCCACAGACTGTGAATGTCGGTTCCGCTTCCGGCGTACACGTTTCGAATGGGCCGTGTAGTACTCCAGTGCGGGTTCGTACAGAGCCTGCTGCAAACTCCGTACGAACTCGGTCAGCTCGGACGGGCTCACTGGGCTCAGAACGAAGAGTGCAGCTCTCGAGTCGAGCCCACTCTGTCTCCGGATGAACGTCAACCGTGCGTCCAAAGCAGGATCGTCTTTGGTGAAGGTTAGTCGCCAAGTCCCGAACACGAGAGAGTGGACTCGCCTAGCATCCTCCTCGTCGCCATCAGCACTACTGTAAGCTTGATTCCGCGTTCGTTCGTGATCTTCTTTCGCGCTGCAACGTCTGCAGCGAGCTCTGCGTCCTTCCTCCTTTCCTCCGCCTCCCTTTCGCGTTCTCGATCGGCATCCGGAAGGTCCAAAGGATTGCGTGCAGCGTGTGCGGGGGGCTCGTATATCCGCAAGAACAGCACGAACACAGATGGTACAAGTGACATGTGTTTGCGTATCCAGATTGGTGCTATCAAGCCGTCTGGGTGGAGAGGCGAAGTGGGCGTAAGGGGTGACAAAGGTGAGTGCGCAGACGAATACTGGGGGTCTTCTGGCGGGACGAGTTTCCGTGGTGGAAATCTAACTTCACGATCTACAAGGATGACCTGGAAGGCTTTGTTCTTCTCCGGCTGCCAAATCGTCATCTTGCGTTGGGCAAGTAGCGCATCGCGAAGGCGGAGGGTGAGGACTTGGAAAGCGTCTTGTGGTTTAGACGGAGGAGCGATAGGCGCGGTTGGGGTTGTTGGGGAGGTCGCTGTAGCTGCTGGTGCGAGTACGGATGGATTTAGAGGAGGGTTTGGAGGAGGATCTAGTCCAGCGACGAACATCACTGGCGCAAGTTGCGTCAGGAGTTCTGGAGGATAGGAATTCATAGTGAATCAGTAGAGCTCATCCGAGGACCGTTGGCGTAATGGATGTCAGATAATGTGCTCGTGAAGAGACTCTTTTACTGTCGCTGCCGGCTGGCGGTCTGATACCAGCAGCTGGCACAGCGAGGAGGAGCGTGGCTGGTGCCAATAACGACTAATGCCTGCTGATGTAACACACCATCAATGCGTCGCGTCCGGCCCGCGCCATGCGTTCGTCGAAAATTCACGTTGAACTTTGTTTTGCCTTTTGCTCCAACTCTGCTCCGCACCGCCACTGCTAAATCTGAGGTTATGAATCCCCGCTCACGAAAAACCTACGTGCGCGTATGCACATAGCTAGAACCATGACAACTCGTAAATTTGGTCTTCGCGTCAGGGGTCTTCTGTACTTTTACACTGTTGATGACTCCGTCTTTGCAGTCTCTGTGGACGCGTTTTATCCTTCTTCCCAATCTGAAAATCCCTGACCCATCCATCCTCTCGTTTCCTGCAAAAGACACACCTCGCTTATACGCGCCATCACCGGCATTTCAGCCCTCCCTGTGCTCTTGTTTGCAAAAGCAAGAGAAAATATGCTTCCTCACCCACTCCTCCTCAAAAAAACTTGTTGTCTCGCCATCTCACCAGGTACTTCCTCTCGCCACCCATCATGCTTATAAATCAGCAGTACATAATCTGGCGATCCAAGCAAGTTTCTGTTAATGGGAATAGATGGGAATGCCTTTCAAGCTGGGTGCTTCATGTGGCTCCTACCTTGCCATTTTCCAAGGACAAGCTAGTACCGCCGCCCTCTACATCAGGGACTATGTTCAGCCACCTCAAATCGCAGATGGGTCGGGCACTGGCCGCATGGAAATCTTGTTTCCGTGCGCACACGCGGCTCGGTGTATTCATTTCGTGGGTTGGATCCACTTACCTTTGAAGTAAGCACACCCAACAACCCTGCCCATCTGGACCCCCAATTGGCGCTGGCGATTCAATTTTATGTGCCCTCGTCCTGCCCGGCCTCCCGCGACGCCACGTGACGCGGTCCACCTCGACGCGCCCTTGTATTTTCTCCAACCGAATTTCGCGGGCTGTTTAATGGTGGGTGCTAAGGCACCGAGAGCGCCCACAATACGGCACGGCGCACCACCAATCACTGATGCGCACGACGGTATGTGTCAACCTCGAATACACTCGCGCGACACGTTGTGCCTCACCGCGAAACAAAAGGAAATTAGGAGAACGCGTCGTGCCGCACACGCAGTGCCCTTGTACTCTAATTGTCGCACAGTGGTTTTCAAGAACGCGGCGGACCAAGGAACATTGTGTCGGTGTTCGAAATGTCTTTTGTTCGTTGGTGTTGGTTGCACACCTAGGTTGTTCATCAAACAGAAAAGGGCCATGCGGAGTGGTATAAAAGTCGTACGTTGAGACGAGATGAGGTAGAGCACAAACCCTCCTTTGCATCGCTAGAGTCTTGTTTCTGGCTTCCCTGTTCTTTCTATCTTTCAAGCTCAGGCCTTCGTCAATCTAGACGTTTCCTCTTGCATATACTCACGTTTCCTGACGTCCTCTCCTCGACGTTTACACTTACCCGACTCTCAGTCACTTGTATTCTTGCACCAGTAGCACATCCCTTTTACGTTTTTCTCAACTGTCACCATGCATCTCTTGAACATGAAGAACATGGCCGTCGCCGCGCTGAGCATCTACACCATCCCTAACATGCCCTCCGGTACGTTTTCCTCTTCACCTACATGATCTATACCCCAGAATCTAATCAATATCTTACTCAGCCTTTGCCACCCCGACCGATCAAGGACTCTCCCCCGCCGAGAACGTCGCACGCGAGGTACGTTCCCCTCCCCCTTCCATCACCCCACGGCCACGGGCGCTAACCGCGCTTCCTCTAGTACATTATGACTACTGCGAAATATCAACTATCCACTGGGGAAACTCCATCCACGACTGCTGTCGTCAATTCCGCCTCTGCCAGCCCCAGCGCCTCCTCCATAGCGTCGACCAGCCGCGCGTTGAACTTGCACGCGTCGGCCTGGTCGGTTGGGCTGGTGGCTGCTGGTGGCACGGTTGCGGTACTCCTGTGAGCGCAGAGGCTGGTTCAAAATAGGCCTCTGTTGCTGGGAATCTCAATGGAAGCGATCAAGCGAACTACTCTATCTTCAAAGTTGAAGGCGGAAGAAGTGAATTCCAAAATTGAAGAACGTTCTTTATGATAACGCACCTAATTTATTCAGATTATACTTCCCCCACTTCATTCTACTCCAGAAGAGCACGCGTAACGTTCTATCATCCTTGGTTTTGCATTATTTATTCTTCTTCATGACCTCAGACCCAGTTATTTCAGATCCTATTCCTTCCTTCCTAATTATTCAAGTTCTCGACTCGTCATAATCATCCTCCCCCATGTAGCCCTAGCCTACCCTACCTTTCCTGTCGAATACTACTTTGTGCTCACTTTGCAGCTGTTCCAGTGTTCCACGCGGCACGCCCAGTCCGACCTCCCAAAACGGCACACCCACCCTCCACCACAACACCAAACTCGAACAAATCCGGCCCCTGAAGTCAGGTCATCGCCACACGCTCATCGCAGTCTCTCATCTTTCTCTCCTCGTCTCTTTCTCTCTTTCTCGTTGTACGTTGTATCGAATATCGACATGGCTCTGATCGAGGTTATCGCGAACGATCGGCTTGGGCGCAAAGGTACGTTCAGCTATCTCTCGTAAAGATGTCTTCTCTAGCGTGCTGATGTTCTGACATGTAATGGCTGGTAATGGCGAACGACAGTGCGCGTCAAGTGCAGTCCCGAAGACACCGTCGGTGACCTGAAGAAGCTCATCGGCGCGCAGACGGGCACGGATCCGTCGAAGATCCAGCTGAAGAAATGGTGCGTCGTCGCCCGAATTCCTTGCTCTCACTCGTGTACTGACTCCTGCCGTCGAATTATTTGAAGGTACACGATCTACAAGGACCACATAACACTCGCGGACTACGAGATCCATGATGGGATGAGCTTGGAGATGTATTGATCTCGTACGAGTCCTCATCTGGCGTCCCGAACTCCCCTTTCTGACTGAAAGCCGAACATATACGATAACACACTCGACAATGCTCTACTGCTGCTCGCCTATGTGCTGGGTTACATGTCCAGCATCACGAACCTTTGATCCTACCCACTTGGAATTACTCTCGACGTCAGCTCGTTCTATGACGTAGGAGCGATGTGTTGATAGTCTGATGAATCCATGGCTTTTTCAAAATGTCACTCAATCAACTTTGATTGGATGCAACAATATCATCAAGGAAGCGAGCAATGATTACAAGTCGTGATGCAGTGAAGGTTTCAAAAAGTGCAGCAATAAGAATACAAATAAACAAATAAAGCGGAAAGTGATGTGGGTTCAGTGCAAATACTTGGTGAGACAATTCGTCAAGTCGTGGGGGTCGTTAGTTTGTGAGCAATGATAAAGTCGGTCGCCTCTATGCTCAATAGCGGTTCGCATGGCCATGTTTCTCAGCGTTGTAATGTTTCTCTCCAGGATACCTGAGGGGAATGAACAAAAAGTGAGGGACGGCCGCAACCCAAGCCTTGACAGTAACTTACGGGTGAACTCCGAGGCAATAGCACGCCCTCGCAGAGAGCAACATCACAGCAAGCCAGACGAATATAACCGCGGCCAAAATCATCCACACGCCGTTTCCGAACACCACCTCGAAGGAGAACGCTTCGAGGTTCTCCACCTGGTTCTTCGCGACGATGACGAGTGCCAGATCGATACCTAGCACGACACTCGAGACCAGAGCCGTGACCAAGGTCAAGATGAGTGTGAATATGGAGAAAGCGTGCGAGTAGAGGAAGAGGGAAAAGATGAAGGAGAAGAGCGTGAGGCCGGCGGCGATGGGGTGCAGGACAAGGACAAACAGAAGGGCTTGCTCGACGGTCTCGACTATCTGGTGGTCGATCCCGACCGCGTCGGATATGTATTCGGGGACGTCATACCCCAGGCGCGGACCGAAGCAGAGGCCGGGGTTGGTTATGAGCGTTGGCTGGTTGAGTTGACTATAGGAGAATAGCGTAAGTTGCAGCATAGCCAGAACAAGCTCGCCAGAATAAACACTGTGGCGCACCTAGATGCGCAGACACCCCAGACGCCAAAGCGGAGCTCGGTCGCGATGCTGAGAGGCTGCCCGCCGACGGTTGAGCGAAATATGAGGAGGTAGATGGGCTTGATGATGGTGAGGGAGAGGCCGACGAGGAGGAGGAGGATGAAGGCGGAGAAGAGGAGGATGGAGGAGAGGATGGAGATAATGCGGTAGCGCGCGAACGGCTTGCGGTCCTCCCTCATCGTACGTGGCGGAACAGAGCAGAGACACCCTCCTTCACCGACGTCAGAAGGTAAAACCGCAAGAAGCCAAGTCGGGTCAGGGGCCATGGAGACGGAACGTAGACGAGCGGGCCGATATACCGTAATGTGGGAAAATGTGACAATCGTGACACGCGTGACAAGTTACCGACATCGACTCGGACCTGCTCTCATACACCAGCCTTCTGTGCTCACCATCTGAGAATCATCTCGACTTTCAACACAGGGCCCCTGGACGATGCGATGGCCACTAAAAGTATGCTAGTTTTCCTTCTGGGATGTGTGGGGGTAGTCCTTGCAGACGACGATGCAGAGTGAGTGGTAGTTGTCCCATAGCATTGAGCACCTACTAAACAGCGTGAATGATTGCCTTCGTAGATTCGTCAACGATCCTTATCTTGCCTTTCGTCCCGCATTCGCCCGCTCGTTGCCTGTGCAGATCATGTTGACCGGCGTCGTTCTCACCCTCGTCGCTGTTCTCTTCATCCACCTCATGTTCACTGCTCAATACCACTGGCCCCTCGCCCCAGTCAACTACGTCCTCCAACTCTCCGGGGTTACAACGCTTCTCATCTCCCTTATCGCCACCATCCATGTCGTTTTGTCTGCCACGATGGCCGAAAGTGAGAAATGGCCATACATGCTGAGTTATATCGCCGTCAACGTCCCGCCACTCGACCTCGATAATAATACGGAGGGCTGGAGTATCGCGGAGCGTGCTACCTGGCTGGTTATGAATGCTTCAACATCGGGTCTTATCCAGGTATGTTTTTCCTATGCTCAATTTTTCATATCCCGCTGCCGAGAAGCTCGTGCGCCCAAGCACGGTTTGGGATGCCCGCCACGCCTTCTTGAGAAATCTTGGCGGACTTTAGGATGTTACGGACGTTTTCTCCTCAGGATCGTGAATGTTCGCTCTATTGAGGCTTTCTATTTCTTCGTCACCATTGAGCCGTTCTCCCCACCATATCTCCTCACTACAATCCGCTCTATTCTCTCTTTCTCAGTACTCACACTGCGCCAGATTACGCATATTCAATTCCTTACCCTCCTCTACCCTTCTCGCCTCGAAGGTCGTCTCATTTTCGCTCTCCTCGGTACGTCTACCCAGTCACACGCTTTCTAAAAATAACTCTCCCTATCAGGTCCACTCGCTGTTGTCGCCGCCGTGATGCAGCTGCTCCCAATCAGCGGGAGCACAGCGGCGAACAACATTGCATCGGCAGTACGCAATGTGTGCAACGCTGCGCTGTCGCTTCTCTTTACCATCGCACTGTTCATCTGGGGTCTCCTTGTCAATCGCAAGCAAGCCTGGCGCACGGATGGTGGAACAGCTGTCTTCGGATGTGCGGCCCTCTCCCTGGCCGTCGTTTCTACCGCCCTCAATTTTCTATATGTGCATAAAGAGGAAGAATTCGTGTGGCTACCTGCACTGATGTGGGCTGTCGTACTATGGCAGAGCTTCTTGGGGTGGTGGTGGTGGGTAGGCGCCGGCAGTGGCGGAGGATTCAGAGAAGACGAGGATGAGAGCATGGAGGAGAAACTGCGGCGCGAAGAAAGAAGGGAAGCTCGACGCAAAGAAGCTCGCGAGAGGAGACGAGAAACGAAAATACGTGCCCAGAGAGTGTGGAAGGGCGTCGCCGGCGCTTTCTCGACCTCCGCGCAGAGCAGAGAACCGTCCGTATCGCAAGCCCGTGTCCGGGCACGTTCGAATGACGAAAACGCCTCTGAGAGCCCGTCGTCGCCCCGACGCGAGACGACGTCCTCGGCACCCTCTGAGCCCTCCTCATCAAGATCAAGAGACGCCGACACGACGTCCATCGCCTCCCGCGCATCGTCATCTGTTACGCTCACTTCCCAGCTAACGTATACTACTCTTCCGCGGATGCTGCCGACCGTTTTCCACCGGTGGTACGCGTCGCTCCGTCGCGCGCATAACGACGCTGCGCGGGCGCAGGCTGTCGAGCGCGTCGAACGGATCAGGGAGTTGGGCAGGCGCGATAGGCGGCACGCCCCTCCTGAGAGGGAACGTGATAGCGGTGAGGAAGAAGTGACTACGAGTGCGGAGACCCGGACGAGGGAAGAAGTCGTCGGTTGGGGATGGGGCTTGGACGGATTTGGGTGGAGGAGAAGACCGACAAGGAGAGTTGAGGAGAGAAGGGCGCGTGCGCAGGGGAAGGAGAGGCAAAGGACGGACAGCGAGAGTCGGAGTCGGAGTCGGACGCGTCTTGGGTCCAGGAGGAATAGGAACGGGGCAGACGCGGATGTGGATGGTGGGGAGTACGAGATGGAGGTGCGTAGCTCGGGCACGAGTAACGGCAGGCGGCGGAGAAGACGCGACGACAACCCGGAAGAGGAAGAAGACGATGATATGTACGTGTCGGACCCGGCGTCGCCTACGTCGAGAGACGAAGAAGAGGACGACGATGATGCTCATGGGAGGCGGAGGAATCAGCGGAGACGGACGGACCATGACCGCCAGGAGTCGACGGTGGACTCGCCCCTACCTGCGCCGTCCGCTGCGAATCGCCCGCGTTCGGTATGGTGGTGGGGTCCGCTGGCGCGCTGGAGGCTGCAGGATTCGACGACGTATTGATCGTGGTTGATTTTCTTGGATTCCGCCTCGAGCTCAACTTCGAGTAGGAAGGGATCGGATCGCTTTTTCGGTCTCTTTTTTGGCCACCTCTCACAAACGAATTCGGGTCGCAATGTCTAGGCCGTCGACGTCCAGGATCATAGAATCCTCTCTCCCATCTGTTCATCGTCATCCGCGAAACTATCATCGCACCCCACCTTGGTATCGTGACCCGCCCATGCGACCTGCCAGACTCTGTCCATTACTGCTCAACAACCAACAAGAGGTTCAGTGCCACACATCAAGTCATGGACTAAGATTCGTCTTTGCATCTACGTCGGCTTCTTCCATCGAGGCTCGTACAAGTTACAACCGGCAATGGGATTGGATATCATATGCGTTCAAGTTGGGGTCGGCTTCGTGAGGAACATTAACGCGTTCATCACTGACCCGTCTACTTCTTTGTTTTTTTTTTGTCGCCCACCGTGCGCCTGAACATTCAACCTTCAAGCTCAAGGTTTCGATCGTTACGGCACCCTTCTAATTCTTGGTATTTTTTTGTTTCTCTTATCGGACGGCCTGCTTCATTTGTACCATAAGCTCAGTGTGTATCAGTTATCGATCCTCTCTAATGCAGCTGCAAAGAAACCACAATACTCGAGTACCCCGATCGAAGCATACGATTTCAAGCCATCTTCCCGGTGTGGGCATCAAACATACTTGTCTCAAGCCTTGCATCGTGCTATTTCAAGCTTTCTTGATCATGTTCTCACTCGGGGTAACGAAGACGAAGCCCCCTTCAGCTTTCCTTACTTGCGGAGCTTGACAGAATCTCTCCGACATGTAAGTCACCGCCGTTCTTATGAAAGTGACTTCTATATCTGAATGTCTGCGGTATTCATAGGGCCTGCCTTCGAATTCATCCGAGAACCAAAGCTTTGAATACATCTTCGAGCTCGGGCGCTGCTTTCGTCCAATTCTCGTGCATTCTTCTGCACACGTATATGGTTCCAGCTCCCGGGACCTCCGCGTCGCCCATGATTAGTTTTGTTTCCTTCTTTAGAAACAGAGTGCAAGAAGGCCCCTCACGTGCAACTGCTCGCGCTTGTGGGTTCTTTTATGTGGCATCGGTATGTCGGCGTGGCGTTTTGACAGGTTCTGACGACATCAATTCTGAAAGAGCTGAGTCTTCTTTTTCTTGGAAGTGGGCGTGAAGCTTTGGAGACGAAGAGAGACGAAGAGACGGCCGGCACAAGTCTGGAGGTTCTTTTTTGCGCTCTCGATTGTAGCCGGGTCATGTTCTATTCTGCTCTCATCTTTTGTATCTTTTGTGGGCGACTAGGAAGAAGTCCTGCTCTTCTCTTCTCTTCTTGCGCCGACGCCTCAAACACACACGTACTCAGTGTTCACAGTCGAGCTCTGGTCACGATGTCGGCTGGACTTGGAAGCAATCGCCTTCGATTCCTGCGAAACGGCACTCCGCAGTACCGAGAAGAGAGGCGCCTCTTTCAAGCAGCACATCTTTTCTTACTCACCGAATACAGCTGCCACGACGAAGCGCTACCCTCGACTTGCCGGATATAGCAGCATGTTCTCGTGGCCCAGCCTTTACGCGTTCGTATTGCGTCTCCCAATTCGCGGCCCCATCTTTCAGAACCTAGTCGCTACCGTGCTCTACGGATCTCTCAGTATAGCTTCCTTCATGCAGAGCTGCTTCTGCCCGAAGGTGCTTGGTCTGTTAACCGAATCCTGACTTCCCTGTGCGAATTGGACCCAACGCAGCGCAAAAGAGACACCTGCGGGCCCAATAGAAGATATGAAGCGAAATACTGGTCCATTTGTTTTGATTGCCCGGGCGGCCGCCAGTCTTCGTATAAGCTTCTGGCAGGCGCAACGTCTCAGACTTGCAACTAGGCGATTTCAGGATGAATGGGCACACAAGGACCACAGAGTCGTGTGCGTTGTGTCAAGACGAAGCAAGGATCGTATTGTTTCTATTCCAAAAAGGCCTTCTGCGCCTCTCTGGTATGTCAAATCGATTCACGATGTCATAATAAACCTAGGTGGGTACGTACCCGCGTTTTCGATGTTGGCTGAGTAATAGCGCAATTGAATGCACTGACTTAGAGGCTGCAGACAGACACCTGCCACAAAGACGTGCCGTCCCGTTCTTTTGTCTCTTCCGCCTCGTTTCCGCTGTCAGTCCAGAATTCATCGACATTTCTCCGCTGACGTCCCGAACTGGCACGAGAAGCGCTCGTCAAGTCCAACGTCTTCAAATGTCACGATCTGCCTCAACGCCGCTGGTTCCCTTCACGATGAAAGTTTAGCGAGTATGTCGTCATTCATTCCGCATACGTACGGTCTGTCTAATATTGGGAGGTGTGCAAGTACTTCTTGTATTCGAATTATCGTTATGATGCGGTATATTCGGCCCATGACCTCATTGGGCGCTTGCCTGTTCAAGGTTCGACTTCGATTCGGCCCGTAGGCGAGGTTTCCTTGTTCTCAATGAAGGAGGTGTGGGTATCTTGGTGTGTCAATTGTGTCCCAAGCCTGAATTCTTACGTCTCAAGAGGCGTAATTCCGCATTGTAATTCCACTTCTCCGTTTCGATCTGTGAACAGGCCTGACTAGAATACTACCATCTAATCCTATTCTTCGACAGGTGGTGCGTGATGCTACTCGCCAAGTGATCACATATGGATCACAAACATTCGCTTCTTGGGGCTGAAGAAGGTCGGTGACTTGTTTCAGGCAGCTCATTACTTTTGACAAGGCTGGACTCATCCTCTGCTCAAAGCTGATGATCAATCCAGATCGTGGTGCCGAATGGTAATGAACCACTTCTCCCCGGTATTTCAGGAAAAAGAAAGAGTCAAATCAACTTCTCGTGCGTCGTTTCCCCATCCTCGACAATGGCGGCTCTTCCTTCCGGCCAACAAGTTCTCATGGCCTGCTTCGCGCGTTTCATCCAGGCGTTACTCTCGTCCTTCTCGATCGAACCGACGGCACCCATGACCGCTCGTTGACAAGGCCTCCCGTCAATTGATTCATTTTTGTCTCCCTTTGTTGGTGTGTGGTTAGTGCATCTTCGTCGGCTTCCTCGACCTGACATAACGGGCTCCATAGGTGTCGGTGCCATTACGACGTCTATCTGCACAGGTTTAGGCATCTATTCTGGGTAATTTTGATCTGGAGCGTAATCGGCGAGTCGACTATAAGTTCCTCGACTGCGCCATCTGAGCAACGAGAACCCCCCGTTCCATTTTGACGTCGACTGGTTCCCTCCTCATCGACATCCATGAGTCAAAATCCAGTTTCGCTAAATTCCCCTAACTTCGGTAATACCTCCTACCGTGTCACTGGAAGTCCTGGTTTATTTGTTCAAGGTTCCCAGTTCATTATAGGAAGCAATCAGACTAGTATGTGCCCCTCCTCCTGCGTTTCTTTCTGGATCTGGAAATTAAATGTTCATGTTATGTTTCAATATCAAGGTTCAGAGAGATCTTATGTTATCCTCAAGGTCCTCGGTCGGGGTGCCTTCTCCACCGTCTCGTTCTGTGATTGGCAAAGCCCACTGCCCTCCAGCGCACGGTTTTTGCGCACCCCCAAGTTTCCGACATCAAATAGAATAGTTGCGCTTAAACGGGCCCGAGTCACCGACGCAGACGCTCCAATATCAACGGTCCCCGAGATCCTTGCCTTGCGCACCATTCCGCCTCATCCGAATGTCATACCACTGTACGATTACTTCCGCCCCCAGAATTCTCCAAGTCGAGACATCTACCTCGTCCTCGAGGCGATGGAGGGCAATCTTTACCAACTCATAAGAGCGCGTCGTGGCCGACCTCTTACGCCAGGCCTCATTTCCTTCATATTCCATCAGCTTGCCCTCGGCCTGGATCACATCCACTCCCACTCCTTCTTCCACCGCGACATAATGCCCGAAAATATCCTGGTCACGACAACTGGCTTGGGCCGGTATTTGACGTCTGCAGACCCTGGCTCCACTTTGCGAGAGACGGATCTCGTTGGAGTGTTCAAGATTGGAGACTTCGGCGCAGCACGGCAGACAACGAGCAGGCCACCGTACTCCGAGTACATTGCCACCCGCTGGTATCGTGCACCAGAAGTCCTGCTTTCCAGTCGCACGTACAATGCCGCCGTGGACATGTGGGCGCTCGGGGCCGTGATGGCGGAAGTGGTCAACTTACAGCCGCTGTTCCCTGGCACTGATCAAGTCGATCAGGTGTCGAAGATCTGCGCAGTGCTAGGAAGTCCCAGCTCTGACAGCGTTTTCGACGACCGAGGATTCCCAGTCGGCGGTGGCCCGTGGCCAGCTGGAATTAGCCTGGGCCAGAGCGTTGGCTTCCAATTTCCGCTGGTGCGTCTTGCCAGTGAATCGGTTCCTTTGATACAAGCTGAAGACAGTGTTCTTGTAGGTCACCGCGAGGCCTTTCTACAATCACTTCGGTCCATCCGTTAATGCTTTGCTGGTCGAGTGTATCCGCGGACTGCTCCTCTACGACCCCCAGATCCGACTGTCAAGCCGGGATTGCTTGGATCATCCCTACTTCGAAGAAACCGAAGTAATGCGACAGCCACTCATCCAGCCTGTCATTAACCTGAATCAGTAGGGTGCGGCGCACACGGGATCCAGAGAATCTCATATTTTTCTTATTTACTTTTTCCGCAGCATCCGAAACCGTTCGCTGGTATGGTGCTGTAATAGTAGGATACACGTATTAACCGCTATGGTGCTTTATCGAGAAGAATGGCGTAAAGTATATTGTAACATCTCTCCTTCTCTTTCGTTGCTTCTATTTATTCACTCTCTGTAGTAGTAAAGTCCAATAATGCCGGTCGCGATTAGTTCAAATTAAAAAATCTCTAGGATTGAGTATTTGTACTATGATCGTTGCCCCAGTGGAAAGAACACAGAACTTCCGATAGTACAGAGTTGCAGCGCCGGGTGCGATCGAGATAGAAAAGGAGCTTTAGTGGCTTCCCCGGAGTGTCTGGAGTATAAAAGGATTGGCCGTCAACGGGCGCTCGGTAGTACAACAGCCGCCAATCCAGAGACATGCAGAATGTCCCAGTCCGACGTCGACAAGGCAAAGGCATGGGTATACAAGGTAATGTGCTAACTCCTCTGATGTGAATCTGATCAAACGAGCTCATCAGCGACGGTTCTTCGACAGATGTACCGTATGGCAGACTCGAAGGTTGACATGGTATCGATGTTCATCAACGATGAGGGTGTGTTCAGCGTTATGGGATCTCCACCTGCGAAAGGTAGAGCAGCTCTGGAGCGTTTGTTTGTGTGGGAGTACGCTGCATGCACGCAGATCAAACACGGCTCCACAAATGTCTTGGCATCAAATTATGGGCGCTTAATCACAAGAACTGGGTTTCATCTGCCAAAGAGAGTAGGTAGTGGACACACAGAATCTTACCATAAAGGCTCTCATGCTCTCCTCTTTCCAGTCTCTGTCTCTGATCCCTACATCTTTGTGAAGCTCTCGGCCACATACCAATTCAAAAGCGGTTCTCAGCAGGTCATTAAATGTTTGGCGACGTGGCATAAATCACTGGAGGTGAGCGTATATCATGTTTCATTCGTATTGAGGCTCAAAAACAATCAATTCTTTTGGAAAGGAAAGCCACGCGTTGGGAGTAGAAATCGACGGCGACTTCTCAAAGTCTTCTATGAATTACTAAGTGCCGTCGGCGGTCCACCGCCTCTCTAGGTTCACTGACTTCTGGTCACTACAGTGTGAGTGAAGTCGCATGTATTTGATTGGAAGAAAGACTTACTAATTATTACAGATGAAAACTAGTCTCTTCGTTTTGCAGTAAACTTATCTGGACTCCTGCTGACTGCAGCCTCTGAATCCGGGCAGCGTGAATGAAGGTCTCTTCCTGCTTCACACAAGTCTCCAGGAACTTCAAGAGAGACGAGGTGTTCAGTACCCCGTCGGAATTAGGTTCGAGTCCGAGTAACTTCTCCCGCATTTCCAACATGTTGAGGAGAGGTTCGAGTTCGCGCGTGCCTTTGAGAAGGAGCTGCTCTAAGCAAGTGCCAATTTCGTTCCGCCCAAGGCTTTCGAAAACGCTGGCACTAATTATCGTCGTATGAGAAAATGTGATTGACTTCAAACGCGGAGCCATTACGAATAGTTGGGCGACGTCCCGTGCTTCAACTTCAACCGTTCCGAGGTACAATTCTTCAATATTACAGGCCGAACGTTCCACGAGGCCATTTAACATGCCAGGCGACCAAGGCAACCCGTCATACTGATAAATCATAAGAGACCGGAGAGAAGGGAGAATGAAAGGAAGGAAAAAGAGGTCGTAGGGTTCTTGATCGCAAAGATGGACGTAGAAGTGGGTAAGATTCAGTAGGGGGATTTCGAATCGCGGGACGCCGGAGTGCTGAATTCCAAAAATGCGCACATGTAATTGTCGGAGGGATTGACAGGATAGAAGGAGTTCGTGGCAATCTGCGGACTGGAGACTGGAATCGCATCGAAACGTTTCTAGGCGATTCAATGGGAAATGAAAAATCTGAGGCACCACAAAAGGTGTGAGTTGGATGCGAAGTCGACGAAGGCTTGACGAAGATCCAAAAACGGTGATTGGAGGTTTCCAAGCCGGAAGAATGGAGGCCGGTGAAATGCCAATGTACATCGCCAGATGGAGCTCTTCGAGTACATCCAGGGACCCCAACGGCAGTGAGAAAAAACGCTTTACTTGAGGAGGACGAAGTACAAGCTGGAGGCACCTAAAATCATGGGAGAAGGGAATAATCACTTCTTGGACGAAGTCTATGTCGGTAAAATCCTCCGAAGTGTCTGTTAGGGTTAGGGAAAGGGGTAGATTCCCTGCGCGAGAGAAATATATTTGGGCTGCCTGAACCTTCTGCAGAGCCGTGTAATCCTTTTCAAAATAGAAATGCAGTGATTGCCAAAGGTGAGGCATGCCTAGTGCGGTCTGTCTCCAAAACGAAGACACTCGACAAAGAAGTAACGGCGCTTCCGCTATGCATGGCGTTGTTCGCTTCGAGAAAGCGAAGACATATAGGAAGATATGTTGCAGCAGTTCAACGGGAAGTCGCTTATGAGGTGCAAGTGCAATCTGATATTGATTAATGATCGAGAGAACGGCTGAACGATCCTTGAGGATGTCTGCACGATTGGTAACTTGGCCATGCCGAAGGTAGGCATCTATCCTGCGAACCTGCTTGATCCTGGCGGTGAGCCGATTCCTGGCATGGATGGCCTCATGCTCAGTCAGCGGGGCATTTGTTCTTCCAATCTGCTCGTCAAATGCGTCGCTCCGAAATGGCATGACCCGGCAGCTGCGAGATCTGTCATGATTGTGAACGATTCGACAGATAAAAGAGACTTCAAAGTTTCAAACATACTTCCCTGCCACTTTTCCTGTCCTCTTCCGTCGTCGTTCGTGCCTCGTGATGTCTGAGGTATTTATGTCGCGAGCAGAGGTAGTACCGCTGCGTCAGGATGGTTGACTTGAGGGCTGTCTCGGGGCTGTCGAACACGAAGGGGTGCATAGAAGAACGCATGCAAGCCCATGCAATGGGCGCAACGAGGCGTTATCAAATCAATTAATACTCATTGGGCGGCCTGCAGAGGTGCCCCATGGCTTTACAGCCTGGCGACGTTTTAGACAGAAGAGAGTGGCTGGTAGGCTGTAGCAGCTGCCATGAGGCTGCTGAAATTAGCCGGAAGATCACCGGCCCGAGCGAGCATCAGTGGTTCGTTCTCAACTCCAACATCCCTCAACTTTCGACTTTTCTACACCCGGTTGGCGCCGAAGACATTCACACCGACGACCTTTACTCGTCTCCTGCATAATCCGAATGTCGAATCTTTAGGGGATTGCGTTTTGGCTGCCCAACTCTGTGTCGCTTGAAGCCCGAACACGGCTTAGGAAGCAATGACGAATCTCCCTGACTTTATCAGCCGGGAATAGTCCTATATCTACATGCGGAGAAGCGATTTCTACCTTTCCTTCATTTCTCACCTTACCATCCGCCCACTACGACGCTACAGCAGACTCAGCATGCCAGAAACGTGGGTTGCTTTCATTGCTTTAGAGCACCGGAAGGCTTATCGTGTTGCAGCCATGTTAACACGTTCGGTGGCTCCCCCCTAAATCGCCTCTCATGGCTTCGGCCATCTCAATCGTTCATGAACGCCATCGTCCACGTTCCAAACTCGCGATGGCTTCTGTTCAACGCGGGCCAAACTCTCATGATCTCGAGCGACGATAGATCGGTGAAGCCTGCTCTAGCGTATCTGAGCACTCGAGACGTCAAGCCGTTTCTGGGCCCGGAGCCGTATTTCGGGCAAGGGAAGGAACCGGGCGAGTTAGTCGTGGAGAAGGACGGTGAGAGCCACGCTCATCCTCAGCATTCGCCCACGGAGGCCGCACGGCATCACGGCATCCCGATTGTCTTCCTTGGACTACACGAAAAGGAATCCGGGGACAACAGCGTCGCGCTTCCATCGTCAGAATTCACCAATCCGGACGAAGCTATTAAAAAACTGCAAGGAACGCCGTATTTCGCCGTCGAGGTTGCAGACCTAGAGCATACACAGGATGATCTCGAAAAACTTCTGAGCGAAACTGGGCCCTCGAAGGAGGGAAAGAAGTTGAGTTGGGTTGAGCCACGGACCTTGATGATGGGTTTCGATGGATTCCCGGCTGCGGTGTTTGCTTCTGCTCGAAGTATGGTGGATTGGAATCAGCGCAATAAAGTGAGCCAAATTCTGGTCTGGAGAATACATGTTCGGCTAACATATCATCAGTTCTGCCCAGGTTGTGGTTCGCCAACTTATTCAATGTGGGGTGGTTGGAAGGTTGCATGCAAGACGTTGTTGCCCTGGACGGATAACGGAAACAAGAAGCCCTGCCCCACAACGTGAGCGCAATTTTTTGTCGGATTTTAGCTTGCTAATAAGCTTTTATGTAAAAGTAAAGGGCTGCATAATTTCACCCATCCGCGGACAGATGGTGTCGTCATCATGATCGCCATCGACGAAACTGGGGAGAAAGTGCTTCTTGGTCGAGGGGTGCGTACCCTCTTTCCCAGGCAAACATCATCAACTGAACATAGGCAACAGAGGAGATTCCCTGGCAAGTTCTACTCTGCCCTCGCTGGTTTCATAGAGCCAGGGGAGTCTTTCGAAGACGCAGTCGTTCGCGAGATGTGGGAAGAAGCAGGCGTTCATGTTTGGAATATCAAGTATCATTCCGGGCAGCCTTGGGTAAGATATATGCCAGCATACAAGTAACGATTTTGACTGGAAAACATTCGTTAGCCATATCCTGCAAATCTAATGGTCGGGTTTTATGCTCGGGCGGATTCGACCAAACCTATACGAACGGACCTCGACAATGAGCTCGTTGGTAAGCGATTGTAGTATTTCGTTGCACCAACCATGATGACTGACGTACATCTGCCAGACGCTCGCTGGTTCACGCGGGAAGAGATCCTAGCAGTTATCAACCACGTTGGTGGGACCCGATTCCGTCATGCAGACCTCAAAAAAATTGCTGAAGACATCGATGGACGGAGCAACACTGGAGAGACGAAGGCACAGACCGACCCTACCTCGAAGGCACTGACGCCTGCTGAGTCGAAGGGATCTGCACCGCAACAAGAGCGAAGAAAGTCTGTGGCCGACGAACCGCCCTTTCGGCTACCAGGTACCGGTGCGATCGCGGGAGTGTTGGTGCGGGATTGGGCAGAAGGAAGGATCAGTTTTCCGCCTGAAGACCTCAAGGCTGGCCCCATTCACAAGGGCAACCTTTAGCACTATGTGACCATGTAGAATATACGGTGTGCAGCTAGACTTTTAGTTACAGTCTTCGAGATCTATTGAGTTCAAAATTACGTAGCAGGTGGAACATTATCAAGACAAAAAAAAAGTTATGGGAACTTGATTGCGAAAGAGCCGAAGAAAAAGCTATCCTTCGAACCGGGGTCGAACCAGTGACCTTGGGATGTTCATAGAAGGTTCCCAATTACAGTCCCACGCTCTTCCAACTGAGCTATCGAAGGTTAGATAGAAGGAGTAACATAAGCACCATCACGAGTCAAGCAAATCCTCCAGACCAATCAGATAAGATAAGATAACCTCTAGTTTTTGATCCGCCCTTCGCAATCTTCGGGAGTCGGTCGGCAACCAGCTCAACGCAGACTGTACCAGAAAATATTTGCTACAGTCCACAAAAATCTCATCTGGAGCCCACCGCGAGAGGAACAAGCCATAACCACAAATGTGGCTTTGACCGCTCGCGCTAGGTTCCAGATGGGAGATCAACAATTATGAGAGGGGCGGGACAATCGGTGCCGCGTGGAATCGATCCCGAACCGTCCTCGGACAGGGGCAGAAGGCGCTGACGATGGACAACCGCTCAGCTACCCCGTCGACCAAGGCACTTCTGGTTGAGTGCCCATAACGACGAATTTGCAAGTAAAGAAATGCCGATTATATTGCGTGAATTAAATAGTGCGATGCGAGGATGCAGCACCGACATTAGTATATACGTCGTGCTACCATTATCCCTAAGTGCGATGAGAGAGACGAATACAAAGAAAGCAAAAAAAGAAAAAAAAAAAAACAAGGTTCATACTTCCACTGACAAGGAGTTGATGCACTCCACCATAATCCCTGTCGCCGCCTGCACCCGATCCAGACGAAATGCGTTGACGACATAATTCCGGCGGTCGCAGTCGATCTCCAAGCACCGCAACCTTGAAGCCGAGGGGAGGCCTGACCTCTTCCTCCGCGCGCCCTCGTACTCTAGCAGCTCGAGGACGGGCGCTAAAGGCTGGTGGCTCGTGATACGAAGCCTCTCCAGGGACTTGGCGTGCTGCCCAGAGAGGATGCCGCGGAGGCATTCGGGCGAAAGCGCGGTGTTTGGTGGCGTAACAAGCGTTTTGAGTGAGGGTGTATGGGCGATGATGTCGTCCATTTGGACGAGCTCTGGGTCGACGTTATCCAGCTCGAGATGGTGGATGTCGCATTGCATGCTCTCCAGTATGTCTACCCAAGGTCGTTTGGAGGAGAAGAAGACGTCGGCGTCACCTTTTATTGTCAGTGAATTAAGATTAGGGAGGGTGTAGGGGAGGAAGAAGGGGTCGCAGATTGAGTCGGGTGCAAATGTCAAATCGAGTGCGCGAAGCTCTGGTAGCGATGCACGATTCGGTGTTATTGTTGCTCCTTTTCGGCCTGCTACTAGGAACTGTAGCTCCTCTGCAGATGCACACGATTCCATGATTTCGAGGAAGGTGTCGAGGGAGATATGGTGTCGACAATGGAGGTATCGGATGCTATGCCACGGAAAGTTAACGAATTGAGGATCGACCATCATCAGGGGGGAGAAGTCGAGAATTAAGCTTTTTAACCGTGGCGTTGACCCAAAAGGAGTGAACGACTTCCTCAGCCCATCAGACGCCCTGGTAGGGCCAGGCATGCTTGCTTCGAGGTGGAGGGTGAGGAGAGAGTCTAACGTGCCTGATGGCAGTCGTACAAATGTCGTAAAGTTTTCAGGGGAGACGGTCAGGCTGAGGCTTTGTAGATTGCGGGTAAAGGGAACTACGCTATTCGTGATGAGGTTGGATTTTGGGTCATAAGAGCCTGCGGCATAATGGGGGAAGGAACCTCGACCTTTGGACGAGGTTTGCTCACGTAGTTCGAGGTGCAGGGGAACATTCTTGGAATGGGCGCGGTCCAGGAAGGCGTACAACGCGAACACGTTGCGGGAGATCTTTACCGATTCGGCAGTAGTATCGAGGAAGAGGGATGCGGAGCTCCAGAGGCCTGGTGTCTCCAACGCCAGACTTCTCCAAGGCGAGCATATCCGACACAGCAAGAGCGGTGCTCGGTTGACCATGGGCGGAAAGGTGATGGATCCATCCCTCAGCAGGAGGAATACATCCTGGATGATTTCGGGCGGTAGCGACTTCCAAGGAGCGAGCGCTATCTTGAATCTCCTTATTTGGTCCTCGAGTTGGGCCTGCTTCTCTTCGAGGATAGGCTTGAGGTGCTTTCGTGGGCCATAGGCTTGAGCCAAGAGCGCGAGGATCATATGCAGCTCGTCTTGTCGCTGCCGGAGTCTCGACTGCACGGTCTTCGCGTCGTCATTGGATAGTCGTGAGTTAGTTCCTTGAGCAAGGTCGAAGGCGTCGAATGGTGCCGGAATGGATGCAAGGTCCAGGTGATCTGGCAGCAGAAAAGCTGTTCAGTAACTCCTCTCAGAGGGAAGCGTTGGTTGGTATCCCAGACAACTGGACGTACCAAAAGCGTCGATGCGCACTGGCATCACAGGTTGGTCGTTAAATTAGGACAGTGTGGCGCTGGAGAGGTGTCTGCGCGACGTATAGAGTGCGCTGAAAGCAATAGGGGAGGAGAGCCCACAGTGGTCGTCGCCCACTGCCAACAAACGAAGGGGCGCATTAGGCAGCCTGCCAACCCCCGGATGGCATCCAACATGAGTTTGACAGCCGCTGTCAGGCGCGCTCCCGCCGCTGTTGAACACAAGGGGCATCAGTCACAGAATAAGATAAGATTAGATAGCCCATCTCCGTGGCGCGATAGGTTCCCCATGTTTCCTCATGTCGTCTACCGCGAACGAGTATGAATACTGCGGTGCCTGGAATACCGTTCTCAATACCGTCTTCACAATTTCAGAGGGCTACATCATCACCCCGCAGCTGCCTGTAGGACGGCTCAGAAAGACACGGACACGATCGAGTCGATCGCCCTGCTGACTGTATCGAAGAATTCGGCGACGATATTCTTTGTGGAGGTCAAGGCGCCAAAGTATCTACCGTCACGGTACCAGCGGAGTGAGGCCGATAAGCAGATGCGAAGGCGATTTCATCAGCTCTACGAGATGTCGATCTCTGAAATCTCATGGAGTCAGTGCTTTCGGCACAAGTGTCCTTTACAAGATGAACAAAAGTGACAACAAGTTGAACCTGCCTCCAGCCGCCTACTGCACCAATGAGCACTATGCTGATGTAGCACCTCAAGAGACCTCAAGAATGGTGGAGTTGTGATATTCTGGCCCCGGAGGGTTATGCCAAATTTTGTAGAAGTCGTGGAGCTTGCGAAGAGCCTCGATACTAAATGAGGGAATCCGGCGTCATCTCATTTGATACTCCCCGTTCATGGGTGTGTCGCCTCTGGTGTTCTTGACCTTCTTGTCTTTTTCCTCGATATTCTATCATACAAGGCTCTTATTTAGCAAGCCAAATGAAAGGATGAACTGTATTTAATGAGACCTACTTTCAAACTCTTTCAAACGCTGGTCGGGAACGCGGGACCAGCCGAAGACAAAGTGATGGCATCAATGGATGTTCCGCCGACGTAATGCACGGCTCGACTCCGTCCTCCACACTCACACTGTCGAGTCTCGCGTTGAGTCCGTCGCGGACACAGTGACCCCTACTGCTGGCCAGCTAGAACATGCTCGGTATCTGGGCGCGGTCGTGTCTGCGGCCCCCAGTCCCCACACTCTACCTCAGATCCACAATACTCGCCACCACTCGGAATTATCATGTCGGCTCGTCCGCTGCTCGTGCTCTTCGCGATCTGAAACGCGAAACAGTGCCCTGGCCATCGTCCAGGACGTTGCTCGTGAAATCATGGCCAACTCGGAGATTCAATTCGACCGAGGCCTCCCTTGCGTCGACTCTACCGCCACCTACCCCGAAGCCGAAACAGTCCGTACTGTCGCGTCTGTCGTTTTTCTCCAAAGGTCCGAAGGGGTCCTCGTCGTTCCGGAAAATAATTGCCCTCGCGAAGCCGGAGCGGAAGCCTCTGCTGATTGCGGTCGGACTCTTGCTGGTGTCTTCCGCTGTGTCTATGAGCGTTCCGTTCACGATTGGGAAACTGATTGATTTCTTCACAGCACCAAATCCTGTACGTCGTCTTACCCACTATTAACGTAGCATATATTTTGAATTCTTGTGCTAGCAAATACCGCTGGGCCTTTCGCTATGGGGGGCATCCACGATTCTGATGCTCGTGTTTACCCTCGGAGCAATTGCGAATGCTGGACGCGCCATGCTGATGAGGCTATCAGGTATGTCAACGATTAACCGCAAGTCTGAATGTTCTGAGGCGTCAATAGGTCAACGGATTGTCGCTAGACTCCGCGAACGAACGTATTCCGCTGCTCTCAAGCAAGAAGTTGAATTTGTTGAACGCGGCGAAGGGGATGTCTTGAGCAGGCTCAGTGTGGATACAAGCATCGTCGGAGAAAGGTGGGTCCAATGGAAAATGCTTGGCAGAAAGCTGAACTGTGCTTTCCAGTGTCACCCAAAATCTTTCTGACGGACTTCGAGCGATTGTTATGTCCACTGTTGGATGTGGGTCGCACTGCAGTCCTTTTGCGCGAGTTGTACTGACTAGATGGAAGTGGGGGCCATGTTTTACGTGTCTACCAAACTGACAGTGTTAATGCTCGCTGTCGTTCCTCCCGTCTCCCTTGGAGCTGTCAGTGGAGTTCTTCGATGTTCGTCGTTCGATGATTTTAAGTTCTTACAACGATCTTTAGGTATTTTACGGTCGCTATCTCAAGAAGCTGTCGAATAAAACGCAGGAGGCAATGGGAGAAATGACCAAGGTGAGTCCACCACTATAATGCCTGCTATAAAATTGAATGCGAATTGTTCAGGTTGCCACAGAATCTCTGTCTGCCTTGCGAACCGTCCAATCCTACAATGCCATCCCACAAGAAGAAGAGAAATTCCACGAGAGGGTGAACAAGGTCGTTGCGTTGGCTCGACGAGAAGCCATCGCAAGTGGAATTTTCTTCGGAACTACTGGTTGGAGTGGAAACGTTACCCTTCTTGCCTTGCTAGGCTACGGTTCGTGCTCCTACATCTCCTCGTTTGAATTCAGCTCAACAACGAGGCATAGGTGGTACTCTGGTTTCGCATGGCGACATCTCCGTTGGAGATTTGACCAGTCTGCTGTTGTATACCGTCTACGTGGGCAGTGGCTTGCAGATGCTTACGTGAGTTGTTTATTCTTCCATCGTTTTCTTTCTCTCTGACCTCGTTGTCGTCTCCAAGGTCTTTTTTCGTACGTGTTCTTTCCGCAGGGATGTAGCAAACGATCTAAAGCAGCAAAAGTCGTCCATAATGCGAGGAATTGGTGCTGGAGAACGTGTTTTTGAAGTCATGGACAGGACCCCTGCTATTCCTTATGCAGAAGGCATTGAGGTCCCGAAAGACCGTCTTGGGGTCATCAAATTCGAGAAAGTTGGTTTCGAGTATCCCAGCCGCAAGGGTGTTGAGATTCTGAAGGACTTCAACTTGAAGCTTGGTATTGGTGAGAGTGTTGCTATTGTGTAAGTGGCAGAAGAGCACCAGTTACGGACAATATACTCATTTTCATATTTCTCCTAGAGGTGAGAGTGGTGGCGGAAAATCGTCCGTCCACTCGCTCCTTCTGAGATACTACGACCCGGTTCAAGGGAAGATCACCTACGACGGCCAAGGTTGGTCCTCCGAAGGCCCCGTTTCAAGCATAAACTCTAATCAAACACTCCAGACATTCGCGAATTCTCTACCACTTCCTGGCGTCAGATCATCGGCGTCGTGCCTCAAGACCCCGTCCTTTTCACAGGCACGATTGCATCGAACATTGCCTTTGGGAACCCAGACGCTACGCGTGAGCAGATCGAGCAGGCTGCCCGCGAGGCGAATTGTGAATTTGTCTGGGGCATGCCGGATGGGTTCGACACACACAGTGCGTATTTTTGTTCTGTTCAAAATTCTAGGCTTTCGGAACATGTGCTTACGGCGTGGTTTTAGTTGGCCGCCTGAGCTTGAGTGGCGGACAGAGGCAGCGTTTGGCAATTGCCCGTGCGTTGCTGAAGAGGCCAGTTATTCTGGCCCTGGATGAGGCTACGAGCGCGTTGGATGCAACATCTGAACGCAGGGTGAGTGAACAATGTCTCGTCGGATATAACCCGGCTAAAGAAACTTTGAATAGGTCAATGACGCAATCGACAAGATCTTAAGATCAAGGAATACGACCGTTCTGTTTGTTGCGCATAGGCTGTCGACCATTGCCCGTGCAGAGCGTATCGTCGTACTCGAAGGCGGTCGGATATCCGAATCAGGAACGTACAACGAACTCGTGAGTGCACTAGCGCCTTTCAACGACCTCTCATGACCTTGGATCTTCTAGGTCGGGCGGAAAGATTCACGCTTCCGTGCTCTTATGGCTGCTCAATTGAATGCAGCAGCCGGCGAACACCTGCCCTCATACTCCGAAGCTACGGAAGAGGAAGAACACGACGAAGAGATAAAAGAATTCGAGGACACACCATCCAAAGAGGAAGTTCATCACGCTCCAGCAAAATCATAGCATAGCTATATCGAATTGGATAGTAGACTCGTGGTATGTACGCGCAATCTGCTTTATAGATCTGGATTCAACCCCCTGCAACACTGTATCAAACTTACACAACACTCTAGTATCTATTTACATTTTAGTAGCGAATAGAACATGCACGCAACTCAAGTTTCGTTTCACGACATCGCACGGCCACACTCGACGCAATGCAAGGTCTGGACCTCGGGATAAAGCAAAATTGGCTTCGATGGGCATGCGGGAGAGGGGTGGCGGTGGACACTGCACTTTTTGCACATCACCTTGCTGAAGGGTTGAGGAGACCGCGTGCCCATGTCCTGGCCAAGGATGGTGATGTCATCCGATGGTCATATTTAACGTGTCATCCGAGGGTCATATTGAACGGACTTGTTGAAGAGCTTCACCCCATTCCACACGATGGAGCCCCCGCCCAGCAACACCCTTGGCTCCACACTACAATCTCTCAATAGCCACCTCGAGAAGGCAAGGTGGAACGTCGACGAGATGAGAAAGCCTCTGGATGCTTTGACTGTACGCCTGCTTGCTGGGAGCTTATTGGATCCTCTCGTGGCGTGAACCCATCCAATGCTGATTTCACTATAGGCGACTATAGACGGGCTACAGGGACAGACGATGCAGATTGCGCTCCTGGGAGAGGTTGGCACCAGACAAGAAATAGCTGGGTTGGTTTATTCTGTCAGATTTGTTTGCGTCATTAACAATTGGATGTAGTCTTCGCACCCAGATCCGCAACCAGGACCAGAAGCACAAGGATGGCATCAAAGAAATCCAAGGTATATTCACACCAGCACCTGCTCTACAAGGAGTTTGACCCGAACGTTTTTGATAGGAATCCTAGACGATTTGTTGCAGAACCAGGTTGTTGAGCACATGAGGAAAGAGGGTTATTACTTTCTGGACTCTCCCAAAATTTCCTCGCTCTCGGCTGATGCTCTTCATCTCAGTCGAACAAGAAATCAGCAACCAAATTAATGTTTTAGTCCAAGAGCAAGTCGCCGAATGCCTCAAGGACCACATTCCCCAGGCACTCCAGGTCGAGGTCGAGGAGAGCAAGCGCGAGCTTGATCGGCTTAACACCGCCCTACACAACTCGTAGGTGCTTCATCGTCCCCAGTCGCAACTCGTTGAAGTATAGACCCTTGGCGTTTGATTGTACAGGGAGAGCCGACGGTCCAACGGGAACCTGCGCACTAACCAGGTGGACGACCTCCTGGCGACTATGTTTATGCTCGACGGTACTGTCAGCCCGCGCTTTCCCAAGGATCTCAAAGGGCTATTCTCTCTCGATGGTAAGTCTATTGGATTCCCCCCTCGTACTCCAGAGTGGAACAATCTAAGCCTCCTTTCTTCTGGCCTCTCACCTTCCCTATACCGCAACTGACCCCTTGGTCTCGTTGAAATATGGAAACCTGAAGCGGAAACTACCAGAGTTCTGATGGACGACTACGGAATACCAAACCCCTCAGCCTCACGAGACCACAACCTCAATCGCCTAATGCAGTTCTGCGGAGTGCGATACCAATTGGTGGAATGAGGTTTCTTCCTATTTCCTGCAGTCAGTAGAGACTAACGTTCCTAAGCGCTCGTAGGTTCGCCGCGCAGGCGCTGCCAGGAAGCACTGAGGCGATAATACCGTCTCCTTTGGAACATGTTTTCGATGAGGACCCAAATATGTTCCCCGGCGTCTCTCACATTTCGAGTAGATTCTAAACAGCGACTCGTACTTAGAGAAGTCTGAATGATCAGTTCTTGAAACAATGGCACAAACGTTTTGTATTGAGCTCAACAGTTTCCTCCAAAAATATAGCTTCAGTCAGGGACATCCGCAACTCACAAAAGTGAAAGCAAGTCCTTCGAACCGGGGTCGAACCAGTGACCTTGGGATAGTCTAGAAGATATCCAATTACAGTCCCACGCTCTTCCAACTGAGCTATCGAAGGATGGAGGTTAGGAGAGCCTCGTGCCATGCTGTCCTCGGGAGCAATAACGAGGTAATTCGTCCACTTAGAAAATCTGACATGACGAAGTCTTCATTCAAGCTTCATGGCTGGTATCAAAACATTGTGACAGTGTATGTGAACGACTGACAACATTCCAGCGTAAGTAGCATCGACAACCCAAAGAACATGAACCTAAAGAGAAGAAATGGACATAGTGGCAGTATCGTAGCCGTTCAGTCAGCGGTCCAAAGAATCGAAAGATGAATTACATCTTCGCTCTGGCGGAACCAACACCGGTTGGGTCGATGCCCGCCTCTGTTGGAGGGGCTGGTTCGGGAGTTGAGCTTTCCGCCTCTTTCGGCACTTGCTCCTTTACAGAGGGCTCCTTCTCCGATGCAGTCTCAGCTGGCGCAGCTTCCGGTGTCGATGACGAGACAGCAGCACTAACATCAGGAACTTTTGCGGACGAGGACGGAAGGTGGTCCTCGATGAAGGCGACGACCTCGTCCAACACCTTGTGCATCGCATCTGGCTCGTTATGTAGCTCGTGGAAGCCATCCTGAAATGCTGCATTAATTCCTGGACGGAAGACGGAGGACGGAGGGAACATACAGTCATTAAAACGATCTTCTTCTTGACTGCATCAATTTTGTCGTGGAAAGATTGTGAGGCTTTGTGGGATGTAACCTGGCGAAGTAAACGAAATTAATTGGTAGGGTTTGTCTTGAATGCGTGTCGACTGTGAGTACTGACCTTGTCTTCTGTGCCGTGGATTAGCAATACCTATGCTTGCTTCCTTAGCTTGAGATATAATTCAAACGGCATGTCCATTTACCGGTAGTTCCTTGGGCCAGTGAGCATACGCGCTTTGAAGCAAAGTTTCACCCTAATTTCACGCATGAGCATCATGCCGCGGAGACAAGCATCAAGAAAAGGCACCTTTGACAACATATCATGAATGCCCTTCAACGATCCCTGCTCGCGGACGAGTGGGTCTTTCAGGTATGCAGCCCCGACCTCTTTGTCATGTGATAAGTCCTACAGGAGACTTGTCAGAAAGGCGACAGTAAAAGGTGTAGAGGGAAGGGTATCCGACCTGGGGATTCACGGGTGCAGGGATCAGGAAAGAAGGTAGCAGAGCACTCAGTTTACCGCCAACAAACCTAAGGATTTTGGATGCCGGAGTTGTTTGCTCGACGAGGGGGCTCGTGGAGATGACCCCACACACTGACTTGAGTGCAAGTGCATGAGGGCTCTTCTCTCCTTGTGTCGCGAACCCGAGAGCTTCAGCACCACCCTAACCAGAATGAACGTTGAAGGGGAAGTCAGCTCCGCGCCGGAGACGCGTCTGCACGGCAACTACGAACACAGACGCACCATGGAATGGCCCATAAGGAACAAGGGCACGCCCTCAAACGACTTCTTGACATGCTCCAGCGCCCACTCAATGTCTGCCATCTGTTCCTTCCATGACGTCTTCCCATACGCGCTGGTCTTGCTCTTGTTCCCTTTGGAGTCTTGTGCTGTCTGTCCGAATCCTCGCTGATCATATGCAAAGACCGCAACACCCTTCTCTGCGAGTAAGGGATGGAAATGGGAGTACCGGGCTATGTGCTCCGCGAAGCCGTGCACGAAGACAAGGGCAGCTTTTGGTGCGGAGGAGGATGGGGTGTAGGTACGCGTGTAGAACTTGGTTGACTGTGGGCCTTCGAGCCACGCCTCTGTCAGTTGTGATGTCGACATTCGGGGATTAGAAAAGAGACGGCGAGCGAGAGGGGATGCAGAAAGGGGGAATGGTGTGCGGGGAAGCCCCGTCCGCGTCCAAAGACGGAAGAACATTCCAAATGCGGGGCAATCACAAGCGAAGCGCTCAGCACTGTTTTTACTCTCCCACTTATCTTGTCTGGGAGTTAGACAGCCCGAATCTCGAGAGGTGTATCAAGCTTGGGCTCTGGAACGCTGCAAGACAAAGTATACGTTCTCAGATTGGATAGTGCTTCCACGTCTTTGAAGTATTAATACCGTCGCCCAAATGCACACCTTTAAGACCAAAATATTCACAACAAGTGTCAATTATGGACAGTCAATGTAGCATAATTTCTCCTACGGAACTAAAATATCCTTTTCGACATACGCGGCGTCAAGTAGTGGTTATCCAACGGGCGAGAAGACAGAACCATGGACGAGAGGCAATGCAGGTCTAGTAACCAGCAGCGCCAGGAGCAGCGTCTCCCTCACGTTTGAGTCGCAGGAGAACCTCCTTGTACCTTGAGAGGTCCGTGGTGCCGGCACCAGTTCGGGCAATGGTCTTGCTCTGAGAGTTTTGGAGCTCGATGAGCGTGCAGATACGTTCCCAGGTGGTTCCATGTGACAGAGATGCTTGCATCTCGGCGAGGTATTCAGCTTCGGAGTTTCTGTATGTGGGATTTCACTGGTATTAGCATTTGTAGAGAATGGAAGAGGATACCGACTTGTTATCGCGAATGTTCCTCTCCTTCTTCTTGGAGTAGTTCTCGTAGAACTCCTCAATCGCGCGCTCAGCTTTGTCGATCGTCTCCTCCTTGCGCAACTTTGAGGCCTCGTCTCTGGCTTTGATCTCTGCTTGCTGCTTCTCTCGCCATTCTCTGCCGTCCGAAGCCACATTATCAGTAACAACAGCGGATTTGGGAGTAGGTTTCCACGAACCTGATGACTTCAGGTTCATCCTCTGGGATGCTTTGGGTGAAGATGGGGGTCGAGGCCAGGGCGGGCTGAGGGGCAAATGTGGTTGTATATTGTTGCTGCTGAGGTAGTGATGTTTGCTGTGGGATACGTGTTAGTGGCTGCAATTCAAACACAGTACTGACGTCTGCTGAGAATCTGCATCTCAGGTCCAGAATATAAGAAAACACCTCGATACGATGTGCGGTATTCCCATATGTATGCTCTCGAACGAAGAACCCAAGTGCGACAGCAAACAGCCAACTCACCTGCGGAACATCAATCTCCGGAAACTCGCTCTCAAACTTATCAATCTCGTCGTCGCCTGTGACCTTCACCGCTGTATCCTTCTGCACCGGAGGAACAGCGTCAAAACTGTCGAACGAGAACCCGCTACTCTGGCGCCCTCCAGCGAGAGGGGGTGCGGTGGGGATCTCGGTGCTGCCGTCGAGAGAGATGTCGGGAAATGCTGACGCGGCGCGGTCAAAGTCAATCTCGTCAGCGTTGTTGTTGTTACTGGTGAAGGAGGCAAAGTCGCCGCCAAGAAAGTCGCTCATGATGAATACGCGATGAGAGTTTTTGACAGTGCAGGGGTCGAGTTGAACGCGTTGGTGATGAACTTCAGAAATGCAGAGTCTGGTTCAAGGTTGCGACCAATTTCAGGAGGCGTGGGAGTATACTTCTACTTCGGGTCGCAGGCTTTGATGTTCCGCTCTTGCCTCTACCCATCTTCACGAGTTTTGCCAATGGCGAGCTGCAAGGATTTCGACAACATCAACTGCGGCAAGTATCGTGCTTTTTATCGGGAAAGCATCCCCGAATCCGATTCTCCCTTTAAAACTTGTTTTGCAGATCAGAACCTTCTCCCTCAAAAATGTCCTTTAATTCTGCCTACTTGTCCCACTTTTATCCGTCTCTGAAACCACCAATATACTCCCGTGTCGATTCAGTAGCGACCCGTTTGTGCACTTGAAACGCTCTAGTCAACGAAATCGACTATTCGCCACAATGCTGTTCACTGGAAATCAAGGATTTTCCTTCGTCTGGACGCCTTTGGAACGACTCTCGCAAGGGCGTTCGTTCAAGCCGCTTTGCGACACAATACGCCACGCTATAATTCTGGGGGGTGGGTCCTGCAAGGTCCTCGAGAGCTCTAACGCTTTGATTCCCATAAAGATGGGTCTTTGGCGCTCAGTAATGGTAAAAAAAAAACCTGTGAGGCTGGCTGCTCGTAGCCCGCAGGAAATTCCATTTGGCACCTTGATCCGCACTGCTTGCATTTACGGGTGCTGAAGTGCGGACCAGTGGTGTTTCTAGCACTCGGTTCCCCGTACAGGTCAGTGGTGTGCCGGTCAAGCAACCGTCAACAAAGTCAATGACGGTCAAAATGCCATCAGCGACGGTCAAAATGTTCGACCATTGTTCGACCGATTGCCATAACGAGAAGGGATGACATCACTAACGTTGACCATGACATTCCAAAGAACAGAGATAGCGAGTACAAGGATACATACGTCGATAAAGAATGTAATTAGTTTGCGAGAACCTCCTCTGCGACCCCATCAAGCTCAGGATCCTCCTCGCCATCTGCGTCCAGCTCCAGAAACTCGTAAAGGGCAAGTTCTTCGTCGTAGTTAATAGTTGCATGGCGGCGGAAGCGGTCTTGCCAATGCTTCGAAGCAAAATCAAATAGCGAGGCAAGCGAGCGACTCACATATTTGCTTGCCGAGCTCATCCTTCATACGGGCTGCTGCAACAAATCCCAGACGAAGTTGTTCTGCTTCTGCCTGGCAGCACTGCTCGATTTCAACTTCATAGCAGGCTTTGCAATAGCATTTCGTTTGCCGGACTTTGTCGGTTTTGCGCCAGATTTGCCGAACAAATGGAAAATTGGGTCAGCCTGAGACAACGGACAATCAATGAAGTAGGCGCGCCACCATCCCCGTCGGGCATTACTACGTGTGGCGGATGGCCTCGACATAGCAGAAAGAGACAAATGCAGGAGTAGGAGGCGAAACGCAAAGACGAAGCTGCCTGGTCTGTGTCAGTGATTCTCCCAGCTTTTTAAGCCTCTCAGTTATCGGTTTGAAATAAAAATATGTAGATAGTGTGTAATTTACAACGAGCTTCCACATGCTAATCTGTCAATACTGAAATAATTATACTTCTGAGAAAGATAAAGAGTGAAAAAGGACCTGGAGAAGGAAGGATCCTTGAGGTTGTGAACCTTGTCATCTACCAGAAATGGGGCCTGTGTCACACTGCGGAGTGAAATCAAAGGACTATATTTATTCTGTTCACACAAAAGAGCAAGCCTGTATCACACCGGGGTAAAATTAAAGGATTCTGTACGCACGAAAGAGCAATCTGTCTGAACAAAGAGCAACTGAACGCATAGCGCACTTGATGTTTGATGCGCTGATGGGAGCTGTCTAAATTAGGCTTCGACCCTCGGCAAAGCAGTGGGAAAGTCCATCAAATATTGACCGTCGTTGACCGTCAATTGACCGTCAAGGTGGTCAACGGTCAACGTTCGACCATCAGTCATCGACCGGCCAACACTGAGTACAGGTTGCGCAGAATTGATCTGCAACAGTCTGCAACGCGAGCTGCCCGACGTCGAAGAGACATTGACATCGGCTGGCTGGCGTCGAAGTCGAGAAGACATGTCGTCTTTGACTAGAAGGTGCACGAAAGTTGCTCGTCGTGATCATATGGACAGAAAGTGGGCGTTTCGAGCTCCCCTTCCGTGTGGCGTGGTTGACCAAATCCATGGGATGCGCGCCTCCAAGACTTAATTACTTACGGTCATCGTCGATCGTCGATTCTTAGCAAAGCTTAGCAACTGCTCCGCTGAAATTGGGCATCGATCGGAAACTTGGTCAACACGCCCTGGAAGAACTGCGTGGCCTTGAGCTACACCCCTATCCCTACGCAAGGCAAGAATGTTTTCCTGACGCTAGGAATCAAGGAGGGATGGGCACCGTGAACATGACATAGAAAGCTTCTGCCACTGATTGCCTAATCTTGCTAAGCCATAGGAGCGACGATTAGCGATGGTCGACGATCACCAGGAAAGAAGTGGTCACTTAGTCCCTGCCGATCGCACGTCCATATGCTGCAGGAAGTATTCATTTTGAAATTGCGTCACTGCTGGTTGTCGAGAGGAGGCATCAAACAACGCCACCTCCGCCAGCCCACAAAGGTTAACGCCGAATAGTACCCCTGGACTTAACACAGTAGACGTATAAAAATCCTCATCCAATGCTGCTATTCTTCGTCGTTTGAGACGATTTATCTCCTCCCCTAGGCTGCAGGTAAGTTTTAGCCGCCGTCCTCTTGGAATTCCTCTGCTGATGTCGATCCCATTCTCGAAGGTCGGCCTTGTAAATTTCACGACGCTCACGTCTTCAGTCACGAACCTATTATTCCCGTCCGGTTTCTTGGTTAGTGAATTTGTTCTAGGTGGTTTTGGACCAAGCTAATGGTGTCTCGTGCCTCTAGTAAAGCACACTCCTTCGTCATGTTCGTCTCCAAATGCTTCGTCGTCTCTTTCGGATTGTTCTTTGGCCTTGTCGCCGCGGCCCCTATCGAGCTTCCGAGCGAACAGCTAGTCAAACGTGGGCCAACGAACGCCGTCAAACCCAACCACATGGCGCAAGCAGTCAAAGTCGCGAACAAGATCCGCACCAATCTGAAGACCGATCCTGACAAGGCTGTCTTCTGGAGCGGCACAAGACAGGGCAAGAAGGGCCCCGTCTCCGTCAAGGACGACGCGGCGCGCTTTGCGAAACAGGAAGGCAAAGAGACGATCAACATGGCCTTGAAGAAGAGCAATATCAAGATCCCCACTGAGCAGCAGAACCCGCACTCGACGCGCCTGTGGGACTTTGCCTCGAAGGTGTGGGCGAAGGAAGCGGAGGGCGAGACGCACGCTGTCCTCGGTGGGACCGTCCGCCCGGCCAGCGTCTACAACAAGATTGAGAAGCCCGAGCTCTTGAAGAACGACAAGGTCACAAAGCTCACAGAGCACAACGTGGATACCAAGGGCAAGACTGTTGTGAAGTAAGGTCATTTACTTTTCTGGGAGCGTTTCAAAAACTTACAGGCGCGCTTCCAGGGGTGGCAAGTAATCGCGACGCTGTCGATTGGACGTCGAGAAAATGAAATAGGGGGCTCAGTTTGAAGTGGTGGCTTGTATGCTTTATACGTGTGTATTTAGCCATAGAATTTGAAACGATTCCTACTTCATAGTTTGGTGTGCCCGAACACGATGTTCATCTTGCCTCGAAGGAATAGAAGAGGCTGACCCTTTGAATTTCGAACGCACTTGATGCTTCAATTGCTGTGTAGTTCAAAGTTCCATGATTTAATAGTGGGCACGTCCATCATTCAAGATCACTAATGTGCGCTTGTAACTTGGTTCCGATTTCAAATACATTGATTTCAGGTTGATGCTACATTTCGAAATAATGGGTGGCTGGGTGAACATACTACGTTCGACTATGTTAGAACGAGAACATAAGCAAATCGCAGAGCCTTAGATGGAGAGGGATTTCTTACGCATAGCTAGCTTTCATGCACTTGAATCAATATCTTCACCACCATACTTGGCCTTCTCCGCGGCCATCTTCGCGATGTACACTTCGACGTCTGCAGTAGTGGACCAGTACTTCTTCGCACCGGGAATGGCGAAGATCTCCGCAGCGGTCATACCCTCAGGGGTATACCAGGTGCTCTGTCCTGTCTTTGCGTTGGTGAAGGTGCGTTCGAGGCCGCTGGGACTGGTTTCAATGATCTTCCAGTCAGCAGGTACGAATGGTCCTGGCTATCATCAGAGGTCTCGAATTGATTTCAGGCACCTTAAAGAAGAAACGGAGAGAATGCACCATCCTGAGCGATGAGGTTGAGTGATAAAGTCTTGTAAGAGTGGCTGGACGATAGTGGATGGCAACCAAACGGAACATTGATGTAGTTGAGGTTTAAGTCGTTACGACACAGCCTTCAACGACGGGTCGATATCATAGATCTCAGCTGCCTCTCATACACCGCCCCCCTTGATGATCAACGATGACAATCGCCGGCCACGGTACCAGGCGCCTTGAAAGGTCCAAGAAGTAACGGATTGACCGTCCTCTTAACCGTTGTAAACTTGTGATATCAAAAAACAGGAGGTGCAGTCAAGGTGTAGTGGACGGCAGGAGGTAGGTGAGCATTCTGAGATGGTTTCTGGTGATATTTGACGTGACAGCAGATACATTCGCGATATTTTGGACTGACGAGCACTCTGAGCAGCCCTAAGCTGCCTCTTGGGAAAAAAGCGGTTTGAGGAAGATGAGGGAGGTTCGGCTTCTTCGGCCTGTGGCTCTTGTAACCGGAAAGGGAGGTCATCACGTGTTAGCAAGCAACCTCTTAAGGAACGCCTTGACTGCCACACTCTTCATGTCTCGGCTCTGACGGTGTTCAGAACACCTACACATCTCACATTCTAGCCTTGAAATTATTAGCTGGGTTGAAACTCAAGTCATTACTGGGCTCTCCGATTTAGCCTCTTTTCGACCGCGATGTCTGCTCCGTACCAATTCACGCCACGGCTACCCGCACCTCCTCATTCTACACCAATTTCAGCTTCCGCCCACGTCAGTGCAAAACCAAAAATTCCTCGTGCACCCATCCAGAACCCGTACGAGAAACTCACGCAGACAGAATTCGAAGCATTCATTGGTGACATCACTGGCGCTCTGAGACGCGCTCTTGGCCAGGTGGATCCGGACGAGAAAACAACCCAACACCTTCTAGAGGAACGCGCAGAACCCATCACCAGCGACACCCTCCCAAAATATGGTCAAATAGACCTCAACGACTACGAAGACGAACCTACCAACGATTCCTTTGCAGAAATCAAGGCGCGACGCGTAGGCAAGGGCAAAGCGCGCGACCCTCGAGAAGGCCCCGGGCTAGGGAAAGGGGATCGTGTCCAGCCAATTGAGATCGTCTCTTCTGACGAAGAAGAGGAAGAAGAGGTCAAGCTCGCGATTGGCGATGATTCCAACCTCTCAGATGAGGATGATGAAGAGGAGGTCGTTTCAGAGGACACGGAGGAGGAGCACGGGGAAGAGGAGGAAGACGAATATCTCTGGGAAAGAGGACAGAGCTCCACTCAACCCCTGCCCTCACCAAGAAAGCGCTCGCGACCTGAATACGAGGAGGACGAGGAAGGAGAAGAAGAAGAAGAAGAAGAGTATGAGGAATACTACGATGAAGAAGCCGAGGGGGAATATGAAGAAGAGTACTCCCGTCCAGCTCAGCGCCACTCCAAACGTGCCGCTTCTCCGGAAATCATTGATATTCTTTCGGATGAAGGGGAGGACAGTGGGCACCAGCAGTTCAGAGAGCAATCCTTCGAGGAAGAAGGAGAAGGGGGTGAATATGCGGAATTCTCGGAAGAGGATGAGCAGGAAACTGGACAGCTTGACAGGGATCGTCGTACCAATAACCATTATCGCCGCTCTCGGGACGAGCATATTGACGAGGAGCATGCAGAGGAGCGAGAGGAGGGCCAAGGCGTGTTAGAAGATGACGATGAAACTCATGAGATTCAACCTCAAGAAGAAGATACGTGTATGCCTATTCCTCAGGGATTTATTGTCTCTCTTTTGACCTCTTTCCCCTCCAGCATTCCCTCCTCGAAGCGTACTCGGTCAACCACGCCCAGTTGAAATTCATGACCCATGGTCTGGCCCTCGAACTTACGCAGAAGACTTCTATTCAGGCGGTGACCTTCGGCTGCCGCTCGGAAGTCAAGTTGACCCCAGCCACCTCGGCCCTATGGACGACGAATACATGGTAGAATCTATTGAGGAGCAACAGCAACACATCCGGGAAGAAGAAGAAATTCAACCTTTCGATGAGGATATATGTGGGTGTCGTTTGCATGGTCGCGCGATTACTGTCTCACATCGTTCGCTTGCAGCCTTCCCGCCTCATATAATTGTCCAACACAGCCCTGTTGACCTGCCGGATCCTTGGGAGAAACCTCAAGAATATGCAGAGGACTTTTATGCTCAAGGCGACGTGCGTGTACTGCCCGGTTTCCCCATCGATCCAAGTCTGCTTTCAGGCACGGCAGACATCGACGACAGCATGGAGAACTTCCTTACCCCTGACGTCTTAACTCCAAATCTCAATGAAATGCGATCAGATTTTGAGGACGAAGAAGAGAAGGACCTCGCGATTCGCCCATCATCTCCGCAGCGAGGAGTGTCTTCATTACGAGAAGAAGTAGCTGTTCGGTTAGAGCCTGAGATTATCACTCTCGACGACGAATCAGACGAAGAGCGAGATGATCGCGAGGCAGCGGAACGGTGGAACAGAGCGTATGCTGAGGGGGAGGAAGAGTTCGACGAACTTGATTATGAGGAAGACTTCATGGAGCAGGACTTCAATGACGATGAAGACGTCCATCAAAATGGGGCAAATCAGGAGGAGGACGAAGCAGAGGAAGACACTATGGAGATTGTCCCGCCACCATCAGCCTTTACCAAGCGTTCTGAACGGGACCCTGCCAATGGGGCGGCTCCAATATACTCTGTGGTCGGCGCAGCGCTCTCACAAGACGGTTCGCTGATCTTTCTGTTTCGATTTCAGCTGCACTAACGGGCCTGTACCATTTCAGAGGTAGTCTCTAACCTGGTCGATTGGAATAACCCTCCAGCCTTCACCCAGGGTATACCTGCAACTGCCTCCGGCCACCTAGTTACCCCCTCATCTGAAGAGGAAAATGGAATGTTGGATGATGCCGTCGAAGGGGTTGCAGCTGACGAAGTCCCGGAAGTCTCCTCACCATCTCAAGATGTCCCAATAGCTGTGGAAGTCGAAGAGGGTAATCTTCAAGAGACAGAGGACGATGCCAGGCCACCTTCAGGTTCTACCCAACAGAGCACAGCTCAAGAGGTGGAAGAGGCATCGGCGTCGATTACTTCTTTCGGGGCTTTACCCTTCCTGAAATGCACACCTCCTGCCGAGGTAGAAGATCCGGAGTATTTCCCAGCAATCGTTGTACGGGAGCCCGTTGAACAACCGGTGACCGAATGCGAACGCGAGGTCGAAGTTGGTGCACACACGACTGCCGTCGACCAGGAAGCGGAAATGGTCGCTGAGACCGAGCCGACACTTATAGTCCACGAAGATGCTGTCGAGGAGGAAAAGAAAACCTTGAGTGACATATTTTCCAGCTATACTCCAGCTGCGGTCTTCCCTGAACTTCATGAAAATATCCTTACTGCCCCATTTGTTGGCGGTGTAACAGAGCCAGCTGGTACTTCCTCTCAATCTGAAGGTCCTCAAACGGATACGACAGCAGCTGAAGAACAGACTCTAGGTATGTCACCTTCTCAAATTCCTGCATGAATGCAATACTTATTCTGACGCGTCTTGCCGATGAATCAGCTGTTGCACCCGTGGTCGTTGAAGATGACATCCGTTCGACGCCTGGCATGGACGATCACACTCAGCCAGTGGTTTCTACTGTAGCCTCTACGAGCCACCCGTCTGCCTCTTCTCCGCACGACTACGAGCAATTGCCAACCCCTCCGTCAGAACAGGACTTCCCTTCTCAAACAGAAGTAAAACCTGCGGATGCACCTATTCTGTCATCACCCGAGGCACACGAAAGCAAAGAGAATGAGGTCTCCACCGACGCGGATGATATCTACCAATCCGTCCAGGTAGAAATGGAAGTTAATGTTGAGTTCGACGTTAGACAAGAGGGGTCTGCTGAGTACACTGTCGTGGAAAGTGGTTCCACAGACGATGAGGTGGACAGAGCAGAAGACGCGGTTTCCGTGGACTTTTCTGTTGTTAGCATGAAGGACGGGTGGCAGAAAGACGGGCAAGAAGAAGATTATGTCGTCGAGGAACCTGTTACAGAGGGTCGATTGACCGAGGTTTGTGTTCCTCTCATGTTGACACTGTTCTGAGAACTAATAAAGATACAGGAACCTCCTGACCGTGCGATGAGCCTAGATGTGGCCAGTGTTGGGGTTGGCGGGACCTTCGAGGAGTCGTTGGAGGTTGTCCAGGAGTCCAAGGAGTCAGAACCCGTCGCAGAGGAGATTGACCAGGGGCTGCCTTCATTGCCTCTACCACCTCGTGATGAGGAGCCTACGACATCTCAAACAGAGGTTGTTGACGAGTTGGTCTCACCTGCTAGTGAGGTAGCGATCGTAGTTGAAGCACTGGCAATTTCTTCCAATGTCGCCAATCCTCCGATGATTCTACAAAAAGTACCAATGCCTGTTCGAGCCAACGCCGACGTGCCTGATCCTACGAGTCGATCCCACACTCCGAGACCAGATTTCACTATTAGCCTGCCTGGCTCCCCCAGATTTGTCCTCACTCCACTAACAACGCCACAGCCCACAGGAGGCCCTGTTCCTGTCTCCTTATCTGTTCCTGTCGCTGTCCTCAAGACTTCACATGAACACAGCCAACAACCTCCTTCTCCTGGCCCTTCTTACCTACAACAATCTACTGCCACGCGATTGGATGGTTTATTCACACCTGCTGAACCGTCTTTGAATGGAACTCCCATCGAGGTACCGAAGGACGATCCTACATTGGCATTTGACAGAGTATCGGAGGTATTCTCCGGACCGGACACTCTTCCTGGTCCTCTCGAAGTAGACACTGCTGATCGTGATTCCATCGCCTCGACTCCTCCATACTCCCGAGAGGTTATTGCTTTGGAGTCCTTACCTGTCCACTCACCTCGACTTGGGTTTGATGCCGGCCCAGAGAGACTCTCGGAGAGTCACACGCACCTGGAGTTGGCGACGGATATTTTGGACGACATCCACAAGACTGAGGAGCCGACTGTTACCGCGGAAACCTTGCCTGCACCAGAAAGACCTGAAGAACCTGAACCAGCCCAACCCGAACACGAAGTTCTGCCTCCCTCGTCGCTGCCTTATCGTGCACCTGCAATCTTCGCAGACTCGGGAGTCAAGCTGACAAGAAAACCGACGGACCCTATCCTCATGGCTGATCCATACCCGTACAGTCTTTCGACCCCAGGTGCCTCAATGGAGCCTCAGCAGTATTTAGGCTCTGACGAAGATACTGGACTCGATAACTCCATATCATCTAACTCGACCTTGGAGAAAGAGTTTGTAGAAGGCAAAGACCCTGCCATTTTACTGGACGATGACGAGGAACTGGAATTCCAGTACCCACCAGAGGTAGACACGGAGACCACTGGTGCCAGTGCCCCATTACAGGAAGTAGAGCAAAACTTGACACCAACGCAGGTTGAGGAGGAGGCTCTAGGACCATCACCAACAACTGAAGAGGCAAAGCATATCTCTCTGCCATCGTTTGAGGAAATCCTGAACGCGGAAGATCCCTTCAAACTGATGGGTAATGACAGAACTGTTGCTCCTGGTGCGGTAGAGGAGCGGCTTGGAGCCAAGGAAAATGGTCGTAAATTGGAGATGTAAGCTGCGCCTCACGAACATTCTATTTAACCATTTTACCGATATGTTTGTTGTACAGGCAAACGAATGGAACACCCGAGCAAACGACCATCTCAGAAAAGGTGTCGGAGACAAGAGATGCCGCACTGACTGAAAACACGGTCACTACCCCAACGATCATTCCGTCTGCAGCACAGACCCCTACAGCCCCTTCTGACTCTCGACCCTCCAAACGGAAGCGTGATGCTTCGCCAGAGGCTAAAGCTTTGCCTGCCTCGAGTAAGGGGAAGAGTAGAAAAGCCTCTAAATCCAAAGGAAAGGCCAAGGAGGTTCAAGCTCCCTTGCCAATCCTACCTATCCAAGAGGCAATACATGTCCGACGGCCGTCAGGAAACATTCGGGAGCTTGGGGCGCAGGAAGTACCAGAGGTAGCAAGCCAGTCTAGTGCCGTCGCTGCAGTGACGTATCGAATACTGCAATCTGGATCACGAGCTTCGTCTGTTGCCTCTTCGGGGCCGAGCGAACACTCTGTGGGCACCCAACCCTCACCCACGGTCCACAAGCCCCATGTTTCGTTTGAACAGGCTCCACCTGTGCACAACCTCCTTTTGCACGCTCACGGGCAGAAACGCCAATTGGCCGGCCAGTCAAATACTGTCAAACCGCCCAAGCGGCCTGCAAAGAAAGCAACTCGCTCCAAACCTCCAGCACCATCGCCTGCGCCGCTGTCCACCCCCGTCCCACCGCTCGACCCAGCGCTAGTACCCACTCTAACACCTCCACCCAGTCATCTTTTTGACCGAAGCATGCTACGCTCTTTACCTTCTGGTTCAAGTGCAACGTCGTTCATCATCCAACCACTTTCGCCCTTCAAGTCCAGTCTCGCTGCTGTGCCTCCTCCGCCTCCGCCTCCTCCACCAGCCCAACCTCCTTCCCTCCTACACGCCCATGGCAGAAAGCGGAAGCAGACGGCTGGGAACTTGCGAAAATCTACCTTAGAGAACGCTGACCGCAAGAAACCATCCGCAGCCAAATCAAAGAGTAGCGTTGAGACTCAAGCTGTAGTGGAGCCCGCTCCTGCACCAGCACTTGTTCCGACACCTGTGACTATCGAGGATGTCTTCACTGTTCCGACAACAGCTCCGCAGCCCATTGCAGAATCTAAGGAAATTCACACCGAGCCTGAACCCATCGGCAAATCCGCGCAATCTCCTGCAGCGGAGGCCGAAACTGTTCCTAAGGCTGAATCACCTACCCCTATCCTTCCTCATGAATCGAAGCCCTCGGAATCGACTTCGCATGACGCTGTATCCCCAGCTGTTAAAGATGAGCCTGCTTCAACCACCTTGCCAACTCAAGTTCGCGAACATGGCGACGTTTCGACAGCCAGTTCTACTTCAACCGCCATACCCCCCTCGACGAGGGCTGTACCGGCTCGTCAGGTTTCCCTTTCCAACCCCAAAACCGGTAGTCGATCAACGAGGTCGCAATGTCGCTATCATAGGATTAGCTTGCCAAAGGAGGAAGGTGGCCCACGCGTCTGCTTCTTGGTCCCTGGGTGTTCTCTCAACGACAGAGAGCTTATGAAGGAAGAAGAGATTGAGGATCATGGAGATGCGACGCACGAGGACAGTCTGAGGATGGTCAAGGACATCGAGACCTTGGACTTTGACCAATACCTCATCGGTGTCTTGCGGCATTTAGTTGGTCTAGACATCATTCGCGAGCAGGAAATCTACTACCTACCTCAACCTGGCGAGGCAGAGGTCGCCCGCAGGTACCCGCTCAAGAAGTTGTCAATTGAACGGCCGAGCCTGGCCAGGGGACCAGGCGATTCTTCCAGCTATGCTGGCTCTCCGGGTTATTCGGCATATTCTGCCTCCATCCGCTCTCCTGCCTCTGTCAGAGCGCCGCCATCCATTGCTGATTCTACATCTACGTCTCGCTCTGCTCTTCGCATGCTGATGGACTCCGAGGTGGGCTCTAGCTATGTCGCGACCGACTCGGAGCACGATGATAGTGATTATGATGAACCCGAGAGGAAGCGCGTTAAGCCCTCGCCGCCTGACGATCAAGGAGAGGCTGCCGCCATGGGTCCTCCAACCAAGTCAAAAGGCAAGGGTAAGCTGAAGGCGAGGAAGAGCAAGACAAAGGACGTCGTGTACAACCCTGAGAAGGAGGATCGTGAGGGCGAGTCGATGGTCGAAGGACCGTCTCGTCCTCGTCGAAGGAAGTCCACAGCCACGAAGCGTGGCTTGAAGAGGAGCAGGATCGCCAATGACGCTGCGAACGGTGAGGAGGGCAGCGAGCGACAGCCAAAGAAATTGAAGATGCATGCGACGGCGCCTGAGCTCTTGTCACCCTCGAAGGATCAGCCTCAGCCTCAGACTCATGCCCCTGCATAATCGAGACATTTTTGTACATTTGGAGTATCTGTGGGACTTGCGTAGGCATCTTTTCTCTATATCTTCTTTCCGTATTTCAATAGCCTCACATACAATATCAATGCATTATTGACTATTTCTTGGGAACAAAATACTATAAGACATAATAGAGGCTTTGCGCAAAGCCAGCTGGAGCCAGTGCTGGCTCAAAAAAGTTGCACTGTGTCATGTAGCCAGTAGCGGCCAATTAGTGACTATGCTTTTAACTTAGTCTTATGTAGTACCATGTATGTCTGGATGCCAATGACAATGCAAGTATTTCATTGTATTCATCCGTGCAGCTACGACAATCTCCAGAAACTAACCTATATATGGAAACTGAGCCAGCAGAAAATATCAACCGTGATCAACCGTTGATCAACCACCCCCACAGACTGATATCGCGTGGAGCTCTCCAGGAAATACGAGGTTATAGAGAGATGTAAGTAATATTAATATATGGCATTCATCGGTCTGATATTCAGGTTCTGCTGGCTAAAGGTCTCAGCGCAACGCATTTGAGCCACCACTGGCTCCAGCTGGCTTTGCGTAAAGCCTCTAATAAGATAGCTGTTGATATAAATGTGTCAGCCAAAGACCACTATTTCTTGACTGCTCTCTTTTTCTTTGGTCGCTCCTCATCGTCCTCATCGTCGCCATCATCGGCCTTCTTCGCTCGTTTGGCCTTTGGAGCAGGCTTTTTCTTTGGTTCATCATCCTCGGACCCGCTGAGCTGCTTCGCTGATGTCTTACTGGCAGCACCAGCCTTCGCTTTGGGCACTGGTTTTGCCTTCAGCCTTGCATCCCCCTCGTCATCAGAGGCAAAAGGGTCGTCGTTGGCCTTTTTCTTGAGTTTTGGCTTGGGCTTTGCTTTTGGAGCGTCAGAAGGAGCTGCATCGGGTTTGTCAGCGCTACTCGACGCCTCTGGTGCCTTTGTCTCGGTGGCGGTTTTCTTTTTGGCGAAGAATGCATCCTTCAGCTCCTAAAGCCTCTTTAGAACTGATATCTTCGAATATATGTGTAAATTTCACCTTTATTTCTTTGTCTGGCAAGACAGCAGTGTTTTTCCAAACCTAAACCAACCTTGTGAGACGGTCGGACGGGAGTGATAAGCATGTCAAACACATACAGTGGACGGAATACCACTGGGATGTTTACTATCAATTCCTAATGGAAGGTTGGAAGTTAGGAGAACGGTGCCAATAGCATAGAGGGTAGACTTGCCGACTACGGTATACAGATCTGACTTGACACCACTTAGATTGACGCCATGATTTCGCAATAGAACTTTCATGATCTGTATTCAAAGCATGAATATCATCTGTCTGTTAACCGGAAAAAAAAATTGGCTAACCTCTGTAACACTGTCCTTGTCATAAACATCAGGGAAGTAGACACAAATCAAGTGCTGTGCATTCGAGCTTTCGCTTTCCGATGAGGTCGACACTTTCGCAAGGTATGCAGGCGTAGAATGCAGCGGTCCCGAGACGAGCGATGCTGTGCTTGATGTTTAGAAGCACCCATCCAAACTAGCGCTGAAGACGTACTGGCGATACCGGACCAAATGAGATCAATTTTATCTTGGGGCGCGAAGATCAGCCTGGGCCAATGTGTTAGAAGGACCATTTGACGCAGGCATGGGCTCTAGCCACCATTTTCCTGTGAGGTAGCCATGTTTGATAGCAATGGCCTTCAGCTGTTCCGATGCTTGAGCTTGGACCTTTTGTTCTAGCGTCAGAGGGGCTGTATTTACACCAACAAGATGATTTACTTCTTCTCTGACTTCCTTCTTGCTCCTGGCCCCGGTTTTCTTGTTGGAGCGGACGGGAATGGAGTCGTCATTCTGATAATGTTGTTGAGAAACATCATAGACCATGGAAACATCCGAGTTTTTGCACACCTTGATACTTTCCACCTTTTCTGTGACCTCTTTCACTAAGAAAGGCCTCAAATTGTTGTTATGGGTGCAAAATGAAGCCACATACGAAGCTTGGTTGCCTCCTCGATCGCTGCTGCCACGCCAGTGTCCTCTTTGGACCGCTCGGATCCTCGGACCCAAATCCACTGTCGCAACCAACCGTTCAGGCACCTCTCCAACCAGATACTAATTACACCCTCACAGGCTTCGTTCCATCATTCTGGACCATCGACGGTTTGAACTGCGGTATTGGGAAGCGTGTCAGTATGGCAATGACTCATGATGTATGAGCGCTTCATTTCGTTAATTGCAGCGCTGACCTTGGTCAGGAAGTCTTGCAGGGGCATCTCATGGCCTTCAGCCCAGGCATACTTGTACATTGTGGGCACGGTGTCTTCGTTCTTCGACGACATTTTTTGGTCAATATGGGTAGGAGCAGAGGTGGTTCGAGCGCATCACGACACGCTTCTCAACGACCGTGTTGTTGTGGTCTGTTGACGCGTCACGTCATTAGAAATTTCCCCATTTGGCGAGAATGGCTCCTATTGGGCGAAACAATTTTGTCTCCGCCACCGCTGAATGAGAAACGGTCGGTCAATTATCTCGAGTGAAGGCGAAGCGAATCCTAGGCTCGAATACAGATTCTCGAGCATAGTTCCTTTTGAACAACTTCGTTCTGTTCCACAAGAAGTCCGACCGCATGACGCTAAGCCCTACGTCTCTTCCCACCACATGCACCTCACCACTATCCCCCGCAGAAACAGGGTGTGTTAAGATCCGGGCGGTCCCTGTAGGCGAGTTCAATGGTCCTTATCATTCCAAGAACGCCCCTTCAATAGTGTTGGCGCACTATGTAATGCCGAATTGTCAGGTCCTCCAAGACGCGTCGCGTGGTCCGCCCTTGATACAATGACATTTTTCATACTCTCGGGGCCCCGGAGCTTGCACAGATCGGCTATGACGCTGTCTCTGCTTGCTGAGATACAGACGAACGTAGATGAGATTGACATAAGTATGCACCTTCCTCAATACAGAGGTGGTTTGGATTCTTCGGATTTCGGGCTGGGATTTCTGTAGGCTAGATACCATTCTGCTTGTTCTGTAGTCTCCCGAGGAAACCTTTGAGCAATCTGAATTTTATATACCGACACAAGTTCCGAGCGGCCGCCTTGATAGACGCCTTGATAAATGATAGATGCTGAGCGACGAGCTTACATCGCTCAAGCTTTGTGCGCAGCCAGATGCAACTATCGTGCTCCCAACCAACAGCAAGAAGGGAACCACGATGAGCAACTTCCGTGCCACAATTGCTCGAAGACTGAAATCTTGCAGGGAGAAATGGCCTTCCACGGTGCGAGCTCAACAGGGAGATAACAGCAATGATGGTCATGATCACCAGAATTGAAGAGATTCTGATAGATGGGGGAAGCGTATTACTACCTGAAAGCCAACATCATTAGCACAACGAATCCGCGATACACGAAAATAAGACGACCAACCTATTAATAAAAAAAATACACGCACAATCAAACACATGTAATACAAGCAAGAAAAAAACCGGTACAGCCTCGACGGACCCTCCAAGCCGTCGATCACTACTTTTCTTCAGCTCGGAGCGCCCTGGTCAGGCAGCCTCTCGATAGCATACCGCCGTTTTACAATATACATCAGCGGTACGCCAGGAATCTGACGTATCCGGCGGCGCAGCTCCCGATCACAGGTCGCGACGATGAAGCACTTATGGGCCGTCACTCGCTGGACGAGGCAGTCGTCGGCGTAGGTGCCTGTATGCGAGCATTTTAGGCGCTCGAAGCGTGGGTCTCGAGCCACTCTGTAAATTAGGAACAAGATATAGGTCAGAAGAGAACGGAATGAACGGTGAGAATTGAAGTTGAAGAGGAATGATGGAGAAGACGGAGAACGAGGAGCAGACCGAGGAGCAGAGAATGGGTGTCCCTGCTCTGGATCCCATTCTTAGAACGGTATAGCGGAGGTACAAACACCGCCTCGTCCCTCCTTCGAAACGTGGCTATAAATTGACAAAGTTTCGGAGGAACTCACCGTAGCGCGACTCTGTAACGATGACCCAGCTTTTCCAGTTCCGCCATGACACAATCAGTGACGCACGGTATGCCTGTTTAAAATAGAACGAACGAAATTTTCAGCATGGGAACTCTAGGATAGAAAGGATGGTAGACGGGAGGGAGATGGAGATGGATTGTTGGACGCTCGGGTGGAGAGGATTGTCGGATGGGAGAGACGAGTTGGAAGGACGGGAGGGGCGTACATTTGGCATATAGACAGTCCATCATGCCTGCTATCAGCTCGAGCTTGTTCTGCAGGCTGAAGTTGATGAAGTTGGTGTCGATGAGGACGCGGTATGGGGGCACGAGTGCGGTGTTATGTGCTAGAAATAGCGAGGAGGCGACTTGTGGCCTACATGGTTCGACAACGAATGAGTGAGCAAAACGAGATTAGATGGTTCAAAGAACGTACACCCGGCGAACGGCCTTTTCCTTCGCCTCTTCTTCCTTTTCCTTCTGTTTCAACTGGTTTTCTTTCCTAGAAAACGTAGAGTTTCATGAGTCTTCCCACTATCCTCCAATCGCAATAGTTCAATGTTCGCCCTCACAGTCGTATATCTTTCGGGTTCAGCATCCGCTTGACAGTTGCAAACTTTCTCGTCTTCTTTGCTTTGCCCTAAGACAGGACGTTCTCTTGGTTAATCGTTCTTCCTAACAAGCAGACCACTAGTACCATTGTCGCCGCAAAAACGCCCTAGCACGACGATGGAAGGAGAGGACGAGGAGCGGCAAACAGAATTAGCACCGCCACCACATGGCGGTAGATTGTCGCTGACGTAATCATCGTGTCTTCAGGATCAGGCTGATGGCACGACAGGCCTTTCCTCTCTCAACGATGACTATGTTCAGCCTGAGGCCCCAATGAGCCATCATTACGCTATCGGAGGGACGGTGTTTAATAGTGCATCTGTTTTACAATTTTTGGGAGGCTGTGGGATGAGTGATAGAGGGACCTCATGCCAATTTTTGTTCCCCCAGTTGCTCGAGATGGTGTAGACTCTTTCCAAAAAGATGAAGATGAATGATCATTCACCTCGGCGGATGGGTGCTCGCCGTTGGAACCGCAGTCGAGTCATGTTTCGAGTCATGAAAATTAATTTGTGAAGGCGGCAGGTGAGCGCTAAATGTTGGATTTCATGCAATCCAATAAGCTATGTCGATCTTTTGAACAGGCGTCGAACCCGACGAGCGTAGTAGTTATCTACCACATGGCTACTGGTGCGGTGCACAATAACGATACCAGTACTGTTTCTTGTTTCTGTCAGCTCGATACCGGAATTTTGGGTTACAAGACTTTTTGGGGGGACTGAGGTGCTGTTATGGGTCCTTCAGGTACAGGGCTGTAGAGGCTTCTCAAGAACGCAAGAGACAAGCGCTCTTGTCGCCTGAAACTTCTGGACGCGTTCGCGATCGGATGGTAGACTCGCCGACCTCGAGGCATCTTATCACTGACTTGGGCTCGGAAATCCGTAGCAGGCGGAAAGGGGATTGAGTGCGCAGGAGATTACTACCTCATTGGGAAAATAGGCCGCGGCTACGCTTGTGGCTGCGCCAGAGAATTGAATGGTCGTTGAATGGTGCAAAGTGAAATGGTGCAAAGTGATAGATCCTGTACGGCGCCAGGAGACATTACAGGAGCGGTGAGGGCAGGCAAGTTGCAACAGACACGATATCCCCAGTTTGACATCGTGTGGCGCGTTGGCCGACTAGTTCAGGCGCGCGCGTCCCGCGATACCCACATGAATAAAGAACACTGATTTGGCCAGCGAAACAGCGTAATATGAGATCAATTGCTTATCGCTCACCTAAGAATACATACAGACTGTATTCTTACTGGACGAAAACGTTATCATTCTATGGCTTTGCTACTCGGTGGGACATCTAGGGTGCAACATCTTCATGGTTACATCGGAGGTTAGCGTTGAGGATATGAGTAGCCGATCGGGTTCGAGAGGCCCCAGAGCGGACCTGCGCGTAAAGCGGAGATGAAGGTTGATTTTGGGACAACGTGGGCGTTTGAGAAGAGGACCAGTCAGGACGAAGATGACGGTAAATCACAGCTATTTTTCTCCAGATTCGAGTTGGACAGAGCGGCTGTGCTCCCAAATATCGTGCGTCGCCCAGATTGAGAGACTGTAGCGGGCACTGCATGGACCTACATGGGCGCGCTGATAGAAATCATTTTTCACGAGTACCCACAGCCATGAAAATAGACGGTGGTGAGGTAGTGGAGAGTGTTGCAGAAAGCCAGTTTGAGGGAGAGGAGTGGGCGGGAACTGGCGGATTGTGGTGGGAATCCCAAGCGGAATCCCGGGATCGCGCTAGGGTGATCGGGAAAGAGGGCGCGCGAGATCTGTGTTGTCTGTCCGTCCCATGTCCTTTTCGGATCTACTGCTCTGACAATCATATCTCTCAGACTCTCGTATATATACCCTCCTCACCGCCATGGAACATCAGCATTATCTCCCCCTTCAATCCTCCTCCACCCCCGACAATGACCATCATCTCTGCAGAGACTAGGGCTGTTCCCCGCAGGTCTTCATCCATCTCTGGTACCCTCATCCACGACATCCGCGACGGTGTCGTCAAGCTCACTGCCAACCCGGACGACGCTATCGTCAACCACCCCGTGCAGACGCGTTCGTCGACGCGAACTCTGCCACGGCGGCAGCACGCTACCTCTCTCGTCGAAGAGTTCATCCAGTCCTTCATGGAGCTCGAGAGCTATAGGTGAGCCTTCACAGCTCCTCCAGACCCCTTCTCATACTAACCATACGCAGGAATGGCAAGCCCGTACAGGTTGACGGACAGAACCTTTCGATTGCGGCCGTCACAGCGGCGTCAAGATACGGTGCCTCTGTCGTTCTCGACGACTCCCCGGCTCTCAAGAACAAGATCGCGAAGAGCAGAAGGACCATTGCAGACAAGATCGACGCTGGCTTGAGCGTATACGGCGTGTCGACTGGATTCGGAGGCAGCGCAGATACCCGCACCGACCAGCCGATCCTCCTCGGCAATGCTCTCCTCCAGCATCAGCACAGTGGTGTACTTCCTTCTTCGGCCAAGCCCCTCGATGTCCTCCCCCTGCTAGACCCACTCAATTCGACGAGCATGCCTGAAGCATGGGTCCGAGGAGCTATCCTTGTTCGGATGAACTCTCTCATTCGCGGCCACTCTGGTGTTCGGTGGGAGCTTATCGAGAAGATGAATGGGCTACTTGCTGCCAATATCACTCCTCTAGTACCTCTACGCGGAACCATTTCTGCTTCTGGAGGTATTTGCCATCCTTCTGCGTTTCTTATCCTTTATTAATTCTTATTCTAGACCTCGCGCCCTTGTCATACATCGCCGGTACTCTCATTGGCAATCCTTCCATAAGGGTATTCGACGGCCCTAAGGCCTTTGGTGGACGCGAAATTGTTTCCTCGCGCAAGGCTCTCGAGGCGCATGGCATCGAGCCTATCCCTCTTGCCTCCAAGGAACATCTTGGAATTCTCAACGGCACGGCCTTCTCTGCAGCCGTCGGTTCCCTCGCCGTGAACGACGCCGTTCATCTTACACTACTCTCCCAAGTCCTCTCGGCTATGGGCTGTGAGGCGCTCGCTGGAACCCGCAGCTCCTTCGACCCCTTCATCAACTCCGTTGCTCGTCCCCACCCCGGCCAGATCGAGACCGCCAGGAATATCTGGAATCTCCTGGAAGGCAGCACCTTCGCTGTTACCAACGAGGTTGAGCTGACGATTGATGAGGACGAGGGTGTCCTGCGCCAAGACAGGTATCCTCTCCGAACTGCCCCTCAATTCATCGGTCCTCAAGTCGAAGACCTCCTTCAATCACTCAAAACATTGACCATCGAGTGTAACTCAAGTCAGTCCATCATTTGTTACATCTCTAACATTTTAACCTGACTCCTTCAATACAGCGACCGACAACCCTCTTGTCGACGGTGAAACGGGAACTATCCACCATGGTGGCAACTTCCAGGCCATGGCCGTGACAAACGCCATGGAAAAGACGCGTCTCAGCTTGCACCACCTTGGTCGCATTCTCTTCGGGCAGTGCGCAGAGCTCATCAACCCCGCGATGAACCGCGGTCTGCCGCCCTCTCTCGCAGCCACCGACCCCTCGCTTGACTACCACGCAAAGGGCATCGACATTGCCTCTGCTGCATACGTCGCCGAGCTCGGGTATCTCGCCAACCCGGTGTCGACGCATATCCAGTCTGCCGAGATGCACAATCAGGCCGTCAAGTAAGTTTTTGGTTTTTGGGTGTTTGATCCCCTGCGAGACGATGATGTTGACCGGTGTTTTATTTTTAGCTCACTGGCGCTGATTTCTGCCCGTGCTACGCTCAACTCGTTGGAGGTGCTTTCAATCTTGATGTCGTCGTACCTGTATGCTATCTGCCAGGGTCAGTCTGACCGAGCGATTGTTGGATCAATCTCCTGACGAGAAAATCTTACAGCGCTCGACCTCCGGTCATTACAACACGAGTTCCATGAGGGTCTTACTAAGATCATTTCGGAGGAATTCTCGTCTGCGTTCGGCTCTGTCATCTCGAAGGCGGACTCGAAGACCATCGAGGAACACGTTGCGACCGCCATGCACGAAACTTTCGACGCAACATCCACCATGGACGCCGCCGACCGCATGCAGAGAGTCGCCGCCGCCTCGAGCACCATCCTCGTCGACTTCTTCACCGGAGCATCCTTCGCCGACGCGTCTGCCGTCGCCACCGGCCTCATCGCCATCCCCACCTTCCGCGCACGCGTCGCCGAGCGCCTGACGTCCCTGCTCCACGAGCTCAGAGGTGCCTACCTCTCTGGTGCCCGCGGGCCTGCTCCCGCAAGCCGTCATCTCAACAAGACCCGCCCGGTGTACGAGTTCGTGCGCCTGACGCTCGGCATCAGGATGCATGGGTCGGAGAACTACCACCGCTTCGTGAATGGCCTTGGCGTGGAGGACGTTACTGTCGGGCAGAACATCTCGCTTATTCATGAGGTATGTTTTTAGCTTTGTGTTCAATCAGAGTGAGTTGCTGACTGGGCCGTTCTTTCATAGGCTATTCGCGATGGGAAGATGCAGCCTGTCATTGTGAACCTGTTCTCTTCACTATGATTCGGCATTGGGTCTTCTTTTCAGATGAACGTTCGCGGACAACTTGAACGAAGAAGCAGAAAGTAAATTATTTTAAGGTCGCACACTTCAATTAAATCAATCATCATAGAGTAACTGGTCTTAATCTAACGTCTCGATGTATCCACCCTTTCATTACTTGTATTCCGTCATGTAATCCCTTCACCCACAATCTACAATTTAGATATTTTCAATCCGGATCTACAACAACGACGCGAGGTTGAAGGAGAGATTAGATTACGATTGATCGGCAAGAGGTGCACATATCCTGGACCTGGATGGAGAAAGTCTATTCCGAGTCAGAACCTGCATCCTTCTTTTCCCATTTCTACCTGGTTCTTTCTACCCACTAACCGCTTTGAATCGTCAATTTTTCTCTCTATCCTTATCTCTCTTATTTCTAAACCAACGACTGGGCGCCGCTATGATCCTCCCGAAAGACAAGAAATTTGTGGTTGTTGGGGCCGGGTGTTTTGGGGTATCCACTGCGTACCATCTCCTGCAGCGGGGATACACGGACGTCAGTATTCTTGACCGATCGACCACCTTGCCTGCCCCCGATGCGGCGAGCAACGATTTTAATCGCAGTCAGTATCACCGTCCATCAAACTCTGTTCATCTAGCGCGCCTATGGTGATCGTACAACCTATCTAATCTACGGTGTATAGCTGACCTCGAGCCTGGCGTGCACTTGGTGATACTCTGCGAATATTGCCATTCGTGCTCGCCTGGTATTGGTTTACAGTCGTCAGAAGCTCGTACTCGGACAAGTTCTATACTGAGCTCGCGCGTGAAGCTATTTCGTCATGGAAGGACCGCGAAAAATGGGGTGACACTTATCATGAGTATGTCTTCAAGATCCGACCCTTGTACCCACCCCCAAGTCCTTTTTTTTCTATCCTCATACCTTCTTTCGTCAATACCGCGCGCCACGGTACGGCTTTTCCCCACCTACTCGTGTCTTTCCGATCTGTTTCTTGGATGATTTAACTCCCAAGATCCGGAGTCCTCGTTTTGGGCCTGACGAATGGCTCGTCAGGAGGGACGTATATCGACGAGGCGTACAGGAACGACGTCGCGTTAGGGGCGAAGATCGCCTCCTTGGGCAACGGGAGTGCCATTCGTGCCGTCTTCCCACCTGATGCATGCGCCTGCACAAACCCGTCGGTATTCAATGAACACTGTTCTGCGTACATCAACCGCGACGGCGGCTGGGCGAATGCCGCCCAAGGAGTGTCTAGATTGCTCGAACATGTTACCGCGTTGAAGGGCAGGATCTTTCCTGGAAAGACCGTGAAGAAGCTGCTTCGGCAGAACGGCAAGACCACAGGAGTCGAGTGCAGCGATGGCACCGTGTTTGAGGCAGACCTTGTCATTATCGCGACCGGTTCATGGACGCCTTCTGCTTTCCCTGATTTAGATTTGGGGCGTATATGCTTTGCTACGGGGTAAGTCTTCTTGACGATAGCTTCGAGGTTCTTCGACGACTTATCTGCGTGAATATACGCTCATTAGGCAATGTGTGGCAATGGTCCAACTTTCCGAAAAGGAGGGCGATGATTACAGAGACTGTCCAGTTGTTCTTGACTTCAACTCGGGTTTTTATGTCTTCCCTGTGAGTTGGATACGACATACCTCATGGATTTGTGGCCTTCCTGATCCCGGTGCCGCGTCTGCCAGCCTAATGAGAAGAACATAGTCAAGATGGCTATCCACTGCGCGGGGTACACTCACTTCAACGAAGCAAATGGGTCCATCTCTACCCCACGCACGGTGGCGTCTGACCCAGCTGATGGGTTGCGTATTCCGAAATCCAACCTCCAGGATCTTCGAGCGAACTTCAGAAATGTGTATCCGGATCTTGCTGAGAAACCGTTTGTCGCTACTAGGCTTTGCTGGTAAGAACCTTCCCCCAGTACATCGAATCCCAATATTAACGGTTACCCACCGCGCTTAAGGTACAATGACACCCCTGATGAGGATTGGGCCATTGGGAAACACCCGATGGACGATGCTGTTATCCTGGCTACGGGTGATAGTGGCCATGCATACAAGGCAAGCCTTTGAGTTTGTAGTTCTTGCTCGAGGCGGGGTCTGATTTGGTTTCAACGCTAGTTCTTGCCGATAATTGGACGACTTGTGGCGGACCTTGTCGAGGATAAACTCGACCAGAAGGTCGTCGAAAAATTCGCCGTTGATCGAGAGGTCGCGAAGGCAGGCGCTTCGCGCACAGGTCAAGCAGTACCATTGGATCTGAAGGAGTTGTATAGTCCCGAAGACTTGCTGTAGTAGATAGTCCTTGAAACTTCACGATGCAATCGGTGAATAAAATATGTGGGGCATCAGGAGTTGTGACATTGGGCTCGAAGTCCTGCGTTGATGAACCCGGAGTTCTGTGCCGTCAGTCCAGTTGAACTAAATCATTGGCAACTCACAAAGGCCTAGAATCCTTGAGCAAGAGTCTAGGGAAAATGAAATTCTAATTGTTCTTGCCTTCTAATAACTTAAACGTACACTGAATGACCCTCAGAAGATCCTTTTGGTTGAAATTGTAATTAGTTGGTACTAGATCCCACTGCGTAATGGTAGTTTCGTTGATTTTAAGCCCTCTTGCCAACGAACTCTCGCCATGAGCGGACTTCTGAAGGGATGTGGCCTTCAGTGTATCCGCGGAGGCCACCTTGAGGGATTTTCTGCGCCAAGCTCTCAACGAAGAGCTGAGCAGTTTTGGCATTGTTAAGGAGGGGCAGGCCAAAGTCTACAGCATTCCTAAGAACATAAAGTGTAAGGGCCACAGACCCAGGATTAAACCAATGAATAGAAAACACACCTGCGAGCAACATAGTCCTCATCGACGAAGTCGGCACCACGAGCCTTGGCCAGATTAACGACGCACGAGATATCAAACTCGTCGAACACTTCACGCAGCTTGCGCTTGTCCGTCTTCGGGAACCAGATACGCTTGGCGGAAATGTAAGGGATATCGTTCAGGAATTCCTCGACGATGGGTGACGAGCAGTACAGCTTGAAGCCGAGCTCGCTGAACTTCTTCGCAACGCTAGCCATCTCAGGTTTGGTGATGTCGCCGCCGATGAGGACACCAGAGCCGGCCTTGGGTATCTTGAAACCTGTTGTGCTCAGCAGCGATGCCCAGTAAGCTTCGTGCACGTCCTTGCCAAAGCTGGCAACCTCGCCTGTACTGGCCATCTCTGTTGGGGGAGTATCGTGTCAGCGCTCATTTTTGATTATCAGGCATAGGAAGAAAACGTACCAACTCCAAGGAAGGGGTCAGCACCACCCAACCGCGTCCAGGAGAATTGCGCGACCTTGATCGAGGTATAATCCCGGGGTTCCTTCATGACATCAACAGGCTCAGGCACTTCATGGTCAACAATGGCCGCAGTAGCAGTGTCAATGAAGTTGTGTCCAAGAACCTTCGACACGAAAGGGAAGGAGCGCGATGCACGCAGATTGCACTCAATGACCTTGAGCTCGGCCTCCTGGCTCTCTTCAGCAGGTTTCCGGATAACTTGCATGTTGAACGGCCCGGAAATCTCGAAGGCTGCAGCCACCTTCTCTGCGATAACCTTGAGTCGCTCCATGTCGCTCTCAGGCAGGCTGTAGGGTGGCAGGACCAGGGTAGCGTCGCCAGAGTGGACTCCAGCAGACTCGACGTGCTCCGAGATGGCGTGCACAAGCAGTCTGCCCTTGTGGGCGACGGCGTCGATGTCGATCTCCTGAGCACCATCAATAAACTTGGTGATGACAACAGGGTGCAAGGGAGAGACGTCTGCAGCAGCCGAGAGGTTGTACTCAAGTGCGTGTTCCTCGAACACAACGTTCATTGCAGCGCCCGACAGGACATACGAAGGCCGGATAAGCACAGGGTAACTAGATGGGGTCATCGAAGTCGTTCTTCTTTCAGACAAAGAAATACGCTTACCCTACTTTCTTCGCAAACGCCTTCGCAGATTCCAACGATGTAACCTCAGTCCATTCGGGCTGGTCAACGCCAATCTTGTCGAGTACAGACGAGAACTTATGGCGATCCTCGGCGGTATCAATCTGTGCTGGATCAGTACCCAAAACCTTGACGCCGTTGTTCTTGAGCCGGAGTGCAATGTTCTGAGGCAGTTGGCCTAATCGTACGTTAGTTATGGACCCTAAAACTATAAGTATAAACTTACCGCCCACGCTGACGATAACACCCTGTGCCTGCTCCAACTCGTAGATATCCATAACACGTTCGAACCCGAGTTCCTCAAAGTAAAGCCTATCCGCCTCATCGAAATCGGTCGAGACTGTCTCCGGGTTGTAGTTGATCATGATGGTCCTCTTCCCCATATCCCTGAGCTTCCTGGCGCAGGTAACAGCACACCAATCGAACTCCACACTGCTTCCAATACGGTAAACTCCACTACCGAGCACCATCGTGCCATGCTCGTCAAACTCGACATCGTGTTCAGAGGCATTGTACGTGGTGTAGAGGTAGTTCGTGTGAGCGGGGTATTCGGCGGCCAGGGTGTCGATACGCTTGACGAAGGGGGTGATTCCGAGAGATTTGCGGTGCGCACGGACGACGTCCTCTTCTGATCCCACGATGTCTGCGATCTGTGCGTCGGCAAAGCCCATGCGTTTGGCGCGCTGCATGAGCTCATGGTCGACTTTCTCGATGGAACCAGCGGCCTTGAGAGCATGGTGCGTCTGGACGATGTTATCAATCTTGTGCAAATACCACTGCAAGAGATGTCAGTAAGGCAAAACAAGGAGAAAGTGGAGTCATACCTTGTCGATCTTGGTCAGGTCGTGGATTTGGTCGACGGTGTAGCTCTTCTTGTACATGGCGTACGCAATCGCAAACAACCTCATGTCCGTAGGCTTGCTGAGAGCATTGTCCAAGTCTTCCGGTTCAATGACGACCTCGAAGCCCTTCCACCGCGGGTCAACTTGACGAATAGCTTTTTGCAGACTTTCCTCGAACGTGCGACCAATAGCCATCACCTCACCGACGGACTTCATTGACGAGCCAACTTCCCGGTTGACCTGTGTGGAGAATTTGGCCAAGTCCCACTTAGGTATTTTTGTAACGATGTAGTCCAGAGAAGTTTCGAAACACGCCGTTGTCGTCTTCGTGACGGCATTGGGTAGTTCAGGAAGGGTATGGCCGAGAGCGATCTTTGCAGCGGTATATGCTAAGGGGTATCCAGTGGCCTTGGAAGCAAGAGCACTGGACCGACTCAAACTGAAGGAGAAATCAATTGCTGAGCGGAAGGGAAATGTTTAATACGCACCGAGCATTCACTTCGATGACGCAATATTCCTTAGACGTTGGGCTAAGAGCATATTGAATGTTGCATTCGCCAACAACACCCAGATGCCTGATAACCTTGAGAGCAGCACTCCGAAGCATGTGGTACTCATCGTCGGGCAGCGTTTGCGACGGTGCCACGACAATAGAATCACCAGTATGTGTGCCAAGCGGATCAAAGTTCTCCATGTTGCAGCAAATGATAGTGTTCTGCAGCGATGACGGAATGTCAAGATGATGACAATGATTTCGGAGGAATTAAACATACATCTGCTGCGTCTCGCACGACCTCGTATTCCAATTCCTTCCAACCTTTCATACTGCGTTCAATGAGCACCTGGGGACTCAAGCTCAAGCTCTTTGCTGATAGGTCGCGAAGTTCGTCAGGGTTGTTTGCGAAACCAGAACCAAGTCCACCGAGTGTGAAAGCCGAACGCAAGATAACAGGATAGCCGATTTTGGCAGCTGCGTCGAGGGCAGCATTGACGGAAGAGACGGCGGTGGATTGAGCGACGGGGATATCAATTTCTGCATAAAAATATGAGTTCAAGATACTTTCGGAGAGGTAAACGAACGCACCCTTCAAGGCCTGCACGAAAAGGTCACGGTCCTCAGAAACCTCAAGGGTTCTAATGGGCGTACCCAGGACCTTGACACCCAGCCGTTCGAGAACACCCATACGGTCGAGTTCGATTCCGACATTGAGGGCGCTCTGACCACCGAAGGTGAGAAGGATGCCGTCAGGGCGCTCCTTCTCGAGGACATAAGCGACATAGTCTGGTGTGATGGGTAGGAAGTAGACTTCCGATGCGAGCTGGTGGGAGGTCTGCCATGTTGCAATGTTGGGGTTGATGAGAATAGCCTCGATGCCCTCCTCGCTGAGTGCCTTGAGAGCTTGTGAGCCCGAATAGTCGAATTCACCGGCCTGGCCGATGCTGAGCCCTCCACTGCCAACAACAACCACCCGCTTGACATCCGGACGGGGAAGCTTTGGAAGGACCTTCGCAGAGATCTTCCTCGCGATTTCTGAAGGTGAATTGAGGACATGTTCACCATCCTTTGGCGCGTATGAGCCAACTGCCGGCGCTGCTACCGCACGAAGGGGCTTGGTCTGCGCAAGGCCGAAGGCGGCCGTCCTAGTTGTATGGAAAGAGCGGACGCATGGTCGTAGAAGACCCCGAGCCCCAAAAGGCTGGAGTCGGAGGAGACTCATGCTGGCGATGAAAAGTAAGGAACGCGCTGCAGGACTTCAACTTTTTTTCACCTAAATTTACGGTCCTCTGACTCCATTAACGTCACGTGAGTCGGATTCTTCGGACGTAACTAGCTTGTAAACTTAAACTTTCTTGCCATCGTTCATTACGCTCCACGCCTCAATCCCAAATCTACGCTCAACATCAATAACTTATCGAAGCTGATCGGACCGAGACGTGGTCATGAGCATCGTTCAATGCACCGATGACCACTCACGCGAGCGACCAAATGATTTTTTCCTTGCCATTCGATGTCGCAGTACACCAGCCACGCTACGTGTTGAGTGACCAGACTTCTCAATCAGTTAACCTTGTTGCGTTATTTCCTGTGAACCTTAAGAGGGCGTGCTCACGCTGGTGCTCGAAAAAATGTCGAAGACTCGCTGGAAGGAAGGAGTGCAGAAGTACATGCGACTAGTGTCGACTGCGACTTCCTAATGGTTATTTCCTACCTTCTGCTTCCAGCCTCTGAGTCGGCGACGACGCGTCAGGTCTCTTGATTGTCGCTGCTTATATCTTCTTGAGATCGCCCCAGGATTGAAGTAATATATCCGCCTTGCATTTTCGAGTCCGACGATCCAACCGAAGTCATATATGATTTCCGACTCATCCACAACTTGGACACCGTCGACGCCCTCCCTCCTCAATTAATTCATCTCCTTGAAAATCGGAACATGAGATTGAATTGTCTTCGAATCAAGAAGGCAAAGCCTCGTCGAGAAGGTGGTGAGTTCGGACGTTCGTACAGAGTCGACGATGGCTGGATCGTCGCTGGGCTGGTCCGGTCCTTTCCTACTTCCCCCAAGAGATATGATACAGCAGACGGGCGCTTGCCGATTATTACCCGCGGGAAGATCTCGATGCGTCAGTAGCTTTCGTTACCATTGCGAACTTTACTAATGACCGATGAATAGACGGCTATCGACGAGCATATCGTCATTGTAGCTCAGGGACCACCTCTTTGGCGTATTTGTGGGGTCATTGGATAACAACATGCGAGCCACCAAATCATCGGGCGGAGGCATAAAAACACCCTGTATCGTTATACTGCTTCGTCGGTCTCGGCAGGATATTCTCTACGTTATCACCTCATATCAACGTAGGCTCGTCTTCATGTTCTAAACGGTTGAAAACGCGGTAATCTTGACATTAGGAGTCTCAAAAAGGGTGACGGCAATCCTCGGTGCAATTAAAATACGAATTGTCCGTCATCTTCCCGAAGTTCGTCGGATCAGTATGGCGCGCAAATGGCACTACTGGAGGAACTGGAGGGAAAGCGTTGCTAGGCTGCTTCGATCTTGAGGTGTGTTAATGAAATTTATTCGGTATTCCATGCCTTTTGACGGACCTATTCTCCAGGGTTTTGTACATGGGCAGTAGTACCAATGTGCATCGACGATATCCTAATCAATCGTGTACCCAGCATATTTGGACATGTGTCGAAGTGCATGTTGAACGCCTCCCATTATTTCTCCAGGGACAGTCAGGGTCTTCATTGGCATGTTGCAATCGATGTGCACATGGATATCGCGTCGCATTGAAACAAATCTAGTGAGAACGATGTTTAATTTTACATGGGGACAACTCATTTCATTTCCCCAAGTTTGCGTTCTTGTTTCAAAGGCTTCGCTCGCCGAAAATCGACGACTCTCGTCTACTCTTATCCAGTGAATTATGCGAAGGTTCACACAGCCTAACATAAGGCCCTTAATAGACTTCGGGGAAATACTTCCATTGGCGGTCTGTGCGCTGTTCACACCCCGCCTTTCGCTCTTTCCCCACATTTCCTCACCAGTAGTGTACCACACCTTCGAGCAGTGGGACTGGAGAAACCGAGGATCGCGGTTCCGAATGATAGGCTATACATCGTGTCTTTAGGAAGGCATCTGACTGCCATATAGCTGGTTCGCCTCACCGATGAGACGAGGGCCAGCCTCACGTATATATGCGAGGGCGAGGAGCCAGGCCACCCCAGAAAGTTCGGTCGTGGAGCAAGCATCAAGTACACACCCGTCGTGGACCTTTTCCACGCCTAAAATCCACCATCTTCGAGCGGTTCTTGTCCACCCATCATCGCCACAGAACTGGCATTATTGCTTCCTTTCGGAACGGGGACACAGCTCGCCATCACCTCGGTTGAACCATTCCCTCATCCACTTCGGTGTATTCTCTGGATTACCCCAACCGAGAAAATATGTTCTCCCTACTGAACCGGCTGGAGGGTGCGCAGCCTATCGCTGAGCGACTATTTATCGCCATGCTTGGTGTGAAAGACCATGTCAACTTCAATCCCGTCGCTCTCGCCTTTTCGTGTGGTCGTCCCGGCGCCATAACCTGCAATGTCCTGCCCCTCATCTGTCGACGATGTCGAAAAAGGGATCGGCGAGCAGGAGCCATTCCCTACTGTGCGCGTGCCACTCGCAATAGGTCATTCCGACTCCAACATGACTGATACGACTTTAACGAACACACCCCCGTCTACGCCGGCCGCTGAGAACTCGCCCAGACTTCCCCATTCCTCCACTGACAAGCTGGAACCGGAGTCGCTATCATCTCCTCCCTCCCGCGGAATACCTCCAGTATTGTCGCCACCGAAGAAGAAGCTTGTAACATACAGGGCATCCAGATGGGTCCGATTTCAACTGTGGTTTAACACATATCGGTGCGTGCATGTACAAGCTATTGTTTGCGCTACAGTAACATTTTTGTCACCTCAGCAAATTCTTCGCCTTCGTCATGGCCATCAATCTAACAGGGATTGCCCTTGCTATTGCTGGCGTTTGGTCATATCCACGGAGATACACAGGCGCGCTCGTCCTGGGCAATCTACTTGCCGCCATCCTTATGCGAAACGAACTTTTCGGACGCCTGCTGTACCTAATCGTGAATACCTGCTTCGCGAAATGGACACCGCTTGCATTTCGCCTAGGGTGTACGTCTGTGCTACAGCATCTGGGCGGCATTCACTCAGGGTGTGCGACTTCTGGGTTCCTTTGGCTCATATTCCGCGTTGCGACGATCTTAATCGACCATAAAAACAACCACGATTCGATCCTTGTCATGGGTGTTATTACGAACATCATCGTCGGAATATCCATCATCTCTGCATTCCCTTGGGTTAGGAATACACACCACAAGTTCGTCTCTTAGCTTTCTATGTAACAAAAGGCTGACATTTTTGTAGCATCTTTGAGAGGCACCATCGCTTCATGGGGTGGTGCGTTAAAAATTGGCGAGAACGAGCGCGGCTTTTCTTACTCTCTCGTGTTCTACAGGCTAGGATTGATAGCAAGTAAGTTGGTGACAAATTCGAATCGCCGCCTTGAACCTAAGAATTTGCAGCTTGGATATTTGTTGTTCTCGGCAACAGTTACAATTTGAAGACGCATTCTTGGAATCCGGACGGTCTGCATGTCATTAGACAGCAGGACTTCTGGTTTGCGTTCGGAATGACTGTCTTGTAAGCACACTCTCATTTCCCCATAAAATTCATGTAGCCAATGCAATCGGTCAGTGTCATAATTCCGTGGTTCACTATCCGTGAAGTCCCGGTGCAGGTTGAAATCGTGTGTCTTGCATCCACCTCTGCCTCCGTAGCGGCGATTGACGAACAGAGCATAGCCATCACCAAAAGTGGCAATAATCCGCTTCGAACGCGGCATGCAACAAGGTCTACTTGCGAGGATCAGCCGAAGTTCTATTATGGAGTACCATGCTTTCGGTATCATCTCGTATGTGTCTAATTCCTCCCGACAAGCGACCTTGGTTTTCTCATGACGTGCTTCATTCTACTGGATTACATTCTATTGCAGCGAGGGACCCAAGGCGAAGGACCACTACCTAATCTGTGGGGTGCAGGGCGACTTCACCCGCTCCCTCGTCGAGAAACCTCCTACCCATCTCTGGACGCGGCAGTTGAAGGTGCGTCGGACCACGATCGCTGATGGAGGTATGGACAAGCTGACCGTACCCTATACTCATCTGGGACGTTAGTTCGCAGGCGTCTCCAACACTTCCACACTCTACAAACGAGGCATCCGAGTATGCACCGGAACGGGCCTAGGTGCCGCTCTCTCTACATGTCTGCAGGTATGTCTGTCGCTGGCTTTCCGTGGCGATAAGGATGTTGGATGCTCACGAGACCCGGTTTTAGAGTCCTGACTGGTGGGTATCACTTCTCTTTTGAAGGATTGATCCGGAGCGACTTGAAAGCTCCGTTGTCGGTCCTGAACGTGACGCACGGTATTGATGGGCGACTCTCTTTTTCACCTGCAGGTACCTGGTCTGGATAGGCTCTGATCAAGAAAAGACATTCGGCCCAACAATATCTGGACTCCTCCATCGCAACATTGGGCCTGAGCGAATGACGTTGTGGGATTCCAAGAAGAGAGGTGCGTTGGGTTCTGCATAGCCAGATCACAAGTTGCTCATGTTCGGTCCACAGGTGGGCGACCAGACGTCATGAAGCTCATCAAGGAGGCATATTACTCTTGGGGTGCTGAAGTCGTATTTATCACTTCGAATTATCTCGGAAACCGCGAGATGATGGAGGGTTGCAAGGAGGCTCGGATACCAGCGTTCGTGAGTGCAGACTGTCGAATGCCAGGACTGCTCTTCTAACCTTGATCTAAGGGAACACTCTGGGACTTTTAAGTTACTTATCGCAACATTCGAGAGTGTTGGCAACACTCTTCTGTATCCTTATCGCGTTCAATCTGGGCCGAGCAGTTGTATATAACCAATCATCGACTAGGATGGGCGAAGGGGCCATAAGCAGTCGTTGGAAATCGATTAGCACGGTTATTGCGTCGATAGCTCCATTACTCTGTGGGAGTGCTGGGAAGGCTCCGAGGTGCTTTCGGTAAAGCAGATGGTTGAATAAAGATGTTTTCTCGGTACCATTGCAGTTCTAGGAAAGTAATTGAGAAGACGGTGCTTCGGACGGGCTATTAGCCCCGCACCTTGAATTGAGCAGCGGATATCATCAAGTGCCCTAGAGGAACGCTGTCAGCCAAGCTAGATTGTGTCGAGGCATCGGTCGTCTGTACCTATGACTGCTCTCTTTAGAACGAGGTGGAATGCCTTTATCTCCGTACCAGCGACGGGACATTTCCTGAAAAGTCCAATTATGTGTCTGTTTAATGAAAGATATGCAATTTAACGGACCTTTATGGAAGACACATCTTGGGAGAACGTAAGCTATCCTCCAGTGAAACGTGTGGAGAAGTGACCCACCAACGATTCTAAGGGGGGCATTAACAAAATCAAGGCGTCGAAGCGTATAAGTACGTACCGATAGTGTAGCCATTTTATGAGCTCAGGCATCTCTGCTGCAAGGAATCCCTGGTCCGCGTGCACGGAACTGCCCGCCAAAACACCAATCCTTTCTCTAGGAATCCACCTTTTCACATACTTGAGGACTTCTTGTGACACAAATGCAGGTGTATGAGGAGACTCGATACATGCTTGTGTCAAGCCTGACTAGACAACGATCAGTAAACCGCTTCATGCGGACAAGAAGAGGACAGACTTTTCCATGTTGGTCGATACACCACGGATTCATTCTGCCTCCGCCGAGCCCCGAAGCGTCAATGCGGACACCTAGAGTGAATTTGGGCACTCACCCATCCAGAACCGCCTTTTCCGTTTTAATTACATATTCAATGCCTGGGTCTACGGTTTCCAGATTCCCGTTCGTGATCAACACCTGGGGCAAGCTGGTGAATTAAAGCAGCCTCCATAGACAGAGAAGAGCAAAGACATACTGCAATTTCCAGAATTCTATCCTTTCGAGGATCAAGACCCGTCATTTCACAGTCAATCCAAACGAGGGGACCGTCCAAGAACTCCAGAGGCTTGTACATGGCGGGTAGTATGAGTGGCGGATGTCGGAATAGGGAGATATTTCGTGCGTTTTTATAGCGGTTGATAGGTGCACGAGACTTGGAGCCTGCAAACGATCGCAGCTGGGGTACGAAGGCTCTCAGCATAGAAGAACGACAAGAAGCGTGGAGGCCTGGTGGGCTGGCAGCTGGAACTGACTCGGCGCGTCATCACGAACAAACAACGCGTTATGAATTCGCACCCCTAATCTTCTTCTCTCTCGAAACAACATCAACAGCTGAAAGCCGATATTAGCAATGGACCCTTCAAATCACTACGTGGACCTGGTGTACAAGCTATGTTCCATCCTTCAAGGACTTCCGTATGTCAACCACTGAGGCTATGAATGGAACAACCTTTATCAACTCGGATCTGTAGGGCATCTATAGAGATCCTCCCAGGAGGTCTGGAGGAATGGGAACAATTCGAGCTTCCCTCGGACGCGCCCACACCCTGCGCCACATTCCCATTTGTCTTCGTCGAAAGAAATCTCGGGATCCCAAAAAAGATTCTATACGCTTTATATATGACAGCCATGTCGACACCATGGCGGGCCTCGGGCTCAACCTCAGACAAATCGACAGCCAACAAATCAAATGCTTCAACGCTGGTAATCCTCCTGGTCAACCCAGCACACCAGACAGCCCTGAACCACCGCAAGCGGCTCATACAAGAAGGACATCTCGACGCAGAGAAGGAGCTAGCATTGTTCGAACTTCTCTCGCGGGGCTCGCCTGAAGTCGGGAAAGCGTCCATGATTTGGCATCATCGTCGGTGGTGCTTTTGCCGCGTCTACGACGTGTTCAGGCCAACAGCCCCCGAAGCCGCTTATCGGTCGAGAAATACATCTTCAAGCTCAACGGAGCAATGTTGGCCATGGCCCAAGTCTGAGCCTGGGATGGAAAGCCTCCCGAAGATACCCCCAAGCACGGCCCGGCGAGAGCTGAAGCTCATACAGCATACTTGCGAGACGTACCCGCGCAATTACCATGCCTGGGTACATTGGCATTTCATCATGAACGTTTGCTTCACTTCCTTCCTCATTTCTCTATCTAGATCACATAGCAATTTCTCCGACGATAAGCGGGAGGAAGTCCTTGGCACAATCATCGAGGAGTACGTATGCTTGCGACACTGGGTAGAACTCCATGTCTCCGATTACTCTGCCATGCACCAACTGCGCCAGTGCGAGAAGCTCGTTGACCATCTCGTTGGTGCAGGGCATATTGCGGAGCATCTTATCAAACAGCTACCCTTGTCAGGACTCGTTGACCAATCTTTGTCCCTCTTGGCCTCCTTCCCAGAACATGAATCGATATGGATGTATTTAAGGATATCGCTGGATACTTCGTCTTCGGAGACGCAATCAGCGGTGCTAGAAGACATCACATCCCGATTTTCTTCGACATACCCTGCCTATACCCGTCATCTCATATCCTGGTTCAATAGAGCACATAATTAGAGATACTACGAGGACAACCATTGACAGTAATTTAATTGTTTCTTGGTGTATACAAATTGCAGGGTACATATTGATCAACCCTCGACGAGGGGGAAGGGCGAATAGGTAAACAAACTCAAAGTAATAAAGAGGGACTTCGAAGAAGGAAAGGGGGTATCGGGTGGGTAAAAGGTAAGACGGACAGGGAAGAAGAACAATGTGAAGGGAAAGGGGATATCGAGAGGAGAGGCCCTCTTGTGGTTAAAGTTATGAAGGCGGAAGCAGTAGAGAAATGGATAGAAAATAGGTATAAAGAGGACAAGCCCCGTAGTATGGAGAAGAAGTGTAATCGAAAGAATTAGTGTAGGAGTGTCGAGAGAGATCGATGATTTAAATATCCCAGGCCATGGCGAGAGCAACCGACCAAGTATCGCGCCGATGTCGGGGTCAAGGAATTGGGAGAGAAAGAGGAGGGGATGGAGGAAAGCGGTCGGTTTTTTGTTGTCTCAGCACGGGCAAAGCCTCTGCATGCGTGGCGAGAATTTGAGGTTGGTTTTGGAGTACCTGGGCGCATTCATGAGCTTCGTCTGAGCTTGGCGGAAAGGCTGGACACTTACGAGACCCGCAAGAAACTGCTCGAAGAACCTCTCAGGTATAGCACAAGTTCTGCCCTTCTTGAGGAACACATTTCGACGAGACGCCTTCGATGGGTGCTATGAGGAGTCAGCTAGAGACGGATGGCGTAAAAGGAAAGCTGACATTCCAGATGCTTTTTTCTTCTTCGCGTAATACGCTACCCTTCGTGCAGAGGGCGAGAGGGTGCAGCATGGCTGCCCGTGCCAGAAGTTCGGAATAGTCTGAAGTGGTCTGCGACCATGCTACGAAACAAAAACGTGTCAATAAAACGGATATGCTCAACGAGAACATGAAAATGTACTGACACAAATTTACACAGTTCCTCGGTCTTGGGCAGGATGGGTTCGAAGGGTGGCCTGAGGCATTTGATTTTATGGTGAGGGCAGATAGGCCGGACGAGCAACTCGCCCCGAGCGCTGCATTGGGACGAATTGGTGGCATATCTACACGCCTACACCAGATAGTTTGACTCCATGAGTAAGAGTGACGAAACGCCCTGAGGGGATAAAACCCAACGGCGAGGAGAGCAGCGCGCTCGTCGGAGTCCGGTTCCAGTGAACGTACAATGGATGACACTCTATGGGTGAGGTTTCACGAGGTCCTCAGGAGCCTTTTTATACGTCCTGGCTATGGCTGACTCCTTTTTTTCAAGCGGCTTGCTCAGTACATAGGTGGAGTTCTAGTTGCCAGTTAGCCACCGTCAACGCGCGCCATAGGCCAGTACATCCTAAGATTGGTGACCGAACATATACTTGTTATTTAAGCAACCGCCGTAGGCGGGGGAAGGCTCGCTGCGCCATCTCACTTACGCCAATTTATGGTTCTTCTAGGTTCTTCTAAGTAAAATATGTCTATAGACCATTTGTGAACTGAGGTTGTTGAGCTGAGGTTTCATGGCTTCAGATCCCATTGTGATTGTGATCATCTGAGGCTCCATGCCATTGGCGACATGACAATTGGGTACAACTACACTCAAACGACCCATAAACTGAGTCGCTATCTCTTACATATCATTACCCCTCTTCTAAGGACCAGTTTACCCAGTCTCGGGACGAGGCCGACCTTGGTAATAGGCCCCCAGCCTCGCACAGCACGGATTTGGCCACATAGTACCCTAGCAGCCGAATTTTGAGCCGATCTTTCTAGTTTTTTTTTTTACTCAAAAGCAATCACTACATGATATTTATCTATTTAGATGCATAATAACAGCAGTACAGAGAAAGGGAAGAGCACGGTAACGTCTTCAAGCACAGCGGGCCTTCCCGGCATGCTTGCGGAAAATTTGTACTTGTTTGTCCGGGATCCCAAGCCCTTAGAGCCGATAGATGCGAGCGAAGCGAACAACTAGTAGCTGCTGTTTGTCGTTCTTGAGCCCAGTACTCGAGTACAACAGAAAGGTTTATGAAAAGGCATGAGGCATGCGGTGGAATGACAATTGTACACTCAGTTTGCGTGTTCGAAATCTGGGCGCTGTGGTCAGCCGTGATAAGGGTAACCAGTCTCTTGAACATTGTTGAACGTAATACTTACATAGACTTCAACTTGTCCCATGACTCTTCTGAACGCAGACGGGAAAATTTTCGGTGATAGCCGGCCACAAGTAAACCGTCCTAACTCGTGAGCTCACTGGCAGCAACCCACTTTGTCTGTGACTTAACAGCTTGACTGGAGTGGCAGAACACTAGCATGTGTTTGCATTAGAGGTGACACTGGAATTCGAGCGCGGTAATGTCGCTCGAAACTGATAACTATGAACTATGCATTGTGGCGTTCATGACTCGCCTCCATTTTACTTCGCCTTACTCTTCCAGCCTGAGGTAGAAAGGTGAGTAGCCCCTCACTCCCATACTTCGACATATAAATGACTGTTAGTGCCGCAATTAGATGTCTTATGGGCTTCGTATCGATGTGTTGCTTATACGAACGTCTTGTTATGATAATATTGGCTTCTCTCGATATCTGGTCATCCAAAATTGTAATGTCCTTGAAAGCGGTCGATACTGTGGGATCCATCCTTTCGTCTATTTTGCTCTGGGAAACTGTCAGGTACATTCAAAGTCAAAACGAAGTCGGCTATTCTGTTCCCAAATTCGAACCTGGCGAAGAGGGTCAAATCGGACAATACCCGCGCTCAGAAGCTACATAATTGGCATCTCGCATCTCTCAGATAAAGTTGGCTAGGAATAGGTTAACGATTGTATGGGGTATATATACAGTTAAGTGGTCAGTCCATCCCTTCCTTCTCTTGCTTTGAGACCCACCTCTCTTCTCCCTATGCAGGACAAGGAGGTTCCCCCAGAAAAAGTTTCCGTTCAGCATGTCGACGTCGCCTCGTCTGACGAGACCTCTGGTGACGGCGTTTTGCTTACTGCAGAAAACAGAACGTCAGCCGAAAGGAACCTGGTAAGAAAACTCGATTATCGACTCTTGCCTACAATCGCGGTGATTTACATCGTGAACTACATCGACGTAAGCATTCGTCGCCTCCAGTTATTGTGGCGATTCTAAGTTGCCGTCCTAGCGGGTTGCCGTTGCGTCCGCAAGGCTCAATGGTTTGGAAAAAGACCTAAATCTATCTGGTATTCTTTCGGTAGCATTAACGTTACCCGTCCGAGTTTGATCTCCCTTTGTGCAGCGATACAATATTCGACAATCATAGCTATACTTTTTGCTGTGTATTGTCCAGCTCAAATACCTTCGAACATGGTATTTCCATCTTCTCTGGCTATTATTCGGTGCTGATCTATAACCCCGAGATTCTCAACCACATCTCACGGTATTTGCCCTATTTTGCTTCCCAGACCGAATTCTGTAACTCAGAATGTGGCCTATTGAACACAGGCCTTCTCTGTATATCGGTTCGTGCACAGTCCTATGGGGTCTGGCAAGTCTCCTGGCGGGAGTAAGTCTCGCTGTTATCGAGAGATGACGTCCTAGAGCGCTGTCTTCTTGACAGACAACGAAGAACTTCGGAGGCCTCATGGCTTGTCGAGTATTCATTGGGTTTCCAGAGGTGCATACATTTACTCTATTGCTGGTTGAGAGTACCCCTAATAATTGTATCAGGCTGCGTTCTATCCGGGATCCATCTACCTTCTATCGAGGTTCCTGCCCACTATTCATGCCCATCGCAAATTGTTCGCTTACGCAATTTAATTTCAAGATGGTACACCAGAAAGGTCGGATATGCCACTGTTGTACATGTCCCCTCCTAACCTTGTTATCTTAGGAGTTGGCACTTCGATCCGCGGTTCTATATTCAGGGTCAATCATAGCCAATGCATTTGGAAGCGTGAGTCTGAGAAGCTGCTTCGATGGCCTGCAATCTCATAAAGGCCCGATTAGCTCGTGGCGGTGGGAATTCTAGGTGATATGGAGGGCAAATTAGGCATCGGAGCATGGAGATGGTGAATCCTTTCTATAGGCTACACCCGGAAAACTACTGATCGTCAATTCTAGGCTGTTTTACATCGAAGTGCGTCTCCTGATATTTGACCATCTGGTTTTCAATGTGAACGAGACGAACATCATGATAAGGGTGCTATCACCATCTTTATCGGGTTTCAAGCTATGCAAGTTTTTTTTGCTTTCCCACCTGTCACAGTCATTTACTTGTATCTCGCAATTTAGGTGGCTTCTCCCAGACTACGTGAGCTCCTACGGTATTTTTAGGGTTCATTCATGGCATACCTGAAATAGCCCCATAACACGCGGTGGATAACCCTGGCCGAACGAAGACTTGCCCGTGCCCGTCTCGCAGAAGATGCCGGTGAAGCTGATGAAGATCAAGACAACGACACGTACGTCTTACCAATCCTATGGCTTGTATCTTCAATGGGCTCAGATGCCCAGTCCATGGCAGGGCCTTAAAATGGCACTGCAAGACCCGAAAGTCTACCTCTTCTCATTATTCAGCTTCTGCGGATTGCTGAGCCTCGGGTTTGTCAATTTCTTCCCAACGCAAGTTCATAACGATGTTCGGGTTGCTGTGTTTAATGACCGGTGTACTAGTCTGGCGGCCACTCTTGGATTCTCGAATGAGATCACACTCCTGCTCGCTGCGTAGGAGATGAATTCACGTTTCCAGATCTGACCGTTCTCATGTTGGATTCTAGACCTCCTTGGATTTTAGCAGCTATACTTTGCGTCCTCAATGCTTGGCACGCTGGCATGCTCGCGCCACCTCTACGTAACTGTACATAACTCACAGTGACCATAGATCAAACGGGGGAAAGGTTCTGGCATATCTCGACATGGTGGATTCTGGCCATTGTCGGACATATTATCGCCTTATCAACTATGTCCGTCGTAGGACGATATTTCTCCCTATTCCTCCTGGCGTTTGGGCCAATCGCGTCCTCCATAACGTTGGTATGGGTCAGCAACAGCATTCCACGTCCTCCAAGCAAGCGTGCTGCCAGCATTGGCGTTGTGAACGGGTTTGGAAATATCGGAAATCTGTACGCTATTTGACCCTGCTATGTCTGCTTACAGATGCTGATGTGGTCATGCAGCACTAGTTCGTTTGTCTGGAAAGCTAGCTGGGGTCCAGAATACCAACCGACATTCATCATCGGGATATGCTCAATTTCAGCTGCAATCCTCCTCGCGTTCAGTATGCACGAACAGACCTCTTTCAGGGAATGCCTTTTTCTGACGTGGAACGTGTAGTAATGCGCACAATATTGATACGAGAAAACCACCAATTAGACCTCCATGAAGTGGGTGCCTTGAAGCAAGCAAGACACGAGCGCGTCCAACAGGCAGCCAGACTAGAAGGAATTACCCTCGAGGAGGCTATGCATAAGAAACGAGGCTTCCGTTACTTGTACTGATAGATTTCTCCAGTACTTTCCGCAAGCAGCCTAATAGCTCTGCCCACATCCTTCATCTTGTAGTCCTCGCATGATTATCAGTCAAACCCCTTTCTCCAGCTCACAATGAGGTTGGATAGCGCCCTTCCAGGTCCTTTCGTTATCAGTTGGTGCTTCGAGTTTAGTCTGGCCATTCGTTTTCATGTCTCGAGGCATAAAGCTGACACCAAATTCTCATTATTATTAATAATGCTAGTATAGATGAGCATATGTATATGCCTTTCCATAACTCAAATTTCAAACCTCGACCCCTACATCCCCCCTTCGGAACCTCGTTACGATGCGATCACTAGCCCCTACAGTAAGAGTAAGTCGTCCGATGCCTTTGTTTAGACGAAATGACTTACTTTGTAACAGTCTTCTCCTTGGTTCCCTTGTTGTGTTCAGTGACCTTGGTGACCTGGTCGTTCTTCATGAGTGCCGGCTTTTCGGTCTTCTTCCAGACGCTCTCTGGCCGAACGTTGCCACCGAGAATGGCGTGCGTCTCTCCCTTCGCTCTTTGGGCCATAAGTTTCGAGGCGATGTTCCAGAGGCGCGGCGAGTGGGGATTCTGCTTCTCGGTGGGGATATGGATGTTGGCCTTCTTAAGAGCCTGGTTGAGGGTCTCTTTCCCGTGGTACTTTGCGAAGCGCTGAGCGTCCTGCTTGACGGACACCGTCTCGCCTTTCTTGTTCGCCTTTGTTCCGCTCCAGAAGACGGCCGAATTGGGCTTGGGATGGATCGACTCTTTGAGTTTCTTAGCCACCTTGACTGCGTGGGTCATTTGCCTCACGGTGGACTTCACGGGCTCGCGGATCAGCAGTTCTGTCTCACTGGAGTACCCGGCAATGGGCGCAGAGGCGACGAGGCTGGCGAACAGGACGAGAGCGGCAAGGAGGTATCTTTGAGTGAACATGATGAAGTATGGTCGTTACTACAGGTATGGGGCAACGTCAGCTCATGAGCCTTGCAGAGAGAGGAAATACGACTGACCGAGATGAACAGAACGAATTATTCAACGTCGTAATGGGAAAGGAGCGCGAGTGTCGTAGTTTTGGCCGACCTGTGCTCCTAACACATTAGTGGCGATTAAGGATCAGAGTGCGAGGGCGATTATTACCTGCAGCCTGAGTTTGTAGATTTCGAGGGTCGTATCAAACGATAGGGAAGCAGAGCGAGAGACGGTGCGCTCTTATAGGCTGTCGTACCGAAGTCCACCACATCGCATATCTTACCCAGCGCCGTCTCTTAGGCCTCTGAAGTCCTCAGCGCTCAGTAATCGCTTTGTCGGTCATTCAGCCATCCGTTGATTTGCGCAGGAATAATTGATGGAGTTGCGGAACCGCGTGGTGTAGGCCCTCCGCAGAGGTGAGTGATATTAATCTCATAGTCCAGGCTATTGAACATCGTGGTTTCGTCAACGGAGAGTGAAAATTCCATTCACCGAGCTCGTTTGGCGAGCACCGCCTGCGTCCGATGTAGCGGACGCTCCTCGCAAGCATGACAGAGCCTGTGGACAACTGGGCATAATCTCCCTGGGCGCCCAAGACTCCAATCAGGGTTCCTAAGTACAAACTAGGAGATAAGCGGGGATTTTTAGGTAATTGACTGATTGGGGTCGGACTTGGTGTCTGAGCGCTTAGCTGGCTGGCCTGTCTCCAGTCGAGCCCTCGTCTCAGAACGCTATAAGCATTGATTAAGTAGTCCTTTGTATGTCTGGCGGGAAAGCAATAAAAAATCCGAAGAGTAGAAGTTCGGTGCGTTAAGAGAATGGGAGTATTTTCTCGTACTCGGTCGTAGCGCTCGTGGAGCTGAAGCAGGTTCGGAAGTTGCCGGCATAGCCACAATCGATGAGATCAATCGATCACATCTGTCGTTGAAATTGCAAGTTAAATGGCATCCCTCGAGGATAGCGACTGAGAGAGGTCTGTCTCTTCGCATTCTGGCGTTACCGACTTACATTTCATTGAAAGTGGCGTTATTTGCGTGCCCGGAGAGCCGTGCGGAACGGCAGAAGTGAAACTGACTTCACGGAGATATGGAGGGTAGGAGCAAATTAGGACTCCGGCGATTTCGCGGAGCGTGCTGCCAAGAATATGCTTTTTCGGTAAGGAAAATGCCATTCTCATCCGAGTGTGGTCTCATGATACACAATGCGTCACCTTTTATACCCCCCCGCCCTCAGTCCGCATGCCCGACTACCGAAGTCATTGTGAGCGACATTTGCGAAGCCATAGACCGCGCTATTGGACGCATTGAATGTGACTCACTCCCATCGGCGTGCTGAAGCGTGAACTGGACACTTTATTATTATACAACATTATGCTACAGGGGTATACTTTATGTCAGTTGACGCTTCAACTCCTACCCTGTGAGGGTACTCATCCGTCGTCTTCCTGTAGCTGATGACGGCGCGATTACTTCCTGCCACCCCTGGACTTCGTAACAGTCTTCTTCCCGGTGGCTGCGTTGTGTTCGGTGACTTTGGTGACCTTCTTGTTCTTCATGAGTGTCGGTTTCTCGATCTTATTCCAAACGCTCCCCGGGCGGACTTTACTGCCGAGGAAAGCGTGTGTGTCTCCCTTTGCGCGGTGAGCCATGAGCTTTGAGGCGACGTTCCAGAGGCGCGGCGAGTGGGGGTTCTTGTCAGGGATATTTACGCCGTGCTTGTTAAGCTGCATATTGAGCGTCTCTTTCCCGTGCTTCTTCGCGAACTTCTCGGCGTCTGCTCTGACAGAGGTTTGTTTTCCCTTCTTGTCCGTCTTTGTTCCACTCCAGAAGACGGCGCCGTTAGGCTTGGGCTTGACTGCCTTGTTGATTTTGCGGGCAATGCCAACGGCTTGGAATAGGTTCTTGATGCCTGGTTCAGGCTCACGAGAGGCGAGATCTCCCTCACTGGAGTATTCAATGGGCGCAGCGGAGACGAGGCTGGCGAACAGGGCGAAGGCGATAAGGAGGCACTTGGGAGCGAACATGATGAAATGTGGTCGTTACTACAGGTATGAACGGCATTAGCTTGTGCCATCGCAATTAAGATTTATCGACACTGACCGAAGTTAACAGGAAGAAATTAATTTTGTTCGTGAATGGGGACGTGAGCGTCGTAAAGGGCCGACCTGTGAGATCAAGATTAACGGATTAACCACGATGATCAAGGATTCTCGTCGAGGACGACATTACCTGCAGCCTGGGGAAGGGGATTTTGGGGTTCGTATCAAACGATAAGGAATAACGCCCCTCGGAACGCCATTCTTATAGTGCTACTCGTCGCCCAGCTTTGCCACATTACCCAGAACTAGGACACTGTTACCTCGCGGTGTTCCATCATTCAGCGCTCAGCAGTCAACATCCTTCCTGGCAATCCTTTTGCTGGCTGTGCGTCGACTTCTGTCGACTTGCATCGTGAAACAATTGATTGACAAGAAGAACACCTTGTACAGAGCGCGTCTGTCAGAGAGCCTGAGGTCCGAAGGCAATTGATATCAGTCGCCTGTCTGCGAACTTGCATTGTCAAATGATTGAGTCCTATTCTCGAGTGACAACTCACTGGAAGCAGATTATGTCCGCAACAGCCGACGCATGCGTGAGGGCGAAGTGTCAACAGCTGTTTGGTGGATAAATGCAGCGATGGATAGCACTGGGAGAAGTGGACAAGGAGAAGACTGATGAGATTGCCAGTGCAGACTTGTTACGTAACTCAGGGGCTTGTTATTCTTGGCGGCGAGTGGTTTGAACTTGAGCTTGAACGATGTGAAGCTCGAAGTCCCCCCTTCAGCGCACATGCCTGACTATCGCGGACATTCTCACCACCAAGCCAACTGTATTGTGTGCTGAATCTGCGATGCCATAGACCCCGTGCTCTTGAATGCGTTCGATGCGAGGCGTGCGACTCAGTCCCCACCGGCACTCAGGCTGAAGCGTCAAGCTGGCCTTATATCTTATACAACACTATTATTACAAGCGAATACTATATGCCAGTCGACGCCTCAACTCCTACCCTGTAAAGGAGCTCATCCGTCGTCTACTCGTCTGTGACTGACCGCGATGCGATTACTTCTTGCCCCTGGAATAAACTGTTAATCGCCTCGAAGAAATGTGCAGAGAAAATGCGCTCGCTTCGTAACGGTCTTCTTCTTGGTGGCTGCGTTGTGTTCGGTGACTTTGGTGACCTTCTTGTTCTTCATGAGTGTCGGTTTCTCGATCTTATTCCAGACGCTCCCCGGGCGGACTTTACTTCCGAGCACGGCGTGCGTCTCTCCCTTTGCGCGCTGAGCCATGAGTTTCGAAGCGATGTTCCAGAGACGCGGCGAGTGTGGGTTCTGCTTCTCGGTGGGGATCTTGACGCCGTGCTTCTTGAGAGCCATATTAAGTGTCTCTTTGCCGTGCTTCTTGGCGAATTTTGTAGCATCCGCTTTGACAGACACTTCTTTGCCCTTCTTGGTCGTCTTTGTTCCACTCCAGAAGACGGCGCCGTTAGGCTTAGGCTTAATCGCCGTTCTTATTTTTCGGGCAACACCAACAGCTTGGGCTAGGTGCTTGAGGTTAGGGAGAGGCTCACGAGCAGCCAACTCTCCCTCATCGGAGTATTCAGCGATGGGTGCTGCGGAGACGAGGCTGGCGAACAAGGCGAAGGCGACGAGGAGGTACTTGGGGGCGAACATGGTTAAAATGTGGTCGTTACTACAGGCATGAGCGATATTAGTTTGCGGCATTGCAATTCAGAATCAGAGAAATACTGACCGAAGTTAACAGGGAAAACTAAGGTTATGTGTGAGGAGATGTGAGCGTCGTAGATTTGGGCCGACCTGTACGATCGACAGATTAATCACGACGACCAATAACTTTGGTGGCGACGACATTACCTGCAGCCTGGGGTAGGAGAGTTCGAGGGTCGTATCAAACGATAAGGAATGGCATCCATCGGGACGTACCTTTCATATACTCCCGCTCGTTCAGCTTGGCCACATTGCCCAGAACTAGGACACTGTCTTGCGGCGTTTCATCATTCAACGGTGAACACCTGTTCTGCCAATCCTTTGGCAGGCTGTGCGTCAAACAATTGATTGACTAGAAGAACTAAACATACATACAAACTTATCACCTCGATCAGGCGGTCTGAGGTCTGAAGGCAATTGATATCAATCGCCTGTCTGCGACCTCGCACATCGTGGCCGTGTCAAAGGCTTGAGTGACGAGTCCTTTCCCGTCCTTTCTTGAGCGAATAGTCACAGGTAACTACCTCGTTACGCCCCTTGCGCCCTTGCGCCTGCAGTATGCATGAAGGACAAGGATCAGATGGCGAGTAAATGCAGCGAACTAGCGACTAGGACTCGGAGAGATAAGATTGCAGCCTTGTTACGTAAATCGATATCAGGGACTTGATCCTTACTTCGACCAATTGGCGCCAAACATCCACGACTCACCACGAGCTCCCATGCGAAAGTTTGAAGAATATTTCCACCTCTACAACTGGGGTTTAGTCCGGAAATTTACCATGAACCCATCTATCTTGTCTTTGGGATGCGTGTATTGGGTTCTGGAAAATGGTCACTGGGCCAGCATGCACCATGTAGCTGTGAAATCACCGGCGCTCATCTGCAACTCTCTAGGAAATTGTGTTGTGTTAAACGATGCTTATCCACATATCCTTCTCATTTTTGACACTAGTACTAGTCCCGCCGCGGCATTCACATGTGGACAGTGGCGCGAAAGGCGATGCACACTCTGAATCCGCGCGGGACTCACAGCTTTTTTTGGTTGAAAATGCCCAGAAACTAGGGATAGTATGGGTTCAACATCTGGTGCGAAACTCAAATTCCATCAGCAATTCCTGATTTTTGGCCATAGCCAGCCATAACAGCCACCTTGATGCACATAACGCTGCATAACAGCATAATGTCCCAAAATAGCAGGTGACGGCTACATAGTGCTACGTAACATGAGTTCGAGCATCGGTAGCAGCCTGCACCAATGGCGGCAAGCTCTGGAGGAGCCTGTAGCTCCCGTTTATGGAGTCAGAGAATGCATTAGTCCACAACGCCTCGAGCATGTAATGTCTTAAATATTTTTTAGCACATCTGCCATTTTCCCCTCCAGCTGCACGGCGATGACAACATATTTGATGATGACATATCCGATCTACATAGGGCCAGTGAAAAGTATGAAAAGATAAACATCAGTGCAGGGCGTAGAAAGTCTCTTTATCGAAGTATTTGTTCAACCAGAACTCTGTGCTGTAGTGAAGACTGTTCTGCTTGGTAAACTTCCTATCGGCCTTCTGACCCAAGCGGGGTGAAACATCAGCAAGTGCACGTAGTTGACACAGGGGTACGACATCTCCAATGAGCTCGCCATTTGTCCTCATGCCATGCTTGAGAAGGTGAAGTCCTGATGATGGTTCAGGATGTGGGCCACATGTAGCAGGATTTTTGGGATCTTTTAGGTGGGAGATGATGTCGTACCGCTGGATGTAGGCCAAAAAGCGACCGGTGACTGCCTGGTGGAGATCATCTTTGAGGATTTTATCAGAACGAGTTGATGGGACTATGTGGAAAATAAGGCGAACGTCTGCTATCAAGTGACCTGATGTCAAGGATTATCATTAAAATCAAAATCAAAGATCAAATGGACGCACCATTTAAACCACTATTTGGCCATTTCTGGGAGGGATCCATGTTGAAAATGGCCTGGTCAAAATTACCATGTGGCCAGGCTTCTGATAGTGGGGCAGCATTGATAGTTATGGGTGGAAGAATGGGATGTGGATCATGGTATGCAGTCGTTTGAAGCCGAACCTTCTCCCAAACCTCAACATGTGTGAATGGCAGCTGACAGTCTTTTTGAGCGAAGCGATGTCCTCCGACTGCTGAAATGTGGAATTGCGGAGCTCCAGATGATGACCTGTTGATGAAATCTGCAATTGCGGGGCGTAGATCTGCAAGCCCAAATCACTGAGCTACCTCGTCGATGAAAAGCCTCTTGAAGCTAGGATCATGGCGCAGGTGAAAAACAACATTCTCAGCACTCCTGTGTGTGCGAGGAGGCTGAGAGGCAGTGCTTAGGAGACCACGTTTGAGGAGGGTAGCACGATAGAAGTAATCGGTCGGTTTTCTGCCAGAATGCTGACGATATTTGACTGGGTCTATGAGAGTCATGAGTTCCCCTGTTGCATTCACCAACAACGGTGCATCGTCTTCCTCATCCTCAGTGTCCCAATCACATTTGTCGTTGCCTGCATTGGTGTCGAACAAAACTCCACGGAAATCAAGACCTGCCTCAGCAATCACTGTAGCAAGATCAAAAATGTCCAGTTTATCAACCCGATCCAAGTACCAGCAGATTTGAGGCTCATACTTCTGATTATTGCCAGAATTTGCTGGATCCTTTACAACCCATATGTGCGCATTCTCTGTTACATCAGCTGACCACTGGATTGCAGCCCCATTATACTTGATATTGGAAACCACGCTCTGCATAAACTCAAGCTTTGGAATGTACCAGTTCTCAATTGGACCATTCTTTCCACATCGAGCACCAGCATCCAGGATTGCTTGCTTGTGGTTGTGAAAAGTTCTCAAGGCGTTTTCGATCTGAGTGCAGATGTTGTCGCTGATAACTGTCACCTGCGCTAGATATCGGAAGTCGATGAGAGCACGTATGGCGATCAGGAAGGGGCCTGAGACAGCACCAGCAATAACTGGAACAATGTACCGTTGAATATCTCGGTGTTCCCGCCCTGTAACCTGCTTTAAGGTTGATACACCTTCTTTGAAATGTTGGAAGCCAACACGAGGGTGAAGAATGGAGAAGCGGAAATCAATCTCATGCCCCCCAACGGCCTTGATGCACCACTTCATATCATGGTCCCAGAATTCCTTGTGCCAGTGGTGCAACGGTTCACTGGTGAGAAAAATTGGGGGCTCTGAGAGTGGCCAATCGCGCCAAAAAGGGCGATGCACACCATTGAGACGGTGCTTTGTTGATTCCTTTTCGTATCCGTCAAGATCCCATGGATCCAGACCCAAGTCACTTTCAAGATACTGCAGGGTTTTGATGGTAGTCGATGCAAGGCGTGGAGGATGTCAGAATGGATCTCCAAATTCCTTGTACGTTGCTAGAGTGACCGATGATGTCTTGCCTCCGACACCAGCGATGAGGATGGATTCAGGTGTGTCGACGATATGTGCTGCAAGTGGGGTAAAACACCACCTTTGAAATCCAAGTGGATCTGATAACATGACACCAATTTGAGCCGCAATCTTCAACGGTTCAGTGATTATGTCAAGGCATTCATGATACAGGCGGTTTTCCAGTATACCGCGTATCTTTTGGTTGCGGTGTAGGTATTTAGGAATGGGGATTAGGGCAAGGAGAAGGAAGGCGTGGTTGGATGCCTTATTCCGAAATTCCATTGACAAATTGGCCAGGCTGATGAGGAGCGGATGGGCGACCCGCCCACCAGTCATGATTGAGATGTTGGTCTTGTCTGAAGATAGGATCGTCCCTAACAAAGTTCCGTCAGGGGGTAGCATTTCCTACCGGTGACAAACATTGAGTACCTTTCCAAATCAGATGCTTATGTGCCTCTACATACCTGCATAAACCATGCTGCATTACCCAACAGCCACTCCGTGTAAACCCGCATTAGTTTGGCAGAGCTCTCAAAAAGCCGGAAGGGGGTGAATGAGAGGTGATCTTGCAAAAGTGGGCTTCGCAAGAGAGATTGAACGCATTCTATGGGGTCCCGGTGGTAGAGAACGATGGGATTCTTTGTTGGGTGCTTAGGGGCTAGGGTGCGGGACTTCCACTTGGGCCCAGAAGGAAGGATCTCTATGCGGTTGCGCAGGTCTTTAGCGGATTGGAAGGAAAGGTGGATTCCTTTTGTCTAGAAAAATCAGCAAGGGGAGCCCAGTGCGTCTGAGGCAACAAAAACTTACCAGCTCAAGTTTCAAGTACTCGTCAATGGCAGCCATGCTCAAACCGGATCACATGAGGAAAGATGCCAGCTCCCATTCAGCCTTCCCGGCAAAGGGGTAATGCAAATTATCTTGTCTCTTGTCTGCATGCTGATCGGCATTGAAGAATTCCATAAACGTTTCTCCTCCTTCAAACGTTGGCGATTTGTGTGGAGGACGAGGATAGTTCTCAGTAAAGAAGCCTGCCATGCCTGACTGTGGCGCTGCAAATACGGACTCAACATGCGGTGCTGGCTCTGCAGCCATTGAATCTTCATCTTGTTCGACTAATTCCATCGGAGGAGTATCTGTATTCGGGAATTCATTGACTGGCGGAACGTCTGCATTCCATGCCTTCTCTGTAGGTTGAAAAGTTGGTTGAGCAGCTGAGTGCTGGTAATGAAGGATTTCTTCGTAGAACAACCGGCATCGAGAAGTTGGCTGGTTCATATGTTTCTGCACGGAGGCCATAGATTTCATCTTCTTCCCGCATCGCGGACACGGAAACTTCAAGCCGGAGTTGTCGTCCATGTTGGCGGTAAGAAGCGAGAAGGTCTATCGACTCCTTCCTGTTTGGGCTTGATCGACAAAGTCCAAATTGGACTTCCAAAAAAACTAAACTCGATTTCTAAAAGAAACTAAGCTCGATTTCAGCTATGCTAATCCACTGAATGAGAGCCACGGCAGGAGGGGCCTTTTATCACTATCTACACCGTGTACGTCTTTCTTTGTCCATCGCACTTCGATAGGCCCGACGCATAACTGACAAAAGTCTTTTCTCCAGTCATCTTTGCGATCTCCTCCATCTTTTGCCCCTCGTGCAGGTTTTCAATGCGGATGACCGTTGACTTGCTCCGACTCTCCGATCCATGGACGTTGACACCGCGGTGGCCCAGCATAGCCGCATGCGGAAGGGTCTTGATCGATGGGAGGCGAGCGAGTGCCTCGATTCCTAGAGCGATGCCATTGCGTAGGGCTGGGACAAGACGGAGGCCATCCAACATTGGTAGGTTGAAAGGTTCCATGACACATTGACGCCGATGTAGGGGAGGGAAGAAGCCAGGTAGTGACGATGGATAGACGGTGGATTTGCCCGGACTGTAACGGAATATAGCGCTTGTTCCACAATTTTTCTTTGGGAGTCAATCGGTGCTTGCGAGCTGTGAAAAAAAAAAATCAAAAACATGATGGAAGGAAATGATCAGGTACGAACAAGCCATTGCCTTCAGCAACCTCTTCTCATCAATGAAAGAGATTTCAACGATGGCCTCCCAATCAGCCTTTTTTCCCGTTCAGGTCTTGTTTGAATTCCAAAGCACAGAAGTCGAGATGGGCGAATTTGGATCATACATTGGGTCCTATCAATGCGACCGAGTCAATGTCATAACGTAAAGCAGAACCGCAACATACCCCATACGCCAGCGGAATGTGATCCATACTCGCTATGGGAAGCGCACCCATAAGTTGCTTGAAAGGTTTGAAAGGAGTTCCAGGTTTGAAGTCGAGCGAAAATCAATCGACCCCTTTCAGATCTGGAGGAAATAAGCCAGCTAAACCGGTAGATAGATAATGAGATAAGCGTGCACACTGGAAAGGCGGGGTGCATAGTAGTTGTAGAGCCGCCCCCATGAGGCCACCCCGCCATAATAGTAGTGCATTACCCACTGCAGACCCTCTGCATATCTATGAATTAAATCGCCCATGCCCTTCGGGTCGTCGTAAGAAATCTCCAGTTTGCCCTGTCGAACGAAGGAGAAGATCAACCAGAACTTGTGAGAACAATGAACTAGGCGAACCTTATAATAGCCCCTCCACCCATCCATCTTCTCCTTGAGACCGCTCGTATCGCTCGTCAAAAGTACCCTCTGCATCAGGGTCAGCAGCCGGTGCCTTCTCATACTTCTTCAGCGCCCAGTCGACAGCAGCCCGATTTTCAGGATCATCCTCATCCTCCTACTCACCGCCATCGCCCTCCTCTTCTGCAACACTCGCAGAAATCTCCACGCAACCAAGTTATTCATCGTCCCGTTCGTCGTACTCATCCCAGCTGACGCCGAGGCACAGGCCTTCTGATAATCGTGCGATGAAGGCTCTGTCTCGTGCTGGGAAAGGGAAAGGGTTGGGCAGCGATAACCGCATGGCGCGGTAGTGTGATGCCAAAGGGGCATTTCGATCCTCCATCACAAACACCTTGACCCATCGAAAATCTCTTGCTGGCCCTTTGTCGGCCTGCATCACGGATCAGCTGGAGAGAAAAAGAAAGGGGGTTAGGGACAAACTTAGCCCCGCCCTCTTCCTGCCATTCTCCAACTCCTTGACGTGCTTTGCTTGCTTGCCCTTGTACCGGTTCATGTCCGCATACTCCTTTTCGAAAACATCTTGCTCCCACTGCGAAGATGCGAGGCACCTTGCTGGGAAGCTCGCCCTTGTCCAGCGCATCCTCTGACAAAACCGCCTCATGCATCAATGCTGCCAATTCACCCTGCCCAGGGCTTAGTGGAGGTTCCAAGATCGTCGCTCGTTCGACCCTCTCCGTCACCGGAGTAGCAGGCAGCTTTCGTATACCGGACAAAGGCATCGTGGCGGATGCAGGCGTCTCTCTCACTTTACCGTGCACAACAGCACTTGAACGGCGCAGGTTTCGTGCTCAGATTGGTTAGATCAGGTTCTGATCCATGACGTCGACGCTCCGAGTTGAGGATGACAGAGCCAAATTCCGTCACCTCGGCGTCAGGTGGCATAAGAGGGAAGTAGGCGAAGTCTGACTTGCGTGGTTGCGAGCTGCTTGGAGGGAGGAGCATGGGCACACCGCGACTCATTGCAGGCGTCATCCTGAGCTCCCGAGCTACCTGGCCAGGGCTCGTTTCAATCATACTCATTGGACGCGAACCAATCGACCTGAAGGGCGGGTTGCCAGAGGAAGGTACTCCGGATAGGAAACCACTGGGAGGAGGAGAGAGGAACGAGCGAGGATCAGGAATTTTGACCGCCGCTGCCTTGGCAGGAGGCGGGGTTTCTGGGATGTCGTACGCGAGGGCAGCTTCAGGCGACATCGGACTATGAACGCCAGGAATGGGCGGGGGTGTTGTGGCACGGAAAGTAATTGCTGAGGACATCAGTCAACGACATCGCCGCCATGTTGCCTGTGGCCATAGGTGGCAACATCAACGACTCGTCTGCCAGCCGTTCAGCACCCAGCGTCAGGGCAGCCTTGTTGCGTCCAACAGCATCTGCCTTTTCATCCGAATACGCTTTACCTTCTGTCGACTCTTTACTTACGACGATGTCAGGAGGAAGTGATGCGTTAGACCGATTTTGGGCGGCAACAGTTTGCTCAGCAGGCTGATCTTTCGCTGGCTCAACGACTGTAGGCGGTGTTTTGCTTTCGAGAGGCTGGAGGGGCGTTTCTTCGGAAGGTTCCGCAGATGCAGGCCACACAATGACTGGAGGCACGGGCACCGCCTCCATCTTCGGAAGTGGTTCTGCATTTGGGAGAGGTACTTCCTTTGCCTCGGTCGTCACGGGCACTGGATTGGTGGGAGACCGTTCGGATGATCGATGGAATGACGTCGATGACCGCTGAGTTCACGAAGGCAGGCTCGGCCGAACTCGGCCGAACTTCAACAAGGGCCGGCTTTGCAACGGCCGGCTCAGAGTGGACCGGTTCAGTGACGATCGGTTCTGCAGAGGTTGAGGGCAAGCTGACGACCTTCTCAGCTTCAATTTCTGGCTTGACCGGTTCTGAACGGGAGGAGCTGGCGGCGCTTCCGCAACAGGCGAATTGTGGACAACCACGGGAGTAGAATCGTCAGAAGAGACGACGATAGCAGGCGTGGCCTCGGGTGCTTCGACTTCGGCTTTTACGTCGTTGAGAGGTGGGAGTTAGGCTTTGGGAGCCATAGGGTCTTCTGCATGTGCGTTGGCTAGGGTGGGCTCTTGGATTTGAGCTGCTTTTGCGAGCCCAAGAACCAGGGGCTGCGCCGGTGTGTTTCGTGCGCCTCCACTTCAACTTTTGCCAGGGCTCTTGAGTTGGCTCCTCGACCCTCGTAGGCTCGCGTTTCCCTTGAACCTCCTCGGGTGCTTTGGTCTCCGGTTCTACTGCTGGCGATGACGGTTTCTCTGCAATCCCTGCGGGCACCTGTGCCATCTCGTTGAGCACCAGCTGAAGCCGCTGCGTGTTGATAGTTCCATTTTCACCTATGCAACCCTCTATGCTGACATTAGCCTTGCATTATCACGATCAGGTAAGCTGTCATATCCATCCCAGGAAGGACCTTCTTGCACACGTCAAACAACCTCTCCAACCCATTCTTGTGAATGCGAAGATCTGGCAAATTTAGCAAGAAATCATGGCCGACAAACACCGGCGGCGGAATAAAATCGCCGATGACTCTTTCGAGATTGTGCTCGCAATCTCGCGGAACTCCAGGTCCAGATGTTCCCGTAGGAGGCAAAGATGTAGCAGATAAAAATTGATCGATTCAAGGCTGTTAAAATGTGAGTTATTTGACGAGCATAGCTGCCATGGGCTTGCCTCGTATTGCCTTTCTTCCTTGAAGAAGGGCCGAGCTTGACTTCCTCTCGCAACGGGCAGAAACGAGGGTCGGGGTTCAACAGACCCAGCATGATCAAATCAGCGTCGAGCCCGTAAAGACGGCGTCGCACGTTCGGGTTGTAGTCGGGTTGTGCACGCGATAAACGAAGGAATTCCACGATCTTGTGTTCGCCTTCTCCTGGGACTTCGTGGCCAGAAAGAACGACTTCGATGTCACGCCAATTGGAGTCTTCCATAGTCTTCTCGTTGATGAAGTAGCGCAATTGCTCAGAGAGTCGAGCCATGAATGGGGTCCCTAGTCGCGTTTAGGGGTTGGAGATGTGGGATAATCGGACCACGGACGCACCTGGTGCGATACAATTGCTGTCAAAAGCCTTCTCTTCCGGCAGCTTCTCTCCCTTAGCCTCTGCTTTCTCCCGGATCTCCCTGGCTTCCTTTGCCGTCCTGAATCGTCGACTCCGTCGTTGATTCATCTTTGCGCGAGGAGCAACACCATCCACTGCCATGAAAAAGAGTTTCTTGGGCTTTATCTTCCCGAATAAGTGGTCGACGTAGGCAAAGATGGACGTAAATATCCGTTCCTCTGAGAGCCGGAAATGGGCGTCCTCGTCATTGGGATGAGAGCCTAATAGTTGGGTCAGACATTTGCGAATGAGAAAAAGTGGGCTATGAGCGGACAGTTATGAATGATTCCATTGAAATCTAGGTATAGATTGTCTGCAACGAGAGTCAGAGGGTTCTGGATGGTTAAGTGCAGCTGAACATACCAAATTCCGGAATCTTGTTCTCTTGGATGAGCTGAGATGTCAAAGGATATCTCTCCCTTCAGGAACATAAATGAGATGACTCAAGGCTCCATCATAGAGAAACGCACGAGATGTAACGGAAGAACTAAGACAAGTTTAGCGTATGCTTTCCTGGCTCAGTGGCAGGACATACCTTCGGAATACCTGCGATCATACATCCTTTGATCTCCCATAACACCCACGGCCTTCACAGGTAGGAGCACTGCGAATGCCTGCGCGATCTGGTCATAAAGTCCGGCTTTTCGGATTTCCTCGATGTAGATGTCGTCTGCCAACTGTAGGATCTTGACTTGATCGCGAGTGACAGGACCGAGGATACGAATCGCAAGTCCTGGACCAGGGAAAGGATGACGTCCAACCAATTGTGCGGGAGTTGAAAGAAGACGGCCAAGAGCACGGACTTCATCTGAGGGGCGTGTCAATTGTGCCGGGAATGCCAGGGATTTCAAAATGTACCTTTGAAGAGTTCTCGCAGAGGCTCAATAAGTCTTTGAGAAGACCGCCGACGTTGCGATGGGTCTTAAGCGTCGCACTTGGCCCCTTGAAGCCGATGCTCTCGATTACATCGGGGTAAATGGCTCCTCAGGGAAGCCGTTCGACGCGACCTTTCGCTTCAGCGACCTTCTTCTCCTCCTCCGCAGCCGCGGCCTCGATTTTGGCAGCCTCAGCCTCGAAAACGTCGACGGATGCATCGCGAATTGTCTTTCGCTTTTGCTCCGGATCCTCCGTTCCTGCTAAGCCAGGCCAGAACGACTCGGAGGCGTCGATGATGGTCAAGTTGACCCCAAGGTCCTTGTTGAGCATGACATCCGCTTGCTGGGCTTTGTTCAGCCATAGGACGCCGCTGTCGACCGCGATGGCATGGAACCTAACGCCAGGAAATGAGAAAAACCGCCGGCCATCCAATAAACCGATAAACTCCTTATGCAACTCCGATACCCCTTCATGGCACTCTCCCGGCAGCAGAGATGGAGGTGCTAGGGAGAGGGTTGTTGTGGACGGGCTTTGCACTCCGATCATGCACGGCGCTTGCATCCGCGCCCTCCCCTTGCATCCGTGCCCTCCCCTTGCCCGTCTTTCCAAGCGTGGTCAGCGACATCTTCACTGCATTGTACAGGTACTGACGGCGTTGGCAGTGGTGGAAGCGCTGGAGAGGCGGAGGGTGGGGACTGAGGGCGGTGTTTCGAAGCACGACGTGCATGGCACCCCTCCCCTCTTCCAGCCTTTTGCCCACCACCCCTCGTTCCAAGCATGTCCGGTGACGCCTTGATGGCGCCTGCGAGTGCTGGCGACGTCTGAGGCCCTGGATCGATGGCGGGTAAAGGCTACAAGTGAGGGAATGAGGCACGGAGCCTCATTCTCAACAACTCTCGTGGAGTTGCGCCTCAGAGGCTTCTTATGTCGTCTGCGGCACAGTCGTGGTGCTTATCGATGGTCTTCACTGGGAAGACTGCTTGCGGGAGGGTGAAATGTTGCCTTGGGAGTCGTAGGTACGAGCTCACCGATTTCTCCCACCTAGACGTGGGCGTCCGCCGTATCGAGGCCGATTGGCGGTTGGGGTGAACGTAGACGTCGTAGGTGTGCGTAGGGGCGCATGTGGCTCACATTCGAGAGAGGGCGGCGGAGAGGGCGGCGGAGAGAGGGCAAGATGCACCTATGATCGAAAAAGCCTGTTCAGTAAGTAACCGAGCTCAAGCCAGGGTGGACTCTGAAATTTCACCTTATTGCAATTCTTCAAGAACTCACCGCTAGAGTTCTCAAAGGCCCAAACGCAAGACCCTCAATGGCCAGGCCTCCTGCTGGGGGTGCGGCAAAGGCTTGACCTGATCCTCAGGAAGGTAAGCGCGCAAGGATCCTTCCTCCCTTCCCTTGGCAAAGCCTGCACGGCTGGACTCAAACCTGGGACCGCCGCTGCTCTCAACTCGCCGCAGATACCCCCCTGCTCTCTATGGCGGGTATTGGAATCCAGGAGCCTGATGCTGATGCCCTGCATCCATAGAAGTCCCTGCTCCACTTGGGTGCTCTTTTCTCTGTCGAAAGGTGAGCCGTTTACCCTTTGAAATCGCCCATATTTGCGCCGAAAAGAGTGCAGCTGGACTCAAACCTGGGGCCACTGCACACGTTCTGAAATTTGGCGAATCGCCGTCCCAACGACCTCCTCCTCCTCTTGAATAGCCTGAGCGTTTCTGATGTGCTCGTTTCACTAGGTCGCATTCTGCGTCAGCCGCTGCTTCTTGGAGACTGCGTGAGCATTTTTCTTCCTTTCCCTACGCCGTCTCCACACGAAATTTGCGTGGCTGAACTCAAACCTGGGACCGCCATGCCATATCAAACGCGCTTCTTCCAGAAATCCCCCTTGCCTTGGATCCTTACAGCTGCTTACGGTTGCATTTTGCTAGGCCACCCCCATCAACCTCCTGGAGCCCTAGCCAAAGGTGAGCCTGCCTCCATTCGCTTCACCACCCATCCGGCGAAAACCCATGCGGCTGGACTCAAACCTGGGACCGCCGCATGACCTCTGAGCGCCACGTCCGTTTCCCCAACGCCCTCCGGTCTTCAACCCTGCTGCTCATCGAACTGATTCCCATCTCCACAACAGAACGACCGCTGCATCCATGTATTTTTTACAAAGTCTCGCGGTGTGTCCGCATATATTCGGTTCAGTCGGTCGGATCCTGACCGATCTTTGCAGAAGTTTGTCTCCCCCATCGAAAGCCTGCCCAACTTCGACTTCGGCGAGCTGCTGTGGCAATCAGTGGCTCGTGAGCGCGAGGCATTCAAGGTCGGTGCAGATGCCGATGACCCAGAAGAGCCGACGGAGGTTGAGGACGGATCCGAGATGGCGCAGACCCGCAGTTCTCATGGAGATCAAGGCGGTAAAAAGCGCAAGGCAGAAGCGGATGAAGCAGGAGCAAGGGATCCTGAGCTCGACGTCTGCCGCTCCCACCAACGCCGTCGTGCAAAGCGAAGCAGAATAATCGCCGCTGAAGGTTCTCAGATCCGCCCAGAAGTAAAAGCGCATATTTTGGCAGCCAGTGAGCCCATACCCACCGATTTGAACCTCGAAGGGCTGCCCACCGCCTGTTGCGGCTATCAGGCCATGAATTACAAGCGTCGCACTGGAGACGAGATCGGAAGCCTCGAGGAGCTGTTGGACGATGGATTTCGACTCATTCCTTGGGATGGGTAGTTAGTCAACACGCCCTGCAGATCTGCAACCCATGCTGATGGTTCTTCAGTGGAATACGGCCCTTTGAGGATGCAAATGGGAGAACTTTCGGAGCGCTGGTTGGGCAGCCCAACGATCCCTCCTACCGCCAAGCATGTGAAGAGGTCTACCAGCTCTTTCTAGAGCTAGGTCAGATGCCCGAGTTTCAAAGCGGAGTCCCCAAGAACGTCCGCGGCCGCTTTCCCGTCTTGAACGTCGGCTACACCCATGGGAAGGGCACTGAGGCACCGGTAAACCTTCACGAACCAAAGAATGGACGACCGAGTAAGCACTCCGCCCATGCGGAGGCTCTGCGCAGCAATAAGTCCCTCGAGAGGATCGCAACCTTTGCCAGCTGTAGGTCCAGTTCCTTTCCGTCGATCATGCAGGCGATTAGTGATGGCCTTTCATCTCAGCGGCTCTAAACCTATGGGCTCCGAAGCTGTTTGACTACTGCGAGAAGCACCTCAACAAGCTCCGCAAATTTGCCCCACATCTTTGGCCCAACTTCCCCAAAAGCATATTCCCCAGCATGGCGATAAATTGCAGCCCAAAGGCATGGACCCGGAAGCATCGCGACTGCATGAATCTGCCATTCAGACTCTGCGCCATCACTGCGTTAGGCCGCTTCGATCCGAAGTGCGGCAGACACATGGCTCTTCCTGATCTTAAGCTCGTCATCGAGTTCCCCCCCTGCTCTACGATGATCCTCCCATCCTCAACCTTGGTTCATGGAAACATCCCCATTCATCCTGGTGAGACGCGTGCGTCTTTTACGCAGTTCTTCCCCAGTGGTCTCTTCCGCTACGTCAACAACGGTTTCATGACGGAAAAGGCCCTCAAAGCAACCAACAAGAAGGAGCATGAGAGGGTCTGTTCTGAGAAAGCCACCTGCTGGAAGATGGGCCTGGATCTTTTCAGCACCAGATCTGAGCTCGAAGGATCAGCCCAAGATGAAAGAACCGCCCCTCCTTCAAACGGATCCTTCCTCACCTCTCATCTCCTCTGATGCCACCAGCTTCCTCCATTCCGTAAATTCACACCCATTTGGACCGCAATTCTTGAATGTAGACAGGCGCTGCTGGGCATCTGATGATAGTTGACCGATCTATTGTACATATTCAACATTTGCTACCCCATCTGACCTCTCCTGTAGAAACGTCTGAGAGAAAAAGAAACAAGAAGAAAAAGAACTGGAGCACATTAGAGAATCCCTTCAACTGGACGGTATCCCTCAAGCCATCCGTCTATGAGGCCCTGAAGGGTGCTCTCATGCCCGAGGTAATGCATCAGGCTCACGTCCATCCCGGCCATGGGATTCTCAGACGGAAAAAAGGCGGCGTCTGAGGAAAGATGCAGGGGGCCTTGCCCAAAGATTTCGAGAGGCATCTCGCCAGTGAAAAATGATGCAGGAATAGCGGGGGGTTCCATTGCTAGGAATGACAGATGGGGTGCTGAAGCGATGTCCACAGATGCTCGATGGCCCTCGGAAGCAGGAGAAAACCTGGGCACGATGTCAGCATCAGCGTATCTTGCATGAAAGAAATCTCTGAGCATACCAGGGGCTGGCAGCAGCAGCATTTGTCTCGGGGGCAAGATTGGGATGGACGGGCTGATGGGAATGTCGGTTGGATGGAGCAGGAGCCATCTCCGGTGCAGAAGGGGATGCTGAGCCCGTTGACTGAGCCACGGCTCCTTGCACTGGGGAATTTTGGGGCTTGGTAGCTGGGGCTGCGTTTTTCTTTGCTTTTGCTTTCCTTTTCTTAGCGCAGCTCCCCTCAGCAGCTGCGACGAGTGATGAACCCTCTGCCTTGTCCGATTTGACAGTGGAATTTTTCTTTCCTCGGTTTCTTCTCTGTTGATTCGCACGCCGGCCATCCTTGTGTTTTCGGCGATAAAACCAGTTGTAGAGCCAGTCAACAGCCCTAAAAAGCACAGGGAGTGTGAGTTGCATTTTGTTTCAATCATGGGTGAACGCACTCACAGATCAAGCGTTTCAGCAAGCTCAATCATCTGCAATGGATCTGGGGTATTTTTTTCAGCGTAGACCTTTTCTAGGGTTTCAACCTGCCCAGGGCTGGCACGACGCCTGAATTCCCTTGATTTCTTGCCTTTTGACTGCCGATCATCCATTCTAGCAAGGTGAGAGGTCTGTGAATCAACGGTTTGAACTTACATTCTTAAATCAGTAGGCAGGCTGGCACCTCGGCATGTTCGATCTCAGCCATCAAGCGGAGTTTCCGGGATAGACAGTCACCGATGGAGAGGAAGTTCTTACAGGAATTCACTCTTCCAACGACATCAGCCCCGATAGCAAGGTGAGTTGGCCAGCATCCATTCCTTCTTCCGCATCGCATCTCATTCTGCAGGCACCATGGATGGATCATTTCCAGGTCTATGCAGTTACATCATTCAGAAGACAGACAGGCCACCAGCCACAGTTGTTAAGTTCCTTAACCAATTGGTGCGTCATCAATGATTGCCTGCAGAAACAGCATCTGATATGCACATGTATTATGTGGGTCAGGAATGCCCAGCCTCAATCCTGAATGCAGCGCATGCCCATGAGCTGCTGAAGAAAGCCCAAGATCTTGAGAACGTCTGTCGATCCACCAAGGAGGAATGCCGTCAACGCCTTCAGCAGGCCTTTGTTGATTTGAAGCAAGCTGAACTTCAGCTTTTCGAAGTTGAGCTATATGTTGGACGCATCCAGTTCATGGTTTCAAAAGCTGGAGTACCCCTGCTGGCCCCCCACATCGATCGCCCTCTGTCTACTGTTTTAGTTGAAGGAGGTAAGCGTCTTTTTGAATTTTATTTCTCCATAAATTTGACAGATATCACCCGCAGCATTGCACAAAATTAAATTACAAGGGAATGGCAGCCTTTCAGTCACTCTAGATTGAGGGCAGAGCATGGATGTCGAAACCTTTTCTCTCCGAACTTCTCACCTGTACATTTCATCCATAAGTTTTTAACCACCGATCCATCTTGTAGCTTTGGTCTTCGCTCTATTTGCAGGTGATGAATTGCTGTGGAATTTACATCTCCAGAGCACCAATGGTGCCTTGATCGGAATCGTCTGCAGGAAAGTAGGGCACTTCCGAGTTGAACATCCAAAATTGGCAAAGGTTGCGATCGAGATATAAAATGGCAGATTTGGATTCCAACCATCTTCAACTTTCTTTCCTCAACTTCGACATCTTCTGGCTTGTAAACTGCTCTATTCTCATTTCCTGCTTCATTCATCGGACCCGCAATGTCCCTTTCTCAAGCATCCGATGCTCCAGCCAAGAAACCTCTGCAAAAGTCCTCCGTCCTTCCAAAACAGGGTGCTCCGACCAAAGCGCCTCTAAAACAAACCAACGGTGAGTGAAATCTCTTCTGCTTCCCATCCTTGTCACCACAATCAAAGGGTCATCATCAGCAGGGCCTGCAAAGGCCACAGCAGCACAGGGAGGGATGTCGGTAGCGGCTGGAAATCTGGGTACGTCATCCTACATCTGACAAAATGACAAGACAGCTCACCTCCAGCATGCATAGAAAACTTTGACGCCAAAAATCCTGGCAATGGACGACCCACCCGTTCAAATCGCAGCACTCGTCTTTTCAATATGGAGAAGACTTCAGAAGTCATCGGCCACGACTTGGAAAAGATCAATCGAAAACGTGCTGGTACTTTTTTGGAGGAATCCCAAGACGCCATGCCAGGAATACCCAAGAACCCTATGGCTCCACCAGCGACAAAACGCCGAAAAGCCACCAAGAAGGTGCATCCGTTTGCTTGCAACGTTCTCATCCTCTTAGCTGACTTGAATCCTCAGCAGGGTGCATCAAAGAGCATGGTTTCTGCTGATCCTCCACTGCTGAAGACTGCCCCAAAGCCCATTCGGAGTGGGCTGCCCTCGGGCATTCATCCGCGCCTGCAAGGCCTCAATCCCAGCCATTCAAATGGCACCCAGTCCTGGAAAGGTACAGCACTATTCTTTCGAATTTCATGAGCCTACCTTTGCTCCCAGACCTCGGAGTTACAAAGCCTCCAGTCATTCATACGTACGGCCGTCAAGCAAATGCTGGCATCTTCACAGTTTGCCCTCAGGGGAATGAAAACAGTAGCTATTCTCTTGGAAGATTCCTATTGTTTGAAAAAGTCCAATTGCCTTTTCTCACAGTTCAGCCAACACTCTCACAGTGGGACCATTGCCTGGATGGGATGGACCAGGACGATGCGAGGGGTAGTGCATTGTCTGCTTCCATCCTCCCTCTAACATCCACCCTAATCATTTCCACCCTCAGGTCATCGTCGAAATTCCATTACGCCGAAAGCTCCACATCTTTTTTTGCTGGACGATATGCAAGCTCCTCAATCTCCAGTTCAAAGGAAGAATGGACACCACCATCGAACTCGGCATCAGGATGATGAAGATAGTGCATATGAGCCAGATGGCAAGGAAGAAGGCGGCAATGGCAGCGGTGGAGACATGGAGTATTGGGAAGGATCTCAGCAGGTTGATGACTTCTATCAAGGTCTTCTAAATTTTTGATTCTAAACCTATCGCTGAATCCCATGATGAACTTCCCCAGCATCTGATGACGATCATCAAAGCCCACACTGGGCCAATCGCACGAGCAGCAGAGCCATCGCTCAGCCAGTTCTTCAAGATGACAGAAACCCCTTCCAGGAACAATGCTATCCCGGAGGAATTTATGACATAACAGAGCAAGCCGAAGGCGATCACAATGGGCTACGAGCCGAAGGCATTTTCTTGCTCTCTTCTCTTTTCAAATGATGCACTTCTGACCATTCCATTAGAGATTGATGAACGCTCGCCATCAGAAGATGAGCAGAATGCCCTTGCTGTGATCCAAAAAAGACAAAGCAAAGTGCCTGATGAAGCAGTGGTACATCGCATCTATGCAACGTCCAGACCTTACATGATGCTACCATCCATGGACAGGTTGCTGGGGACTTGGACATTCTGGAAGAACATCATAAAAAGAACCGCCCAAACCGCGCACCGCAGCCTGCACGTCTCGAAGTTGCAGCTGAACACCAACGACGAGTCCAGGACATCGCCCAAGATTTTCTCACTCAAGGCGAGCATGAGGAATCCTCCGATGAGGAAGAGGAGGATCCATCTTCTTCTGAGGAGGGCCGTGCTCATGCTCCTCGTAACTCTCGCTTTGATGGGGAAGTCAAGCTGACAACTCTCGGATACTATCATGGAACTTTCAAGGACGCAATTGAACAAGCAAAGAAGGAGTTTCGAGGATATGTAATGCTACACAATGGATTCCCAGAGCGCAGCAAACACCTCCATGAAGCAGGCCACATCCTTACACGAGTGATTGAAAAGTGTCATCAGGAGGGCTACATCTTTGATAAAGGCAAGTGCACTTGAGTTCTTCCCATTTCTTTTAGTGATGTTGCTCTTGGAACAGAGGACATTCAAACACGTAATACCAACGTCGTCGTTTGTCATTTCTCAGCTCTTCAAAATGATAGACTTGCCATATGATGATGGATTTATTTGCAGGTCTTTAAGGAAGCCTCAACGTACCGTGGCAAGATGAAGATCTTAGCTCGCCATCTTGTACCCCGGTTCTATAAGGAGGAGCTGAACCCCGATTTTTCAGGTGGAAATCAGCTTGAACAGCAAGATATAGTTGCCACCAACGTTGCCGAGCTACTTGGAGAGGAGAGCCCATACCTTCTGAATGGAAAGGATGAGCAGGTACGTTTTGCGGTGCAATTCTCGTCCCAACTGGAGTGCCCATCATCACGATGCCAACATCTAGGGAAAATCCAACAATATCGCACATCCATGCATTCGTGAACTCTGCATTCAACACTTCTATGGAAATGGCCAAGATTCGATTGCAAAAACCTTTGAAGACCAATTCAAAGATGCCATACCTGAGCATGCCATCGCTGTCGTCATGGCCTGCGTGAGTCATTCCCTCAGTCATCCCAACTCTTTCGCTCAAGCAACATCACTAGGTATACAATGCCTTGGAAGAATATGAGCTGGGTTACTTCTGGAAGCGCCCCTTCAAAGGCGCTCGCTACAAGGAAATCTATGAAACCTCGCTGGATCTTATCGAGGAGGTCAAAGCCAGCCCATACCACAAAACTAAGTGGGACAACAACCGCCACCGTTGGGCTCGAGATGGAATGTAGGCTATTTCAATCTACGTCCTCACATTTGCTCATCGCTTCACTCCAGGAAGCTTCTCAACCCAGCGACGGAGAGGAGGAGGACCAAAATGAAGGTCCACCTCGATTGAGACATCGCTATGCCGTTCTTGCAATCCCGACAACTTCCTACACCCTGCTGTTAACGTCGAAGTCTATTCCCATCTTCTGATCACATCTTGTAACCGCATTGCATTGGCATTTTGTCCATTCTTGCAGCCCCCACACCCCATTCTTTTGTTTTGGCAGACAATTGTAGATATTAAATGTATATATAAAAGTGCCTAATTAATTGCATTTTTATGTCGTTAACTGCATCGGACCGACAGCAAGAACCGATGAGTGCTCACCGGGAAAGGAAATACCAACCATTATCATGCCAAATGTGGCAATCTTTGTGAGCGGCATATGGGCTCTATGGCAAAAAGGAGTGCTCTACAGAGGATTAGTTAATGCAGGTACGCCATTCACAGGGCATTGCAGGGCCTCTGGGGGAATGTACAAGCCACCCGTATGCCAGCTACGGTGTGTTCCATAGCACCCTGACCGGGCTACATGGCAGTCTATAATTAGCATAGGGAGGCCGACACCAAAGAAGATGCATTACGGCGTTACGATGCTGCATCGCGCTACATACCTAGCTATAGCATGCCCCAGAATTGCTGATGTCCCCAGCCAAGCTGGGGGAAGATGGGACCAAATATTCTGTACTACAGACTGGAGTTAAAGGAACTCTAAAACGCCATGCCTAATGTAAGGTCGAGGCTCTTGCTCTTAACAAGTACTGGGACACTGGGACAAGGGCGCTCACCTTGGTTCTGTTATTAAGCAGGCGTGTTCTAGTGATGCCTTATTATTTTTCTTGGGTTTTCCCCAGTACTTCAACTATTCCGTTGGAATTACATGCAGATCAGGCAGAGTGAGAGGCTTATCAATTTTTTCTGGATGTTGCAGGACATTGGGAGGTAGTTTTTGAGCCCTGGAAGGCGCCTTACCTGGGTCTGTAATCGGCAATTTCTTGAATCTGTGTGGCGTATATCAGATAAGATTAGATCATGTGATACCTGACGTGGATGTCGCGTGTCGTGTCCGACCTAACTTGCGCCAATAATTGGCCTTTTCTCCGCCCTCCACCAGCCCATCGTCCTCCAAGTTATGCATCGACACTGACGGGCTCCACTACGCGAGAATGGAACCCAGAAACAAGCTCTGTGCACGGAAGGCCACCTGGCTCGCCTTCGGCCTCATTGCACTTGCCGCGACTACTATCTCCTCGGCACAGGACACAGGTTCTATAGTAGAAAGCAGCTCATATGTGAGTGGATCGTGATGTGCAGAGCAATGGAAGGCGCTGAAGGGTGTCGCATCTTGTAGTTGACCGCTGACACGGTCACGACGTCGCTGACGGCATTGCCAGAGACGACGGCGTCTGTTATTACCAAACTACCACCACCGGTGAGTCGGGAAGGTTTCGTTGGTGTTTCTTTCGCTGAGCTGCACTCTAGGAGCCTCCATCTACGCAGACGCAACATGAATTGGATCAAGCAACTGAAGGTATGGCCTCATTCGCTCCATTTCATGCGAGTTGCCTACCTCGAAACAGCCGCACGAGCCTACAAGCAGGCCCTATCAACACTATCTAATATGCGGTCGCACCCTCAGCAGCACATCTTCGACGCATCTCTTGTGCAGGGGAACAGCAACTCCAAGTCGATATTTTCCTCCTTCCTCCCAAACTTCCAAGGGCAAGGCCCTATTGGCACCCTCGTCCGCATTCTCCTCAAGCTGCACCAATCAACATTCACTCGCGTGTCCAACGTTCTGAACCAAGATGGACTCGGCCTAGGCTCAAAGAAGCGGGAAGAGGAGCTAAGAGGGAAGGCTATCAAAGTTGTCGACCTCCTGCAGCATTCAGCAGAGCTTGGTAATATGGACGCACTGTTTACGCTGGCGCAGGTCTCTTTGGTACGTTTGCATCATCTATTACATCCATATGCAACCACTTATCCATTCATGATCTATTTTAGTTTCCGCCTACGCCACACTTCGCCCTGGACCCACAATTAGCGTACCAAATGCTCTCGACCCACGCGATACGTACGGGCAACGCGACCTCACAATCATTGCTAGCTTTCTTCCACGCGACTGGCTACAAGGGAGTCGTTCCTGTCAACCAAGGCAAGGCACAGCTGTATTCCACGTTTGCTGCAAACGGAGGCGACAAAGGCGCACAGATGGCTCTGGGATACCGTTATTGGAGTGGTATTGGGACGGGAGAAAGCTGCGAGAGTGCGTTGGCATGGTATGGAAGTGCTGCTGAACAAGGTATGTCGCGCGGTCATTTACGTTTTATGAAATGGTGAGTTGACGTCAGTGAAGCAATGGCGAAATTCCTCTCTGGCCCACCTGGAGGGCGTACCTTGCCACAAACAGCGACGCGTCTCTCTGACCTAGCCGGCGGTGTATACGGACCAGGAGCGAGCGTTGCGTCCACCGGCCTGAACACCCATCGAGCTGCCATCAAAGCAGGCATCGCTCGTGCAGCCGGAGAAACATGGGAGGACGTCCTCGAATACTATCTATTCAATGCCGACCGCGGCGAGATCGACTTCGCGTACCGCCTGGGCAAAATTTTCTACCAAGGCAGCATCTATGCCACACCAGGTGGCATCGCGTCGGGCAGCGAAGGTGTTGGCGCCATTCCGCGAAACTTCAAGTCTGCACGTCGGTACTTCTTGCTTATCGCGCGTCAAGTATGGCCACACGACCCGCCGTCGGCCCCGGTGACGACGAAGGACGAGCACAAGCCTGTTGGGTACGCTGCGGCTGCGGCTGCTTACCTCGGGCGGATGTATCTGCGAGGTGAAGGTGTGAAGGTGGACTACTCGATGGCGAAGGCTTGGTTCGACCGAGGGGCGGAGCATGGGGATAGGGAGTGCCATAACGGGCTGGGCATCATGTACCGGGACGGGCTGGGTGTCAGGCAAGACATAAAACACGCGATGCTGCATTTCAACGCTGCAGCTGGACAGGAACTCGCCGAGGCGCAAGTCAACATCGGGAAATACCATTACTGTAAGGAGCTTTCTTTGTTCTTTTCTCGGTTTCTTTGACCCATAGGTTTTTTAGACCGCGGTGAAGTTCCTCTGGCCACAACCTACTTTGAGACCGCCGTTCGCAGTGGGTCGCCATTCGAGGCGTACTACTATCTCGGCGAGCTGCACTCTGCACAAGCCTCCAACGCCGCCTTGCCTTCGCATCTGACCTCGAGCTCATGTGCTATGGCTGTGTCGTTCTACAAGCTCGTCGCTGAGCGAGGCGTTTGGGAGGACGACCTCCTCCGGGACGCAGAGATTGCCTGGATGGCTGGGGGAGACCAGGACCAGGAGGTCGCAATGCTCAAGTGGTGGGTTGCGGCTGAGCGCGGGTATGAGATTGCCCAAAATAATTTGGCGTACGTTCTTGATCAAGGTAGCTTTTTTTTGGTACGATCATCAAGGAAAACCATGACTGAGTTAAATTCATATAGACAAGAGTGTCCTCCGCCTGACAAGGTTCTCGCCTATGACCCCATCCAACGACACTGCTCGACTGGCGCTGACACAGTGGGTTCGTGCTGCAGGTCAACGCAACATCGATGCTCTCGTAAAAGTCGGCGACTACTATTACCACGGTCTTGGTGTGCCCGAAGAGGCCGAGCAAAGCCGGTTCGAGAAGGCTGCCCGGTATTACCAGTCAGCTTCGGATACTCAGATGAGTGCGCTTGCTATGTGGAATCTTGGGTGGATGTACGAGAACGGCGTTGGTGTACCTCAGGACTTCCATCTCGCCAAGAGACACTACGATATGGCGCTGGAGACCAACTCGGAAGCTTACTTGCCTGTGATTCTCTCGCTCGTTAAATTATACGCTCGCAGTATATGGCACACTATGACCGGAGGGAAGAACGGCTTGAATCTCTGGGGCCCAGACGAGGAAGAGTTTGGTAAGTCACTTGACTGCATGGCATTTCTATCTTTACTGAAGTGAACTATGCAGTGCCGCCCAAAACAGCTGAAGGAAGGCAAATTGATGGGAAGCAAAATGAGGGCCTCGAGGAAACCCGAGAAGAGGACCATAGATACTATGAAGAGGAAGATGGGCCATGGTACTTCGGCAAAGCGAAAGAGGAGTTTCACCGTCGCCGGGGAAGTCAGGCGGCAAATAACCGGAGGGGAGACGAGGAGGATCCCATCCAGGTTTGTTCTTATGTTCTACTCCGGTCCTTACTCTTACTGACGATGTTTCAGTGGGCAAGGGAACGTCGAGACGCCGACCGTGAACGCGACACCGATTTTGGACCCGAGGACTACTTCGATGGCACTCTGCGGGGAGGAAACCGGGAAGACGTCGAGGTTGACGAGTTTGGCGAGACGATGCTGCTCGTGCTGCTCTGTCTTGTGATCTCGCTGCTCCTGTACATCCGGACGCGGATTGTGGAGAGGATGCGCCGCGACCAACGCGAGCAGGGGCAGGGTGGCGAGCAACCAGCGGTGAACGGGAACGGAGGTGGGTTCCCTCCGGCTGGGGTGGATCCTGGACGTGGCGATTGGGCCATCCTTCGATGATGTGTATCTTGTGTAGAGCTAATACTATAGTTTTCCGGGGCGGACGGGGCGGGGAAGGCTGTTTGCCCGTGCTTGCCGCAGAATATTCACTCGGCTCACGTGTCGCTGCAGCCTGGATTGAAACTCGTCGTCGAACGCGCTCCTCCGTCCACTTGGTCCGACGCTCATCATCTACATCACATTGCTTGTTTTCTTTAACTTATTCTTTACATATACCGCTTCCTCCCAACTCCCGCCACTCAAATGGCTTTCGACTTTGGCTCTCTGGAACCCCGGATTTACCAGATTCTCTCCGCACCCGGAACGGACTTGAGCACCATCAGCGCAAAGCGCGTGCGGCGCCAACTCGTCGAACTCGACCCGTCTTTGACCGCAGAGTTTCTCAAACAGAACAAGGAAGAGGTCGATGCCATCATCGCGAGCGTGTTCGAGAAGGTGAGCGGCGGAGCTCATGCGGGCGAGCCGGCCACCAGCAACGGCCACAGTGCAGGTGCGGACGACGAAAGGCATTCTCGCAAGCGGAAGCAGGAGGATGACTATGAAGACGGCGTTCCCGACGAGGACGAGGACGATGCGGGGATGGAGGATATTACCCCTCCGCCGAAGAAGCCAAAAAAGGCATCCAAGAATGGACGGGAACTCACCGACGCTGAGCTCGCTCGCAAGCTCTCGAGCGAGCTCAACAACAGTCGGTCCACGCGTACGGGGAGTAAGGCGCGTGGTGGCACGGGGACGAAGAAAGGCGGACGGTCAAAGAAAAGTGCTGCCACCGTCGACTCCGAAGACGACTCCGACGACGGATCGAAGAAGAAAAAGAAGTCGAGTTCAGGTGCGAAAGGTGGATTCGCGAAAGAGTTTGTTCTGAGGTAAGTACCCCGAAGATTTTCATGAAACCTTCCGTCGCATATACTCACTTATCTGCACCCCCAAGCCCACCACTAGCAGCTCTACTACAAATCGAGAAGCTGTCTCGGCCGCAAGTGGTCAAGCAGCTTTGGGTGTATATCAAAGGCAACGACCTGCAAAACCCACAGAACAAGCGCGAAATTATGTGCGATCACAATTTACGGGCGGTCTTTGGAGTGGACAAAATAGACATGTTCAGGATGAACAAGGTCTTAGGATCGTAAGTCTCTCGCCCTCCTCTCTCACGAAGAAGTCGGGCTAAGTTCTCCATATCTCAGGCATCTGCACGAGATTGAATGATCCCCTCGTTGGCTCCCAAGGAACTTTGGGGTTATGTCTATTTTCATTCCCATCATCATCTCCTACTTGCTGCATCTCAATTTGTTCCATCTCTTCAATGTTGTCTAAATAGTTGCTCTCACTTTCCACTGTATTTCTCTACCTTCAATCCTAACGCTGTCTCTCATTCCCCTTTTTCAATTTCTAATAAACGGATCATAGGTCTCAATTTAATCATCATGGAACAATTATCGTAAAAAAAACAGTGAAAGCGAACTAGAGAATTGGGCCGTCAGTTGATGGTTTATACAGAACGAATACAATGGGTGTCTAGCCAAATCACGACAGAATACACGAAAGATGTCCGATGTTATATAACATTGCACAGCACTTGACATGAGACAAATACTAAAAGATACCCAGAATAATGAGAAATAAAGGGCATTAAGACCCCAAAACGAAACCAGGCGGTAGTACCGCCAGAGGAGGCTTCAGCGCCCGACATTGCTCATACAAAGACTCGGGAGCTTCGACAGGGGGTGGCTTGCCTCTTATCGAGCGTGCCTTCTTGCACGACGCCGGGACGATCTTGAGATGCCTCTTAAATGCATCCTTGCGCGACATGACCTCAAAACAGCACGGGCACGTCCGCTGGAGCATCTTGTCCCGCGTCTGGCTCTCGTGCCGCGACTTGACGTGCCGCATCCGGTCAAAGTTACGCGTGAACTCCTCCGGACATTGGTCGCACTTGAACGGACCCTGCTGCTTGGGCCGCGAGCGCGTCGTCGTCGCCTTCTTCTGCCGCCCGTGCTGTGGCGCAGTCTTGGCGACGTAGTTCTCTTGCTCACTGGGAGACACTGGTGATGATTGATCAGACTGTTGGTCGAGTGGTTGGTCGAGTGGTTGCGGGTGATTGTTTTCTTGTTGTTGTAGAGCCTGCACTTGTGTTGTTGCTGTTGCCCGAGCAGCCCGTCTTGCGGGACGAGAGCCGGACGCTGAGGTGGAAGGTACACTTGGAGATGTTCCAGCTAAAGCTGCAGCAACTTGGGAAGGTTGGATAGGTTTGGCCATTGGTACGCCTCTGGCACTCAGAGGCTTCGAAGCTAGCTTCTCGATTTGCGTCGTCCTTGGAGCAGGTAGTGGCGCATGCTCCGTACCCAGAACTTCCTTTGGCGGCAGTTGAAAATGATTGTCTGCATCTTTCCTCTTCGCTGGGGCTCTGGGATGAAATGGAGAAGAGGACGCAAGTGGACTCCGCACATGCTCCGGAGGTCTGACCGAAGGCTGATGAGGAGACCGAGGCGCTGGAGAAGGGGGAGACGATGCCCTAGGCATCTCCAGCTCCATTCCACGCGTTGCAGATATCAACGATTCTTCGGCACTGTCCCACCCATGAGGCTGGGGTGACTTCTCCCTCGCTTGTACAATCTGCACAGCATCGGCAAGGGTGTCCAGGCCTGAGCCGTTGTTCGTGCTAAATACCGGAGGCTGGGGGCTCGGAGGAGGCTGCGTTGAGGACCCTTGCGAACGCGCGTCGTCGGGGGTGAGCGGGGGTGTCTTTGGTCGCCGTCGACGCGACCTCAGGGAACTGAATGAGTCATTGAAGCAGTCCTCCTGGAACAACAACGCGACAGTTTATGGGGTTGAAAACATTGATCACAATTCCAACACCAACATCGAAAACATAGGTTCACTCACCACGCTCCGCCCAAATAAGCTCGCCACTTCTCGCTGAGACGAATGTAGGGTTCGAGGTCCGCCGTCTGTAAAGACCCTATTGATAGTCGGGATCGTTCGTTGTGCATCGCCAGGATGGTCGAGCACCGAGCCTGTTGGATTGTCGTAAGGGTTGCGATGTTGGTTTCTTGACGGTCCTGAGGGCCACAGACTGGCGTAACTGCTGTTATACACAAAAGGATTCAGAGTTACCTGCGTCAGCGAGAAAGGGGAGTGAAACGCACCGAGGAGGCCCGCGACTGTATGTCTTGTACGGGACAGACTCTGGGGGCGCTTGCCCCACCGGTGGCGTCCCCACTCGCGACATCGTTAGAATGAAGCGCAGTAAGAAGACAAGAGTCGATAATAACGAAATTGATGGGCTAGAAATCGTACATGAGGAACCCTAAGCGAGCCACGCTTTATAAAAGTCAAGTGCAAGGCTTGTGTGGGCGCGGCGCTAACCGCATTTGGGGTGCGCGTGCGCTCGAGTCAATAAATCTTTCTCGAAAGCGGTATGTCAAAACAATTGTCTCTCTAACCGAAGTACTGACGCGTTACCATCGTTGCACTGCCTTGCATTCATTGTCTCGTCACTTGGACATATTTCCCATGTCGAATAAGAAGAGAGAGGGAGAAGAGAGCGCGACGCAGTTTTCAGGTTCATGTTTGCCCTGAAATATTAATAGTAGGAATACGTCGCACCATCAGTACTGCGTTGACTATTAGCCCAACTGACTTGACCATCTTCCCGAGGACAGGGTGTGTACAAAGGCGCTGCATAGATCACCAATCCTTTCCAAGAACGCCCGTGCATAGCCGATAATTTGTTACTGCCGGTAGAGCACTTTCTTCTGCAAACTTCTGCTGCGCTCAAAGTGACATGAACGGTCTCAATCAGAGTTTCCAAGTGCCTATGCATACCCTCTCACGACTGAAAACACGGTCTAGATTCTTCGAAATACCGTCTTCAGTCGGCACGTTGACACATGAGGCTGTCGAAATAAGCGCCCAAGGGCTGTCCTTGGCAAGCCCAGTGACCCCGCGAGAGCACACCACCTTACCGACGAGTCCTCTGTTCTCGAACAAGGAGAAGCACCTTCCCAGCGCTTCGGGCTCCTTCGGCAGTCCAACCGACGGCGCCTCCTACGAAAGCTATACCAGCAATTGGCATGAATAGATCCGGTGGCAGGGTCACAGTGTAGCACGCTCCTCCGAAATACAGTTCCGCAGTAACTTCATCGAGTTTGACCTCTAGGATTTGATGCCGGCTAAAAGCAATGTCTTCTAGAATTCGAGATCCCGTCTTCGAAGACTTCAATGCATTCAAGTTGTACAGTGTTACATTTCGATTTTTGATTATCACCCAACCTCGCAGTTAGTGGCCGATGATCTTCTGGGACTTATACGGCTCCTCCAAGAACTTCACTTCTTCATCAGTCAGCTTGACATTCACGCCAGCTGGAGAGAAAAAAAAAACTGTGAGGATGGCTTCATATTCGCACGGTAGATCTCATACCAATAATATCCTCCAAGTTCTTCAGGCTCGTCGTGCCCACGATCGGAGCGGAGACACCGTCCTTTGAGAGGATCCAGGCAATGGCGACTTGAGCCATGCTTATCCCTCGTTTCTTGGCCACTTCCTCAACTCTAAAATCCATGGATACTTGAGAAATGCAATCGGACGCAGAGGCCCATGGGCCACGCACCGTCCTATAATCTCGGCTGTCCCAGGCGTCTCGGAGTGAGAGTAGACGTTAATATAGGAATCGGTGTCCCCTCGTTTTGTCTGAGCCGAGAGGGGGCGAGCGAGGAGACCACGCGCAAGAGGCGACCATGGGATAGCCCCAACACCGAAGTACTAAAGGGTTAACCATAACAATTTAGGGTCAATATAGGAAGACATGAGATCAATCTACCTTAAGAGTAGGGAACATCTCTCGCTCCTCCTCGCGATAGAGAAGGCTGTAGTGGTTCTGCATGGAGATGAAAGGTGTCAATTTGTTGTTGATAGCATAATCTGCGAGACCGTATCATCAGGTCTTGCCCCTTTGAATAGTATGGACTCGTACTCTGCATCGCGCTGACTAGAAAAATGCCAATTGAGATAGTTTTGACCGCTGGATCAAAAGCATCGACGTACACTGCCAGGCGTAGCAAGAACTCATGCCGATGTAGCGGACATATCCGGCCTTTACGACATCATGGAGAGCTTGCATCTGTAATTGAAGAGTCAGTTTCATTTCAGGTCTTTTGTAGCTGGAAGTTGCTTGCCGTCTCCTCGATGGGTGTATCTGGGTCGAATCGGTGGCCTAGCATAGGAAGAAAACTTTATTTAATGACGATTCGTAGACTCAATTGAAATGGTCATACACTGGAGGACATCAACATAGTCAAGCTGCAAACGCTCGAGGCTATGCTTGACAGACTCGAAGACGTGCTTAAAATACCGTCAGCAGCAGCTATCTTACCAAACGAAATTGAAACGCACCTTGCGATTCAGACCGTGCTGATTAACATATCCATTGGCATCGGGCTCGAGGCCCTTTGCGACGAGGTTGGTTTCAAATTCCCGAGCAACAGTGGCGTAGAGCTAAATAAAGGAATGAATAGTGTTCCCATGTACAACGATAACATGGAGAATAACATGACCCTATGCGAACCTTAGTCATAACAACAATTTCATCCCGCGGAAGCTTGAGCTCTTTGATCGCTTTGCCCAGAATAATCTCGGAAAGGCCATTGGAGTAGACCTGTCGAAATGAGAAATTAGACTGACAAACAGGAAGACCTTCAGAACATCATACATTTGCAGTGTCGAAGGTTTGAATGCCCGCGTCGTATCTAGTCAGGCATGAGAATAACCAAAAGCGAAACCCTTGGTCGATGGACAACTCACGCAACCTTAATATGCTTGATGGCTTCTTCCTCGCCGAGAACCCATGGCTGCCAGCCAGGATCGCCATACTGCATGGCCCCAAGAATGATCTTTGAGACTTTCAAACCAGAATTTCCTAGACGGACTATGTATAGGGCATGAGACAGATGGTTCCAAGTATCTCGAAGAGCGACTCACCGTAAGGGATCTTTATTTGAGTTGACATAATCGAAGAAATTTGGGAAGTCGGGTTGATTCAGGCGGTTGTTCCTCTCATCCCAAGAAAGAGGTTTTTATACTGATATGTTGCGCCTTTGGAAGGTTACGTGTTATCTTTGCCCGACAAAGTCATGGGAATTCATAACTGACTATGGGTATCCTCCGGGCCCAATGACTCGAACGAAGGTATCTCGAGGATCGCGAAGGATGTAATTTGTCCGTGAAGGGCAGAGTAAGGGCATGTGACGCTGTCTGAGGGCAATGCAGAAGGGTTCCATGTCATCATGCCGCTGGATATAGAAGAACGCGCGTCCCTCTGCCTCACTGTGCTGTGGGATAGTTTATTCATAGAATGGGACGTCGAGTCATCGACTCCCGCGTCCTCACTGACCGCCATGAAGGCAAAGGTATCCGGGACAAAAATCCACGCTTAAGGTGCCCTTATCTTCGTGAATTTCAATGCGCTGAATGATGCTACATTACATCCTGACAACTCGCCTCGACATTCACTGGTGGCCAATAATATTCTGCGGCTTGTACGGCTCCTCCAAGAACTTGATTTCTTCATCCGTTAGTTTGACATGAACCCCACCTGGAAATTCAATATTGAGACATTATCAGGACTTCACCGTCGAAGGAATAGGCCATACCTATGATATCTTCCAAGTTCTTCAAGCTCGTCGTCCCAACGATCGGCGCTGAAACACCATCCTTGGACAAAATCCAGGCAATACTGACTTGGGCCATGCTGATCCCTCGCTTCTTGGCAACCTCTTCGACTCTGTAAAAATTGCAGCTCGTCATCGTCGAGTCGAACGAGAGACCAACTACCATTTACGCACCGTCCTATAATTTCGTTCGTGCCAGGAGCCTCAGAGTATCGAGAAATGAACCAATCAGTATCTCCTCGCTTCGATTGACCAGAGACTGGACGAGTCAGGAGACCGCGCGCAAGAGGGGACCAGGGGATTGATCCAACACCGAAGTGCTAAAAGATGCGATTAGACGTGGAAGTAGCGGCTGCATGAAGTGGACTTACCTTGAGGGATGGGAACATTTCCCTTTCCTCCTCTCGGTACACAAGACTGTAGTGGTTTTGCATGGAAATGAAAGGCGTCAATTTGTTGTTGATAGCATAATCTGCATGAGCGAGCCATCAGTTTCACTTCTTGTAAATCATAACTGTCCTACTTTGCATTGCATTGACTGAAAGGAGGGGTTAGATGGTCTTCTCCCAGGGCACAACCGTAGGAACGTACATTGCCAAGCATAACAGGAGCTCATGCCGACATAACGTACATATCCGGCCTGCACGACATCGTGGAGAGCTTGCATCTATGGTTGGTCCATGAGTTCAAGAAGCCCGGAATACGTACGCAATATGGGAACTTACGGTCTCTTCAATAGGCGTGTCTGGGTCAAAACGATGGCCTAGGGTATAAAACCGTTAGTTCGGTTTCATGCCTTGACGGAGTCGATCCCACATTGCAGAAGGTCAACGTAATCAAGCTGCAGACGCTCCAGACTGTGCTTGACTGATTCGAAGATGTGCTGTTTTACAACATGTCGCGTCAGCGAAATGACGCGCCAAACTACACGCAAGACGAACCTTGCGACTCAAACCATGTTGGTTGACATAACCAACGGAGTCGGGGCTTACGCCTTGAGCAATGAGGTTGGTACCAAATTCCCTGGCCACGGTGCCAAAAACCTGAACAGAAACAAAACAGCGCAGTCAGAAACAATGGTCACATTTCAACAGAACCAAAAGGCCGACCTTGGTCATGACGACGATCTCGTCGCGGGGGAGCTTGAGCTCTTTGATTGCTTTTCCCAAGATGATCTCGGAAAGGCCGTTGGAGTAGACCTATCGACGTCGAGAAATGAGCCTGAGTGAAGACAAAATGCGCCAAGCACCCATACATTCGCCGTGTCGAAGCTTTGGATACCAGCGTCATATCTATACCGACGTCAAAACCCAAGGGCACAACACTCATCGAAGGGGGAGGCTTACGCTGCCTTGATGTGCTTAATGGCCTCCTCTTCACCAAGAACCCATTGTTGCCATTCAGAGCTCCCATACTGCATGGTTCCCAAGATGATCTTGGAGACTTTCAAACCAGAATTTCCCAGACGGACTGCAGGGTGTGAGACAGATGCACGAAAACGAGTAATCGAGGTACTCACCATAGGGAATTTTCGATTGAGTCGACATTATGAAGTAGCTTGGAGTGCGAAGGGTGAATTCAAACTGTTGTTCTACTCATGTTCTCATGCTCAGCTTTTATATGCAAAGACGGGTATCTAGCCGGTATTCCGTGCTTTCCCAGTCTGATTAGCACAATCGCGAGACGTTGCGGACGAGCGGCTTCCGATGTCGGGCAGTTAAAAGAAGCCGTTTCCGGAATAACAAGGTGAAAGGAATGGTCGCTCATGTGAAGGCCGATCTATTGGTGGAGGCGAGCCCTCAGAAGAGGAGCATTGGATATAATCATTGGAAAGTCTGCCGTCGTGCCGCAAAAACGCGCGTCCTTCTCTTAGTAAGTTGGAGAGGGGCCCACTTATTCACGGTTTGAACGACGAGTCAAAATGCTGGTTGAAGTTTGAAGGTCGGTACCGATGGCCCATGGGGATTTGAAAAATAATGAACAGCAAACAATGCCCAGCTTTCTCCCTGTCCTCTCAACGCCGAATGAGTGAACTGCCAGACAGAATGCAACAGAGTATCTGGTACGCCCTCCTCACCGCGAGGAATTTCACTGTTATCCCCATGCCTCGGTTGTTGTTTTTGCTTCAAATAAATATGAAGTCGACTTGTTCATAGCAAAAATCCAGAGAGTAAGATACTCAGAAGTACTGTACATGTGGGTTGCGTTCGTCGTGTCATTTTGTCCAGTCAATAGGTATTATTCAAAGAGGATGGCACCACTGAGTCCGCAGAAATCGTGCGGTTGTCGCGTCTTGCAAGGTTTCCGAGCTTCGAGAAGGACGGTGCAGTGCTTTGGACGAGGTCTTTCATGGAGAGGAGTGGAGACCAGCACGCGTTGTTCATGGGTCACTGGCAGTGGTTGAGGACGATGGTCGAGAACACACGGAATAAGAGCAATCAGGGGCAAACAACGCTCTCTTCTGGTCTCCTCCACGACAGTATTGAGCATCGAGATCCACGATTTTTCTCCTCTATTCAAAGCTCGCCTCGCTCAATCTTGCGAGATACATTATGCTGTCGTCGCCTCTCACGTAGATATTGCAGTGGATATCTTGTGATTAACATTTCTATGCAGCACCATACTGGACAAAAATACAGATTTATGTTTTTTCCTCATAAGTCCCTCTCCAATCTGTCAGATTCAGGCGGAATCCGTCCAATACGGTCCCAATCCGCAGGAAACACACTGATTAGACCCGCTTCGTTCGCCACCCAAAAAAAAACCAAAACCCCTCCCGATCTGCAACACATCTCCCTGATTCCAACCAATTCCGACCAATTCCGACCAAAACCATAATTTTTTTTAGATCGCAAGGTCCCAAACGGTCGGATTCGGGACGAATCTGACCACACACGAGGGGGAAAAAATCACTAGATGTTTCTTAGAAAAAGAATTGAGGAGGAATCCGTACGAATTGTCCCGAATTGTCCCACGCGGCCAGATTCCTCCCGTATCGGAACGATGGGTCATAAAAAAAGGGAGGGTCGATCTGGCCGAATCGAGCAGAGACGGTGCGAAGATGGCGGATCCGGGAGGATAGCGTCGGTCTCGGGACGAAACGGGAAGATTTGGTCAGATTTGGTCAGGCTCCGGCCTAAATTAGGGTTTCTCATAAAAAAAACTTCAATCGTGTATTTTTGTCCAGAACGGACCGTCATACATTTCTCAGGCAGTGAGTAGCGCCAAGGGCCATCCTTTTGTTCCTCCTCTGACTACGCTTTAATATCAGTCGTGTTTCCTTTCCGCATAAGGTCTACAATGTACAAGCTGCCTCCTGTCCGACGTCGATAGGACGGACTTTCGGGCCTGGTGTGAATGAAGCCGGGATGGATTGTCGAAAATACACCTTATGGAGAATCGGAAGGGCACTATAGAACCGTCAGAATCAAGACCTTCGAGAGAACAATGGCTTTTTCTTGCGGTCAAGATTCTGTTCTCTAGCAATGATAGGGCTCTCCACTATTATTGGGAAAGAGGCGGTTGTGGTTGTTCCCCTTATAAGCGAATGTTTATCCCCGGCGGCGATTCTCTTTTGCGCACCTTCATTTCATGATCCGCGAGTTTACTCTTTGTCTCCCTTTTGCCCGTCATCCGGTGTTTCTGCGATTTCGTTGGCGCAATTTCTTGAATAAGGTATGTCGTGACCCTTCCCTTGGGATAACAACTTAATTCTCTCCGTTGTTAGCTCGTGGGTCGTTCCATTCGCGCGTGTCGTATATAACGCGCTTTGGCTGATCATTCTGGACTAGCTACTGTGTTCTCCGACATCATCTGTTCGACATGTTTTTCCCTCTTTCTGACCTTCCTCTTGAGCTGGCTCTCGATATTCTCCGACTGGCTGCGTCCACAAATGTCAACCAGCAATACCAATCCCGGCGGCAAGTTTACCAAACCGCCACTTCTCTTGCCTATGTTTCCTTTGGTGTACGACAAGCTGTCATGCCACACCTCCTTCATACCGTTATCCTCCACGACCAAAATTCAGTCAATTTATTTGTCCGCTCCATTGAACAACAGAAAGTACTAGCCTCAGCAGCGTCTCGGCTGAGCTTGGATTACTCTCAACACGTACGCCGCCTGTGGAGCAATCGATGTCACACGCCTCTTGTTCATTGGCCTCAAGATCGATACACCAATTACCACCACCTTTTCGACATATTTTGCAGATCAGAAGCCCTTGGCTTCACTTTTGATTCTATCCATCTAATCTACGAAGCCCTCGGTGGCGCACAATTTCGCCCTCACACCTTGTCGGAATGGAATTGCAGGCAGGTCACATTTGCAGGACAGTACCCTCGTTGGAACACGCTTTCCTCGACTAGCGCCGGAGCTGCATTCTTACAACGCATCACCCACCTAACTATCTGGGTTCCATACGACGATACCATCGACCCGGCTGACATCTCGCCCGCAGGACATGTCCCTAACTGGATCAATAAGGTCCCTTTCGAACTCATGCCCAATCTTTTACACTTCGCCTTCTCTCTCGCCACCCCACCCGGAGCGACTGCGACGAGGATCCTTGCATACACCCTACCTACGTCCTCTGCGCAAAGTTCCATCATCTTCCGGACGTGGGCTGGGAGCAGCAACCCACTTTCCTATGGTCGTTTCTTCAACCTCGACGTCGACCACTCTCCTCCTGAACTGAAGTGGGAAATGGCTTTCCTTCGGAACACAAATGACCTTAGGGTAGAAATCGGACGATAGGATGGCTGTGTAGCCCTGATGTAGCAAACATGAACACAACGCACGATACGAACAACGCCACAATCAATGCCCTTCCCGTCAATTCAATGCCTGCAACACCTCATCAACGCACTACATACCTTGCGAGACAGCAAGCCGTCTTTCCAGTGTATTTGATGAAGACCTTTCACGGCGGCAGGGCGGAGGAGGAATTTGTCATGGATAGCATATGTTTGGATTGCGCGAGGGTAGATACAAATGATAGAGGATGGTGCAAGGCAACTAGTGGTAGATACACAACGAAATTATGACTTGATGTAAACCCAAAAACAAATTGAAAGAGTATCAGCGGAAATGATGGTGAACAGAAACCAGAGAAGTCAGTCAATTTAGGCTTTGCAGTTTCATCCATTCCTTATCATTCGCGTTGAAGTCCACCCCTTTCCGCTTCCACCAATTCCTCGCCTCGTCGCCAGGGATGATAGACTCCTCCAACGCTTCCTCGATGTCGCACATCCGGTACTGGATGGACAACCCCGACCGATCCCACCACTCCAGGACCTCTGGTCGGTTATGCCTGGTGGCACCAGTGAGTGCCTCCTGGTCGAACATGAGTGGTAGACCACTGCCTAGCCACCACTCTAAAACTTCGACCTTCCCATGACAGCTCGCATGCTGCAGAGCATGCCGGTCGTATTTGGCATCCAGCTGCGACCGAGCCCACCACTCGAGAGCCTCCACGTTCCCTGCCGTGCTCGCCATGTCCATCGCCCGCCCGATCTTCAATGGGAGACCCGTCGCCCTGTGTTGCCGTTTCCACCAATCCAAAACGCTGATCTGGTTTTTGGCACTAGCGTATTCGAGTGCGGCCTCTGTGTATTCGAACGGCCGACCCCAATGTCTCCACCATTCCAAGGATTCGACCTGCCCGTTCCTCGAGGCGCGATCAACAGCTTCTGCTATCGATCCTGGTTTCGGCGGGGGCACGAGATCCGGATGTTGCTCGAAGCCATGCTTCCACCAGGACAGGACGTTCAATCGTCCATGTCGAGATGCTTTTATGGGGATAAGATCGTCGCTGAAGGCTTCAAGAAACATTTTATGGTGTTGGGATAGGAAATATTCGAGAATGTTGACGTAGCCGAAGCGGATAGCTGTAATGGCTCCAGTCTTCGTCAATGGGTTTTCGGCGGATGGTGAGGCTTTGAGGATGGCGGATATTTGACCCGTAAGGACGGCTTGGTCGGTACACGTTGCACGCACCCATTCCGAGGGTTGCGGCAATGACGTCGGTACGCCGACTGCTTTGGCAAGCTCCCAGTCGCCTACATGGTCCATGATATCGGCGAGGACTTCGACAGGCAGGTCGGGGGTCATTGTCTGTCGTTTCGACGTCAAAGTGGGTGAAGATGAGGATGAGGATGGGTGGTCGGGGCTGCTGGTGCTTGGAAAGTGGTAGGTGTGCAAGTCATGATTTGACAGACGTGAAGCCAATTCTGCATCACTCCCTGAGGTCGGTAGGTTACGAACTTTCAGAAAAAGGACAAGTTCTGAGTGTGAGAGTCGCTGATATGCCCTGAGAACTTGTGCGGACGGAGAGAGCTCATTCTGCGGAAACACGATTGAGTCGGCGAAGAACATGTTGCCAGTGGTAGCGGCGCCACTCACCGCCATCCTATGGCTGTCGACGGTGGACGTGAGAAGGATGTCGGCCGCGTTGTGCACACTACACGACGTGCTGAATGCAAGCGAGAGAGGTGGATTTTGTCGCCGTTATACTGTCGGATGCACGTGCCTGGATTCTGCCCAGGCTTGTTCTTCGACTTCGACCAGACGCCCCCGTTCAATCTGCGCCGGTACTGCGAGAGAAGACTGCTGTATTATTACGCGGTGAGTCCGAACTATTCCTACTTCTGTACCCTGACTAAAAAAACCCATCCCCTATAGATACTGTGCTGTAAATTCAACTGATGATGCGGATTTTGTGCATGAACGCGACCAGCTCCTCCCAAGAGTCCAAGTCAATCTCCACGAACGAGTCAGCGTCTTGTTCGAAGGTCGCCTCTAGGAAGAACGCTGATGTCGCATTCAGCAGTCCAAATTTGCTCTTCATGTATAGGAACGCGTTCTGGGGGAAACAACGAAACCAACAGTCAACATTGAGGCGACAGCGTCGAGGAAAACCGCCACTCACCCTGCCATTCATCGTCTGCATTCTCTGCCGCCCTATCGCCATAGTGCGATTCCCGAACTCGACCATTATGGGTCGCGTGTTGGGCGGATTCGTAGACGCCACGAACGCTTGCAGGACCTCCCCGAAGCCTGCAGCAACCGAGTTTGAGGAGGTTGCCAGGTCGGTCAGTTTGTCGGACCCCGGTGTTGTAGGGGAACTCCGGGTCGACGGCTGGAAGCGCATGTTGGGAGACGACTGCGAGTGGGCGGACATTACTGACATTGCGCGACGAACACTGGGCGTTGAAGGGGCTCTTATATGATGTTCAGCGCTCGGCATGCCCTGTTCGCGACAGCTCTTCTCTGCCAGTCTTTGAAATTGATCCGCATCAGAAGGTATATAAGCCCTCGAAGGTCAACACGCCCGTGACTTTCATGTGCATATGGTACTTTCAAAGAGGCCCTGAGGGCTGATAGGAGGGCGCCTCATTGGTCGGACGGTCTCTTTCTGGTGAAAATTTGTCCGGTAAGAATTTTTTCGCTGATAGTGAACTCATAAATTGGGGCTGATAAGAGCACTGGGCAGTCCAGGTTTCATGCACCCTCTTCCTCCCGCTTTGCATTATGGGCCAAGTTCAGACACGCAGACGCGCGATGGACTGTCAGTCTTCACTGTCATCCGGTATGAAGACATCGACATTGGTCCCTGATATTATTATAGACGCTGATGTTAGGTCCTTCCAATGAATAGCACAAGACAGATCTCACCGATGTGCTTCAAGAACTGCCTGAAGTTTGTGTGCAGGTCATCTGCCTCCCTCAGCTCGTAATCTCTGCTCAACTTCTTGGCCGACTCCACTGGAGTCTTTCATCAGCTCAGTCCGAGATACGCGCTGGTAGAAGGGCTCTTACGGTCGTATCCAAATAACGACTTTACGTTGACTGGATATAGAGGGCTCTTCTCTCCGGCCGACGTCAAGACCGGCGACAGGTTGTCGAACAAGTTCATGCTCTGGATGAACGAATTGACCACCCTCGCTTCCCTGATTGCACTTCAATCGAATGTCTCCGTAAGTCGAGCCAAGCCACTTACGAATTCTTTAAGGATATTTGGACCTCCTGCAGCTGCCGCTTCGTCTCCTTGACCTGGTCCTCAAGACTCACAGGAATATGCTCCCGAATTTGTCCATCAACTTGTTCCCGAACCTGTATCATTGCCTCCTCTCTAATCAAGTCTGCTATTTTACCTCTACAGTTCGACACAGGTGTGCCGACCCTTTGATCAATACCCTAACAGCCACTTGTCAATGCCGAACGGATGCCTCTCACCTGATGCTCGACTCGACCTGCTCCTTGATATCGACGCCCATCTTCGATTTGATCGCCTCGAATTCCTCTTGCTGGTTCTGTTCGTGTATTCTGATTTCCTCGATGCAAGCCTCGACGTCTTTCAGTGTGAGTTCCTGGAAGAAGTGAGCACATCAGCGCCCGTAATGGTGTGGGCCCGCCTGCGAAATACCATGCATACATATTCCGATGGAATATTCGCGAAGTGCGCCGACAAGTCACTGAAGCCCTCAAACGCAGTCGTCCTTCCATTGGATCAATTGAATCCAACACATCTACGGAGGTGGACTCACAAGTCTTCTAGGCTATTCGAGAGGTCGTCCATTGTCAACAATGTCTCGATTCGTACTTCACTGTCGTTGGTGCCCCTCTCATCAGCTGCAAGCGGTGGCGTGGTCGTATCTATCTGTGCGGTGGACATCGGGATCAAGCAGTGGGGATCGGATGGATCGTTCAGGCGTGGGTAGGAGCTTTGTAAGAGCTTATATGCAAACTCGAGGCTGCCTCATGTTCTTCTCTAGACGCTGGACGTCGCGTGGACTGCGCAAAATTTGCAAAAAGAATGGAATAAACAAGAAATTTGTACAGGTTCAATTGCTAATGTTCTCTGTGAGTCCTGATCGTGGTTGAGGAGCCAAGTCAAATCACATTGATCACAACATCCTCAGTCTTGCGCGGTGGTCTTTCAAGAAACGTCCGACAATGTCAGTCATAAACTCCTCTCTACAACTTCGACTTCACCTTCTTGAACTCCGGCACCAAATCCTTTCCCATGCCCACCATCAGGAAGTCTCGAAGATTGCTCAATGCTCGCACTTCCATCTTGCGCTGAGTATCTTGGTTCTCAGTGCCCATGTGCGGAAGAAGTGTAATCTGCGGGAGCTCCAGGAGGCGAGGATTGACTTGAGGCTCATTCGGGAAAACGTCAAGTCCTGCGGCCGCAACCTATTCTCTGGTCAACACCTCCATCAACGAAGACTGTTAGAAATTCACTGACATGACCATCCTCTAATGCTCTAATCATGGCTTCCTCATCGATGATGGCACCACGAGCTGTGTTGATGATAATGGCCCCCGGCTTCAACGCTCTGATCCATTTCTCTCCTACCAGGCCAACAGTTTCTTGTCGCAGAGGTACATGTACGCTCAGAACATCCGCCTGTGCGAGCATCTCTTCGACATTCTCGAAATACTCACAGAACTCTGGGGCGTCGGGATTTTTATGCCGAGAGTGGTAGATTATGCGCATTGGAAACGCGTGGGCGAGGACAGCAAGGCGTGTGCCAATTCCTCCGAGGCCTAGGATGGCCAGCGTCTTGTCAGTTACGTCGTGGGTCTTCTGGTTGATACCGTTGGGCTTCCACTTCAACTCGCGAAGAGATCGTTCCGCGACAGAATACTGGCGCAGTGTCGAGATAAGCAAATACAGCGCAGTCGTAGCTGTGGCGTCATCTACAGCACCCGGAGTGTTTGAGAGGTAGATACCTTCCGAATCCGATAATTAATTGAATTAGGGGCGTCCGGTTAGGGAACGAAGAAAAGGCGCACCCCTCGCGATGCAGGCATGGACGTCGACCGGATCGTAGCCGGCGCCGTTGTGCGCAATCCACTTCACTGACGACGGTAGCCCATCGATAAGCTCTTTGTCGAACCGTCCAATTTTCGCAGCTGATTCGTTCTCCCTGTAAATCCCGACGACGCCTTCGTATTTTCCCCCAGGACCAAACCCTGCTAGGAAGCTTTTCCGATCGGGCGAATCGACATACTGCAAGGGTTAACTCAATATGGCGATCCTCTGGACGAAGTGAAGCACGCACCACGATCTCGGCGATATCTCCCAGTAGTCTTTGCACATCTTCATGTGCCCAGACGATTGTCACTGTGCAGCGTGTTTATCTCGTGCAGGGCACTACAAACAATGAAGATGCGGGCGTACTGCATATCAAGATCCGTGGTGCCATCGTGCGTTTGAGTTGGATTTGGCGTGCTGGTGGTGAGGCCTGTATGCCAGGGGCAGCACGAATCAAGAGGTAGGCTTAAGTAGCTATTGAAGGCTGCAGTTCGGCGGACAATTATATGAAAGATAGAAGGAAAACGATGAAGGTGGGAGAAGGTGCCATGTGTTCAGAGGAAAGGCAAGTAGCCGGCCCGTCACGATGCCCGAGTCCCCATGGACCCACTTGCGCGCTCAGGTGACGTCCTAGACGTTAATAGGCCGCGGTTCTGTGGCGTACGCACGGTGTCCTTCTGTGAATTATTACGATTGAAATGCTGAAATGCTGAGGTTACGGGGATTTGCTAGAACAATAATTACCCCTGTTTCCGTCCATCACTGCAGCGGTCCAGATCGACAACAGTACAAGAAGCCTTGCCTCTTATTCATAGGCTCCTCAGGCCTCAGGCCTCAGGAGTAGTACCCTTTCTTGTCCGGCTCACTTCAAAGCAACTTCTTTATGCACATCCAACCGACAGTTTACTCGCAATAATATTGTGTGGATGATCATCTCTTCGCTATCATAGTTTCTTGTCAAAGGGAAGGTCCCCGTATATGTTCCTTAAGTCCCTTCGTTAAAATACTGAAAAGGGTATTATTACTTGGATCTCGTACGGGGGAGGTAACGCAACTTACCTTCCTGGCGGTTCGAAAAACATATTTGATCTTCTTGCATTCGCCGAGTGCGTTCTGTGCAACCTCTGACTTCAACGACCCATTATCGTGGTATCTCTTTAAGTATCTAGGGAATAGATCGGTCAATAGAAGAGGATTATAAACGTGGAGACGACAGACCTCAAACAGGCTTCTTCTTTGAAGTCGGAGTATATTTTCCGGTTGTATTTTCGCTGGAAGACTGTTGAGCACGGAGGCTACAAGTAAGAAAACAAACAAACCTCAGTCTTGCGAGCCGATTCCTCGTAGAGGTGATTCTGGTGAATGATGAAGTGGTCGGCAAGCACATAATACGAAATCCCAGAGAGGTACATTTCAAAAAGACAAGCAGCCTTGTTTCCTCCGTAACCGATGAATCGTTCATCGCACCTAGACAAACGCCATTATCGAGAGAGCTAGGTTCACAGCCATGAGACGTACCAAGGCGGGCCATCTCTTTTGAGAATTATGTAGGGTTCGTACGCCGATTGATAGCGGGTGACTTTGTAGACCTCTCCAGAGCGCGCAGAGTAAAAGTGTTTGTAGTCTGTGCTGTTGTGACCAGGACCCCAGGAAGCATGAAACATCCCAATGCGATGTTGCTTGACCAGAGAGAGGAGTTCCTACGCATTTGTCAACAGAAGTAAGGAGTAAATTCTCAATCAAACTCACAGCTTTATTCGTCGGAAACGCAGTGTAATTCGTGCCTTCATGAAAATCCACATACTCGAACGCTGGGATGACGAGAGCCACCCTTCCAGAATAGAGCTTATTCAAGATCGTCGAACTTCGTTTGATCACATAGCGGAAGTCTGTGCAGGGGTAGAAGTCGATATCGAGCATCATCACGAAGTCTGTCCTAGCGAAGAGCCGTGCAATGTTGCGCCAGGTGTTGAACTGTCGATCGAAGGCATCGACAACGAGATGGACGTCAACGTAGGTCACCATTGTTGCTGACGAGGTATACATTTCGTGTAGAGACTCCAAGATCTCTTGAACATGCTCCGCAACGTCCTTGATGTGAACAGTGACTGAGATAGGACCTTGGTACTTCTCGACGAGACGCGCGAATACTTCGAATCGATTGCTTGTGATCAAGGTTGTAATCGTGATACCATCCGAGTCGAAAGAACCTTGGGCACGATAGAAGTATGGGATGACGTTGGATGGATGCATCGAGTTTGCAAATGCTTTTGACAAAACAACTTTGTCGTCCACGTCGACGTATCCAGAATGTCCGAGACCGCTCTCCAGTATAAAGTCGCTCGAAGCCCAGCTGAACAGCCCAGGAGAAGTCGAGGTAGCAGCGTCCCAATGTTCTTCGTTTCCAACACGGGGATACAAAGGCCTCGTCACATTTAATTGCACCACAGGAGGTTCTTCGTGAAGCTGGCGAGTAGTCTGATGATCCAAGGAGAGGCCCAACGCAAAGCCGAGAGTTGATGAGAGCAATGACGACAATGGCGAGATGAACAACACATTTGTGGTGTAAATGACAGACAACGAGACAAAGGCAAAGAGGCCGAACTGGAGGATTTTCCCAAGGAGACGCATGAAGCCCAACAGAGTGAACTGTGCCCTCATTCTTGCATCAGAGAATGCGAATGTAAGGGTTAGATTAAAAGTGAGAGGTGGTGCAGAGGGTTGTGGTTCGAGAGAAAGAGAGCACATGCAAATAAACATGCTGAGATAAAATTCGAATTTGTGGCGACATCCTGGTGTCATCTACATACTCGTTGTCCACCTTCTGAGAATGAAATTTACATAGGACTAATCATGGTATAGCTTTAGAGTTCAGGAGGAAGTAGCAATAAATGCTGCCGCAAGCGCAGCACCACCAACGGCGGCGGCGTCGTCGATGAAGGCAACGCGGCGGAAGACGTGACCTCGTCTAGCAAGATCATCGAGGATCAGGTTCCTATACGCCTCGATTCCAACCAATGAACCACCAAACGATATGACAGCGTCCGTTGCCTTGAAAATACGAGGAGAAGGACCGACGCCGTCTCCCAACAAAATGACAATCTGGGAAGCAAGATGCCCTGCCGTGGTCTTCAAGATCTCAAGAGCGAGGGGATCACCATCTTCGAACGCTGCTTTGAAGACGAGGCGGGGAAGCGAGGATATGCGTTTCTCGCGAGCGAGATTGCGCAAAGCCTTCTCTTCTCCGGGGAGAATCTTTGCAGATGGATCAGGATCCTGGAGATAAACCTTGGTGAAGATCTCCATGACGTGTCCTATTTCGAACCTCTCCAAAATGGCCTCTATGAGAGGGGATTTTGGTACCGTGCTACCGGTGACCGATGCCTTGTCGTATTCCAGGAGGATATGCCGCAACGTTTCTCGCCCAACCTCAAATCCACTGCCTTCGTCTCCCAACAACCATCCCCAACCGCCGACACGCCCAAGCTCCTCAACCCCTCCTTCAATCTCTTTGAAGCTAACCGTGGCAGAGCCTGTACCAGCGATGACGACAATCGCATGGCTCACATCGGAATGCATGCGTACTGGGGCAGCGAGCAAATGGCTATCGTGAGTGACGCTGAGTCGCGGGCCGTTGGGAAGACCGAGGAGGTTGGAAAGTGGTAATGCGACCTTCTCGATGGCGGCAGGAGAGTCTGCCCCAGAAATCCCGAACCACGCAGCCTCGAAGGGGCTCTTGTCTGAAGGGGGAAGTTGGATGGTGGTGTCGTCGGATATTGGGACGGCCGTGCGCAAAGCGGAGACAGTGGCCTCTTTGACTGAGGCTATGAAGGCGTCGGGTGTGAGATAGGTGATATTGGATGGGCCTCCTGAACCACGACCGACAACTGTGCCAGACGCATCGCAGATAACGGCTGACGTCTTGGTTCCTCCACAGTCGACGGAGAGATAGAGGGCCATTATCGTTCTTGGGGGCACGCGAGCAGGCTGAACTGGGGCCTGTGATCAGGTTATAAGTCAGAAGATAAACCAAATCAAGGGTATAGATGTTAATGAAGGATGGATACCATACGAAGGCCCGACCATATCAACGGAATGTCAGAAGCTCATCGCGGAGCTACTCTTGCATTCCACATGCGTCGGAGAGGACGAGACTGTTCAATGGCCACGTTACACTCAGCATCTCTAATCAGGTTGCCTCTCCCCATCGAGCTATTATCAGGCCTTGGCCAGTCAAATAGACGTCGATCCACAAGATTCCGCAGGCCCACTTTCGGGCCCTCCGGCTGTAAGACTAGCAAGGAGGTCTCTGAAAAGGATTCGAAAACGGGGTTGCAAAGACGTCGAAGACGCAGGGAGAGATTGAGTACACACTCAAAGGAGTTCAAGTTGTGTGAAAGTGTACTAGCCGAGCATCATGGCGAAGTCACATCCGCCTGCCCTAAAGTTCATACGGGCTGGTGGGTATAAAAGCGGGAAAGGGTAAAATTCCTTCTTTAGTGCGGCGACACGACCATAATTTTCCCCATGTTGCTCATAACTGCCCTATCTCACGCGGTTGTTCGAGTGTCAGGTCGTGCCCAGAAGAACTGGACGTCTTAGCACCCAATATCGTCTCTTGTCGAACCAAACTAGAGGGAGGATGGGTCGGTGGTTCTGTACATCTCTAACTTTGACACTTAGATATACGTACCTTTCTTGCAATACAGTATTGTTCAGATCCCAAATTTGAGAGAGAGACCAAATTCAAGGAGAGAGGTGCTCAGAAGCCGTTGAACCCAAATTAATTGTATCAGAGATGATCGATGATGGGCAAAGCAAATAAATGTTCAATGAAGCAAAGCTGGACATAGATCTACACAACACATCCTGTTACACCCACCACCATCTATCTACTCGCTCTCCGCTATCAAAGCAACAATCATTCTAAAAGAGCAGGCAAATGAGCACAGAGGCTGTTGGTAGAGCAGAGGCCGACTCACCTATACAGGTAGTAGAAGAATGACAGAAGGTAAAATCCAAGCTTGATGAACGTCTCTTGCTTATGGCCTGGTAATGATCGGAAAATCTCTGTCGCGTCGTACATGTGCGCCTTGTTTCGAATCCTGCAAAGAGGGTCAGTCGGTCACCGAAGGTGCATGTGAAAATGCGACGTACTTGTTGGCATTGAACAGGACGAGGGGAAGGTTGAGTATGAAAGCGACCCATTGACCAGACAGCAAGAACAGCAGAGTGAGAAACGCGTGTGCAATGTTTTCAGGAAGGACGAACTGGGCCGACATGTCAGCACGAAAGTACAATACAAACACGAGTACCAACGCACTTGGTTTAGTTTGTTGCACAGGTCTATAGGGTTGATATAGTCGCATTCCAGATCAGAGAACATTATAATCTGCGAACGCAAGGTGGTCAGCAACACGGCCAAGCGCCAAGCTCCCATAGCGCGGGCAGTTGGCGGACCGTTTACACGGAAGTAAAGAAAAGTGAGAAGACGACTCACGAAGAACACCATGCAGAACAGCAATCCGGCAGCCATGAGGACCGCGAACAAGAACAACCAGCCTGTTCCCGATGAGGCGACGCCCCATGAAGCCGCAGCATTCCAGAGGTCGGACAACGTGTCCGGGGGGAGCAGTGACGAGTTCAAGATTCGTCGGCGGAGAGACGGAATAAGATTAGAAGATGGGAAGAAGTGAATTCAAGAGTCGAATTAAGCGCGAAGAGAAGAAAGAAACCACGAATTGAATCAATAAACACGTCGTCTGACCAGGAGATAGCAAGACGCACCAGCTCCACCCATATCTTGTGTCGTAGTCGTAAAAAGTCCTAAATGAGTTCGTAAGAGACCTGGAATCTCGCCGTCAGGAAGGAAGGGCGGAATGAGGCGATCGAGGAAGCAGAAGGGGAGATCCCTGCGTTATGAAGGTGAAGGCAGTCAAACTGAGGCTGGCGGTTTCTGAATCTCAATGCCAGCCGCAATTGGTGACGTTGAGCGTCACGTGATTTGGAATTGAATAACCTTCATAAATTCTGATTCATTGACCACACCATCATGGAAAAGGACGCGACCCCGCCCAATACATCTCCCGGTTCTTCAGCCGGACAGAGCTTGCTAGCTCTTCCAAATACCCCTCACACCCAACGGACGCTACCCGCGAACTCAGTGAAAGCAACACCTGTCACCAAGATAGCTTCGTATGACGCGTATTCGTCCATTCCAACCCAATGGGATGTGATCTATCAAAGACTTGTCAGCGAAACAAGGGGCCATTACATTGGCCCCATGCCCGTGAAGGAGTTCTTCGACGCGTTTATGCCATGGAACAAGGACGTTCCTGATAGTTATAAGTCGCGCCGGCCCCCAAAGAATCGTGTCCATGCTCTCAAGGATATGGCTTCTATTGGCGAGAGTCAGATGTACGGAAAATTTGTACGTACAATTATTTTTATATCTACCAACCTGGTGTTTAGATTGAAGCGTTCAACAACTGGCCTCGCCACGACCCGACCTATATGCATTGTCGCCTCCGCCTGAAAGACAGCCACTCTTTCCGGGATAAGGATTGCAGAAATATCGGAGTCGACATCTCAGGTTATTCCACCCCCTTCGTTCCGCGCCAGGTTGAACAGACCATGGACTTTGCCAACGCGGAAACCTGGGTTAAGCTGAAGTCGGCCGCGAACTGGGATCCATTCGTCGACCCCAAGGATGAATCACCTTCCGGTCAGGAGGCGGAAGAGGAGGCCACGGGTGATGATAACGAGGGAGAACTTGACGAGGACGACGACAACATTGAAGCTGAAGAACAAGTGACTGCTGGAGAGAATGTAGATGTTGCGACAAACGCGCCGGGTCGCCCTCGAGAGGAGAAAGTTCACGATGCCGAAGATGCTCCCGAGTTGCCCAAACCCCCTTTGGGGCTCTCCAGTTTTCCGTTCGAGAACGCCACCCGCCGAGGAAGCAAGACCCGTGCCCAGATTGCCAGCTATGCAGGAGCAACCATGGCCACCCAATTCCGAGACCACCTCTTCACCGTCATTGTACTTGGTGACTCCGCCCGCATCATTCGGTGGGACCGCGGTGGTGCCATTGTCACAGAGGCCTTCAACTACACTCAACGCACATCTGTCCTATTTTCAAACGGTTTAGACAGCTGGATGGTGTTCAGAGGGGCTTGAATCCGAATGTCTTGCCGGCTACAAAGGCCAATGCACGGATGGCCAGAGAACGGCTGAACGACTACGCCTCCGAATTGTGGCTCGGACGAGCCGCCGACGCGTTCAGGGACATGGTCGATATTGAAACACAGTCTTTTCTCCAATTGCGGTTTCAAGGCAAGACTTGGGTCATCCCGAGTCCACACTGCGATGATTACGGTCTCTCTCCCTTTGGTCGCGCTTCACGTGCCAGGATCGCAGTCGAAGTGGAGTCTGAAACGGCTCATTATGTGAAGGATTCCTGGCGTGTTCGTGATCCTAACCGCTTGCCTGAGTCGGAGGTCTACAAGTTCATCGCAGAAATGGCCTGTGGTGGAGACACGGGTCACGAGGTCCAATCCTATCTGTGGAAGTCCAAGCCCTGGGTTTGGGGTGAGAAGTTACGCATTCGAGACCTAGTTGGCCACATCATCATCCTAAAGACGGTTGGCCGCAGTTTGATGACATTCCGCACTGCCCGCCAGTTTCTGACATGTCTTGCAAATGGAATGGAAGGTGTGCACCAAAGTTATCATTTCCCATGTATATACTCATCCCCGCTATGCAGGCTACGAGGATGCCTTAGCCAAAGCTCAAATTATGCATCGTGATATCAGCGCTGGAAACATATTGATGGTTAAAGACCCGGGCTCCGTCAGTGGAGGTGTCCTCATCGACTGGGATCATCATGTGCGGTTGGATGTCAATCGAACCTTGGTGAAGATAATGCGAACGGTGTGTTGTTCCTGTTTATCATGTTTCGGGCAGCTGATGATAATATTAGGGAACCTGGCAATCTATATCAGCTTATCTGGCTCTAAATCCTACAGCTGAACACTCGCCTGTTGATGACCGTGAATCTGCATTACACGTCCTCATTTGGATTAGTCTCTGTCACCTCAAACATACTGGCAATAGTTCCAACCCCAGCTAAATGTGTTTGACCAAATAGTGATCCGATCTGCTGATGGTCAACCAGTCAACACCTTGAAGGTCAACATGATTCCAGGGGTCTTACTCCTAATATCAAGTTTGACCTCGAGCCGATCAACCAACTCATTTTGAAGCTTCGAACCTCGTTCGCGACACGGTACACCGGGCCTTCTCTAGTTGGAAATGTGGGACTTGATGAGGGTCTGCTGCAGTTTTATAACAAGTGCAAAAAGGACGTTGAGACACCAGATTGGCTGTTCAAGGAGATCTACCAAGCCGCTGAACAATTGCCTGCCTCTGAAGGCACAGACACAGATTGGGTGGACAACACTCGTGAACTCGCTGAACTGTCTTGCCAGCAAGGCAATGGTGAGGTGTTCCCTCTCATACGGTGTTCTCGACCATGGCTTGGTTACACTCACTCTGTGCACTATCCCAACATCAACCCTGCCATGGAGAGTCAGCCCTTGCAGAGACTGCGATCAGGTTCGGAAAACAGGGATTCAGAGAAGGAAGATAGATATCAGAAGCGTAGAAGGGTGTAGCAAATTTATTAGACGCAATTAATGACAGAGTCTTGAGCTGTGTCTTTACTTCAACTCTGGCCGTGTTAAGTATTGCAACTAGTTATTTCAATGGGGAGTCCTGCATGCACAATATCCAGGTGATGCTCTGTTATTTCTCGTTTAGTGTAGATTCTAAATTCTGATTACCTCTGAGGATGAACGTTCCTTTCGGATGGACGGACGGTTTACATTCTTCAAATGCGATACATTGACAAAGTACAGCCCAAAAGGTGGAAGCAGTCCCACAAATCATTCGGGCCGACGACTTGACGGGAATCTAGAGATACGGATACACGTTTCCTCGCAGCAGCCTCGCAGAGGATTTTGGGCATGACAAGAGTCTAGGAGGGCCGTTTCGACGTGTACGTGCAGGACCCAGGCCCTTCGCAGCATTTGAATCCAATCGTAAGTATCCTATTTCTCGCGTTTCCGCAGTTAAACATCGCTTTCCGCAATGAACGAAACAATCATCCTAGAAGTCCATATAAATAGGAGAAATTATGAAATTCAAATTTCAGAGGGATACACACCTGTAGAGGTAGTAGAAGAAAGAGAACAAGTAGAATCCCGTCTTGAAATAGGCCTCCTTCTGGTGCTGTGGCAGAGTGCGGAAGATCTCGGTAGCGTCGAACATGTGGGTTTTGTTGACCACCCTGCACGCCTGTCAGCAATGGAAGGAAAGGAAGAAAAAACGAAGATACGCACTTGTTGATGTTCCAAGCCAATAGCGGCAGATTCCAGAGGAGGGCCGTCCACTCCCCAGTGAGCAGGAAAATCAGCGCAAGGAAGCCATGTGCGCCATATTCTGGGATGACGAACTGGAGAGAACCCGCATGAACACAACTCTATCCTACGAAAGCACCGGCGAAACCAAATTCTACCTGGTTAAGCTTGTTACAAAAGTCGATAGGGTTGATGTAGTCGCTTTCCAGATCAGAGTACATGATGATCTGGGGGGTGGGGGGGAAGCAATCAGTAAAACGAGGACACGGCACGGCCAACGGGCGCCAATAGAAGTAGCAGGGCACACGCACGAAGAACACCATCCCAAACAGCAAAGCAGCTGAGTAGAGAACAGCAAAAAGGAACATCCAGCCTGAGGATAGGACGGTAAGGGCATGCATCTTAACGGATGTCTGGGATGACGCAGTGCGACGAACCAGACATGGTGCTTAGAGTAGATTTTCTATGGAGTAGTAGATGATTTGAATAGGTGTCTTGTGGTTCGGAGGCTCTGGTCGTTCTCGGAACAGCAGTTCTGCTGGCAGGGAGGACAGATGGCACGGCGGACGTCGGTCGATGGAGGTAAACGTCAACGTTCGAACGCGTGAGCTCGGCTCCAATTGCGACGACTTCCTTAAACAAGACACGCCTTCTGTGATCAAGCACAGCAGACGATCAAGCGAGGAGTCCAGTGCTATCTACATCTCTCCTGAAAATCATTGAAAGATTGTTTGCATACTTCGACAAGTCTAAGGCGAGTGAACCAATGCAGTGAAGTAGGCAGGAGGGGGGATGCATACAGGAGTACAAAACAGGCGGAGCAATATCGACCGGGCAACGTATATAGTATAGGCGCAAAAGGGGAGAATGAATGGACTGGGGCAGGGGCGACAGTGGGTAAGCACACCGTGAATAGTTCGACAATGATACCATACGTGGAAAGAAAACAAAAATTGGAACGCGAAGGAAAAAAAAAGTGGGCGAGTCGCACGACCAATTAGTCTAGATCCATACGCGCAGCAATTCCACGCTTTCCTCGCCGACCACCGCGTCCGCGACCACCTCTGCCACCTCTGCCGCCTCGAGACGAGGACACTGGTAGGTAATCTGCAGGGTCTGCACCTGGAGGTGCGACAAGAACATGCGCTCGAGGATCTGATTGAATTAATGAGTCTGAACGCATTTTTCTGTGAAGATGACAGACAAGGTAAGATATCTCGAGATTCTGTGCCAGAAAAGTTGGGACGTACGAGCCAGTGTTCTCTTGCGCGTCCATGAGCACATCCACACTGCCCTCTTCCCTCACCAAACCCAGGCCATCCGAGCCTCCCAGTCTCCCTCCCAGCGTCAATCCCGTCGACGAAGCTCCAACAATCTTCACCGATAAGGTTTTGCCATCTGCCGGTTGGTTGTGGAACTTTTGCACCGCAGAGGTCGCAGATGCTGGCGTCTTGAACGTCAGCCGGATGCGCACGTCCTCGTTCTTCTTCGACACCGTCTTTTGGTCGGTGATCGCACCACACCGCTTGAAAATGGCTGCCACGTCCTCTGCTGTCGTGCCCGCGACTAACCCTGACACTTCGACCACGTTGCCCTGCGAGCCAGCACCCTTGATCGATAGTGACGCTTCGGAACGCGTTGACGATGTCGCATCCTTGATGGCCTTCTGCGCGATGGGGTTGAGGTTCGCTTTTGGTGCCGATGGCGGGAGGTTGAGACGCGCAGAGAGAGAGTTGTGGGTCTCGTAGAGATCATGCGACCACTGTCCGTTGACGTCTCCTTTTGGCGTACGATTTGCGCGGTTCTGGTGGATTTTTTGGTGTTCATACAGAAGCGCAGGTTGAAATCAAGAGATTGAACGCACGTAGGGAGCGGCCGCTCCTCGACTGAGGTTGGATTTGGATCGTTCAGGGCCAATAGAACCGGTCGAGAGGTTCATGCGCTCGAGGAGGGAAGCCATCTCAGATATTAAGGAAAGACGTAGACAATACTAAAGCACGAATCAATGAGAAAAGCAGGATATAGCGGACCAGAGGGTAGACGGAGGGTAAGCAGATGGTCGTGGACGGTGAAAGAGAAGAATGTGGCTGTGCTAAACCTGCTTGGTCTAAGAGCACCTTGCCAAATAACTGCAACCGCCGTACGCCGCGCCAAGCCCTCCGAATTGACATTCGCTTTTCTCTCCACCACCTACAAGATGGTATTCTGGGTTCTGGGCCGTTCGATGGTAATAGAAAGTACTTCTCTCCTGACGATTCCATAGTATTCAAGGCATTTTTTTCGATATGTAGGGTTTTGGATCTGATGCAAATTGTGCAATTGTCAAATTTCATCCACGTCACACCGTGGTGGGCAAACGTTAAGAAATGCCATCGGCCATAATCAAGCTCCAGCGCCAGTTCAAAGGCCTTTCGTAGCGAAAAATATCCTTCTGCTATTTCTAACCGTAGGAAGACGTGCTTTCAAGCTCTTCGGCCTGACGGTTCCGATGACGTCCGAGCTCTTGAGGCTGCGAGCCAAGCTGCTCTTGTGTCCTTCCCAACGGAGATGGACCCGGCTGGATCGTGCATGGGAAATTGGCAAATGTGGGGTCGCTGTCGAAGTACTGAGCAAAAGAGTAGGATGGCATGGGTTAGTGACGACGAAGACCGCGATGAAGGACCAGAGTGGGCTATTGATCCTAGCCTTGCCAACCTCGATCTGTCCGAGCTCCTGCAGTACAACCTTTTTCTTGTTGCGGGGCCCCAGACGTTCCCCGCAATCGTCTCTGGAGATCGGCAATTGGTCGGTCCGGGGTGCACTGACCCCAGCGCCCCTGACAGGTTCATATGTGCCCGTTCCACCCGTTCCTGATCACATAAAACCTCAAACAATGCGCAAAGTCCTTCCCTTCCCTTTTCTCTCCCCCATACCCACGATGGCGCCGAAAATCTACACGTCCCAGTTCCCCTCTGTCCCCGTCCACGACCGTTCCCTCTTCACCCATCTCTTCCACTCCACCCCCGGCACGAACAACGTTGGAGGCTACGACGGATCCCTCCCGGCTTTCGTCGATGCGCCGACAGGGACAACGATCACACGCGTCCAATTGAAACAGCTAGCACTTCAGCTTGGTGCTGGCCTTCGTGCCCACCCCGCTCTCAACGCAAAGCGCGGCGATACCGTCCTCATCTACTCCGCGAACTCCCTGACATGGCCCGTGGTTCTTTTTGGTTCGGGTGCGTGCACAGCGTCCAGCAGCTTCGCAACCTTGTCTCATCAATATTACTTGCTTCTCTCCAGTTGCCGCCGGTCTTCGGTGCACGCTCGCGAATAGCGCGTATAATGAACGCGAGCTCGCCTTCCAGTACACGGACAGTGGTGCGCGCCTGGTTTTCACCAGTGAGGATGGCGCAGCGGTCGTCCGGGCGACTCTGAAGAGCCTTGGGTTGAGCGAGAGAGAAGCGGACAAGAGGATTATCGTTATGACCAATGGACTGGATTGGGTGGGAGGACCTGCTGCTCCTATCAAGCTCGAGGTCTCCAAGCTTGTGAAGGTTGCGGACCTCCTGAAATTCGGGGCTTTGAAGGAGGAAGAAAAGTTCGATAGGCAGCTGGCCAACGAGACGACGTATCTCTGCTACAGCTCAGGTTCGTCCCACCATTTCATCCCCCTTAATGCATCTGAAAAATCCGCTAGGTACGACCGGCAAGCCAAAGGGTGTCGAGGTAGACGATCACCTCGAGCAGCCCTCTTTCCTCTGCTCACACACATCTTCGAGACCACCCATAGGAACATCACGTCCGTGCTGGACATGGTCAAACCCGCGTTCCCGCCACTGGATCTCGCGGTGGACAGGCTGATTGGCGTTTTGCCCTTCTACCACATCTATGGTGGGCATCCTCTCATCCCTTTCTACACTGCAAGCTAATCACTCCTTCTCTTCAGGCGCCATCAAACTCCTCCACTTCCCTTTCACGTGCGGTGCCCCGGTCGTGATCATGGCGCGCTTCGACCCCGTCCAGTTCTGCGCCAACCTCGATCGCTACAAAATCACCGTCGCCCTAGTCGTCCCACCCATCCTCGTCGTGCTCGCCCGCCATCCAGGTCCGTTACTCCATCATACTACTGCCAGCATCTGACGTCTGAGTGTTCGCCCAGCGGTCGAGCAGTACGACATCTCCTCTCTGGGCCGGATCTGCTCAGGTGCTGCGCCGCTCGGCGCTGCCCTGTCCAAACAGGTGATTATCCCAATCATTTGGTGGAGTTGCTTGGTACTGAAGAGATGTATATCATCGTCCCGCACTAGGTCATCGACAGGCTGACGCCCAAACGCAAGGGCCAACCGCCCATGATCATCATTCAAGGATACGGCCTGACGGAGACGTCGCCCACGACGCATCTCGTGTTGGACAAGGACGCCCAGAGGAAGGTCGGGAGCGCTGGTATCCTGCTGCCTAACCTCGAGGCGCGTCTCGTCGTAGACGGCGATGGCGATGGGAACATCGACGCGGCTGAGGGTGAGCGAGGAGAGATTTGGGTCAGGGGGCCTTCTATTATGAAGGTGCGCTCGAACGTTACGGAGCTGGGATTTTTTGGTTGGAGGAGTTGACGGTGTCTGTAGGGATACCTGAACAACCCCACTGCGACGAAGGACTCGATCACACCGGACGGATGGTTCAAGACTGGAGACATTGCCTACCGCGATAGCGACGGTTACTACTTCATTGTTGACCGTCGCAAAGAGCTTATCAAGTACAAGGTGAGACTAGCTATTTTTCTTGTAAGTGTAATGGTCGGTTTCTAATCTGATTGGTGTAGGGTTTCCAAGGTTCGTTTGACTCAGGTCGAATAATCTTGCCTCGTCTGATGTGTCGACCGTGATAGTCCCGCCCGCTGAGCTGGAGAGCGTGCTATTGACCCACCCCGACATCGCCGACACGGCTGTCATCGGTGTGAATAGCGCAAGGGAGGCGACCGAGTTGCCCAGGTAGGAGAATAAGCCCTTGCAGATTTTCCGGGTCTGACTCTTGTTTTCAGAGCATATGTCGTCCATGCTCGACCTGACACTGTCAAAACGGATGCTCAGAAGGCCGCCTTTGCCCAGAGCGTGAAAAAATGGATCGAGGGGAAGGTCGCAAGGCATAAGTTCTTGCGAGGAGGTCAGTTGGTTTCATCCATTCCGAAGGTGCTCTAAACCAATGATTTTTGGTTCATCTAGGTGTCGTCCTCATCGATGTTATTCCCAAGAGGTAAACGACAAAGATATTTTTCTTGAGATTGCTTGTTGACAGGCTCCTAGTGCTGCTGGTAAAATTCTTCGACGAGAACTTCGTGAGAGGGCGAAGGAGGAGCTCGCTGGTAGAGATCCTGCTGACGACGTCGTGAAGTCCAAGCTGTAATAGCGGCTGTCTTCATGCTTTCCCTCTTTGGGTCTGGAAGTTTAGGATTGGATTTATTAATGCATATCTACGCCTCCATCTTATTGAAGGTTACACGTATTGGATATTCCCAACATGATCATATCAATGTCTGCAAGGAAGGCGGTTAGAAGCAGGTTCACCGAAGATGAAAATTGGAAAAGGCGTATCAGAGGTGTCAAAAATGTGGAGCACGCCCCCAACGACACTCTGGTACATTGAGGTATACACCATGAAGAAATTCAAAGAAATCCAACCATCATGCAAAGGAAAGATCAAGGAACAAATAACTCACCAATTCAAGACGCGTCGGAGAAAGATGGAACGACGAGGCTCCAAAGAAGGAAAAAATATTGGGACGTGCTGACTGAGAGTGAGCCCCATTGAGTTGAGGATTCCCGAGGGAACCTACAATCGCATAACTATGTCTATGAGCAACGAAGGGTGCACCTCCCGATCCGACCTACGAGCAACAGGCATGCTCGTATCTTCGCACACCCGCGCCGTTATCGCAGGCAGACCGTCGGAATGCACCACAGAGTGACGAGACGGAGACAGAAGCAAGGACCCTACAAAGAGCCTGAGCCCGCCAGAACGTTCTCGCCATCCTCGACCTGGACCGTCGTGCTTAGAGCCGGTTGCTTTCCATTGAACGGTCGAGGACACGCTCTGTACCTCCGGGGACTTTCCCCACAGCTGAGAGCGGAACGTGCGTTCCTGTGCGTGAGCTGCGACAGCGATTCTTCAGACAGCACGGTTTGTGAAGAGAGCTCATCTTGAAGATCACGAAAAACTTTTGGGCAGATAAATTTGAAGCGCCGCCTGAAGCCCATCAGCTGCTTACGTGTGCACGCGTGGCGTGGGGCCGCGGCCGGGATCGTGGAGCGGAGGAGTTCCAGATTGAGTGACTCCCCAAAGATTCCTTGCCTCCACCTACCACCATGTCTTCGTCAGAGTCGTCGTCCGCGCCCTCCCAGCAGCAGCAACAACAACAGCAGCGGGTGCGCAAGCCGCCCTTCGCTGACTGGCCGACGATAAAGATCCTCACGCCGCCTCAGGGTATGCACTTCCTGTGTGGCTCCATATGATACGAGGGAACTGATGGAGAGCCTCTGACGTCTTTCCAGGCCGGTTCTCACCCAAGATTGACGAATGGTGCTTCACGTTCTGCTCACAGAGCGTCACGGGCCGCATCCACAACAAGGAGCCCGAGTGTCGATCAGTGTGCATCCGCAAGGTGTTCCCGCACGAAGTGCGCAACGTCCTCTCATTCAAGCGGCACAGCAACCTCAGCACGGACGGAAAGGCCAAGTACCCACTCCCTGCGGAAGGCCAGTCGACTAACCTGCCCCGGCTGCTTGGCGGGACGCCGAAGGATGATTCCGACGACAACCCCAAGGCTTCCGGCGCCCCTCCGACAAAGTACTGGGACGAAGGGTGGTATCTCTGGACGGGCAAGGGACGATGGGCAAGCATGCAGAAGACGGAGAAGATGATGTTCGATCTGGGCAGGCAGCAGCAATTGGAGGCGACGAGAGAGAGCAGGAGGGAGATTTGGCAGGATTACGAAGAACGTCTGAAACAGAACTCTGGGGAATCGTCGGAGCGACTTCAGCCGGCAGGGCAGTGGTGGGGTCCTATCATCCCTCCCAAGACAATGTCTGACGCTGGGTACGTGGTTGACGTTTTGCTTGCTTTCATGTGCTAATGATCCGCTGTTGCGCAGCTCACCGTCACTCCTGGTGCCACTACCCCCTGAATTCCCTTCGCTCACTGAGAAGATCAACAAACTCCTCGCACCGACACACCACGCCCTTGGTATACTACAGGAAAGCATAACGTCTGGAGAACAAAAAGAGTTCGCTCTGCGCGTTTGGGAGAAGGCGCAGACGGAGGAGCCCTTTGTTCTTGCTTCAAGATCGTTGTCTCGCGCTTGGGAGACCTGGACAAAGCGCGACGTACCTGAAGAAGACGATGAAAAGAAGGGTCCAACATAGATGTTTCTTCTCTCGCGGCCACTTCTTCAAGAAACTAATCATCTTCCACACTCATTGCATGGACGTTTCATCACATCTCCGGGGTACTGTACACTTTCTTGCTCTATATACTGCGAACCATATAATCTTGTGATTGTAGCACGAATCAAATAACTTTATAGATAACGATATGGAGCATTCACTACTCAGTGCTCAGTATGGACGATAGCGACGACGATATTTGCTGGGATCAACATATCCGGGAAATTGGGCTACGAAGTTCTTCCTTCGGCTGACGTTGCTGTTTTCCATTTTCTTGAAGAGCCTGAGCCCAAACTCGGGCGGGTCCAAGTCGACGCCGGGCTTGCTCACCCCAGCGGCGAACTTCCTTTGTGCAAGGGCTTTTGTATCGGCTTGAGAGACGAAAGTCTTGGAAGAACCAGGGATCGACTCGTGTGGAAGGGTAAGTATCTCCTTCTCACTGAGCGAGTAGGACGATTTGGCTGTGGATTGGTACGTGAGCAATTTCTCGCAACCTATGCAGGTCTCTCATGAGTGCTCACCATCTGACTTGTACATTGCCTATTCAAAAAAAAAAAAGTGAACGCACATCAAGACGAGGAGAGGATGAAACCTACCATCATTCCAATAGGGAACCGGAAGTCACCCTTGGAAGTCCAGGGAACAAGGCTCGCCTCCCATGCATTTTTGGCGTCGCGAACCTTTTTGCGTGCCTCCTTCAGGACCTTTGCCTCTGCTTTCTCCTCCTCAGTGAGGACCTTTTTGGGCTTCACCTGACGTGGCTTCGCCGGGGCGGGTTCGGCATACGCGCATCGCATTCGTGGTTGGCGCGGCATTGAGGAGAACTTTGAAAAACTGGTGGTGGCTGTTTCGCCGGCGGTCGAGTTCGTTCGTGGGGGAAGAGGAAAAGGATGGATGGACCAGGCGAGCTTGGGCCAGCCCCCTTTTATTTGTCGCGGGTCGCCCTGGGAATTTAGCAATTTATGCATCGCGCAATGCATTGACCAGGGTCGATGCACAAGCGAATGGATAAGCGCGCGCCGCATCAGCCGGGATGACGCTGCGCAATAAATAGGTGACGCGCAAACGCACCATCTCGGAGAGGTCGAGCGCTCTACACCGTCCGGGATGAATGCGTGAAAACACTAGGTGAACCTTTTATCATCAAGGTATTGTACACTTTCCTGCTATATACCATGAAGCATATAACCCTGCGACTGTAGCACGAATCAAACAACTTTACAGATAATGGTACAGGACGTTGACGAGCTGATAATGAGTATGGACGACCGCCGGGGGGATGAAAACTGGGATCGCTACCACTTCGACCTTGGACACAACTGGAGTACTGGGCAAAGAGGGTCTTCCTGGACAGGTACAAACGTTAGAGTTTTCCGTTGCCTTGAAGAGTCTCAACCCGGACGACTCGGAGGGAGGGCGCCAGTTGACCCTAGGCTTGCTCACGCCAGCCGCTTTCTTCCTTCGGACAAGCGCTTCGACGTCGGCTTTAGAGACGAAGGTCTTGCGGGGAATAGTTTGAATCTCCTTCTCGGTAAGCGAATAGAACGATTTGGCTGTGAAATTAAATGGTGCGTCAGCGCCTGTGTGTGTAAGTCGCTCATACTTAAGCATATGGGCTCACCGTCCGACTTGAGCATGCCCTGCGAAAAGAAATGCTTAAGTATACGTCGAGAGTGAGGGAGTCTGAAGGTTACCACCGTGCCGATAGGGAAATTAAAGTCAGCGCGAGAGGTCCAGGGGACAAGGCTCGCTTCCCAGGCATTTTTGGCATCGCGCGCCGCCTTCAGCGCTTTGGCCTGCGCTCTCTCCTGCTCGGTCAGAACCCTGTAGGGTCCCGTCGGGTGTTGGTTTCCCAGCGCCGGCTCAGCGCGTACGAATCGCACGTGCGGTTCGCGGGCATTGTCGTAGCGAAGGAATTGTGTCTTTGGCGCAGTGGTCGAGTTGGACTTCGTGGGGCGAAAGGAAGGATGTTGCAAACGAGATAGAAGCACCCCCACTTTATGTACCGCTGGCCGCCCTGGGAAATTAGCAAAGTGCATCGCGCGACCACCAGGACGTCAGGGCGCGAAGAAGTGGATGAACCCTCTCAGATTACTTAGAATGTCTCTCAGATCGCGTAGAGTGCCTCTCAGATCGCTTAGGATGGCTCTCAGTCGCTTACTACATACTTAGTATGCCGCTGTCAGTCGCTTAAGATACTTTAAGATGCCGCTCTCAGTTGCTTAAGATGACAGCCTGAGTCCATCATCCCGGGGATGATACTAACCGGGATGGACCTAAGAGATTAGTTGAAGCACGCCTTAGGTCACTGTGGTTGAACTCTCCGTCAGCTGGGAATTACCAAGTACCTGGTGGAGTCCCGGCACCGTATCCTCATTCGGAAGTTTGTTCAGCTCTGGAGGACATGCCGTAAGTAAGTGGTGAGAGCCCAGCAATGTACCCAGGACAGTGCCTTCGTTGTTTACTGGATTTGGGAATCCTTCTCTTGGGCCGATGGTCTCAGAAGTTTCAGCAAGCTAGTCTCGTCCCCAGCCATTTTCGGTAATTCGGTCGCTATTGAAAAATAATGACGCTGAATTACTGAAAACCGGAGGCTATAGCAGCGTGTACTCTTCACGGCAGGTCGTCTAGACTGGAACGAGCTTCTAAGTGAGAACTTAATGCCGATACTGCGCGGTTGGATGAGGTTCATGTCATCCTGGATGATCCGAAGGGGATGGATGACTGCTTTCCATCAACCCTGGGAGCGCGCACAAACAAAGGAATGATAGAAGACCACGAGACGAAGCAACAATTGTACTTCTCACAATGTTGTCATGAGATGTCTGGCCGTAAGGTGTCAAGCAGGGTTAATCGTGAATAATGGGTGACAATCCACGAGGAAGAAATTCTAAATCTGTCAAGAGCCTTCTCCAAACCCTCTCCTCCTGCGGCGTTTATGTAAATCCGACTTGCGGCAAGAGGTATTGGGACCGCAAGAAAAAATACCTGCTAGAACAGATGTACCACACTGGAAAGAAGTCAATTCGCCTGACGTGGCTTCGCCGGGGCAGGTTGGCGTAATTCACTGCTCCGTATATCATAGCATATAATCTTATGATTGTACAAAAATCAAGCAATTTTACAGATAATTCAGATATGGGTCCGTCACCACAGGCTGGGGGATGAATACAGGGATCACTAGTGTTCCCACGGTCCGATTTGGTCCGGTCCAGTCCGGTCCCTGTGCGGTTTCATGATGTCATCGGTTTCCAGACCGAATCGGACCCTTTGGGACTGTCCGTTAATCGGTTTGCTCCATATATGGAATATTAAAATGCCCTCTTCACACTTTCGTCAATCTGAGATGGAAAAATTAAAATAAAAAGGATCAATAATTACTTTTTAAGGTCATTAATAAGCTTCTGGAGCAATTTTTGGTCAATTTATACGCTGCTCTGTCTAAAGGAACTTTTTGTGTGACTTTGTGACAGTGAAATGTGACAAAAATATATCCCATTAGCTCTATGCAGTCTACAGGTCCCAGATGCAGCCATATAGTTATTGTGTGCATCTACACAGCTTAATTTCATTCTATCTGTCCTAGAATCCCCTCAGACATGACAACATCTCCAGGAAATTTTAAAAAATGACATGCTTCCTCTTTTGGTAAAACCCTTTTGATCCTGGACCAAACCCACATTTCGGTCTCATGGTCCTTACAGTTTGGTCTCATCGGTTCCATTTGCGGTTTGGTTCCAATGGTCCGCAGTCTTTGGACCGGACCGTGGCAACACTAGGGATCACAACTACTGGGGTCTTATTCACGACCAGGGAAGTGGGGAACGAGGTTCTTCCTTGACATGTACAAGCGCTGGCGTCTTCTGTTATCTTGAAGAGTCTTAACCCGGACGACTCAGTTGGAGGGCGCCAGCTGATCCCGGGCTTGCTCACGCCAGCCACAATCTTCCTTCGGGTGAGCGCCTCGACATCGGCTTGGGAGACGAAGGCTTCCGCTGTACCCAAGATCAGCTTGCGGGGAATGGTGAGGAGCTCCCTCTCAGTGAGCAAGTAGAACAATTTGGCTGTGGAATGGGGTGTCAACTATCTCTTGTGGCCCACTGCACGACACGCAGACAAAAGTGCTCACCGTCCGACTTGTACATGCCATGACAAAATTAAATATATAAGCAGGTGTCGAGACAGCGGGGGCATGGAACTTACCATTGTGCCGATAGGGAACTTGAAGTCACCCTGAAAAGCCCAGGGAACCAAGATTGCTTCCCAGGCATATCTAGCATCGTGCTCCGCCTTCAGTGCTCTCTCTTGCTCCATGGTCACGCCAGGCCTGAACATCCTCCAGGCGAGCACTTTGATGTTGGCCTGGGAGATGATGGTCCCACAGAGAATAGCATGAATATCCTTCTCAATAAGCGAGTCAGAGTAGAACAAGTTGACTGTGAAATTAAATGGCACATCAGCGCCTGTGTACATTGAAGTCGCTCACGCTCTGGCAAACGGGCTCACCGCCCAACCAGCTGTCCAAGCCCTGCCAAAAAAATGCTCAAGCACACATTGAGAATGAGGGGAGTCTAAAGCTTACTACGGTGGCAATGGGGTAACAGAAGCTGGCAAGAAAGCTCCAGGAGACCCTGAGACTTGCTTCCCAGGCAATTATGGCATCGCACGCTGCCTTCAGCACTCTGGTTTACGCTCTCTGCTCCTTGGTTAGAACCCTGTAGGGCCCCGCATGAAGTGGGTTGGCTGCAGCTGGCTCAGTGTATGCGAATTGCATTTGCAGTTTGTGGGGCATGGTGATAGCTGTATTTCTGCTGCAATGGTCAAGTTTGATTGTGTGGGGAAAAAGGAAGGATAGTCCAGACAAGCTGGAAGTAACCCTGCTTTATGTATCGCCTGGGAAATTAGTCAAACATATTGTGCAACCGTCGGGTGCAAATTCTCTATCGTCTGGGATGACAGGCACAAGAATATCTGGAGGAACCCTGCATTGTCCCTGCAACGATATCAAAAAGATGGTCAAACCCTCTTTCATCCAAAGGGATGATACAAATTCGAGGAGACGTCCTGAGCTCTCCATCATCCAACAAGATTACCCAAAGATGATATTTGAGTTCTCTGTCTCTACCTAAGAGGGTGGTTGAGCCCTGCACCTGAATCCATCAACCAGATTGTCTCAAGGCAAATAGCGACTGCTGCTAAGTAGTTTCAGCATCCCATCCCTCTGTTGGATGTGCACCCGAACCTGGATGAGCCACCCTGGACGGTAAGAGTCTGGGTATGTCCAGGTACATCCGAGGATGCATGCCTTCGCAGTTGTCTGAATTTGGGAACACTTTTTCTGGACCGACGGTCTCAGACCTTGCAAACACATGGTAGGTCGTCTTGATTTGAATGAGCTTCTGAGAGACAGATGTAATGCCAACCTTAGCGGTCAGATGAGGTTCATGTCATCCTGGATTACCAGAACCTGGGACAGTGGACCCACAAAGAGATGATGGAAGTAGTGATTTGCCAGCTCAGCTCAGAGGCCATAGGCCGGCCGAAGCCGTCCTTCAAAAGCCGGGCCGAGCCTGAGCCGCGGGTATGGCTTTGGGCGGCCCACGGCCCAGGCTTCAAAAATCTAAAGCCTGAGGCCATCGGTGACAGGCCGCCACTAATTTTCCGTGTGGATAGTTTCAAGGGGCCACACTTTTACTCCCTCTTCCGTGACCGAACCCTTTACTGAACTATTTTGACCTGCTCTCTGATGATTAGCTAATGATTAGCATCCTCGAACACGCCAATCACCATCTAAAGTCTCCGAAATATTACATCATCATGTCTAGAAAGTGATGTTCACCCAGATTTCTGCTCGTTACTGGCGTATCAACTCTATGGCAGCAAGTATATCAAGTATTTAAATCTATTAGTTCTACCACACTAATATTGGCCATGCCCACATTTCTGCAAATATATTGAGAAGCCGCGGCCCAGGCCAGAGCCGAGCCTAAGCCGTGGGAAGCCGTGGGAAACGGCTCAGGCTTCAAAAATTGTGAGCCTGAGCCTCCCAAAGCCGGGCCTAAGCCGCAGCTTTCAGGCCGAGCTGGGCCAGCAAACCACTAGATGGAAGACCACTGGTCGAAGCACCATTGTGAGAAGCACAACGGTGCCATGAGATATCAGGCCTTCAGGCCTCAGGTTTGAATGTTGAACTGCCACTTGTGAAGAATGGATGACAATTCACGAGCAGGATGGTGGACACGAGAATGTAAAGTTAGATTTGGCCTTCTTCGACCCTCTCTTGCTGCGTTGTCTTTGGTGAATCTTGCGCATGATTGCCTAAAGCAGAAGTAGTCGCCACAATCGTCTAACCCAGTAGTATACGCCTTTCTTACGACCTGGTTTTTTGCATGGCTATGTCTCGACATAATCGAGCTACCTTCACTTCTACAGCAACCCCTTACATAGGAGCAGAAATCTTAATGCATAAGCCGTGTGATTCTACTTCGTGAGCAAAAGGAAGGAAAATAAATTTCCGATGACAACGGTGAGGTTCGAACTCACGCCCTTGCGGACTGGATAGAAGGTAACCTAATTCCAGCGCCTTAGACCACTCGGCCACGTTGCCCATGATAGATATGGCACGTAGCCCAGCAGACCTACTGTGGACTCCAACAAATGGAACCACGCCCTCCTTTAATGACTCCTCGCGTGCACCTCTATCAATGAAAGTCACATCGAGTCCACACGCTCCCTTCCATTTCCACGCCGATGCAGTAGCATTTTCTTCACTGCCTCCTCTATCTTTACTTCGCCCACCCTAGCCGCACCGTCTATACGCGATGGGGGTGCATGGCCTGACGACGTACTTGAGGGAGAGAAAGCGACTCCTTTCCGCCACCACGGTGCTTTCAGCAAAGTCCAACAATCCAGTTCCCATAGTCGTCGATGGATGGTCGTGAGTTGCCCTTTCCTCGTGAAATGGGGCTGTTTAGAGCGACCAAATCTTGAAGTTTCATCTACGATCTATACAACTCCCACCACCTTCCCTGGGTTTACGGTGGCGAGTATGCCGAGTTCGAACGACTCGTGAAGACTGTCGTTGAATCATGGATCCGAGTTGGGTTGCAGGTGTACTTCGTATTTGACGGTTAGTGAACTCACAAAGGCTGTCTTGTTAACTCATCTGACAGAGTGCACAGGAGCCTGCCCGGACCTCAAGTTTCCAACTGTCATCTCCCGACTCGCACAGTCGCACATTCAGCCAGCACAGCTCTTCTTTCGTACATCCTCGGTCTCTCGGTCTACAGGCCGCTTCTTGAACGAGACTCGGATCCTGCCTCCGCTTGCATACTCCACCTGTATTCACGCCCTTGAAGCTGTACGATCCGAGACCGGCGCAGTCGACTTGCATTTTGCTGATGAGGAGGGTGACCCATACGCCGTCGAGCTTGCCGCGAGACTCGGGGGATATGTCCTCGGGAATGACTCCGACTTCGTGATCTTAAACTCGGCTGGATACCGTGGCTACATTCCGTTGGACGAATTGGTATGGCAGGCGCCTATCCATGACGAGCATCCAGCTGTTAACGGCATCGGTGATGACGATTTTCAGACGGTCACGAAACCCAAGGCAAAAAAGAAAGCGACGAATTTGTCACACGCACCAAGCTCGGAAGGTCTCCTACCTCCGGAGAACCTTGATCGAGAAGAATTATCGATATCTTTCGTCTCATACAGCCCGAATACCCTCGCCGATCATTTGAACATCCCGGTCACCCTCCTTCCGCTGTTAGGCGCCCTTGTTGGAAACGATTTCTCCAAAGAAGTAGAATCCAACTCTCGAAAGATTCAAGGATTATTTTTCGAACGCAGCCTCACTCTGGCTCAACGAATCGAGAAGGTTGCAAGCACGATACGCTCCGCAATGTCACCAAGTAGCCAACGTCGAAAGGCGAAACACCAAGTTGGGAGCGTTATGGATCTCATTGACAGGACGGTCAATGCATTACTTTCTCGACTAACGACGACTATGGGTAGCGGAGAGATTGACGCCATCGTGGACAAGATCGTGAATGCGACCCTACAGTATGCGATCCCAAAATATGCCGGAGAGTTGGAAGGGAAGGAGGGGCTTTGGGCCACCAGTGTTTGCGCGTTGCACGATCCTGAAACGTGTTCCTTGCTGCCCATGATTTCACGCAACGTGATGCGTCAGGCAGAGGAGTCTGAAAACGCGGATCCGCGGCTGCTCGAGGCCAGAGAAAAATACTTAGACGCCTACCGGTGTGGCCTTCTCTCGCCCAAAAACATGGACATCTTAAACACGGGATCCTCTTGGGCCCGTTTGTTTCTTGAAAACCCTGACCAGGAAACAGTTGGGCGGAGCATCGGACGACCCATCCGTGAATGGGTCCATGCCATCCTACACGACGCTGTTGGACTTGAGCCTTCTGAATTGGCAGAAAGCATCGATGGTGAAGAGGTGGATGCCGAAGAAAGTGACCCAGACGAGCTCGTCGACGTTGTCGAGTCCGACAGCGACGGTTCAGACAGTCCAAGTGGCAGAGACTTTCTCGCCCCTCTCAAAGGTGCTCTCCAGCGGCTTCACAACGACGACTATTCAGAGAGCGAAGCTACAGAACCTCCTGCGTCGGCCATCTCGCACCGGCGTGTATCCACTGCACCGCCCATTGTAACAGAATATCTTCGTCGCGGGACGAGGATAGCTGCAGAGACAGTTACCGTCACCCCTTTTCGCGATCTTTTGACCTCCATCTCACTTCCAGAATTCGCGAAGGAAGCTGCTCCCCCCCTGGTCCTGAGATCAGAAGAGGACCGTCTGACCATCTTACTTCGGATACTCCAATCTGACGTCCAGGCAGTGCGAAGTTTACCGCCAGAGGCCGTCCTCCCTGTAGTGGCCCTGCGTTGGGTCATTCGCACTCTGCACGTGCGTTGGGAGGAGACAGGAAGCAAGGAACGCGAGAAAGAACGTTGGACAAGGAGTGAAGCTCGTTGTTTCCTGTCGTCCTTATCTTGGGCGCCTAATCAACATCTCAGCGGAGATCAAACTAACACACCTTTCCCACCAATAGAAGATCGCAACATCCAACTCATTGCTCAAATCCTGATGGCATTGGGCACCATTGAACAGCTCTCGCAAGCGCTCCTTCTATCTGGACGTATTCCTTCGAATTTCCACCAACTATCGGGAAAGGCTTTTCACGCTAGGTTGACGGGAACAGCCTCGTCTATGGAGATTAGCATACCAAATGGGATCTGGGAGGCAGCCGAGGTTGGACTAGAGGATTCCTTCCAAGAAGAGCGCGTCAAAAATACAAAGAAGCCTAAGAAAGCGCATAAACTCCAGGTGCCCATCTCCACACCCCAGCCGACCAAATTAGGTGGACAGAAGGGCAACAGTATCTACGCATTACTGGGAGATATTGAAGCTTGAATTGTATTGCTTTCGTATACTCGATGTCATTGTGCTTATCTTGGCTGTATCTTTATTTCATTATACGATTTTTGGAGCTGCTCTGACCAACAACCTGAGCTACTGGTAACTGTTTGTTTCCTTGTCACCCTGTCTTTGATCGAACATGCCGTTAGACGCCCAACGTCTTGTCAATCATCAGGGCGTAACGATCAACACGCTGTTATCGTGGATGCCGCCCTTTCCGCAGTCGCATCATTTTGTAATGCCTAAATCTCCCTCGAGTTTTAATGCATCCTGTTCATGAAATTCTGAATTGAAATTTTTTTTGGGGTGTTTATGGAGGGCCTCGCGGAAATCGTGCCCGGGCCACCTCGTGGTACATAAGAAGAAGCAAACGGCCAAAGGTAAAACGTAAACGTCGATGCACTTTTTCACACCTCGAGCACGGGCAAACTTTCACAGGCGTCTTAATATAATTGCGGTACTCCTGAAGCCATCAAGAATACATGGAGAACAGCCTCGTACAGTAGATTGGTCCTGGAATCTTCTCTCTCTCCCGAATGGTTCTACGCAGAATGACCATAGTATATCTGTCGACCGCCCACAATGGCCGCTCTGTTGGGATCCGTTCGAGTTGCTTTGGTGATCGTCGGGCCGCCACAACAGCCTCTCATTGTGATATCGGCGCACTGCCACGCTCCATTTCGCGCCAAAAGCCTCAGGCATTGAATGAGTCAAAGCCTCAAAAGCACTGTACATGGCACTGGTCAGTGCAAGCTATACATGTACGTGGCGCCTCGATGTTGATATGAGTCCCGCAATGGGCGCCACACCGCTTCGGGGCCTTATAAGAAGGGAAGGCTGATGCAGGATAACCCATCCCAATCCAGAATTTTCGAGTCATGTCCTTCCTAAATAGCCGCTCAACAACGCCAACTATCCAGATATCCCGCAGCACTTCTGAAGAACCCAAACCACCGACAACTGACCTTCTGACATTCCGACACGAGAAGAGCAACGTCTTTGTGAAGGTGCCCCCCAATTACGAGGTATTTCCTTCTCCCCTTCCCGCTGGTTTCTGAATGAAATGCTGACAGCTACTTTCAAGAACGCAGTAGACACTGCCACTACAGAGTTTGACGAACTACGAAACGTCCCCCGAGACCGGGTAGGGTTTTGTGCCGTCTACCGGGAAAAAGGGCAAGAACCCCGGACGATCAGAATCTCGGCTGCTGCATGGCCAGCATTCGTGTCGGACCTCCCAAGAGGCGCAGTGATCCGTGTCATCCTCCGTCCCGACCCCGACACGAAGACACCGCCACCCAAATATCTGGAAAATTCTGACCAGAACTGGCTGAGCAGAGGGTTAGCAAACAGAAGGGAAGCTAAGGAAAGTCGAAAGTCGAAATCTCCACCTCCTTCCCGAGGCTCGAAGCAACCATCCGGGACTTCGACGCCCGGGACAGTGAGGAGGAGGAACATGGCTGGATTCGTTTTCTGGCCAGCAAAGTGAAGGGAAGGTGGAAGAAGCCCAGAAGAGCTTCTCCAGAACACCAACTATCGATACCCTCGTGCACTCTGATTTGGCTCAGTTAGGGATACCTGTAGTCGAACTCGCACGTCATACCTTTTCCGAACCTTTCAAGCAACTAGTTTGAGTTCTGTGCCTTAGGTGCACGACTGTTAATACTGTATCAAATAGGTTTCATTCTTACCTACTATAGTATACTTTTCTTGCTATGTATGATACCCATGTGCCATAATCTTGATCCTTTGCGTAGAGTGGTAGTTAAGTCAAATTGAGTTCCACTGTCCATTGACATACAAAGGGACAGCATTGTCGTATCGCCTGAACGGAAACCCAGTAGGGCTTCCGAACTGCCGTAAACCACCACCGACGGTGAATGGACGCGGGATTAATTCCGATCACGTTCTTGAGTGGCGCAGCAGCGCTTTACTCCTAAAGGTGGCATTATACTGCAGAAGATTGTTGATGTCTCGCACCCAGTCATCTTCCTTCCCAGGACCAGCGCCTTCTTTGTGCCGCATCTGCTCAGCAATGGACGGAGTAATGATCGAGGACCGATTAATGCATGGCACCGGGAATGGCGATGCCTGCACAACTACGCTTTCACCAGGACTGAGTATATGGGAAGAGCGCCCATCCATTGAAACCCCGGCAGGGGCTCGACTGCGGTCCCCTATCTGCGTTGCATACGTGTCAGAATGGATACTAAATGGCAGATTGAGGGGGACGCCGTACTCGGAGAGTAATTATGGATGAGGATGGAAATACCAGTGGCCGGAATGAAAGACTTCGAGGACATATTGGTGTTAGAACCAGTGCACTGAGAGACGGGTGTACAATCGGACCACCTGCGGACAGTGAATAGGCAGTTGAACCAGTGGGGGTAGATACAATAAGTCCGTCGGACTGTGAATGAGAGCCTATTGTTATATGCCTCGAGGGAAGAGATGTGAACAACATACCACAGCTTCCGTTAGATGCTGACCGTCAACGAAGATATCAATAGTGTTGAGGTGAGGGCTGGAACCACGATGCAATGCAATCTCGTTCATGACTTGCCAATCTGGGAGAAAAGATTGATTTCGTCCCGAATGCAAAAGGAAGCAGCAGAGTGTACCATCGGTTTCCTTGCTTTTCCTCACCAATTCATTGTCGTAGAAGGTGCATGCCAATCGCATCCGGTTGAGGATAGTGGCCTTGCCTGAAAAGACGCTCTCCAGAGCTTTGTCGAAATCGTCGATGTCTGTGGAGTGGAATAAGAACATGATGGCACAGCAGCGAGCTGTTGCACGCACGGAACGGGAGTAGGAAACCAAGTGTGCCCATGGAGAAGCTGAGAACAGGTGGAACAGCTCCAGAACTGAATAGTGATGAGGCATGGAGAATTGTTCCATCTCCACCAAGAGTGACGACCAGGTTAATTTTCTCCGGACTGCCTGACGGGAAGTAAGTCATAGCAGATAGTGTACCCAAATCAATACACGCACTTGGACTCCATATCTCAGCGCCATGCGGAATGTCTTTCCTATCTTCATGAAATACACGCACTCCGGGATAGGTTGCATGCACGTGTCTAAACTTGTAAACAGGAAGAAGCTAAATTAGCTCAGACAAAGACGTACTCGAGAAATGCGTCAATAGCCAGAACGACGGGTGGTGTTCGTAGCTTGTTCACTATTAATATGTTCTTTGGCGGGCTGACGGTAATTGGGCCTCTGTCTTTCCTCTGGTGTCAACTGAATATGTGCAACAGGAGAGGCTCAAGACGAACGTTGGCGTTGACTGTGCAGGTAGCGTGTTAAATGACCTCCGGAACGATATTTTGGGCCTGGATGGGTTGGTCCATGACTGCGTGATTTGAAACGGTGCCTGCCGCGAATAAATGCACCGACGGATGACAGAAAACATTGCAGGCGATGTCCAAGGCCGTCGTAAAGCCAGACGATGGTGTTCCTGCTGTGTGGGTTTGTGTGAGAAGCTGAGTCTTAGGGGACGCCAAGCTCAAGCGCACCCCCACGTGACACGTGCCCTGTTTTCAACCAAAGTCGCGTCGGCAAAGTCGAGTTCATCTCAACCAGACCCATATACCCCTCGGCCCTCCGTGTCTCTTGGGCCATATTCTCGGAAGCAGAAGGTGTGTTTGCGTTGGTGATTTTGTGGTCGCACGCATATCTCACCGAGGCCTGCGCATCAGGCGATACATGCAGCATATTTAACTCGTTTCAACACCAATGACTGAAGCTATCTTTCTCGAGAGACGGACGCGATCTCAGCTTACTTTGCCAGACAATATCATCCAGAAACTATCACAACGATCTCCTCTCAAAGATGCTAGGACCGCTTTGAGAAACCACACCACCGGAGCCGGGGAATCAGAGACGCAGAAGCTGGAGGACGATAGCACAGACGACGAATTACTCCTGTCACCTGGAAAGAACAAGATCGATATGAAGAGCACGCAGAGATCCAAACGCTCAGCTTCTCCCCCTCCACAAGATGAGTACTCGTCACACTCAAGCTCGCCGTCGACCGGACGAGAACTTAAACGAGCCCGGCGGGATCCTGTTCCCGAGAATGGGGAGAAGGACCTGGCGAACGCCACGGTTGTTCAACTCACTCTTCAACTCACGACACTTGGTCATGCACGCTACCACTCAGAGCCGAACATGCTTATCAATCGACGCTCAGCTCGCAAGCGCTCTGCCACAACGAGCAAGAAGCCCATCTCGACTGTTAGTGAAGGCACACCGCCGCCTCCGAACTTCTCTCCTTCCGTTTCTCCAAAGAAGGGGCGTGCACAATCGGTTCCTTTATTTCTTTCTACTCAAGATATACCCCGCATCGACTTCCGCACCATTCCTCCTTCGCCAAAGCGAAGTCGCTCTCCATCACGTTCGCCATCCAAAGACAGAGAACCAAAGCTTCGCATAACTTCCGGACCATTTCCTGTCGCTAAACTGTTCACGATACAAGACGAAGCCCCTGCGGACGTGGACATGGGAGAGGATGCAAGTAGCGTTGTGGAAGAACGAGAAATGCCACTTATACCAGTTACTGCCTCAGAAGAGCAGTTCGCGGCTGTTGCAGTACAAGACGCTACCAGCGCTCTACCGACCTCATCTATGTCGTCTATTTACCCTCAAGGGCCTGCTGCTGTGCCAGCCACGCCAGCCTCTCAGTCATTGAACAACCTGATTCCGATGTCTCCGTTGACGCCGCTACCGGAGACGCCCTTCCCACCCAAGCAGTTGGCAGACTCAGAGCTAGAAAGTCGACGAGCAGGTACTTCTGGTTGGGATATGCCCCCTTTCGAGGTGAGTTCTGGTTCTGTAATTGATGATATGAGCGCATACAACGAACTTTGTTTCTTCAGCCCATTGCTCCTCTCGCTGCGCCTCAACTTGCCCCACCTGCTGCACCTGCACCCGCCAAAAGTCGTCTCCCTCGACCGTCCGGTGCGCCGCCTGCTGCCAGAGCGTCGCCGAAGCCGATCATGGGACCAGCTGCCACTGTAACCGCGAAGAAGCCGGTAAAAAACACCGCAAATCCACCAGTCGCAAAGACAGTAGCTCCGAAGAGAGATGCCTTCGCAACTTTGATGAAAGGTTCCCGCGAGCAGAAAGACAGGACAGAGAAGGAGAAGGAGAAAGGGGTGAAGGCGAAGAAGACGGTCATCGCTTTTTCCAGCAGCAAGTCTGTCGATCTATTTGCGACAATGTCGAAAGGGAAGGAGAAGGTAGTTGATGCTGAAGCCCCAAAGGTTCGGATGAAGGACAAGATGCGCAAAAAGGAAAAGACGAAGGAACCGAAGACAGTTGCGTATGTTCCTACATCGGACGATGAAGAGCAGGAACAGCAAGAGCGAATGGAGGCTATTTCCATGCCTTTGCCGGTCGAAGAAACCGTTACCGAACCTCCTAAACCGACATCTGCGAAGAGTCTTGAACCGGTGGAATCTTCACCGCTCGTCGTTGAAGATGCTATCATGGGGCCTCCTGAGCATGAGGAGTCTGGACTAACGGTCCCTCACGATGCCACAATGAAGGATGTTGAGGTTGAGGCTCGACAGGAGGACGAGCGGAGTCCAATCGTTCCTGCCGCGGCTACAACAGATACTCCTGTGCTAGAGCCTGAAGGCATGGAAGCCATTCCAACTCCGGAAGATGGTGCCATTGCTCAGGCCGAAGAAACTCGAACTGCCACGGAGCAGAAGGATGAAGTGACCGAAGATGAACAGAGGGGCACTGCCATGGAACAAGTCCCAACGGAACCTCGCCCTCCATCCAGGTCAGGCCCGAGTAAGCTCCCTGTTGGAAAAAAGAGGCAGCCTATCTCCGTCGCTCCTGCAAATCGGGTTACCCGAAGCGTGTCAAGCAAGAAGAAGGATGATTCTCAACCAGGTATGCTCGCACAGTATTCGCATTCGCCTTCTTTTCATTTTCATTTCCTGCAGCACCTGTTGCAGCACCTTCGCCCAAGAAAGCGCCAGCTCCAGCTCCTGTACCCGCCAAACGAACCGCGTCTGGATTTATCAAGAAAACTAAGAAACCTGTGGTTGAGCAACCACCTGCAGAGCGGCCTGCAGAAGCACCCACAGAAATCGAGACAGAACCGCCTGCGGAAGATGACGACTTGCCATCGGGCTCGCCAATGAGGATGAGCTCCCCGGCCAAGATGGTTTCTACACCGAACAAGAATACCACCGACACGACGCCTACGAAGTCGAGGTTTGACAAAATGCCGACGCCTTCTCCCAGTAAAATCGCAAGGGCAACATCGCTGTTCTCGAAACCTGCTCGTAAGTTTCCTGGACCTTTCGAGCCCAGAGTAACCTCACTGAAGACATGTTCCCTTAGACATGTCGCGAACTTGGTCAATGGATTTCGGCAATCCTGATAAATCGACATCGTCCTTGTCTACTTTGTCGAATGCGCTAGAAAAGTTACGCATGCCTCCTCCTTCAAGACCTAGCACGAGCATGGGCTTCAACAGAGATACTCCTGGGGGCGACGATGATGATCTTGATAAGCCTGGTCGGAGTCAAGATGATGTTACCATTGGACGCAAGTCGTTAGGTGTAGCACGAAGTGACAGCCTGAAGAAACGCGCTACAGTCGGGGCTGGCGCGTTCAAAGCAATTGGCACGACAGGAAACGCTGTTGCATCCTCTAGCAAGGCGGGCGGGAAGGGCCTCACGCAGAAGCCGCTCTCGATGTTCATGGCGAACAAAGGCCAATCCAGTACAAGAGGTGGCACTATTATGCGTGGAACAGGAAGAACGGGCGCTCGGGGGGGCAAGCCTCTCTTCAGCGTGGGTGGTGGTGTTAGGAGGACCATCAGCAAGAAGACGAGTCTTCCCATGGTCGTGGGCAGTCCAGTCAAAGGCGGAGGTGCCGACACGACGATGCGGGATTACGAAGAGGATGAAGAAGAGGACAAGGCTCCGACGATAGCTCCTTCAGCTTCTGGCGACGATGGCGATGTTTTCATGGCTCCAGCAAATACGAGCACAGGCACGCTCCTGCTCGAAGATCTCGAAGTAGAAGTAACGTCTGCGAAAGGCAAGGAGAAGGAGACAGCCTTGTCGCGCTCAAACGCCTCTAGACGTGTGTCGATGGCCTCGCACGCACTCTCACAATCTCTCAGTGCTCTACCGCCTCCAGAACCAAGCAAACCTCGAGGCGTGATGGGCCCGCCTGCCACGCCGAAGGGTGTGCGTAGCACGAGCAGTAGCTACCCCTCGTCGAACAAAGATAGAGGTAGCTCGTCATCCCCGTCGAAGGCTGAGGAATCTGGCACACGTTCGAGTGCTCGACTTGCAAAGGCGGTGCCGAAAGTAGTTGCGCAGAGTAAAGGATCAGACGGATCTTCCGGAAAGAAAGCTGCTTCTGCCCCTGAACCTGCACCTAACCCAGCTGCGGAAGCACTGAGGGTCCTGAAGGATTGCGTGATCTTCGTCGATGTGAAGACGGACGAGGGTGATGAGGCTGGATCGTTGTTCGTTGAGATGTTGGAGGGTGTCGGTGCTAAGGTGCATTTTCTCCTTGATACTCATTTCTTGCTCGCTAATTCAGTCCCAAAGGTCCTGACGAGAGTCGGACAGACCTGCACACACGTCGTGTACAAGAATGGCCTCATGAGCACTGTGACACGCTACAGGTCATTCTACCTCATATGCCCTCGATCCCTTCCTAATAGTTAACCTTATAGGCTCCTAAGAGATCCCAAGCCATTCGTGGTCGGAATAGGCTGGGTCGTCGAGTGTGTCGAGCAACGCAAGCATGTCGACGAAACGAACTTCCTGGTCGACCTAGAAGGGGTCAACGTAGCCGGAATTCACAAGCGTCGTCGATCCATGCTGCCTAAGTTGTTGTCCAACAACCTCCATATGCCTATGGACGACGACAACACGGAGGACGGAGACCAGTCGATGGATGGCTCGCAGACATGTACGTGCACCCATCGTGTTCTGTCCCTTGGTCTCGCTGATTGGGAACGTAGCATTTACCATGGACGATGGCCTAGCGCCGCTAGAGCGAGCACGCAAGAGGAAGAATTTGTTGGCGGCAGCAGGCCGTCCGTGATGTGGGCAGAAACTACTATCTAACACATTTTCTTTTCGCTTTATGAACCTCACGAAACTATCAAGAATTACTCTATGTTATTATTCTACAAAGCATCGCATTAACCTTCATTTGATTCATTCGTTACTTTGAACAAGGAGCTATCCTTTACTGCTATGAGCTTTCTAGTGTGTACGGCCGTAGATTTGTATTTCTATTACTTCACGTCTTATATAAATTGAATTCCAGGTTTCTTCCCCTTCTCGACGAGCAGTTGAGTAAAGTGGGTTGACATTTAGCCAACATGTATGCTACAGATACATTAGAAGTAATTGTACATTCCGACCGACAGGAACTGGCATATCGCGTTAAATAAATATCAAAGGCAGATATTCCGACTGTAACCGTGTCGGTGGGTGGCATACATCGGAGGACGAGAGTGGTCGGTCCGTGCTCGTTTGGGTCGCGGGGTAAAGGGTTGTCCTAATCATTGGTCGCGCATGCATCCTCCTGGTAGCAAGAAGCGGAATCTGGACGCGTTTTCTACTAGATATCGAGGCAAGCCCACAGCTGATTTCAATCTGAAGGTAAAAATGAGTTAGGACGGCAAGCACTTGATATAGTTCATTCGGTAGTATGCACTGACGGTTTTATGTTTATTTGCGACAGCAAGTCCAGATACTGTTCATGAGAATGAGCTCGGAAGCCGCAATCAAAGGACCCAAAACTCACACTATACGCCTCAGGCAACATCCCGAATATATCCCTCCCTTTACATATAACATCCTGTATCCGTTTTGGCTCAAGCAGATTCAGACGTCCAGCTATCCTATCCGCGTGCGAGAAGCCCTTCATCTTGATGGCATACTCAGCAGTGGTCCTGAAGCAGTAACTACAATGCCAACCAGAGTCTGCGAGGGCGTACTCGGAATACTTGGAATGGCGGTAAAAGCTACCGTGGCCCCACATATGAACGCTTGCGCGCCAGCTCTGAGGACCGAGATACCACTCATAGCTATGAGTTATTATCATGTTTTAAGGTTAGAAATTAACGAAGACACGTTGATGAAAGATGGAGACTTGCCTGTAAAGATACTCACGCAATTGGAGGTGAAGGGTCTCGCCGAAATCGCAGGTCTTGAGAAGTTCAATGGTGTGATGAGATGGGAGTTCGTCGAGGTCTGACATGATGACGAGATTGCGGCTGTTCGTCGGGAATGTCGCTATTTGGGACTGAATGAGGTCGCTCATCGCAATGCGGGTGCCGCGTTCCACGTCCCAAGCAGATTGGCCAGGTTGGAGAGGAAATCCTGGTCGCCTTTTCATCGATATTAACGCTTGAGATGGATACAAGGCTCCCCAAGGGAATGTTACTCACAACTGGTATACAATCTTCTTCTCAAATTTGGCAAACCGCCCGCGATTGTTGAGGAAGAATGTGTCCTTCGGCAACCCGGTGAAGGTAGCGTTCGACTCGATGATCAAGAAGAAGTCCACGACAGAATCCAGCTCGTTCATCCGAATTTCCATTAGGTCCAGCTCATTGCTCATCAGCACCGCATCCAACACTTTGAGGTTGTCCTTGCCCTTCCTCTCCGTCCACCCATGCAATTTGCACGTTTCCGCGTCCATCTTCATACCCTCACCGTAGAAATGTGGTATGACTTGCGTAGGGCCATCCTTTGTGTCCCATAGTGGTCTCGTGGCGTAGGAAAGAGCATTCCTCAGTTGGTACTGATTCTGTATGACGGCATAGACGACCACGACGAGAAAGAGAACAGAGATGAAGAGAATTGCCTTGGATTTTTGCCGTCGGATGAGTAGAGCCATGGTGATGAGTTATCTGGGAGGCCTGGTAACAAACATGTAGTCGTTAGGTGAAGGAACAATACCCCGTCCCGTGTATGAGAATAATGCTGGACTGTGGTCACTGATGAGTACTCATTTGACGGGACAGGAGCACAGCCACCTTCATTACGTCATCTCTCTCCCGAACCTCTCAAGGCAGACTCTAGAAGTTTGTGGCCTATGCTCTTGTTGTGACTTTTCTCACCTTGAAACCAGAGTCTCGCAAGGATAGACGAAGGCGATTTTTCTATCACTTAAAAAATAAAACTCGCTCTGGGCGAATGCTACAGCACTTTCGACAATTATATATCTGGCTGCCCACTCGAGTCTGGCCCCCACATAACTATTTGTGTTCTTCAATGTTTCTTTGCAAACCTGGGGTGCCACCGAGCAACTTCGAATCTGGCTTAGGCGCATGTCTCTTCACTCGACATTTCAGCACTCGATGAATGAAGATGCCATTGGGCCTACACTACACGCTTCTAGACATATTCTGGGCAATGGCGAAGGCAGCTATTATTATTGGCAAATTGGCAGTTGAGGTCTTATCGAGGACATAAGACGCAGGTAGCACTGTCGCCTCTCCGTCGCTCTCCGTCCACGAAGTTAACTAGGAGCCCAGGCCTGCGAGGAGCGCTTTCAACCCTTCAGGACGGCGCAAATCCGGATGGTGTATACCTCTCTATAATGACGATGCCTGTCCGGCAAGTCTCCTCGACAGGCTTACGTGCTTTACACCGTTATTTCTGACCACCGACATTCTAACAATTCAACGGACGGCTCCACCCCCAGGCAGCTATGTCGAGCGTATTATAGACCTCGAGGCTTGTGAATAACGACCTAACTCTTGACTTGAACCGATTCAATACAAGACGACCTGGTCCTGGACTTGCGGCGTTGATGATCAGCACTCCTCATGTCTTCTTGGGCGCTGCCCGTTGATACAAGCTGAATGGCGCCGGACGTTAGGGTCGTGGAGCTGCGGGCAAGCATATTTTTGGAGAGAAGGTCATGTCGACCGTCAGACTTCCTCCACCTAACTGTAGTTTCCGTGGTCAGGGTTTCATGCTCGGCTTTGCGGAAAGATGTTATATCCGTATCAACTTTGGTCACCGATGTGAAATAACTGAACGGCAGTGCCGGCGGCCTTAGGTTCTAGGGTTTGAGGCGAACTGCTGACTGCCGTAGTTGCACCGAAATGAACTGTAAAAATACTCGAAAGGCAGGATAACGAGAGAAGAGAATCGAAGGCGTTGCGAGCAAGACTAGATACACTTGTGTGGTATAGTGCGACCAAGAAAAGAAAGAAGGACAAGATAGCTGACAAAAGCAACACGAACCGGTGTGAAATCGAATGCCGCCACAAGGAAACACAAGAGAGGGAAGATCGACGCCACAGGGCGAAAGAAGAGGCGGCTACTTGATGATAAGTGGAGTCAGCATCTTCCTCCGTGTCTTTGACGACATAGGGACGCCCATGTTTTCCTTTTCTTTCGGAGGAGGAATCATCAAAAATGGTACCTGCATGCACAAGTTCAGCATCCAACAGGCAACAAGATTATTCGCCGAAAAAAATTGACATACCCCAATATGTGCCATAAACTTGTTCATATCCGCTGCGTGAGCCTCCTGGTCATTCTCTCCGCCAGACCCGTGGTCTGAGTCCGAGCCAACCGTGGCTTCCTCCTCAACACTTGGTAGCCCGCGGTGCTTGGGTGGGGTCTCGACCGCCGGGGTTGACGTTGCACTCACTAACCCATATTCTCTCAGAAGCCGTCTTGTAGCTTCCGGACCGAGGGAAAAGAGCGCACGAAGGTCCTGCGGGAAGAGGGTCGATGCAGTTGGTGGGCCAACGTCACTCCTGAATGGGTTGGAGAACGTCCGCTTTATGGGCGTAGGGGCTGGAACACGAGGGAAAGCTGTCGCTGGTGTCGGAAGGCTTGAGTTGCCTTGCGAACTAGATCGGCTGATGGCGATGACTGGCGATTGCTCTGGTGTTGGAAGAGGTCGAAGCAGCGGGCGAAGGCGGGCACTTCTGTCTGTTTGAAGCGCATTGTATCGCCGCGCTTCACTATTTCTCCGATAAGAAATCAGGTTGGACAGCACGGAATAGAAAGACATACGAATTGTGAAGGGCTGTTCTGACTTCAAAGATCTGCCGTTGGTGTAGAAGGGCTTTCTGCCGGAGATCTTCGGATATTTGGACCTCGAGCTGACAAGCACAGATAAGTAAACCTCAGATACAGGAGGGCAACCACTTACTTGATTCTGAACTTTTCCTGCGACCACTTCTTTCAAAGAACGTTGAACCACTTCACGCACATGGGTTTGTATCTTCTCCTCGACGGCGGCCTTGATCTTGGTCTGCAGGGTTGCCTTCAACGCCTCAACCTCGGCCTGCTGCCTTGTAATCTGTGCTTGCAACACATGCCGAAGTCGTTTGAGCTACACATATCGAAGTATATCAGAAATCTGCAACCATCAGAAAAGAAAGAAGACATACATGCTCCGCGGAATGGACGTCCAAACTGAACGACATCATTTTCTCAGTCTGGCTTCCAAGGCGCTCAAACATACTTGTCATAGATGTCAGAGTTTTCTTCATCGTCGCGAAGAGCTCGGCGACAGCCATGATATCTTTGGATGCAATGTCCTCTGCAATTATTTCTAGTGGAGAAATCGGGGTGGAGTGGATCAAGGTATCTGCGGTCGAAGGAGGCTCCTCGAAGGAAATCTCTGCGTACTCAGGTCCAGTCGAAGCTGGATCGTCCTGCGGGACATCAATCTGGACGACGTCTGAATCGGTTTCTACAGGGGCGGTGGTTGGCTGGTGTTGCTTGGATGGGTCATCCGTGACCCTCTCCACTGTCGGACTGTTCGTAACGGTATCATCGTCGGTAATATCTGGGTGGTGCGTTCCTTCGGGTTGGACAGACTTTTCTGTGGCCGATACAACGCTAGCGGAAGGATCGGTGATGGGACCACTGTCGGCATCCGTAGTATCGACCGCCAGCACCTCAGGAGTAGCTGTAGCCTTGGTTTGTGTTCCTGTCTCTGTAATCGGAGGATCGCCAGTGTCGCCTTCCGTCAGAGCTTCTGTGATAGATGACACCTCGGGTTGTGCTACAGTCTCTTCAGCTGGAGGATCGTTGGCGGGCTCTGTTGCCGCTGGTGTGCCTCCATTGGCGCTCGTTTCGCTAGGTGGATCCTCAGTCTTGTCCGTCACTGTCGAGACGTCTACAGAATTGTCTGTATCTGTTTGATCTTCATTGCCACCTTTCATTGTCGATGTATTAATAGCATTATCTTCTGCTGTGGCCGCAGCAGCAACGTCGTCGTTTGTCGATTCTACTGGCTCAGTGTCTTGACCCATGAGATCGGCAATGGACGGTATGTCGGCAGTCGGGGAAGAAGGAGAGGTCGGAGGTGTTTGGAATGGAGACCCGCGGTCGGACTGCGGATCTCGAGAAGTTGACCTCTTATCCGGTGCTGGAGATCGTGTGTTTGATTCTACAGTGGGAGTAGACGGAATTGAGACAGAAAGGGCGCTAGTAGGTTTTCCACTGCCACTTCCATTTCCTCTTCCCTTCTTCTTAGCGCCTTTCCCCTTGGTCATTGTGGTATTCAGCAAGAATTTAGGGTAGAAGAATCAGCTGGGATGTTGTCACTAAAGAAGAGATGATGAGAAAGTAGGGAAATGAAGTCAGCTGGACGATGTGATATGAGGGATATAGCACAGACAGCGCTGAAGGGAATGAGGAGGATGCAGAGAAGGCGAGATCGATGGTAAATGGGAGAAACGTTGTTTCATGAAGCATTAGAGTTCGTGGACTCTTATTTGCGGTGTACTGGACTAAACGGGATTTGCCTCATTGCATGAGGTCAGAACGTTGTTCGTGCGTGGGTTCATGGCTAGAAGGCGGCTTGCAAATGCATTCCTGAGCTCGGGGATGGATGACATGAGGCATAAAAGTTGGGTTTCGAGGTACCCCTCGTGCATACACAAGGCTGACGTCTTGGTGTTCCGCAGAAGCTTCTTTAAGTGAGCTGAGCGATAGACTGCGGACCTCATAGTAGATCAAAATCATAGCAGCACTTTATATCTTGAACGTGAGGGGCTGATTGAATAGAGACCTGACGGAGAAAATAGGTATGAATTCGTGCGATGTAGCAGAGGAATTAGATTTACAAACGCTCCAAGCTCGAACTTCCGGGACCATACGAGCGCAGAACAGAAAAGATATCGGTAAATCGTTGTCGATTCGAGCCGATCGAGGACATCTTGCACTGGAGGCTAGCATAGATAAACTCTAGCTTAATGGAGGAGAGGGTAAAGACGGTATAAGTCAAAATCAGGTCCGAATAAGGCGGCTGCTGGTGGCCCGCCTTGTCCGTTGGGCCTGACCTTGCTGTGTGTACCGCCTATTATCGACCTCAATGTACTAAGCTTCCAATGGCCGTCATTTTCTTGCGTTAATCGACCACACTGCATTACATAACTGCTTGAACCTCCGAATTCCTGCCGCCAAGGTGGAATGAACCTTCTTAGAGTCTCGACACATCATCGAGTCAAGCGTTTGTCAACACCACCTTCACGTCTTCACCACCACGTCGCGTCTCTAGCTGCACCACATCAAAGTCATTTACCGCGTAATACACGAGAAATGTCGAACAATTCCACTCCGCCCTCCCCAAGTACAGAATCTCGTCCGAAGGTCGTGTTTCCCGTTTCCCCAATACCCCCTAATCCGCTAGGCATGGGTAACTTCATCAGAACTGCCGCTGCATTAATAATTGGGTACGTGTTACGCTTTTCTCTACTGGCTTCCTTAATGGGCGCTCTCGTGACGTAGAGATGAAATCCTCAATGGCAAAACACTAGATAGAAATTCCCATTGTTTTGCCCAGTATTGCTTCGAGCATGGCATCGATCTGTACGCCTATACACCTACTAGAAGAGGAGGATTGTTGACGAATGCAGCGGATGAATTTCAGGAAACGGGTAGAAGTCATCGCGGACAACGAAGACGAAATGTATGCTGCATCTCTGTATCGTGTCGTATGACTATGAGCTAACTCGCCTCTTAGCATTGAAGCTAGCAGACGGCTTGTCAGTAAGTATGACTTTGTTGTTACAAGCGGTGGAATTGGGCCTACTCATGACGGTACGTTTTACTGCTTCTCCGCTCCAAAACATCTTATGAATGCACTTCAACAGACATAACCTATGAATCTCTCGGCAAGGCGTTTGGCCAGAAACTTGTTCATCATGATGAGACAATACGGAGGATGACAGAAATGACCAGGAACCGTAATTGGATCGGGAAACAGAATGCTGAACAGTTGGCTGCCACATACAGAATGGCGTTGTTCCCTGAGAGGGCAGAGACGTTATATGTCGAAGAAGATATTTGGGTGGTATGTCTATCAGCAACGGGGTTTTTTTTTCTGCTGAACTAATGGCTGATAATTATTCCTCGTGAGTAGCCCGTCGTTCGTCTCGAGGGAAAGCTCTGCGTCTTCCCGGGCATTCCAGCACTCTTCGCGAAGTTGCTGCACGGTCTAACGCCTTTCCTTCCTTTACCTCCAAAGAGTGAACGACCACTCAGAATTCAGATATTTACTGAGTACGTTCTCCTGTCCCTCCTTGTGGCATAATGATTTACCCTCGCATCCATTTTCAGACGGCCGGAATCTATGATAGCGCCCTATTTAACATCACTTCAAGAGCGTCTCAGGCCGCACGGGATTCAAGTTGGGTCATATCCTGTCCTCTACAAGGGCGTCTTTGTCAGCCTCATTGGACGAGACAAAATACCAGATACGAAGGCAGTAAGAAAGCTGTGGCTGGCTGAGGTCGCCCAGGAAGTCGAGAGGGAAATCGACGGGAAAATATCCAGCGACGAAGAGGTGGCTCAGAAGAAAGGGGCTGCCGTCGCGGCGCTCAAGCCTCCAGAAGACAGTCCTACAGGCAAAGCTAAGTATTAAACTTTCAACTGAGATCCTGGCTCTCTTCTCTTTCCGTCGATTTCTTGTAACTCGTCCTACTTGTTTTTTTATAGAATGGGTTTTTTGAATCTGCGATCCATGCCGCGATGCCACTTGGTCGAAATGGAGAAGCTTGAAGGGATTGCTGCAGCAAGTCTGATTGATAGCCATCGCTCGTTCAGCGTGTCGCAGCGACGCCACAGCAGCCGTCATCTCCGAATTGACAAGTCCGTCTGCAAGGATGAACCGTCCGCCTGCACGTCTAATCTCGGTTCAGCCTGCCCCAGAGGCCCGTACGACCCGAAATTACAATCTCATCAACGTTGAGTTGAATGGAGTTGTTGACTGGCGTTCAACGGAGTGCCAGTCATGCAACGCTTCAAGCTTCAAGAGTTATTTTGTGTTATCTCGCACTCGGTTTTGCAGCGAGGCGCCTGCTTTATTCCCTGCGCCTCGATTCGAGTCAAATACCTCCGTTCACACTCAGGTACCATAGGATGCCATGCATTATCTCCGCAAGACAGTAAATTGCGCGATTGCTGAATACTCTGGTATGTTTGCCCCATCCTCTCGCCAACCGACCGCTTATCATTGCTCGTCAGGACCAGAGAGGCTGGAGGACAAGCGTCGGCCGGCCACATTTGGGAGAAAGAACCTCAAGGCGCGAGAGAAGCGCATCATTTCCTCGATGCTGGCATGGTTTCGTCATCAAGATCAAGAGAAGCACCTCCCTTCACCTGCCGTCGTCGTACACGGTGTTGGAAGGATTGTGCCCAACCATCGTGATTCTTTGTGATTGGTGCCACGAACGCCGACCGCCTGTTCTTTGTGCTGGAGCCCTCTGGAGCCCCTCAAACACCATTGGTCCGGCTCGTCCGCCGTCGCTGATTGGTCTTCGCCTTTTTGGTTCGCCTTCGAACACCTTCGACCCGTTGCTGCGGGATGCGACAACGAACTCCCAAGACGCTGACGACGGAGCGCCATGGAATTTTCTATTCCGCTCTAGCTGCCCTCACCGCCGCTCCGAGTCAGCGTTCTGACCTGAGGCTCTAGACAAGTTTGTAAAAGGCCCTCTGCAGGTTCTCTCCGTTTCCTGCTTGCTCCTGCATTCCAAAGACATACCGTCGCTTTGGCGCTCGCTTGACATGTGTCTGGCAGAACGGCTGGTGCCACAGCTATTTCTTGCGAACAGTCTCGTCTTTTCTCGATCTTTGTTCCTACCGATCTACTTCGAGAGTGTCTCGATATATATCACCCAAGGAGAGCAACCATTCCATCTTCGCGATGTTCCTGTACTTGATCTTCAGATTGAATCGTATGCAGGGCTCGGTACGTCCGAGGGTGGGCGCGAACCTCGTGTTACGTTCCTCTACCAGAGCGCTGGAAGATCTCGACCTTACCGCCGCCGTACCCGTCAACTGCCCTCTGTCAATGTCTGGTCAATGTCACCCATCCGTTGCGCAGTGGCCACTGGCATCTCACGACATACTTTTACCTTCTGCGTTTACCAGGATGCGGTATCTCGCTTTCGGTGCCCTCACATCCATCAGCCGCGGTGGTAGCTCTGCTTGCGTCTTGCGCGCTAAAGGTCATTTATCACGAAAATGGAATTTACGCCCGCCGTTTTCACGGTGATGTGTAAGTATGCGACTCGCGTTTTAAGTTGATTCATTGATATTAGGAACACGACGCGTATGTCTGGACAAAGAAAGGTGATTTGCTCTCGTCCGACATCTGGTCGGATTTCCTTCAGCCCGTCTCTTATTGGATACGTATTCTCGATTACCTGAACAAGGCCGCCATTTGCTCTCTAGTTTGCCTTTCCACGGACATCCTGAAGGTATGTCTTCATTTGTGGGTGCCTTTCCCAACACTGACACCACATTAGCAGCGCTTAAATGGTACGCTCTATACTAGGTCTACGTCCATTCTACTAAACGAGCTTCTCTGCTTCTTCCCTAGGTACTTCTACACCTCGTGCGTGTTCCCCACGAGAACATTTCCAGAAAAAACATTGGTCGCCGCTCCGAAAATGAAAGGGATTTCACCGAGTGTCATTTTTGTGGTTCACTTCCAATCCCTTGGCACGCGATTCGTCAAAACGAGGAGGTGCAGGGCTATTCTTAGAACTGTCGACCCTGCCCGAGGACGAAAGAGGTCTAATGGATCCACAAGTTCTTCACCATATGCTCCCTGAGGAATAAGAAAAGACGTCCGGAGGCCGTATGCGTTCTTCTGTCAGTAGAACTCGGTGTTCAGACGGCGAAAGAAGGTAACTGCGTCCTTGTATGAATTACGGTATGTTAACACGACCGATACTTCGCGGGTACAGAAGCTCAGGCCTCGATCGAGTTCTTGTTAATTTCTATCTGACAAACGGAAATGCGCTGCTCGATAGCCTTTACGCCGCGAACAGAGATCCTACCTTTATCGCTTCAGGTCTGTCGTGTTCTCACGAAACAGAGGCCCTTTCCCAGAAAAGTTTGTCGGACGTGTTGGAAGCTTGCTTGAAGCCTCGCCACACAACTGAACCAACTCTCGTCAGACGGTCTTCGCACACAGCCCGTTCGTGTGATACAGCCCACTCAAATCCTCGGAAGCATGAGGACCGCCTGCCGGATCAGTGTGGGCACTGTCAATGTTCGCGCTAAGCCTATCGCGGCCAATCTCAGCAGGGTGGTCCAAACTCGGTGACACAAACGACTCTACTTACCTTTATCCAATCGCTATCGTGGCCGGCGGTAGGACGAACGCCCCGTTCTCGTCATGTTTTCAAGGTCAATGTTCCAGTCAATATGTTTATCAATGCTTAACCAAGTTGTCTGTCAACACAAACTCTCGTTAGCACCCTCTTTTTTCAACAGCGGGCCCGCTAGAATATTATTGGCCAGAGCCGACCAATGGTATTGGCTGAAGGATGACCCAGGCTACCCGCCTTTTTTCTCAAGCCCGTCGAGCGATGTCCTCTGTCGAAGGGACGAGAAGGAATTTCAGACAAAATCGGCCTTTCCACGAGCTGTCTCGCCAACCTTAGATCTAATCCCTACCAAACCCCATCCCATCACCCTCTATTGGCCGACGAAAGGCAATTCTCTGACAGCGGTTCCAATTCGAGGGTCTGAACAAGTTTCAACGCACATCGTTTGAAGTTTCAGCATCGGTGCATCATCCCAGCCAAGCCAGAAGCCGTCGTCGGTGTGGAGGTTCGGTTTGGGCTCGCTTCCCTCGAACCAGCCCGATCGGGCTCGCAGGGCTGTTGATCGACCAATGACGACAAGAGGTGGAATCTAAACTATTCCTGGAGGCGTGATCAACCTGCATTTTCTCAGCCAGTAGTTTCTTCTTCATATCTGCGTTCTCATGCACATCATGTGTTGCATGTCTAATACAGCAGGTGTGCGTGGACCTCCTTTCCCGGATAGGCGCCAAAGTGTGGGGCACTGCACAGGCCGTTGAAGGAAGTTCTGACCGTGCGGTATGTCACCGTCCAAGGATAGATACCTCGATTCTTTCCTTAGCTTAACAATACAGTGCTATTTTGTATTCCTTCTGTACTCCCTCCAAATATATACACTTCAGTGTCTTTCTGACGACAAGTTTACGTGAGGATGTCCAGCAATCGACGAAAACATCGGGAAAAGAGTCCGCTGCTTCCTATGTGTCCACTCCTTTTATCTCATAACGAAAACACGATTGTTGGAGTGGGAAGAAATACCAGTCAAGTTCTCAGTGCACGCTCCTCGGCAAGCGATCCTTCTAAATTCTTTAATTTCACATTCGACACGGGGGATGGAGGCACAATTACACGAGTACTCTACTGTAGGATATCATCAGGATGATCGTTGGGGTATTATATCTTTGAATTTGTAATGTATGGCAGCTTTGCTATGCTGAGGACGTCTGTTTAGCGAACAAAGTCAGGCAAAAAGAGAGTGTACACCTAGAGGGGAGAAAGGAAATAAATGTAAAAAGAAAGGATGGAGATAGCGAGGTTTGAATTTGAAGGGGATAAAGAAAAAGGAAGGGAAGGGACGAACCAAGATGGAGATTACAACTACAAATAGACGGTAAAATAACACATCTTGAGCACGGGAACTGGAAAAGGATAAAGGAGATAAGATAATACGCAAGGCTTTGGCGCGAAGACAGAATCTTTCGAATGGAATAAAGAGAACGGACAAGGAAGGTGGTATGGCAGTTTAGGAGTTTGCGCGTGCGCGGGTCTTGTCGTTTGAGAGAGGTTGTTGCTGATTTGATCGAAACGGTGTTGCGGTTGTGATTGTGATTGCAGGGTGTCGAGCGTAGCCTTCAAGCTTCAACGATGACGACGATGCTGGGTGATGATGTGACAAGGAAAGAAGGTTATGATGTCGATGATGTTTGATGACGAAGGGATGGCGGTGTAGAAACAGCGAAAGAATGCGGTGTAGGGTAACGAGCGACAGATTGACAGCGAGTGCAGAGCGAAACAGACCAGGACACGGAGTAGGAAGGGCGGAATGGGAACGGAAGTTCCAGCAAGAAATTTCGGCGGAAGGCAGCGAAGACAAAAGCGGAGTTGGAGGATGGCGGGCAGGTGTGGTCGATTAGGAGCTAGTCGATCAATGGCCGGTGTGAATGTCTAGGATGCGAGGTGCAGGTAGGTAGGGTGCGTGCTAGAAAGATAAAAGAAAAATAGGGGGGATAGGGGTCAGGAGGTGCAGTCACGTCAAGCACAAGCACAGAGGACAACAACAGCGAAGGGCGGGGGCGGTGTGGGTGATAGGCGGGTTTGGGCGACGTCGATGTTTAGGATTGAATGGAAGCGGAGAAGACACGCGCAGGCCAAGAATAATTAGGCGAGAAATATGGTTGGGGGTGGAGTGTAGACGAGCGGATCAGCAGACGCGGACACGGAGGGTGGGTCGATTAAATGAATGGGTGTTGTAGCGTGAACGAAGACAAAATACGGAGAAAAGGATGGGGCTGATGGATGACAACACACGACGCCGAAGAATCCAGGTGACGAGAGGAATCTAGGAAGACAAGAAATACCGGGTTCAGGTAGTATGAGGCGAAGAACGTCGACGGTTCTACCGACATCCGACGCACAATCAGCAATTCACGTGTAAGCAACGAACGCTTCGACGCTCTGTAGCCCGTTATCCATTACTCCACTCGTTGCGAGTGGGTCCACGAAGCCTCCCGATGAGCTAAAGACGCCGTAATCGAGCTGCGGCTGTTGTTGCTGGGACCCATTAGGAAACGAGTATGTCTGGGAGAAAGACGCGTTGGCGTCCTGTGGTTGGTGCTCCAGCTGTTGAGGGAAGTACGACGTCTCGTGTTGCAGCTGCTCCGGAGGACTATGCTCGCCGTAGTTCACGTATGTCTCCGGAGGAGAAGCCGTGCCAGAAGACTTGACGATAATCATCAGCCAAAGTTACACCGAAAAAATAAAGTGAGAGTACACACCTGACCCGGCTTGCCCTCGAGCGCGAATGCTAGCTCGCTCGAAGTCGAAATCGGCACGTTCGCCGACGGGGGGTCCTGCGCACGCGGTTGGGGGCTCTGTCCATTCGAGTTCGGCGCGATGGTGGAAGCGGGGGACGGATACTGCTCCTGCTGCTGTTGATCAGCGGACTGTTGCTGATGGAGGTGCCCATCTGTCACCGATCCCGATACCAGCTCCAAGCCCTCGCCCGCGCTCGCCGAGAATGTATACTCTTCGTGCGTAGGGGGATACCCAACAGCCGCACCAATCCCGAGCCCCATCGACCCAGCGTGACCCATATGCTCAACCTGGTTACCGACATCAAGCCCCGAGAGCATACCCAAGAAATTTCCGGACGCGCTGAGTAGACAGAGAAGGTAGTTTTAGCGTCCCCACAATCAGACCAAATGAAGTAGAGAACTTACCAAGAATCGCGTCGGTCTTCGAGGTGCGCGTGCTCGACTGCCGCGCCTCCAATTTCAGCATAGTACGAGCTGTTTATACTCGATTCGCTAGTCGCAATGGAGGCAATGGAGCCGAATCGCGAGTATGCGGTGTACGAGGGCGAAGTCGCGTCATCGTCCTGCTCCGTCTCATCTCCTCTGAATGTGAATGATCTAAGCGAATCGGGCGAGTTTCGTTCGCTGTCTCCAGAGCTTGGCGAGGCCATCGATGGCGTGTTGCTACTGGCCGCGCCGAATGAGAAGCCTGGCGAGGGCAGAGGGCCGGGGATCGGTGAAGCGACGGGGCGTTGGCTGACGGCGTACAAGTGAGAGTCGGGCAACGAGGCGCGGATGACCGCGTTGTAGGGGGTCAATGGCGAGGGCGAAGGTGTCTGATAAGACCGCGAAAGTTGCGAAAGGCGCATCGAACGCGAGTCCATGGAGGATCGGCGGAGGGCCGTGTGCTGGGGCATGGAAGCCAGATGGCCTGCCGGAGATGCGGAAGACAGGGATGAAACGCCACGCCGCTGCGTCTGGTACATGTATGGCAGGCGGTTGATCTGGTGATGATGGCGACCAACACCTCCGCCCATCCCCGCGTTCAATCCGTTGCTCGTCGTGCCGGGCTGGGCGACACCGAATCCTGGGCCATAGAGGGCGCTATTTTTTGCTCGTGCAAGGCCGGCGAACGGGTTGGAAGCTAGCCGTTGGAGGCTGGCATCGACTGAGCGTCGGCGGACGAAGGGGTCGAAGGTATCGTCTTCTGCTGACTGTTGGGGTTGCGGGAACGCGTTGACGGGGAGCGAACCTCGACGGTACTGATACAAGTCATCCCCTCCGACGCCGTGGCCGAATCTTTGGTTCAGGGAGGCGACGGGTGCTGTCCGTGACGACTGCAGGGCTGGTCGCGACGATGCATAGGACGCGGCGCTGTCAGGGGGGAGGTCGGCGGGGGAGTATGGGGGGAAGTTGGCGGCGTCGGTGATGAGGTGGAGGGTGGGGGGCGAGGTGGCGAGGGATGCAGGGCTCCTGCTGGCATTGCTGGGTGATCGGGAAAACGCGTCTGAGGGGTCCTGGCTGCCGTCCCCAAGTAACGAGTCCCCGTGCAGGCTCTCGTTCTTCACGTTCCGCAACGCCGACGCCTCCTCCTGCCTTCCAGCGACCAGGCCGGCTGCGTTGGCCTTGGCTGCCATCGACGCCTTGCTCGCCTTCACCTTTTCCTTCGCCCGTCTGCGTCGAAATCAGCCCCGGAAGACCATCAGCACAGAGCACAGCTAACACACCTGTTCTGAAACCACACCTGGCACGCGCATGGAGGGCAGGTCAACAGGAGGCCTCCGCGCGAGGCTAGCTAGACTCACCTGGACACCCCTCGGGGTCATGTCAAGCTCTGCGGCGAGCTCCGTGCGGAGGGTAGCATTGGGTTTTGTGTCCTTTTTGAAGATGTCCTCGAGGACCTTGAGCTGGGCGGAGGTTGTGCGCTTCCTGTGCTTGACTTCATTGGGGGTGTAGGGGTAGAATGCGCGGAAGTCGACGGCGGCGGGGTCGGTAGGAGTGAGGGGCGTGTCGTAGCCCATGGCCGGCGGGGAAGTTGGGAAAGAGAGAAACCGAATCAACGCCAGAGTTATAACCAGTCCATCTGCGAAAAGAACGGCAAACCAAATCTCGAACCGGTTCAGTTGCCAGGAACAACATCAATCGAGATCGTATCCACCCTATCGTACACTTTTTATATTCAGGATAGCAAGGTGCAAAATAATTACGAGCAGTGCATCGAAAGCAAGGTATCATGTCTACTGTACCAGTAAAAAAGTCATAGTGCATGGAGGGAAATAATATGCAACAGTAAAAGGTTCATAAGCATAAGAGAAGAACCATACAACACGAATCCCAGCAGAGAAAAAACGTCCCAGTAGAAATTTCTTTTCGAGTGTCCCCGTCAGCGTCGTCTTCGCCACCACAACTTCCTCGACATCCCTTTGGCGATGGACTCACAACTGTGAACGTCCCGGAAACGTCGACAGGAAGGGAGACCGCAGCGACAAGGACGACAGAAGTTCGCCCAAAGAGACGCAGAAGATCGGGGCGGCGACACATGATGATATCACGGGCTTGTATCCATCTGAGTGTCCTCTCCAAGGATCTCCTCCAGGAAGCCTTCGGGGACGCTGGCTAGTGGGGACGCACCCCACGTACTCACGCCTGCTGCGCTCAGCGCCTGGCGCGTCCTCTCCATCTCTATGCGTGCACGACTAACGACAGGATGCTCGCAAACCTCCGTCATCGTTAGCCGCTTCGCGGGATCGGTACGCATCATCTGCCGCAATAGATCGACGAGCGCCTCGCTATGGTACTCCAGATCGACTTGAGAGAAATCTTCATTCCGAAGCCTGTGCCACGCTTCTCCCCTGTAGACAAGAGACACGATCAGTAAAACACCTCCCAACGAAACGACACATTCCCCACGAAAACACGGGAAGGAGGGAAAGTGAAAGACGAGGGGGTAACCCAATCGCCGAGCCGGGATGGCCGGCCCGACACGCTATCTCTCCACCGAAGCGCAAAGTCAAGGTAAAAGTACTCACTGATCAGGGACCACAATGTTGGTGGCGGTTTCCAGGATCGTCATTCCAAAGCTAGGCAAGCGTAAAACGCGACATGAGAAAAGGCTGTTCTTTGCCAAACTGCAGCAAACCAACTCACCTGAAAACATCTGCGGCTTTGCCGTACCGGCCTTGGAGGACCTCGGGCGCCAAGTACAGCTTGTCTCCTTCGCGCTCGAAGCCGCCAGCCCCCGTTTCTCCACTGCCACCCGCTACGCTAGCGCCGCACTCGACCCCCGACGCTGTGCCGGTCCCATCAACGACTGTTGACCGCCGTCGGGGCCAGAGTGACGCCATCCCAAAGTCGCCAATCTTGAACCGGCCCTCTTTCGTCACGAACACATTCGAGGGCTTCAAGTCGAGGTGGATCACCCCCGAATCGTGGATGAATCTCAGACCCTGCAGAACAGAAAAAGGACGATGCGTGAGAACCAAGCACAACCAAAGGGAAAGAAGCAAGAAGCCAAAAAGGATGATAACGCATATGATATGATATGATCCCTCAAGGAGAAGAGAGATGAAGGGAACCGAACAGAGGGCGGCCCGTTGATTAATTGCGTCGAATGCGAAAAGGACACTTACGTTACTCAAGTCAGCGACGATCTTCCACACCCGCGCCTCGTCAAGCCGTGGAAAGACACGTCCATACTCCCACAAGAACCGTGCGAGGTTGCCCGATTCGCACAGCTCCGTCTGGATGAATAGCTCCTCGTCCTCCTCCCAGCTGTCGATATACGCAAGCACGTTCGGATGTCGACCATCGGGGCATGAGGTGGATAGTGCGGCTTGAGATAGGTGCTTTAGGATGTCGACTTCCTCGCGCAATCGGAGCCTGTGCGTTCCAAAAGTGCGTAATCAGCAATCGAATTCCATAGCAACCACGGCAGACATAAACAACCCAACAAGCCTGAAATAGAACATCTCCTTCAGAGATGAAAAGCTCCGTACTCCGCCAAAAAGTCATCCAAGTCAGGCACCTTTCGCGGGAGCCTCAACGTCATTTCTAGGCCAAATCGCCCATCGAAAAGACAAGTCCAATGCCGCATACAACTGCATAAATCAAGCCACGACTCACCGATGTTTGGCGCCTTCAAACCGCTTAGACTTCTTGATCGCGTACACCTCTCCATCATCCCCATTCTTCCGTTGTACCTTGATAACCTTCCCGAACTCTCCACTCCCCACTTCCTCGAGCTCGTCAAAGTCGCGTTCGAATCGCCCAGGCTGCTGCTCTTCCGTAAACGTATCCGAGAACCGCCGTGGCGCGAGGAGTGGATGCGAGAGCCGTGGCACGCGTGCATTAGCAGCACCAGCCCCGGAGGCCACGAGCCTCCCTCGAGCCGCCCTGCTTGTCGTAGGCGAATTGAGTGTCACGGAGCTGCCGCTGGACGATCCAGAAGTTGATCGCTTGCTGTCCAGTGCATCGCTCGAAGGAGAAAGACGAAGAGGTATTCTAGGCTTGGGGAGCTGCCAATCTGTCAATCAACGAAAAAAAGGACGACAAGACGCCCACGGAGACTTGTCAGTAACGATATTATATCAAATTGACCAATGTGGTAGGATGGATGGACCACCACCACATTGCGCATTGAATGAATCAGCTCACCGATTCCTTTTGCCCGCGTGGGGGTGTTGGAAAGCGATGCGGAGTCGCTCCCACTCGAGAAGGCACCGCTGCTACTGCGTCTCACAAGCCAGCGCGAGAAACTCGTCGGTACACCGTTCTTCGCTTGCGTCGGTTGGCCGAGGCCCAAGCCAGTGTATCTATTGTCACACCGACGCGTACTAGGACTGTATTCCTCCTCGTCTTCGGTATCCGTAGGCTGGTAATCGGACAGCTTGGCCCCCTTCGCACCCATAGGCGGGAACGCAGCAGGCAGGCTCTTCCTCGGCATCTGCTTGAACTCGCAGTCATCCCGTAACCCCACTTTGGACGCGACAGCACTCTGCCAGGGACGCTCGTTCCCAAAGTAGCTCATTCGAGCTTTCTTGACTGGAGTGCCTGGAGCTTTCTTGGGCATGTTGGAGCCTTTGGACGCGGCCGCGAGCGTCTTCATGATGAACTCGTCGACATCTATTCCCTCGCCACCATATGGATGCGTTTCTTGCTGGTTGATGTATACAGATGCGGTTGGCCAGCCGGAGAAGCCGTCGGGTCCGACACCTGGGGTGACAAGCCCTTCGTCAGATGTGATAGAAGTGACACTTGTGGAGGCTTTGGGCATAGCATTGAGGAACTCGCCACCGATCCCGAGACTCGATCCCGTCGAGGGCACCTCATCTTCGTCGCTGAGGGCTAACGAATCCTGTAGTTTGTGTTTCATCGGTAGAGCAGCCTTAGCCGGTGATGGTGAATGTTTCGTCACATTCAGCCTGAACGAGGTGTCCTCTCCTGCGAAGAACATGTCCTCATCCTCCAAATCCGTACTTCGGTTCCTGGCATGACGAGAGAATGGAGAAGATCCAGGCGAGGGCGAGACATCGCGCGCCTGGAACGTTCTCCAAAGATTAAGGTCGTTTCCACTGCTGCCAGGACCTGCGTAACTGTGTCGATTGGCTGGAATCGGGCGCGAACTGAGCTGTCGAGATGCAGGAGCAGGGGTTGAAGCTGACAAGTTCGTGTCGGTGCGAGATCGCCCATTTGAACTGGTAGTTGAATCTGCTGTTTTCGGTGCTGCGGAAATCGCGGGTCCGAAGAAGAGTGTCGCTGAACTGACACTATCGATCCTGCTCAACGGAGGCCGGAATGGGAGAGGATGGGGTCGGGTGGCGGTCAGACTGCCGCTGATCCGGCGCCGCGGCCGAGGCGAACCAGCTTCCGAAGACGAAGAGACTGAAGCTGGAGAGGCTCGACCGCGGTGTGCTGTCGAAGGGAATGCAACAGGTCCACTATGTCGGGGACGGGCACTTCCAGCTCGGGTTGGAATGCCAGGGGGTTTTGATGGCTATGACTAGGTTAGACTCGTCGTATGTAAGTATCAGATAAAGATTACACACCTTGACTGGCGATCTCTTCGGAGACCCGAACGTCTGCTCGAGCAGCTCAGCAGAGACAGGTCGAGAACGGGCCCGACGTTTGGTGATGTGGCCACCAGGGGAGATGGCCTCCGCCACCTCCTCCTTCTCTTTGCCTTTGGAGGTGTGAAACGCGAGAGACTTGATGGGCTGACCACTGAGGCGTGGCTTGTTGAGGAACAAAGAGTCGTCCTCGTCGATTTCACATCTCGAGTCATTCGCCGCGGCACCGTCAAAGTCGAGCGCGTCTTGATCCGAGAGGCGAAGTCGAGTCAGTGTGGCAGTCTGTCGCTTGAGGTATGCCTCTGTCTCCGCCTTTGTCTGCGGTGTGCGTGCATTGAACTTGGGTGCTGAGAGAGGAGCGAGTCTGTCGAACGAAAATGTTGAATCGCCCTCCTCCGATTGAGTGAGCTTGAGGGGGGTGAGATTGTGAGGTCGTCGAGGGGTAGCATGAGGTGTCGACTTGCGCTTTGTGCCTACCCCGACGCGAGTCGCGGGCTTGTCCTCCTCTTGTGGCACAGCGAGTCCAAAGAGCGTGTTGGTCTGGGGCGAGAGAACCGAGCGGGGCGTGGTACGACGTGCTTGCTTGACAGGCGTGAGGAGAGGTTGCGAGGACGACGTCGCGAAGAAGGGCGTGAATGTCGGCGACGCGGCGGACGACAAGAAAATATGGCCTTCCTCGTCGTCAGCGGGGATCGTCTGTGGCTTGGTGGCGTAAAACGGATTGTAGATCTGCGCCAGCGCGGGGGTTTTGTACGGAGACTGAAGGCTGTCGTCGGCGTCGTCGTATTGCATGGTCGTTGGATAGAGCGGCCGCTGTCGAAGCGGGGACGGTGTGAGCATTGGGGAGTCGTAGGGCTGTGCAGCAGCGCTGGGCGGGGTGCAGTGACGGCGATGGTGGTGGTACTTGGGAGACATGCTGGTGTCGCATGGGGTGTTTTTGTGCATGTATATCTTGGTCGGGGTGGAGAGGAGCATGATCCAAAAGAGGGTCTAGATAGGTGGCTGTAGACGCGTGTCTGCGGCGTGTCAACGCGCTTAACGGGGATGTAATGTGCTTGGGCGGTGTTTGCTGTGGATCTGAGCGACGCAGACGGCGTATGCGGTGTTTTCGGAGACTTGAAGGGCGTTGCAGAGTCGTGTAGGTCGTGTAGCGGGAAGGGAGGGCGGGAAATAAATAAATTGGGGCAGAAGCTGCGCCTGTGCTTTTCAATCTCACGCCCCTCAGTTCAACAAGGTCACGTGGCCGCGTTGCTTTGACCCGTTTGGGCCCATTTGACTCCGTCGCCGCTTACCGCTCCCATCAAATTCAATTATCCGGCCCAATTGCTCCGTTTACTACCGTCCTATTTGTTGTCTGTACCCACATTTCACACTTTATTCTTGTTCTCGTTCACCCACTACTATATCCCACTGCTCTCTTTTTGTTCAGAGTCACTTCATGAAACAACAAGCACACGTCCAACCATTCGGCATCGCTAGAGCAACCATAACCTAGACCTCGCTTGTCTTTTCGAGATTCTCACCCATCTTCTTTTCCTGTCAACCACGCTAACCCTAAACACAATGGGTATAATTGTCCGCCCTTTCCAGCAAAACGCCCGTCGCCACACTTCCTTCATGGTATCACACGGAGCCGCACCGACGCACGTCGCTGATCGTGCTGCGGGCTTCCTTATTCTGCTAACAATGACGTCGGGATGGTGAGCAAGTGCTCTGTTCACCCCTAATGTGCACGTGACAGAATCAGTGAGAATTGTTTATACCCTTGTTCCTGTTTTCCCTCAAATTTAGAAGTCTCTGTCGCCGTGCTGCGCCGACTTGAATATGTGCGCTTCAGGCCGCATCATCGGAATAAATAGTAGCGCCCACAAGGCGCCCACAGGAATCAACTCCGGTGATAAGATGATTCAACCCAATTGATTCTCCAATTCCGGGTTCATCTGAAGTCATTCAAAAATCTCAGTCACCGGATCCAGGAAGGATGCACCCTTGAAGTGCCATCTGATGATTGAAAATAAATCTACATACCTATCACAACTTCTCAAATCCACGACACCAAACACTCCTTCTATCCCGCATCAACACTATCAAGCCCGCCGTGCCCACTCATCCCATCCCGTCCCTCCCGGGCCGAACACCCCGCACCCTGCGCCACACTCGGTCACGATCTCACTCGTGTTCGCGTTCCCGACCTCGATCAACAATCAACCGATCACTGGGCACGCCCAGCGCTTCGCGTTTCGAGCCGAAACGACAGACGTTGACTGTTTTGGGCTTGCTTCGCCCGTCAAGGGAAGCTGTGAGCGCCAACAGTAGCTACCGCCGAGAACGAGGGAACTTGTAGCAAGCTGGCAGTTGCGGTACCGAAGGGGTGTGAGGGTAGTGAGGGGAGTGAAATTGGAGTGCAGGATGCTATACATACGTGGAACGTAGTTCATTTCTTTGAGACCGATGTACATCTACGTATGCACCAGATACTGTACGTGACAGAGGTCTAATAATTTTTTCGACGCACTTCGCCCTATTATCGTCCCGTCCACGACTTCCTGAACCGTGCCAAATTAATTCGTCATGTGCACCGGCAAAAGGGAACGATTCGATCACGCAGACAAATTCATTGAGTTATTTCATGGTATATTTCACGTATGGCGAGTCTTCGACAAGCCAAAGGCGAAATAGTGTTCAGTGAGAACTTCGTCTGATTAGTGGCAGCACGAACGAATTGGAGGACAGTGGGTGCCGTGTACCAAGTTCGTACACATCGAATATGAAGTACACCGAACGCAGCGATAGGTAGAGCATCAAACATGGCCAAGCCTAGTCCAGGAAACGCGGGGCTCCGTCCTAACGGCCAGGTGGAGGCTTAGTGCGAACGCCTATGAGACTAGTGATCAGCGCCACGCAGTGAGACAGAATCGACGACAATTACTTACCCAAGGAATTGTTGCCAGTAATCACCAGCAGACCCAGCTACCCGCATCGCATATAGGTTAGCAGATCTCGGATACTTGACGAGGCGTGCCACCAATTGCGTAAAGGGCCTGTGCGACTCCAAAGTATAAGAAATATATGACGGCGGCATGTAGTCGGTGCGGCCAAAGTCAATGGCGAAGACCGTTCCTTTACTGTCGATAATAAAGTTTGAAGGGTCTATATCGTTGGGACAAAGGACGAGGCCTTCGGCGGTCTCGCTGGAGAAATCGACGCTAAGTCCTCGAGTGGCAGCCAACTTGTTTGCGACCGGATGGCGGGAGTGTCAGTGCGAGGTGCTGAACGTGACCTGAAAGCGTACCCTGTTTACTTGGGCCTCGAGATGTCGGACCGTGGGGTCATTCGCAGGACGACTGGCCGTCGAGGAAAAAGTCGTGACCGATGGGTCCGCCGCCAACATGGCCGGGGGAGGCGCCCGCAGGCACGCGGATGCTGATGAGCTGCTTAACGGCGGCGGCGACGGCCGCTAGGTCGTCCTTCACGTATTTTCCGTCGCTCAGTCGGCGGCTCGCAACTGTATCGCCTGCGACGTACTCCATGATGATGTAGCGACACCGCTCGCGCGAGAAGACGAGGTAGACCTTGGGGACGCGCACAGCGCTTGTAGGGTCGGCGTTCACGATCTGGGCCACCTGGTCCTGTGTATGGGCTTCCCCTAAGGTGATATCGGTACCGTACTTGATCCAGAATCGAGGGATGCCTTCGATCTTGAAGCAGATGCCGTTCTGGAAGCAACCTGTGCCACATCGCTGAACGATGCGCTCACGAGGCGGGAGGTCTGCTGGGGCGTCCGCGGCATAATACTCGAGCTGTTCGACCGACATGGCTAGAAGTACAGGGGGAGGTATAGGGGCTCGAGGACCGCCCGTGAGAAACTGAATTTTGAACGCGGCAACCTCGGCGGCTCCCTAGTAATCACTGCGTCATGGAACAGAACGCGTCGCGTCTCTCCCGTTTTCATCGCTGTTAACTGATGCGGCATGCTTTAATATCACATAGAACATTATGATAATGTCCGATACCTCCTGGGGAGAATGGCTCAATCAACTCCTGCGGGTGAAGAACAACGTTATGAGCCGATGACAAAATATACCAAAGAGAAGGCTGTACCGTACATCCGCCAAGTAAATCCGAATCCCTTTCGCCTAGAGGATAGAGAGGGCACAGAGTCCGGAAATCGTCTGACCAGCGAAATTCAGATCGCGGGCGGTGGACGACAACCGCTACACACCACCCATCTCTGCCATTACGTTCAAATAAACGAATGCAGAAGAAGAGCGTGAACATGGACTCGTCGACGCACCCACGAACCTTGTCGGAGGTGCTAGACGAGAAGAGCAGCGGCCTCGAGAACTCCACGAAATAAATTTATCGAGAACACAGCATTTACCAGAGGCAGGAGGGAATGGTTCCGCCAGGCAGATGAGTACTTTACCCGCTCAACCATCTATTGTGCCCAGATCTGGTCTTTCACCGCTGAAGACAAGAGAGACGAGAAGCAGGGTTGCGCTAAACATCGACGAAGTGAATCCCATTCTCCTGCGCCTAGTCGGTGTCGGGAAAGAGAGGGAGCACTTGAATGAGAGCCCCGTCTGACCAGCGAACTTCGGATCATGTGCCAACGATAGGAAATTCCTGAGTTCACCAACTTCTCCTACTGGCTTCACGTAAAATAATGAACCTGGGAGAAGAGGGCGAACGCGAACCCCGTCGATGCGCCCACGAGCCTTGTTGGAGGTGTGTGCAGATAGGGAAGCAAGCGCGGGAGATCTGAAGACCACAGGGGTGTGTCATCCTTTCTGGGTGAGTCGGGTTCGGATATGTCGAGCAGTGAACGAACTCAAGGAGAGTGGTTGCCAACATATTTTTCGCCTAAAACCGTCTGAAGTCGAGGCAAAGGTTCAGGGAACCACAACCAGAAAGAGACGAAGACAGATTAAATAGGGCACCCAGAGCCATCATTCGACGCGACGCCCAGATATCTGATCCAGACGAGAGAATGTGCATGAGCTTTTCTTGACCAGTACCAGCGGAGGACGGTAGAGAAAGCCTCGAGACACAACTACAACCCCTTCGACGCAGTACGATCATGTTGAACTAACATCGTCTGGTCATCCTGCGAAAGGTAAGCCTTCCGGCCGAGGCGTCCTCAGCCTTACGTTTGGTGTGTGATGGCTCGACTCGAGAGCTAGAAGAGTTGGGCCCTTTCACCCAGTGAACGCCGACGGGCGCAGATGCCTGGTGTGATACGCCTCAAGGATGATCACACAGCGCCGTCGAGTACCGAACAATGAAGCAATCGAGAGGCACCTTGAGAAAGGCGCTAACACGCCGAGGCATCCGCGCTATCGCAGCTGGGTGTCTGGTGTAGAGACCAGAGTGTAGAGTATGACGAAAAGGAAGGCGGCTGAATGCAGAGTGAGATGACGGTTCGGATTCAGGTTGCCCGACATAGGGCATGGGCGTATGGCACATCATGCAGTTGATAATTTATCAGCGAAGGCTGGTAGGCATTCGAGTAAGGAAGACTCACCGTAAGGAGTACGGGATTCAGATGAATTCGAGCTGATGTGCCAGGGTCTGAATCCGTGTTCGCTGTAATGACTGGAGGGTGAAGGGCTTGCCGCTTGAAAGTACGTGGTGCGCTGGCCGACTACCACAGATAATACTGAGAGATCCCAGAGGCAATCGGGTCAATTTAGAGGTTGGCATAGCCATCGTAGTGGATTCCCTCGCTATAGGCGGCATCTCCATTCGTAGAAGACTGATGATCTGGGAAATCGGGGCCATGCCACGAATTGCAGTCCGATAAAGTCCAGGAATCCACAGAGGTCTACGCTCGCCGTACATGCTGCTAAAAGGGCACTTTTCACGGGATGTGACCGAGAACGGGCGGCTATTTTTGCATATCAAACTTGAGCTTGAAGCTTGAAGCTTGAAGGCGCATCGGGCTCGAAGTAGACGGCGAGCTCGGAAGGGCATGAATCTACCCGAGTCAGCAAAGCTGCTCTCTTCCTCTTCACGTGCAGAGTTCACTCGGGGTATGGTGGTGTACAATTCGCCTGTCAGCACTGTAGTCGCGACGTCGGCCATAGTTTCCGATCCGCATTCCCATCGATAGAGCACGGAGTAACGAGACCTCGACCCGAAGTAAAGTGCCGCCAGTATAAGAACACGTTTCGTGTGGACGGGCGGTCCAGCCATGGGCTGTGGGGAAAGTGCAAGTGGTAAGAGGACACCGGCGAACGGGCGCACGAATCCTCCCGAGGCCGACGGGTGATATACCTGTCGAGTGGCAAGGAGAAAGATGGGAAAGCCCTTTCTTTGTCTCTACCACCACCCCGACGTCCTTTTATACCAAAAGTCCTTTCTTTGTCCGTTGTAGACCCTTTCAGTGGATAACAAAGAGCAATGGACATCTCGTGAGTACCGCCCACATCGTCCCGTCCGGAGCTCACCTTGCCGTACATTTCTTCCTCATCACTCCCACTCTCACCACTTCATCTCGAATTGCCTTGCGCCAATGCCAACCTCAGCTCTATCCTCCAAGGCGGCTACGCTCACCCAACGTCTCGCAAATGGCAGGCGAAGACCCAGCTGAGCAAGTCGATGTTCATGTATCCCATCTTCATCACGGACGACCCCAAGGCGAGCGTCGAGATCCCGACGCTGCCCGGCCAGCGCCGGTGGGGTGTTGATCGTCTCGAGGAGTTCCTCACACCTCTCATTGAGAAAGGTCTGGAGAGCGTCATCTTGTTCGGAGTGCCTTTGAGCTGTAACAAGGTGCGTCATCGTCCTTGGTACCACCATCTGAAAGGTCCAATGGATTTAAATATTGTGACTTTTCCTCCAGGACGACCGCGGCACACCAGCCGACGACCCCACTGGGCCCGTCATCCTCGCGATCAAAAAGCTGCGTGCGCTCTTCCCCGACCTCTACATCGCGTGCGACGTCTGCCTGTGTGAGTACACGGACCACGGGCACTGTGGTGTCCTCCATGCCGACGGCACGATCAACACGCCGCCTTCTGTCGACCGCATCGCCGAGGTGGCGGTCAACTACGCGCGTGCTGGTGCGCATTGTGTCGCTCCTAGCGACATGATGGACGGGAGGATCAAGGGTATCAAGAGGGGGTTGATGGACGCGGGCTTCGGGAATAAGTGTCTTCTGATGAGCTATTCGGCCAAGTTTGCGAGTTCGTTGTATGGGCCTTTCCGGTGCGTAGCTTGGTACCTCAAGGTAGAGAGGGACGAGCTGAAGAGACTACAGTGATGCTGCTGGAAGTGCTCCATCTTTCGGAAACCGAAAATGCTACCAGCTTCCGCCCACAGGCCGTGGCCTTGCCAGACGAGCTATCGTAAGCATCTCTGCCTTGGTTCCAATCATGTTATCTGACGCGCTTTTAGCAACGTGATGCCAACGAAGGTGCTGATATCATCATGGTCAAGCCTGCCATGCCCTACCTCGATATCATCGCCGACGCTGCGCAGCTGACACCCGACCATCCCATCGCCTGCTACCAAGTCAGCGGCGAGTTCGCTATGATCCATGCCGGAGCTCGTGCGGGAGTGTACGATCTCAAGCCCATGGCATTCGAGAGTGTTGAAGGTATGGTTCGTGCTGGTGCGACGTTAATTCTTTCGTACTTCACCCCGGATTTCTTGGAGTGGTTGTAGTTGTAGAATTCAAAAGGTGTATAATTAAGTAGGGTAGATAGAAAATGGAGACCAAGTGTACAATGTGCATAAATTGTCTTCTAATGGGTTTACCCAATGCAAGGTAAGAAGTGACTGGGAGCGCGCTTACCATTTGAGGCATTTGCGCCCTGTGACGGCTGTGACCCATTAATCACGTGCCATATATACCAGACGTCATCTTCTCTCTTGCTCCTTCATCTGAACCACGATGGCCTATGGACGTGCGGCATTTCATCTTTGGTGCCATCACCCTCATCCTCCTACTGGGCACATCCTATTCCGTGCTCTACAGCACCTACCTCGACACTTCCAGCCACCTCCTCTCCCACCGCGCTCACCACCTCGCCCAGACGCACTACTTCGCCTCCAAGTCCAACCCGCTCAATGTCTACTTCATCAAGAAAGCTTGGGGGTGGACCACCCTCGCCTTCCTGGCCACATTCCTCACCAGCCCCAGCGCCGTGCGCACGCGGCAGCGCTTCTTCAAGTACCTCATCCTCACGGGCGTGTGGGTGTTGTTCACCTCGTGGTTCTTCGGACCTGCCCTCCTCGAACGCGCAATCGTGCTCTCGGGTGGGGAGTGCGTCGCCGTACTCCCATCTGGCGACCCGGTGACTGTACCGACGGAGTTCTGCTATACGAGGTCGGCTCTGGCGCCGAAGACGCACCCGGAGCTGTTCGTGCACCATGCCGCGTCGCTCGCGGGGGTGCTGGAGGAATGGCGCGTCGTGCCGAGGTTGAGGAAGGGCCATGACGTGTCGGGACACGTCTTTCTGCTGACGATGTCGGTTTTGTTCCTCGCCGACCAGCTGCGCCCATCGTTCCGGCCGGGTGCTGCCCGCAGGTGGTCAAATCCCCATATGTGGGCTGTCGCGGCCCAGGTTTCATTGGTGGGGATCTGGTTGTTCGCGATATACACGACGAGCGTGTACTTCCACTCGCCGTTCGAGAAGTTCACGGGATACCGTACGTTCTGCCCCCCACTTCTGCCTGTTCGACTGACTGATAGCAATGTTTCGTAGTCCTCGGTGTCGCGAGTTTCCTTCTAACGCAAATACCTAGCCTGCAATTCCCTCCTGAAGTCGCCTCTACCCAACGTGTACCTCCAGCATCGAATTGACAGTCTTATTCATCACACATTCTACGATCTATCCCATCTCATCTGGTCGAACTTTCACTCAGCGCTGTATGTAGATTACGCATATTTAGTTCTATATAATGGTGATTACAGGGTATTTTGTGTGTAGACAGTAATAATAACACCCTCGATTGCGGCGGGATGACACCACACGGACAGGAAGAAGCGAGGCAGCAAGAGGCGCATATACTCACGTTTACCGGCATGGCACCCTCAAGCTCAAACTCTGCAATAAATATCATACTAAGAATATGACTACCCATACCAAGTATTAGCGTATGCTCTTGCTTTAAGCTTTAGCTCTGAGCCATCTATATAAAATAGTCTATAGAACCGTCCAATTAATGATAATCCACACGACTACCGCCGGCCAAAACACGCTCAGCAAATCGAGCGTCATCGCCGTCGCGCCGCCCTTGTGTCTCCTCATCCCCAGCCCACTGACACTCATCGACCCAGGCGAGGGTGGCGCGAGCCCGAACAGATCCAATAAGTTATGCAGAGCGACCCAGGAGGGAAGGCCAATAGTCATCCGTCTCCTACGGCCGCGAAAGACGAACGTGTACGACCACGACCACGGTCTCTGCGCGCGATTCCTCGTAGCGGCCGCGCCCATCCCCATCGACGACGACGCGGAGGGATCAGGTGCCGAGATAAATTCGGTCTGCGCACTACGCGGGGACCCGACCTCGGGGTCGTGCACGATCTCGTACTCGTCCGACGACGGTGCGCGGTGATGGTGGCTCACATGCGACCATGTATCTTCCCTCCGCACCGCATACTGCGCCGGGAACATCGTATCGTCCTCTTCATCCTCCTCCCCGGTGCGATCCCCAAAAGGCATCGGCAGCGAGGGCGATGCCGGACCAGGCGTGCCAGGGCGAGAAGCGACGAGATGCATCGTCGAGCTTGACTGCGAGCGGGGGGTGCGGAGGTATACCGGGATCGTGCTCGCCCGTGGGCTGACGGGGTGTACAGGCGAGAAGGGCGTCCAGATCGCCGACTCGGGTTGCACGAGCGTGGTGCGTCCGCTGGGACTGCTCCGCCCGCTGCTCCGTGGTGAAGGTGTTAGCGAGGTGTCGGTCTTCCTGAGCCCGTGAAGGCCTCGTCCCAAACCAAGAGCGAGTCCTACACGGCTGCCTCGGAAGTTGAAGAAAAAGAGGATGACAAGGGTGATGAAGAGGAAAGGAGCATAGAACGATGTATATATCCGATATTGATCTGGGAGTAGGCAGAGCGTGTCGGAGTAGGTGGGCAGGGAGGGGTTGGCGACCCTTGCGGGGTCGACGAGGGAGAGGAGTTGGAAGCCCGGCCGTTTAATGTGTTTCGACATCGAGAAGGATTTCAATGTTATTTCGCGGATTTTGGCTGTGTCTTGGTGTGGCGATCGGTGATTTCGAATGACATGGGTATACTCGCAATAATCACGGTTGTCGGCGCTGTAGAAGAGGGTTATTGGGAGTTGCAAAATGCCGGCGAGTCACTGGGCTTACCTGAAAACCACTGAAGGTTCTAGACTGTTGAGCAAGAAGTGTGTTGTCTGTTTTCCGAGTAGTGTTTGATATCCAGGTCCAGCACCGCGTCGTATGCCGCCCCTTTCTCTCAATGGGCCGCAGCTAGCCATTTCAGAGCGAGAGAGGGGGATGTGGCTGAGGAGGATGACATGCGCAGGGCCATCTGTAGAACGAGGAAATCAGAGTTTGAATACAGATCAGCGGCACGTCAATGAAACTAGAAATTAAACGCCGTGATATGCAGGCCATCTGAGAGTTTACTCACAGTCCGCCATCTCCTTCACGAAGTCTACGGGTCCATCGGGGACGGGTTTCCAGTCATCGTAGGTGATGCCTGTGGAATGGCGCATATAATCTTCCTCCACAAGGCCAGGAGCATCCAGCGCAACAAAGGTGTGGTTTTGAATCACAAAATGCTGGTTTAAGGGACCAAAGGACTTCACATAAAACGAGCGGAGGGGCTTGGCGTCAGCAGAGGCTGGACCAAGGCTACGCGAGGGTTAAAAATAGCACACGAAGATATGAAAGACGATCGCTCACCCAACATCGTTATTGCCAGGAACGTAGTATACCTCTACGCCTTCGTCCATTGGGAATATGTTCTTGAATTTCTGGGCAGCCAGCTCGTACCTAGTCAGGTTAGACGCACCCATTGTCAGGACACGTAAAACGATGACGCAATGGACGCGACTCACTGCTCGAAACTTTCTGCAGATTTCCCGTTGGCAAGCATGTCTCCTAGGAAGATGACTTCGTCTGGTCGGAGACGCGCAGTGACGTGCCAGCTCTTGCGCAGGTTGAGCTCGAAGAGGATTCGTCGGACTGGGTTTGCCCACCAGGAACTCTTCGGTGTCAGCGCAGGGTGCTGGACCTGGGGATCGCCGATGAGGAGAACGTGTGCATGGTGGACCCGTTGCCGTTTTTTCTACGAATAGAAGAAAGCACAGGATGAGCACAAGAGAGATAGGGAGGAAGAACATGAATGATGTACGTGTCCCAGGTCAACTGTCGGCCACCTGCACCCCGAGAGACTCCAGAAAAACGCGCCAAGCTCCCCTCCCATCGTGATCATGACCCATATGAAGCGAAGTGCGTTGGTGGCAAACGCATGGGAGTACAGGTGGCTGCGAGTGGGTGCATTGAATGCGAATGACTTCGGGGGAAATTCCGAGAGCATCAAAATGACATGAATATGGCGATCAAGTCCGTGTTGCTCGTGTTTGCCGGTGGGTCGAAACGAGCGTAGGGTGCCTGGGTAAGGCTGCGCTGGCGTAGAGGCTCGTAGAGGGTGGGGGATGTCCTGGGGCTGGAGTAGACGATGAGGGGGTTTTAGAACGGAAAAGTCATCAGCGTTGCAGTCTGCCGCTGTTTGGCTAAAGCCCCCGCCTTAACGGGTCGATCCTTGTCTTCAATGTTCCCGCCGCTAGCGTGCATCCTGTCTGCTACTATTTCTATCTTCACAACCTAAATGCATCCATTTCTTCAAACTCTTCTGGTCTCTCGGATGCGTCGTTGGGCCGCGTGTTGTTATCGATTGCATCAATATTGCTGCAATCTCCCTCCAGACTACTGTCCAGGGGGTACGTGTCCATTGCGAACTGCAAAAGACGCCAAGTGACTCTCATCTCCCACCTATCTTAGAGTTCTTTGATCTTCTTCAGCGTATCCCCCTTCCAAAAGTCAGAGGAGGAATGACGGTTGTACGACATCCAACAGGTCCTCTTTCGATGGGCGGCCACATCATCAACTTGGAGCCAGGTGGAGATCCGACTGTCATTAAGCTTTCTGACTACGCCTCACCCAGAAGCTAAACTGGTGGAAGCTACACTGGAAATCGGACTCGATGCGCCTACGCAATAATCACCTTTCAACCGGCTCTAACGCGCAGAAAACGGCGAGATCTCCATGGGCATTGTGGTACCATGTGCAACATTGCACCCCGTATTTCTGCATTGCCGTTCCCCGCAACACGCTTTTCAAGCCGTGCGAGTTGTGGGTCCATCTTTACCTACACTCACGTTTTCCATCAAGGCGGAAGGCGTTCTTTGAGGGAACCAGCCCCATCCAGCTGGAAATTTCTGTACCCACAGGAGATCTCACTTCTTGTAAGTTGTGGGTGAATGGAGGTACGAAAAGCGGCCCTGTACGTATGTTCATACCCTCATCGCGCCCATGTTCTCTTATTATCCAGCAGCATTCCACACTTTGATATGATCGAACACGTCGGCTATGTGTTTTGTCTTCATCTCAGAAACTTTGAAGTTCCGCCACTCTTCAGCGTTATCTGTCAATTTGCCTCTTTCCAAACGCCTTTGTGGAGCGAAGAACAAAGGCTCAATTGGATATTTTCATCTAATGCCCGGCGCCAACGGTCCCTTCGCACGTCCGATCTCCTCTGGAAAACGGACATGAAAACCTTGTAAAGGGCCCTTCACAGCAACGTAGGTTCCATTTATTCAAACCCCTCATTCAGGAGATGCTGGGAACGCTCAGAGTCTGTCATTTAATCTGTGCCTGTGTTTAACGTACGAACATGAAAGATGTCGTTACTTGAGCGGCCTGAAAATGCTAAACAGAATCGATGAAGAAAGGGTCGCCATAACGCTCTCAAAATCATTGGCCTTCATCAATCCGTCCTTCATGGGATGTTCACTCCAAGATGAAGTGCAGAAAACTTCACCAGATACGCGCTTAACCTTGATCAGGAAGGTGTAGGAAGTCTTCAGTTGCTTTTTGAGATCACTCCCCTTCTCGTATTTTTTGTATCAGCCTACTGCAGAGTGATGATCGGCATGACAGGATACACTTTGACCGACTTCCCTCGGTACCATTCGCCATTCTCTTGGAACTTCGAACCAAGTGGAAGGGGGGTCTTGGCGGACCCTCCTTTGATTGATTTTCCAGCGGCGTCCCTGTCCTCTCGGACTGCTACATATATAAGAGCAATGAAGGGGAAGAAACGAGACGCCCAGGTCGCTTTCGGTCGCTCCCCCTTCCCCAACGACTTCACGATGGCTTCCACGGACTCAAAGCATGACTCTGATCTCAAGGTCGACATTGAGAAGACGAGTTCAGATTCTCCTGCGCCAGCCCTCGATGCGCATTATGACCCCGGCTTTGTGAAGAAGACGCTGTATGTTCAAACTTTTATATCTGTCGATATGCCTTAGTTGACCGTCGTACCACAGATTAATGGTCGACCTTCGCATGCTTCCTCTCCTTGGTCTTCTCTACGCTGTCGCCCTCATCGACCGTACCAACCTGGGTATCGCGCGTACCGCTGGGATGGACATCGAACTCGTACGTACCCTTTGCGTTCCCACCGGCGGTCAACTTATCAACCGACGCTGCAGAAACTGGACATCGGCGAGCGGTACAGCATCGCTTCCATGATCTACTTTATCCCGTACATCCTCCTGTGAGTAACGGACCTTTCTTCCCTCCGCGTGTGTTTCCGTTACTCAATTTACATCTGTCAGGCAAATACCGGGCAACATCGTCCTCCGATGGATCGGCGCTCGCAGCTGGCTCACTATCTGCGTTGTGGGCTGGGGTATCGCGCAGTTGGGGATGGGATTCGTCCCGACATGGGGCTGGCTGGTGTTCTGTCGTATCTGGCTCGGCGTCTTCGAGGTGTGTGTGTGTGCCCAAGACATCTTTGTGCGCCACGCGGAACCTAATTAAATTCTTGATCGACATCGCGATTTTCCAAAAATAGGCTGGTTTCTTCCCCGCCCTCGTCTTCATCATTACGACGTGGTACAAACGCCATGAAGTGCAGAAGCGGCTGGCGCTGTTTTACCTGATCTCGATTCTGTTTGGTGGTTTCAGCTCCCTGCTTGCGTATGGTCTCGCCCAACTGAGCGGCAGAGGCGGCCTCCTTGGCTGGTCCTGGATTTTCATTATTGAGGGCATCTTAACCATCGTCCTCGGCCTCCTCACCTGGCTCTTCGTCCCCGACTTCCCAGATAAGAGCCGTTTCCTTACTGATGCACAGCGCAAGGTTTGCTTTCCGAGCCTGATTGAAATGTTAATTAAGCTAACAACTAAAACCTCTGTTAGATGATCCTCGACCGCGTTGAAGCCGACCGTGGCGACTCGGTTCCTGACAAGATGACAGGGGCAAAAATTATCCGCCACCTCGGCGACCCCATCCTTTGGATTATGGGTATGTTCCGTGGTTTTCTATGTTACTCCGCTTTTCTTACCATTCCTCAGCTCTCATGTTCATGTGCTCAACGATGCCCGCCTATGCTATCGGTTTCTTCATTACGATTATTCTGAGAACCATGAACTACTCGGTCACGATGTCCCTTATCCTGACCGCACCTCCATACGTCCTCGCCGTGAGTGCTACTGTTCTCTAACAACACCATATGTTAATTGCTATGACTCTGCAGGCCATTTCTTGCTTCTTCTTCGCCTGGATCTCCGACAAGACACAGAAGAGAGCCCTGTGGCTTGCCGTCCAGAACCTGATCTGTATCGTGGGTCTTTTCATCGTTGCCTACGCGGACAAGAATGGTGTTCGTTACTTCGGCCTCTTCCTGGTGAACGCGGGAGCTTCTGGCTGTATTCCGGGTGTACTGGCATACGTACGTCTTATTCTACTTATTGACTTAACACCATTGATAACAAGTAAATTGAAAACAGAATGCTAACAACATCACGAGCCACACGAAGCGTTCTGTCTCCAGCGCTGTTGTCGTCGCTGCTGGCGGCATTGGCGGTATCTTCGCCACTACCGTTTACCGCCAAAGGGACTTCCCGAAGTACCTGCCAGGTCTCTGGGCTACGCTGGCCTGCCAGTTCTCCATGCTCCTTTGCCTCGCCTTCACCACATGGGTATTCAAACGCCGCAACCAGGCATACCGCGAGGGCAAGAGCGGACCGCTGGAGAACACCCCCGGATTCTACTACACAACCTAAATTATTCGTTTTATTGGTTGCTTTGTTGGATAGGGTCTCCTCCGTTCATGTTCGGCAATACCCTGTACACTAATTATCATGAGTAAGATAGTTATGATTAAAAACACCTGTAGCTCGCCCACGTAGAAATATAATAAATCCATCTTTTTCCCCTCTGCATGCTTTCTGAGGCTGATAGCATGAACTGACACCGGACTGATTCATGGAAGGAGCGAGACAAAGTTGGGTGGCTTTATGTGGAAGTGTCCAGAAGGTTGACGGTGAGAGACCCATTATAGCCTCTTCGCTATGTAATCTGTAGTGATGACTGGCTGTAGAAGACCGAATGTAGGGTAATTGTTATTCGATTCAAAGGGTCATAAACATGGCCTGGGCCAGAGGATCCCGACGCAACTCTTCAAAATATACGAGAAACTCGGGCGACAAGCAATCAGCGACCCCATGATAAGTTACAAGGAATTCCTCTTCTTCTGGGACATCGCGTTCAGTCCGTGCTTGTGGCCAACGATCGAAAATTCTCTCTCCACCACTTCCCCTGTCGTACAGCTCCACGTCAATAAACAGGAGAGATCTGCAACGGTGGAAGAGAATCGCGATGTTTGGTGCGTCGACGAAGTTACCGAAATTGCCTGAGCACGAAACGGACCCCAGTATGATGACACGGAGGGAAGGAAGCCCGTATATTTGCTCCCATGTGTTGGTATCAGGTAGGATCTGGATCACAAAAAGGGTGAGTTATTGATGCACTAATGGCTAGGCAGAGTCTGACTTACAGCTCCAAATACTGTAGGCCTCCGAGATGTGGTAGAATATCCAAATCCTGTACTGAGGAAGATCCACATCTTCGTAGAATGAGAATGCCTTTATACCCCGCAACTTCGTGCAGAATGCAGTTATGGGAGAAGGCAGGTCATAGATATTCCCGATCCAAACAAGTGTTTGCATCTTCCGGTTGGGAACAAGGGCGTCGATAATTGCACGATTCGCATTCAAATACTCAAGTCTGGCACATGCTGGGAGCGGTATAGGGTCTATTGTCTCCTCGTCGACCTGGACTGTCAATTCACGGAGATGCATCTGCCTCGACAAGAGGTCCGATATGCCGGGCCAGTATTTCGATTGCAGTTCCAGGATCTCCAGCTGAAAGGGGAGCTCCCCGGAGAGTAAGTCGTCTGGGATATTGCTATGATGCACCTCGAGACGAAGTTCTTTTAAGCTGGTCATGGCTTGCAGACAAGGGCCAGGAGCCAAAGGAGCCCAAAAATCAATTTGCTGCTTCTCCCAGACGTACGTTTTAATCGAGTATACTTGAATGTATTGGGCCAGGAATGGGTTGTCGAGAATGCATTTCACTGGTGGACCACGATATCTGTTGCCAAGGCCTTGGTCGATGACATGGTATAGAAGGCGTCTCCCCTCTTCGTTGAACAGTCTGCTTGCTGCTGCAGCGGCAGCCAGGGTTGGATAATCGTCTGCGAGATTTTCGATAATCACGCGAAGTAGCTCTGGTGGAATTCGTATCGAAAAGCTTGCGCAAGGGCCCTTTCGCGGTGCTGCAGCGCTGGAGGGCGTCGCTTGCCGAGCCATTTCCTCTCTTTCCAGATATTAGACAGTCCTGTTTTATGCAACAAAACAAACTCACAGAAATCTTAAAATCGGTTATGTCTGAAGTTGAACATAGGTTGAGGAACATAGGTTGGTGAGGAACACACTTAGGTTGGTGGTATGACTTTGAGTCGGACTTTCAAATTTAATTGAATCACGGCCCGTGTCAACCGTCCGCATCAGCAGGTATACCTGAGGAGGATCAAGTCAGTTGTTATGTTTCCAGCTTGAGCACCAACGCAGGATCGTAGCTGTTGATATACTCGTGTGATACGATGAGACACCTATTTCATTGGTGATGGTCATCGAGGAACGTGAAAGCAGACAGCCTGGTCCTGCCAGTGCGCCACATTACTGCAAGCGGTAATAACATTGCAGGTGCTCACAAAAAGATTGGGCAAAGACTGCCTATTCGGCCTGAAAGCCCAGGTCTTCCTCACCGCATGAGATAAAATTCACATGTTACGAGGAATGTTTGGTCAATGTAGCCTAAAGAATTAGGCGCGAAGAAACCAGACGTCGGCCGCCAGGCCCTGTAGTCGAGTGGAAGGAATGGCATCAAAACAACATGGAGTCCGAACAAAATACACCACAACATCAATTCCGAAACATAGATTACAAGACGGAAGCATGGTATCCTTGGAGGGCAATAAGTACACTGGTGAGCACATCTGTCACCAAGAGAATACAAAAGAAGCCGCTTATTCCCAATCGCTGTCATCATCGTCGTCCTGAGGTCCGGGTTTGGGTTTGGAAGGTTGCGGCGTCTTAACATCACCGGCGACGCTGACGTTGGAGGAGGAAACGAGGTCGAAGCTGTCTTCACTGCTGACACGTGGACTGGGTGTTCCACCTGAGCCAGGTCGTGAGCCTGAAGGTGAAAGGCGTTCCTTGATGGTTTTGTCGTCCGCCTTCGAGTAGGCATAAACATAAGCAAGAAACTGGCGAAGGGAAGAACGACACATACCGAAGCATTAGACTTAGTTGCTGCATGAAGAGTGGGTTTGATTTCTGATGTCGGAGACGATTCGTCTTCATCGTCTTCCCAGCTGAAGTCTTCGTCATTGTCAGTGGAGCCTACGAGAAATCTCAATGATTTGGACTATAAATCCGACTGAGTCCCATACTTTGGATAAGGGCCTTGCGTTTCTCCTCTTCCAAACGAATTTGGTGAACCCTAAAGAAGAACCGTAACCAGAACGTTGACTTGGTCATCTCAGACGGCACTAATCACAACGAAATGATCAATGGTGTGAGCAATTGCTTGAGAGGGTAAGAATGCATACCTAAAGTCTCTTCGAGCTCCTTCAAAGCAGGTCCCTCAACAGACTCTTCCAAGGCAGCAGCGATCTTGGCCTGCCACTCGGCACCATCAAGCCCGCCATCCTTCGTCTCGACCTCTGCCTCACGCCACGCGCAGTACACCGTCTTCACACCCTCATCCGCCTCGGGGTCATGCCCCAGGATCGTCGGGTCGCGCTTCAATCGCCTCAAGAGAGCCTCCGCACGCGTAGCAACAGCACTCTGCGTCTCCGTTATCTTTCCCGAACTGGTACCTTCCTTCTCCTTTCCAGCACTACTTGACTCCCCTGGGTCAGACGGCAACATCCACATATCTGTCCCATCCCAGAGCATTCCCGAGCTGCGAGCAGCGTCCCCGCCCGCCTGGTCCGGAGGGACAACCTTGACCGCATCACGTAGGACCTCACCAGCCTCCTTGGCGACCTCACGGAGAAGCGCCTCGCTCTTGTGGACGTACTCCTCCGCCTGCGCGAGTGTGGCACCCTGTACGCGCTGGAACTCGGAGAGCAGGTTCGTGCGCACTCCCGCGAGGTCGATGTTCTCAGAGGCGTGCTTCAGCGACTCGGGGATGTTGTTCTGTACGGTTGCGACAATGTTGGGTGGGAGAGAGGACTGGAGCCGCGAGAAGAGATTCTGTGAGCTCCCTGACGTTGAGGGCTGTGGGGTTTCGCGGGAGCTGGACGGTGTGGGATCTTCGGTTGAGGTACTTGATTCAGCAGCATCGTCCCGCTTCTTCTCGGACTCCTCTGTCGTCTGACTGGACTCATGGGGTGCTTCAGCAACCGTCAATTTCGTCAGCTCTTTCTGAGCCTGCTCTACCACTTGACTGAAGTCCTTTCTCGCCGTTTCGAGAGCAGATTGGCTCTAATAGACACTTCAACTTCGAAGCTTGCAAGAACGGACAGTCTAACGCACCTGCTTCCGAAATCCACCCCAGAACCGACCGAGTTGGCCTATTACTTGGTTGACTTCTTCATTCAGACTAGGTTGTTCGCCCTGATTGGGATTTGGTGTCGTTGACCTCGCTAGATCATATGTATCCAGGAAATTCATAGCTGGCTCCTGAGAGGCTGAGAGGAAGTGGTTATAGTCAAGTCACGATCTACACTGATCGGAAATAACTCAAGCAGCGTCACTTCTCAAATTGTTGACTACATCCTCAACGTCTCGTACTTGTCTCTTTAACTTCGAAACGTGTTCTCTTGAGGAGAATGGCAAAGAGTAGATAAAGACATTTGTATATACACGGAATGAATAGAAGTACATGGTTAAGCGATAGATTGCATATGAAAGCAAAAAAGCTTCGGTTTACATAATATTCAAGCAGCAGCAGCAACAGCGACTCGCTTCACAGGGATGTCCAAAGGCGCCTCCACAGTTGTCTCCATGCTGTGAGCAACGGTGTGGCCGAGTGAGAGCTTATGAGCCTTGCACTCAGAGACGAAGTCGGAAAACATCTAGTTGCAATTTAGTGTGAAGTTAACGAGCTGCATATGGATATTTACTGACCTCAATCGTGTCAAGAGGGCCACCAGCGCTCTCAGGATGGAATTGAACACCCCATACCTTCTTGCCCGACTCAGCCGTAGACTTGATCCCCTCAACCGACGAATCATTGCAGTTGATAAAGAAGGGTTCCCACCCAGCAGGGAAAGGATCCTGCAACTTCAGAGCGTATTGATGGTTTTGGCTGGCGGAAACAATCAACATCAGGGGGCTTGGGGGGCACAGCATATAGAAGCTTACCTCGTAACATAGACACGCCCAGCCTTGATAGAACCTGCAGACGCAAGAGCCAACACAGGTTGGTTATGTCCGCGATTCCCAAAAGTCATACGATAGGCGTCGAGGCCAGCGGCCATACCGATGATCTGGTGTCCCATACAGATGCCGAAGATAGGCTTGTTCCACTCGTGCAAGGTCTTGCGCAATTTGAGTGCGGCTTCCATGCAGTGAGCAGGGTCACCAGGTCCATTGGTCAAAAATAGCCCATCGTACTGGTCCCTAACAGCGTTGAAGTCGTAATTCCACGGGAAGACAGTGACTGCGGCATCTCGCCGAACGAGAGAGCGAAGGATGTTGGCTTTGGCACCAAAGTCGAGAACAGCGATCTTGATGCTGCCTGTGGGATTCAGCTCGTACACGGCCTTGGTGGAAACCTGGTCGACGAGGTTCTCCTTCGATGGGTCCCAATACTTGGAAGCATCTGGCGCAGGAAGAGCGGCGTCAGGACCAATGGCGATGCGCCCAAGGGTGGTTCCTTGGTCACGAAGAAGGCGGGTAATAGCACGCGTGTCAACGCCCGTAATACCAGGAACGTTATTACGTTTGCACCAGGCGGCCAAGGACTCGACGGCCGTATAGTGCGAAAACTTTTCGGCGACATCCCCTACAATGACTGCTGCACACTGAATGTTCTGTGACTCGAGGACGACGCCAACATCTTGAGAGTTATATGGAGCTTTGTTATGGGGAACGCCGTAGTTGCCGATCATAGGAGTGGTGAAGACGAGAATTTGACCACGGTAGGAGGGGTCGGTCATGGATTCGGTATCTGACAATACCATGAGCTCCAAGAACGAAAGTAAAGTAACACTAAAAATGGCATACATGATGTGATGGAGGTGGAGAATACAGTCTCGCCATAGATGTTCCTGGGAGCGCCGAAGGACTTGCCGAAGAAAGACTGGCCTGTCTTGAGGTGCAAGGTCGCTGGGGTCGCAATGGCGGGACCTGCTTGGGTTGCGAGGCCGCGGTAGAGAGTGGGAATACGGATGATGTGACGAATGAACATGGTGGGCAGGTTGGAGGATTTCTAGAGATTCAAGAGGGAGAATACGAGGTCGCTGAGGTAACTGTTGGATGCACGATCAGCAAGTGGGGTCGAGGAACGGTAGCTGGTCGACATACTCGTCTCTGGTGCTTTCGGTGAAGATCATGAACAAGGAGATGGGCTCCGAGTCGGGGAAAAGAAGAGAAAGCGCTGGCGGGCTAGGTACTTGAAGGAAGAAGAGCTGCAGAGCAGTCCTGAGTGCAATTTTTTTCTATCTCCGCCACTATGAGGTAATCATCACAACTTACTCCCGCGAAATGAAATGTTCTCTCCTTGGATAGGATGAGGCCTCAGACATTTTTGAAAATTCATTCCAGCGTCCAAGATATGGCAGACCTATGCTACAAACATGACTACTATATGTATACATTGCCAATCCTAACAAGAAAGCGATTAACTTGCAGCAAAAATAAAGGAAATAGAAAAATGGATAGTTTGGACAGCTTGAAGAAATTACTTTCGCTTGGAAGGTGAAACACCTGCCCTCCTCGATGCAGGGATGTGTGACGGAGGTGCAGGTGGCTTGCCATTGTCCGACTCACTTTCGGTCTCCGAGTCCGAATCCTCCTGCTCCCGACCATTCCGTCCGTACAAGTCCAGCTCGGCTTCCTTCGCGTTGAACTGTGCAGGTTGGAACCGTGGTACGAAGAACGACTGCGAGCTCGCAATTTCTGTCAGCGGGCGGTAGATCGTGCTCTTAATTCTCTGCGCCACAGCCGTAAGAGGATTGACCCTAGCGACGGCGTTTGCTACCTCCTCCTCGTCCTCAGAGTCATCGGGAGAGCCGCCTGGTGCTGCTTCTGTAGCTTTGTTTGCTTGAAGATCCGGGTATTGAGAGTAAGGGAAGGACTGCTGCGTTTCTGATTGGATGAACAATGGCTCCTGAGGTGATTCTGGTTGAATCGATCGAGATTGAGACTCCTTCGCGGGACTCGACACCAACTCATCGATTGGAAGCGTTGTATCGGCTTGCGAGGTATTGCTCTCCTGCAGAACAGACCAAAACCCGACCCTCTTGGTAGGAAGGTCGCCTTCGACGTTTTCGGGTTCTTCTGCAGGTTCAAGTTCAGGTTCAGGCTCGGCCTGTGCAGCAGGCTTTGCCCTGGTGCTTCGTGTTCTTGTCGTTCCGGCTGGAGTAGCCGCAGGTTTCGCAGAATCCTTCGCAGGTGTCTTCCCTGCTGTTTTAGGCGTGGGTTTCGCAGTTGTCTTCGCAGGTGTTTTGGCGGCCTTCGCAAGAGTCTTTGCAGGGGTCTTAGTTTTCGCCGGAGTCTTAGTAGCACCCTTCCCTTTCTTGGTACGCAGCTCTTCCTCTTCTTCCTCTTCGTCATCCGCCTGATCGTTCTCCTCGTCCCCTTTGCCTTCGGCCTCAGCAGAAATAGGACCAGACAACCTAATGACCCGCATAGACGATTGCGAGCCTGTTGGCGGAACAGGAACAGGCAGCGCAGAGATCTTCGTCAGGCTCCTTGTCCGTCGCGTGGCCGTGGCCTTTGGTTCGTCATCTGCACCCCGCACCAGTGGTGTTGGCTGGCTCTGACTCTGGATGGAGGCTTTGCTCTTCTGGCTCCTCGTTCGGGTCATGACCTCCACTTTGGGAGTGGATTGTACAGGTGGCGTAGGAGGCGAACTATCGTCGTCTGACGAGGCAATGGCTTCAGGTTGTGTCGTTGGTGGCTCATCAGAAGGCTCGATGGGGTCAGGCGCGTTGCCCTCCTCTGTAGAAGCAGCGGAAGCAACAGATGTGCGCTTGGATTTGGTTCTGGACGTAGATTTGTCCGGCGCCTCCTCACCCTGGCTGGCAACAGCGGTATCGGAGTCAGGTTCTGGAGCTGTCACTCTTCGCTGAGAAGACGAAGTCGGACTAGGGAGGTTGAACACGTTCAGGTCCCTAGCCAGAGCCTCCTCCACAGCGATATTACCCGTCAAATCCGGCTCTATCGAGCTGCCTAGAGCATTGACCTGCTGGAACGAAAGATCTCCGCCCTCGCGCTCCACAGAGGAAACAGGAGTCGCTTCTGGGACCTTGTCCTGCGGTTGGTTAGCTTGTGGTTCCTCACCCTTGTCGTTGGAACTCGACTCGTCCTCGTCTTCCGAATCCTCTTCATCCGATGACGTAGCACGCCTAACGAGACTGCGCCCTTGAGACAACTTCCTGGGTGATCTGGGCTCCTCATCATCATTTTCCAATAAGACTTCCTTGTCCTCCTTGTCGTCTTCATCCTCTTCTTCATCCTCATCGCTCGAGTCACTAGACGGGACGTCTTTGAGCGCAATGCGTGGACCTTTCACAAGCTCCTCCAAGTCCTTCTCTGTGAACCGCGAGAGATCCCCAATCGCCATAAACGGTGAAGCAAGCGGATTGTTGAGCAGCGTTGTCGACATATCTGCTGGCGGAGGCCGTGGCTTGGCGGCAGGAGTTTGGGGCGGCAGTGGTGCTTGCTTCTGCGAGCTTGGTTGAGGCTGAGATTTCTTTTGCGAGCTCTTCTTCCGGATGCTTTGGATGTTCAAGGATGGCTGAGTAAGAGGTGGTTCGACGGGAGAGGGAGTCGGAGCGGCTGGAGGAAGGGGAGGAGGCAAGGTCGAAGGTGCTGGCTGAGTTGAAGATGATGGTTGGGCAAGAACAGGGGTGGATGCAAGAGGGGTAGATGTTTTGGGTTGAGAAGACTGACGGGCGCGAGCAGCAAAAAGAATGTCAGCTGCGCTCACGGCCTTGTTGCGACCAGAAGGCTTCGCTGGGACAAGAGGGGTCGACGCAGCAGGAGTAGATCTATTCTGAACAAGAACGGGATTGAGATTGGAAGGAATGAGAGGTGCTGGAAGGGCAGACGCTGGCCTAGTTTGTGTGGGCTGCGATTGCGAATCATCAGGACCGGAAGCAGGGTGCGTTGCAGGAGTTCGCGCACTTTCGTTTTCCTGTGCCACCGTCGGGTTGGCGGGTTCAGTACGGGCAGGCGTCTTCTTCTTGGAGCGCCTCTCGATGATGGTCTGGAGCAGGGTGATACCCTCTGAATGGTCCTCGGAATCATCCTCCTCCAACTCTGTGACCCGTTTGCGCATTGCACGGATGCCTGCCTTGACGATTAGGCACCTGGACATGACGTGCCGTGGTTCCTCGCCGCATATAGGGCACTTGCCTGGATCGCGGTAATAGCCTGCTGATGACGTTTCGGCGCTGTTTGAGGTGCTTTCCTTCGCCGACGATTTCCTTGTTGATGACGATTTCTTTTTAGTCTTCCCGGTGTCCTTCGAAACCGACTGAGGGGTGTCATCTCTGGGTGCATCGGGAGCACTAGCAGAGATCGCCATCGGAGGTGGTTGAGAGGTGGAGGCAACACGGCCTTTATTTCTGGCCAAGATCTCCGTTATAGTACTCGTCACAACTTTCCTGGCTTCAACACCCTCTGGTGATTCGACCGACGGGTTGCCTTCAGTCGTTTTGTCTGTCGGAAAGTCGGAAAACGAAGATTTGGCGGCAGATGGTACACACCTTGGGACGGATCTTTGTGAGGTGGGGCCTCCGCGACCATGCTCTTTCTCCTCGTTCTCTTTACCGTTGCCTCTGCAGGAAAAGGATATATAAGAAAATAATTCGTAAATAATCCGAACAGGACCAACCTCCTGTAGAGGTGGGCTGTTCAGGCTCTTTATCCTCGAATGCACCGTCCTTGTCTGTGGAAACAGTCACCTTCACGCAAAAGAGAGAAGTATTTATCCCTTACCTGCTATTGGAGGTTCGCTTTGGGAAGCAGCTACTACAGCAGGAGGAGGAAGATGGGTTTTCTTGGAGGCTTCCTCAGCCTTCTTGCTGTTCTTCTTCTTCTTGGGCTCTGGCACTACGGATCTAAATATTGAGCGGTATTTGTGGAATATTGTACTTACCAGGCTCAACCTGTTGGGAAGTGGGGCTTTCTATCGAGTAGTTTCAGCTTCAACCCACAGATGGCTTTAATGTGAACACACCTTCAGAAGCAGCAGGGAGCTCAGCCGGTTCTGGAGGAGCAGGAGTCTTTTCCCTTGTACCCTTTTCCTTGGTCGCCTTTGTCTTTACAGGAGCAGCTGAAGCAGCGCAGGATTTCGGTTTCGAAGTTTTGGCCATCTTGACTCCAGGTGCCCCGTCAAAGACGACGGGAGTGGATTGAGGCGCCTGGGCGTCAGGTGAGTTTTGAGTAGTTTCTCGAGGAGGGGCATCAGATGTTTCTACAGCAGCCTTATCCTTGGACTTGCGCAGTTTTTTTGCCACCTTTTCACCTGAGCCAGTAGTGGACATTTTTGATTGTACAGTAGCAGCTGGAAGAGGCGCTGAGGGAGTAGGCATGGCCTCTGGCGATGTCGACGCAGTGGATTCAGAAATTTCTTCGACATGTTTCTTCTTAGTCTTCTTCTTGAGAGGCTGAGTGTCCGCACCTTCGCCTGCCTGTTTAGCTGTGTCCTCTATAGTTGGCGTTGATGCTGGGGGCTTGCCGACAGTGGAATCTGATCTTGTCCTCTTCTTCGATTTTTTCTCGACGGAGGCAACAACCACGTTTGTAGCCGTGATTGTCGCAGAATCGCCAGTCAAGGTTTCTAGTGGGTCAGCATCCCTCGACAGGGGTATTGAAGGTGCAGGCGGTAACTCCATGGGTGCAACCTCTCTTTCCTTCTCCTTCTCCTTCTCCTTCTCCTTCTCCTTCTCCTTCTCCTTCTCCTTCTCCTTCTTTTTCTTCTTCCTCTGAGCTTCCTCCTCTGAAGTTTTCTGCTTTTCCTTCCGTTTCTTCTTCTCCAGATCCTCTTCCTTTCTTTTCTCTTTCTTTTCCCTTGGTGTCTCTAGAGCTTTGGCCACCGACTCTGAAGTGGATTCTGCAAAAGAGACTCTGCGCTTTTTAGGCGTCTTAAAATTATCAGGACGTGTAGCGTCCTCGTCGTCCGTTGTGTGAGCTTCAGTTGACAGTAGAGACGCGTCAGATTTTCTTCTCTTCTTTGCCTCCTTTCTTGAAGGAGTCTATGCGTTTTTTTATTAAAAAAAGAGTGCTTAAATTCAGCAAGGAAGCTGACCTGAGGCTCGAAGAATCGCGTCGGAGGTTCGTTGCCTCCCAGGACAACCTGGACGCGCGTCACGGAGGCGGAATAGGCAGCAGAATGAAAAGCCTCAAAGTCGTCATCTAAGAAGCATTTAAATTAACACCTCAAAGATCGAGAGCAGGACGCGGGTCCTCAACGCACCGTCTTCCAGATCGACGGATCTTCCCTCACGAATTTGCGAGAGATGCACTGGGACGTCATCAGAAACACCGAGTTTCCGCCTGACGACCTCCTTCATCTCCTCTAGACTGTCCTCTGTTTCGCCTGTATTTAGCACTTTATCTTCTGCCACAATTGAGTTTATTACCTTTAAATAGCCGGTCAAAAGTTCTCGTCGCTGCATCGTAGGAGATACGCGGTAGCTCTTCCACGTCGCGCTTGCGTTTTCGTGGGGTCTCCATCGCGCTCAGCGGCGAGGAACGTGGTGGACGGAGAAGAAGAGGCAAAGGCCCTGGGACAAAGCTAAATCGACAGACGGTCAACTTTGGTGGGAAGGAAGCGCGTCGGATCGCGGGCAAACAAGCATAAATACCTCTTCTCACCTACAATCATGGCTGGAGGGCATGGTGCGTTCTGTATTTCTGCTTCGTGACTATTGGTTGACGTAGGCATGTAGCCCCAGGATTCCACCCCCATCTACCTGGAGCAGGGTACAACTTTCTTGCCAAAGCCCTGGGTGCCTCCATGTGGTTCTTCATCTTCTACCGTGCTAGGTTCGTGACCCAGCCTCTTTGTATATCTCGCCCGAGGCTGATTTTGCTGCAGGAAAGACGGTGCTAAGCTATTAGTGAGTCTGCTATCTCACTCTGAGCGAAAATTTGACTAACCATTGCTATAGGGAAACCACGGGTTCGGCGATGATCATGGATACGGCGACTCGCACGGCGCGCACCATTAATAGAGGCCCTAAATGAAATCCTTGCAATCTTGAACGACCCACTTGAGAAATAGATGCGATAGAACGGACGACCGAGTTCCCCGGACAGACGTTGCAATGAAGCATGGACGTATACCTCCTGAACTTGCTGAGTGTTATGGTTCGTTACGGGTAATTCTATTCACGAATCGCATTTGTGAATTCCTCCAGCGGGTCAAAGTTTACTAACGGAGCGTCCGGTTGGTCAGGCCAAATGGATGGGGGGTGGGACACACCACATTCTACTTATACCGCTGCAGCTGCTCGATGTTAAAGTCGACGCCGCCGCCGCCGTTCATGCAGACGCTATCTGCGACTCCTCCGCCTGCATCGATAACTACACATACAGACAAGAGAGACGAGGGCGATCATCTCCCTCTTGGTCAATTTTGTGCCATTACAATGGGCATAAGATCAAGTCCGAGCAGTGAGGTTGAGTGTTCTCTATCCAACTGCGTGTTATTGGTGCCGGCCTTCAGCTTCAGTGCTGTATATTCATCGTTTACAAGGAACACGGAATATTCAATCCTCAATTGACCTTTCTTGTAGCATATTAGAATCTCTACAAACAATATTGACAGTGCATGTCTCTTTTTCTCGAGATTAGCACTGGTGGACAGACGATAGCTCTCCTCTGAAAGATGATTCTTCGTGTTTTTGCTGTATCTGTCCGCCTTCAAATCCCTGGTCTCTCAGTCTGTGCCCTTCTGTTTTGGACGTGACTAACCCAATAAGTCTGTATCCATGCCAAGTAGAACCTAGTTACGTTTGAGCGTTCAAGTATCTTGAGACTGCACAACGCCCTCAACGACCGTTCCTTTGAGCAAACCGTGCTGTCCCACATCCCAAACCCCCGGCATGCTTATGACAATCGTACGGCACCAGGCCCGACTCGACTCGACACTTCCGTTGATGTTTTCTCACAAACTGATCCCGCTCAATTGCCTGTCAGGGACTCTTCGATTGACCACCACACGTTGCACCTTTCTATCTTGTCGCTTTCGTTCTTTCCTTCCGACTTTACGCAGAGCGAGTCTTTTGAGAAGGCATGGTGGCCTTCGCCAGGCGCCGCGTCGTGGTTAGTTTTCTGAGAGTGGTCTGGGTGCTGATTATATTCTGGCATGAATATGGCATCTTCATATCAAACGCCCGTGGCTGCAGTTGGCCAGACACGGGTTTGCTCGCGGTGTGTCACTTGCTTCTTGAGCCTGTTCTTTACCTCATCCTTGCACAGAAGACAAACGAGACCACCAATGCACGACCACAGCATGTCCTACTTGTCGCCGACCCACAAATTGTTTCGACACATATGTGGGCCCCTTGGGTCGTACCTAACGAGACTGGTTGTCGACCTCAACCTGAGGAAGAACTGGCAGGCAGCTCTGCATAAACGACCCGACGTCGTCGTGTTCCTTGGGGATATGATGGATAATGGGCGGCTGGACGTGTCCGACGGGGATCTTATNNNGTGCACCTTGCACTATTCTAACCTCGTTTTCTCACCCCTAGGTACGAACAGCTGTTCACTCGATTCTCGGACATTTTCAGACTCGATTCCTCCATCCCACAATATTTCATTCCGGGAAACCATGATACAGGGTGAGCCGACACGGCCTCTAAAAATAATATGCCCTGACTAACAATGATAAATGTGCGGTGACGATTGGGTGACGAAGGCTTGGGAAATCGTCCACCTTTTCACCTCATGCATTTTCACGCTACATTTCTCATTTCGGACCCACCAACATTGAGATATCTGTCGCCAATCACACCCTCGTCTTATTCGATGCCCCAGGCTACGCCAACGAGGATTCGAAACGACACGGTGCAAAGAAAGCTTTTACTACTTGGATACCTATCCAGGGTGGATCGTTGGAGTACATGAAGAAGTTCGCCAGAGGTGAGTTTTATTTAGTCGCAATCGAGAAGAGGCGTCAACTTAGACTTCTGTACCAGACAAACACAAAGACCCTGTCATTCTGTTCACTCATATCCCCTTGTATCGTCCTGATGGAAAGAACTGCGGACCCTTACGAGAGAAAGGCACGCTGAGACCTGGAGTAGGACATGGCTATCAGAATACACTGGAGAAGCAATCCTCTCTAAGGTTACTTGAAGCCTTGAAGCCTGTGGCGATCTTCAGGTAATGCCGCTCAACACACCATCATCCAGATCCTGACCCCAATGCCATTTTCAGCGGCGATGATCACGATTACTGTGAATACACGCACCAACTCCGTCCTACTTTCGGTCCTCCAATAAACATCCTCGAAACCACTGTCAAGAGTATATCAATGGTGATGAACGTCCGCAAGCCTGGCTTCCAACTACTATCACTAGCGCCCGCTGACCTACGACGAAATGAGGGCCCGTCCTATGCCGATACTCTCTGTCTTCTTCCCGACCAACTTAGAATATACCTCAACATCTACCTACCCCTCCTCGCAATCTCCATAATCGTCGTTTTCTTCTCCAACCTCAACCGGGGAAAACGGCGTGGGCACAGCACAGAGTTCTCTGACGCCCATTTGCTCTTGTCTACCTCGAAGGTAGAGGGTGATGATGATGATGACGACGACACGGAACTGAACCCATACTTCAGCTCGTCCTCACACGGCCTACCACCACCGATTTCATCTATTAACCAGAAGAGTC